CCCCCCCAGAACGGAGCAGACGGCTTCACGTTCCAGTTCGGCAAGGCCAACCCATTCTTCACGCCCAGCGCACTCACCCCCTTGGCAGAAAGCACGGATACAGCAGAGGGAGCGCCCGCTGATGTCACCTACCCGGCTGCCACAGACTGGGAGGATCAGTTCGACTTCTTCGTGAACAACAGGCTCCCCCCCAGCTCCCCCCCTCCGGGCACCGTCACAGAAAGTGTGACGGAAAGTGCGGGGCCCTCTTTTGCTGCGGAGGAACCCGCCGGGCCCTCTCCCGCAGGCACAATATGGAAAGTCCTCAACACACAGGGCCTCGAGCCCGCGCCGGAGTCCGAAGCCAGCCTGACTCTCGCGCCGTCGTTCAAGCTCGACAGCCCAAAGGTAGCGAAGCAGCCCCCCGTCTTCGTGGGGAGGAAGGGAGGCGCCGCCGCCCCGATGCGCGCCGCCGTCTCCCCAAACCGCCCGACGTGCATCGAGCTTCGGCCGGCCCCCCTCCGCGGCTCGAAAGCGGACCAACCCGCGCGCGCTCTCGCGTGCACCGAGACGGCCGTCTGGGCCGCCGTCGACGGGGGGGTCAAAGTGTGGGACGTCGAGGCGGCGACCGCGAGCGCGAGCAGCGGGGAGAACAACGTGACGTCGGGGGACGAAGACGCGGCCGCGTTCACGTTCTTGGCGGTGCACGGGACAACGAAAGTGCTGTGTTTGTGCGCCGACTTCGGGCGGGAAGTCGTGTGGAGTGGGCATAGTGACGGGAAGGCGCGCGCGTGGCCGATGGCGGTGCCGGGCCCGGGGGCGGGCGAGGCGGTGACGTCGTCGCTGATCTGGGGTGCGCACAAGTCGGCTGTGACGGCGCTGTGTGTGACACCGTATGGTGAGTCCCCGCTTGTTGGCCTTCTGAGTTACTCAGGCTGACTCTTTTGGTGTCTCAGTGGCCTTTGCCCATTGCTGGTGTGCTTTGTTCTCACATAGGTCCTTATAACCCCAAGTTTGGCAACACGCTTACAGAGAGTGCTCTTGTCCCTGCAGTTGGCAGAGAGAAGCTTTCAAAGTGGGCAGGCTAGCTTCTGGGTGAAGAGGTGTTGACAAATAAGCCCGCTATTTCGTGTGTTTTGAGGGGGGCTACCGCACCAACAGCAGAAGAAAGGAGCCTTGTGACCTTGACAGGTGCTCGTGCGGTCACTTCATTAGGAGCCAGAATCGTTGCGCCTCGCGTCTAGTTACTCATATCCTCGTTATCTGAGCAGGCGACCTGTGGACGGGCTCCGAGAGCGGCAACGTCAAGTGCTGGCCGAGCGACGCGTGCGCAATCTCGAACGCTGATGCATCTTTCGGAATTTTTAGAATCGTATCCGGCCCGCTTCTAGTTACTCATCTCCTTCTTTCTTGGGCAGGCGACCTGTGGACGGGCTCCGAGAGCGGCAACATCAAGTGCTGGCCGAGCGACGCGTGCGCCCGCTCGATTACCAACCCCTCCGTAGTCCTAGATTCAGCACCCTGCATCTAGTTACTCATGTCCCTTGTTATTCGTGCAGGCGATCTCTGGACGGGCTCCGAGAGCGGCAACATCAAGTGCTGGCCGAGCGACGCGTGCGCCCGCTCGATCACGCAGGGCGCGAAGCATGACCACACGGCCGCGCAGTATATGCAGCACGCGGGGTTCACGCTCAAGGGCAAGCTCGCGGGCGACAGCAACCAGGTGCACTCCGAGGTGCGGTTCCTGATGGTCGAGCGGGTGTACAGCCGGGTGTGGAGCGGAGGGCAGCACTCGGTCGCGCTCTGGTGAGGATGGGGTCTCATACGCTTTGCGCAACGTGCTTCCTGTTTTTGCGCCGGTTCTGTCTACTTGAAAGTACAGGGTTCGCTTTGTGGTGTCGAAATCGATTGCGTTGTTCGGAGGGTTTTGTGCAAGAATCGATTTCCGCTTTCTTTCTTGCTTGGCTGCGTCGCTTCTTGAGGGAGTCTACTGGGATTTTGCTGCCGCACATGGATCAACCCGGTTGCGCTCACGTGAGGACCGGCAGGTGCCAGGACTGCCTTTCCCATGGTTTGGGCTCGTACATCTCACTCAACTTCAAGTAGACGTTTGGTTTGAGAAGGGTGAAGAGCAGTTTTTCAGGGTTCGGAGTTTGGGGCTCATTCCTCTACGTGTTCTTCTTGTAAGGCTGCTTTTGGTTGGCTTGTTTTTCTTCTCAGGAAAACAGCACTGCCAAAGTTCAAGAATAACGACTTTTTACAATATTCGCAACCTCGGTGATCAAAAATCTGCCGGAATGATCGAGGCCCATGAGATAGCATATCCTTCTTTATTGACCTGCGCTCATTCTGGCAGGCTTCGTTGGATCTCCGCACCTTTCTTTCCAGTTCTCCCTGTTGATGTGTTGACTAGCGTGGACATACGGAAACGTCAGTGGAAGCTCCTCGGATGCTTCAAACTAACACTGGCTTCATCCTTAAACCAGCCTTCCCCCGTTTACCTCTCCCAGGGATGCCCGCACCCATACTCTGGTGCGAGTCGTCGGCACCAACATCCAGAACGAGTTCGTGCACCCTCCCCGCGCGCTTGCGTCCCGCGAGCCGTCCCCGATCGAGATCCGCCCGGCGGAGGAGGACGGCCCGGAGATTGCGGATGCCCGGAAAGACGACAAGAAGGAGCGGAAAGAAGAGCGGAAAGAACGCGCGGGGTTCAGCCGGCTGAGCACGAAGACGGAACGGCACGGGGGCGGCGCGATGTCGTTCCTGCGCAAGTCGCGCGACGCGGTGTTGAAAGGCGCGGCGGCGATGGTTTCGGCGGCGGGTGTGAATACGCCCCCCGGGGGCCCCGCGAACGACCCGACGCGGTTGAGCGCTCTCGTCGCGGCGCCGGACGGGACGATCTGGGGCGGGTACGGCGACGGCCGCTTGGTGCAGTGGGACTGGCAGGGCAACAAGGTCTCGGAAAGTCAGCCGAGTCTAGTTCCCGTGCGGTGCATGTGGGTCGTCGGGCTGCGCGTCTGGATCGGGTACGCGGACGGGCGCATTCACATTTTGAACGGGCGCAGCGGGAAGGCGCTCGCGGTGTGGCGCGCGCACAGTTCGGAGGTGACGAAATTGGCGCAAGCGGGGGAGTGGGTTTTCAGTCTCGCGGCGAGGGGGGGGATCCGGGGGTGGAGTATGCGGACGCCGAACACGGTGGAGCATATCATACGGGAGGAGATGACGGCGTGCTGCGATACGTATACGAGGTCCAAGGCGATCCAGATCCTGGCGGGGACGTGGAACGTGAACGAGCAGAAGGCGACGCCCAAGGCGCTCAATGTGAGGCTTGCTATCAATTTGTTACTCTTGTTCTTCTTCCAGTTTCTGCTATTGCCTTTTGCAGAATGTACTGTTTTCCTGGGTGCATTGCCCCTCTTATGCGGTGTGTTGATCGAAGCTTAGACGTCACTGGTCCTTGCAATAAATCTCCCGGATAAGTCGTTCCATATGATCACGAGCAAACCGGTAGTGACCCAGCGTTCAACCTGCCTTGTCAAATCGACATATTGGCTGACGCAATATGCTTTCACTTCGTTTCATTGTTGATTGTCACCTACTGCTACCGATGGCATTTCAAGTTTTTGGGAAGAGCGTTATAATACACTTAATTCTCTATGGCCCCGCAAAATTGTAGCCACTTTGCTTGTTGCAATGCTCATCTTGCTTGACTCGCTCTCTCCCAGGAATGGATTGCCGAGAAGTCGAGGCCGGCGAGCGTGGTCGTGATTGGGCTGCAAGAGGTCGAGATGGGCGCGGGGAGCCTCGCGTCAAGCCTCGCGAAGGAAACCGTCGGGTTAGGCCTCCAGGAAAAGGGTTCCGCGATGGGTCAGTGGTGGTTAGGGGCGATAACCGCCGCTCTCGGTGCGGAGGAGTGGGAGAAGGTCGCGAGTCGGCAAATGGCGAGCATGCTGGTCGGGGTTTGGGTGCGGCGAGAGTTGCTGCCTTACGCGGGGGAGTTTGAGTACGGCGCGGTCGCGTGCGGGTTCGGGCGCGCGCTCGGGAACAAGGGCGCAGTCGGCGTGCGGTTCAACATGTTTCGGCGAACGGTGTGTTTTGTCAACTCGCATTTTGCCGCGCACATGGATGCGGTCGCGAAGCGCAACGAGGACTACGAGCACATCGCGCGGCGGATGGTGTTCGGGAAGTACCAGGGGGTGGTTGTGGCGGGGGTTAGCGCGGTCGGCAACGCGGTTAACGCAGCGGCGTACGGGTTATCGTCCGCGGTCAAGAACGCGGTCCAGAACGCGCAGAAACGGGGCGAAAGCGGGAAGAACCTGACGGTCGTTTTGGAAACCGGGGGAAACGTGCAGGTTCCGGATCTCGACGCGGAGCTCCCGAGCCCGATCGTCGATACGGACCCGCTCGGACAGCCGGACCTGTCCGAAGCGGACCTGCTGATTTGGCTCGGCGACTTTAACTACCGGATCGATAACCTGCCGTTCGAGGAAGTGGTCGACGCGGTTCGGGAGAAGAAGTGGGATTGGCTCCTGGCTAACGATCAGCTCCGGACAGAAATGGCGGGCGGTCGCGCGTTTCAGGGGATGTGCGAAGGGGCGATTCTGTTTCCGCCGACTTACAAGTTCGACAAGAACACGGGCGACCCGATGGGGTATGACTCGAGCGAGAAGAAGCGGATTCCGGCGTGGTGCGACCGGATCCTGTTCCGGGACAGCTTCGACAAGCCGGAGGCGGAAAAGGTGTCCAAGCTCGCGCAGCCAGTGCGGGCCACTGTCGTCAGGTGCGTGCCCTTTCGTCCCGCTCTAGTTTACACCACATTTCTGCTCCCGTTCATTTCTGTATCCCCCCGGGTTTTCTCTCTCAGTTGGGTGTTGTTTTCGATTGGCACACCCCTCCGTTCCAGCTTTCCTGCTTTCATCTACCTCTTTGAATCTTCACCGCTATGATCTGCTTTGTGCATAATTCTTCGTTCCTCGTCCGTTTAAATGGATATGGGGGCGAATTGATTACCAGCTTTTTGTCCGCGCTGTGGTTTGTGTTTTATCCCACTGATTCTTTTGCCTCAGTTTTCCTCGAGGCGATTCGGAGGATCCTTCGTGGTCCGCTTCGCTTAGGCCCCGGCTCGACGCTTTTTTGTCTGTGGTGCTCGACTTACTGAAGTAGCTTTTGAAGACGTTCCCTCACTGACACATGTGCTGACGTCACACAGCACTGATTCCCTCCGTCCTGGCTTATGCAACAAGCTACTGGAACTTGCTCCTGCTGACATGAACCCGTCCGCTCCTCTGCAACTACGAGGCCCTCATGGCGTCAAAGATCTCGTTCACGATCTTTGCTTCCCCCTGCCGCATCCATCTTGCACCGCTCCTGCCCGTGCTGACATTGCAGTTGCACTCCTTCCGCAGCTACGAGGGCGTCATGGACGTGACTGACAGCGACCACAAGCCGGTGCGCGCGGAGCTCGCCGTCGATCTCGCGGTCATCGACGAGGCCGCGCGCCGGCGCGAGTACGGGCGCGTTTTGCGCACCAACCCTGAGCTTCTCTCTTTCCACCACCGCTGCAACGCGCTCCCGGACTGCACGGTCAGCGACCGGCAGATCATCGTCGACGGGCGCGTTCCGGCGACCGTACGGCTGACGAACCACGGGACGGAGTCGCCCTGCTGGTACGTCGTGCGGGCCGACAATAAGCCGCCGACCGACTGCGACTGCTGTATAAGTATGAGCGCGGACAAGGGCGCGGGTTTCCCGTCGTGGCTGAAGGTCCGGCCGGCTGCGGGGATCGTGCCGGGCGCGCAGAGCGTCGCGATCGAGTTCGAGTTCGCGCGGAAGGGCGTCGACGAGGACGAGGAAAGTGAGGCGAGCGGATCGGGGCGGAAACACAGTTGGTGGGCGAACGACGAGAAAGACGTGTCCGTCAGTCTGGTGATTTTGGTCCGGGGGCCGTTGGCGTCGGACTACGTGACGCACCGGGTGTGCGTGAGCCACGGGCCGAACGCGCGGCGGCACGCGCCGGGACGGGTGACGAGTCGAGCGCCGGATCTCGGACGGCCGCCGACGCCGCCGAGAGACACGACGAGAACGCCGACCGCGAAGGTGGTGACGCCAACAGTCGTGGCGCCGCAGCCGCTGCAGGATCTGTTGAGTTGGGACTGACCGTTGGGCCGAGATTGAATTGTACCCATAACTGTTGATAATTATGATCGGTCAGAGTCGGGTGTGATGTCGAATGGAAGAAGCCGCTTTCATTGTCGGAGATAGTGTTTCATGAATTATGCCACATCAATTCAGCTTGATGCTCTATTTCCTGCATGACGAAATTGCACTGAGCTCACCTAGAGATTTCAAGCGCAGACATACTGCTCGCATGATTGCAACGCATCGCGCGTACCTGGGCTGCATGCAGTACGTACCTAGCTGATCGAGATCCTTACCATACAGCACTGATTAGTCTGTCATACATCTAGTAGTTAGTACTGAGATGATTTAAGGATGATATCCCACTTCTGGCGGGCATGATACTTGCGTTGTTGCAGCTGATCATTATTAATTGTGGTCACCGTCGCCTATGATGGAGCCGAGCTGCACAGATGCGCGGTCGCGGTCGCGCGCTATCATTGGTCATATTTGGGCCGGCATGCCATACACCACCAGTCTGAACAAGCGCCGCGAATGTCCAGTGTACCATGTGAACAACGTCCGCGACGAAAAGCTGGATTCATACGTCGACCACAGGGCCGGAATGATCGTTTGCTGTTTACTGGAGACTCCGCGTACCCAACTTAATGTACTCAAGTTCCAGTTCGCAGGACCGCCTACTAGGACTATTCAGCCCTGTTGAGAGCCGGCCCTGTGTTAAGGCTTCAATGCAGCTTTACTTCTTCTTGCCACCCTTCGAGTCCTTCCCGCCCTTCTTCTTGGCGTCCTCCGGTTCTTCGGGCGGCGTTTTGGGCTGGTTCACGGGCAGCTTGGTCGCCCAATCCTGAGCAGAAGGCGACCGGGATTGATGGCATTAGATGCCGAACGAGTCTTTGCAACTGGCATCTCTTGGGAACCACTTTGATTCCACTCGGATCTGGCGACATTGAAGGAAGTTGCTGAGCGCAAAATCACCGTGCTTCGGCCTTAACCAAAAAGGAAAGGAAAGGGGAGAAACGAAAGCTGCCTGAGACTCGCTTTGCGATTGGTCAAATCTTGAATCTCCTTCCGGATACCCGGAGGCATAGGGAGATGCCACGGCCTGATGCTAAGTAAAATGTAGAGGACGAGGGAAACGGACTGTGGCTTGTCGGGGAAACTTTTCCGCAACCGTCGCAGTTTCGATGTCGACCGAAATGCGAGGCCCCAGCTTTAGAACCATGGCCCCTAAATATATACGCGGCTTCTGATGCAAGTCGACGGCTCCTATAAGCGACGACAAACATCATCAAATCTATAGAATGCAACGAGAAAACTTCTCAGATTGTCTTGTGAATGCTCACTCGTAGCGCTTGGTCGTCCTCTTTGTTGACGGCCTGCTGTCGGTACAGCCCAGCCATGATCTCGTCCAGACTTAGAGGCTTCTCAGCCAGCTGCAAACACCGTTCAATGACTATGTTAAGCGTTAAACACGAGTCGGGGTGTCACCCAGGGACTGAAACAGGGCTGTGGCGTCTCCAGTCGAAAGTTCAAAGAGAAGGGCTCTGGGAAAAAAGGATAGGTGAGCAAAGCAATTGAGGCGTTGACATACACTTTTGGGGGCTCCGGCATCAGTCGAAAAAGGTGCCATGAGGAAGAGATGCGAGGGGGCGTGCCGGGACTTCTCACTAAACGGGGTCCAGGCATTTCGCCAGAGGTACAACCAGACCTTCAACCGCGCACTCACAAACCGACGAACTAGATCAACCACCAAGTAACCAACAGACTAGCTAACATTAAGTTCACACTTCAAAAGCTCTGCCCACCTTCATTCTCCGTCGTTCCGTGAGCACCATCTTAAGCGCCCGGTCGATCGCCCCGGGCGGGTAGCCAAGACTCATTGTGCACAGTGTGGAGAGGTCGAAGTCGGTCGGCAGGGGCCCTCCGCCGTTCCGCTCGACCAGCGCCGGCCACAGCAGCCGGAGCGAGGCGTAGTCCGGAAGCGGAACGTGGATGTGCTTTGCGAAGGCGCCGATGAGTGCCTTGGAGTCGGAAGACGAGCAGTCCTGCGGGCGCAGAAGTTTGTGCCATGAAGGTTTTGAAGAAATCAAGTATTTCCACAAGAGTGAGGGTGTCTAGGATTCTGTGAGGGTGTCTAAATTTCTGAATGGTTAGAGATGAGATCTCAAGAGCCCACCTCTTAGGATGTATCTCAAGTTAGTAATTTCTGTCTCGCACGGTTTCTGTGCTTGCGCAGATCGCTTTTCAAAACCGTCTACTCGCTTGTTGCTCTTCCATGAAACTATTGCATGGAATCATTTGCAGTCGTCAAGCCTTTGTGTTCCTCCGATCCTCTTCTCTTTGACGACTCCTGCGAATTCATCCTGGCTGCGGTTGAACTGCGCGCTTCTGTTGTTGAACGTACTAAGCATTTGCACCCGCTCCTCTTCTCAGAAAGTTTTCAATATGCCTTTGTAAGATCGGGTCCCACCCACCTGCGGCCGAGACGTGCACCCGATCACAACGACCCGGTCCCCAGGCGCGAGGCCCTTCATCTCTTTCAGCAGCTCTTTCTTGATGCGACTGGGGGGCTCTACCGGGGCCTCGCCCTCCGCCCCACCCTCCCCATCCTTGGGCTTCTTCTTTGCTTTCTTTTTGTCGGATGAAAACACCTGTAAGATAAAAGAAACATCGCGCTTGCCTTTTACATTCGTTGAGATTCCTGAACTGGCGCATGACGTACAACCAAACGCTTTGGCCGTCGCGGATGGGACAAGCTGAAAATCCAAGGAAACGGGGAGCAAATGCGACGCAAACAATAGCTCTTCAATTTCTTACAGCTGTCTCACTCCTTTTACGAAGATAACGGTTCTGACCGTGACAGCTGCGAGCTTTAAAGCGAGTGCGAGAGTGGTACTGAATGCCAAGCGAGACAAAGGAGAGCTGCAAACGGGACCAAGTAAGTCCTCGAAGTCACAATCTACTCAAAAATTCCCAAAAAAAACAACAAATCAACTTACCTGCTCCACTTGGTCGACGAGAATGACTGTTGGCGCCATTACGCGCGCGAGCTTGAACGCGAGGTGCAGCATGAGCGCCACCTGCTTGCCACCGTACCGCCCCGCGATCGCGGCCGGGCTCAGGTTGATCAGGTTCGCGCCCGCGCCGTGGCACGCCGCGTGCGCCTGGACAACAAAGTTCCAGGGTTTCGAATACCAGGGTTCGAGGATTCTCGGTTTTATGGATTAAACTAACGTATCGTCTATTTTTGGCGCGGGGTGATAACCGCGAATCTGACGGATGGGAAGAGGTCCGGGCCCTCGGGTACCGTCATTGAGGAAAGCCTGTCACTGAACGGTTGCGTGGATTAGAAACCTATTTGACATGGGAAGCAGTTCACACTGCCTTTCCAAGCTGAGGAGAAATTCTCAAGCTCTTCCTATTCTGTACAACCAACGATTTGGCTGTAAAGTGGAACGCCTCTCCAACCGAAGTTCGATATCCCGCACTCTATCGAGGATAATTCCTCTTCTCGAGCCGCCTCTACGAGAAATGCGGAAAGAAGCGAAGATTCTTTGAACGCTTCCGAGAAAGACTTACCAGCAGCGTTTTGCCGCACCCGGGTGGCCCGTAGAGCAGCACCGACCGGACGAAGGGCGCGTTCTCGTGCACGAAGCGGGAGCCGATGGGGAGAACGCAGTACTCGGTCACCAGTTGCCGCACCTGCGAGGGCGGACCGCATTCTTACTTACCGTCACCTTATTCTTTGTTGATTGCTTATGCGGTAAAATATGAAAAGAAATTGTAGGGGTATAAAGGTCGAATGTAACTGTGTGAAGCGCAGACGGAGATTGCGTGAATATGTTAGGCGACTGCAAGGTCGAATTCAAGAGTCCTGAATAAATCGTTTGTTACTCTTCCTTCTCCGGGATGAGAACAGCTAGTCCGCCCCATATCGACTGTCTACTTCAAGCTCATGTGATTATATTGGAAGAGACAGCCGCTTTCCAAAGGGTGGCAGCAACGTTCTCAGTTTCTCCAACAAATGGCTTCCAAAACTTTTGCAAACCCTGCATCCCGACGCCCCAAACCCGAACCCCTAGATTTACATTCCAAAAAACTTTAAGAAAACCCGAAACCCGACAACGGCCAAAACTTTCAACGGTCAGAACTTTAAACCCGAAAACCCCCCAGTCCCCCAAACCCCTCACCTGCGCGATCGACGGGTCCGGCCGGATGTCCGCCTTCTCGAGCGTCGTCCCCAGATAGCTGTACGCGCCGACGAACTCCGCGAAGCCACGTGGCGGGCAGGGCTGCACTATGCCGTTACTCACTAACTCCGCGTACAGCGATTCGGCGCTGCGATCCCCCGTGGGGTCCTTTTTGCCCTTCTTGCCGCCCCCTCCTTTCTCCGCTTTCTCGCCCTTGGGCTTCTTTTCCTTCTTCGCACCGTCGCCACTTTTGCCTTGTTTGTCGCCCTTTTTCCCGCCCTTCTTGCCCTTTTTGGGCGACCCGCCCGCCTTTTCCGCAGCGACCATGTCCTTGAGCTTCTGCAGCAGAACCGCCATTTCGACGTCCACCTGGGGAGAGGATGAGCGGTAGCAAACTGATTGGTTTTTGTTCAGCACCATGGGTTCCTCGTCCTAACTTTCTGAGCTTTTGAAATGTTACAAGGGCTGTTGGAATGTCTGAACTGGATGGACCATATTCCCCTTTTAAACTGCGGAAGGCTTGAACAAGTTTGGCTTCAAAGAACTTGTCTTGCATCTTGGAACAATCCTTTCTTCGCCCTACTTTCGGCCATCTCTTCATCTACCTCCGCCAAGGCCCCATTCACAGCGCATCGGGGTTGGCAAGAGCAAATTTCGTATGCAATGTCCAAAACCGCCGACCCAGAGACCAAGAACCGGAAGTGCTTAGCTAGAAGCTGGCTAGCGCATTCAAAGATCCTGAGGAAACTCCAAGCTGATACCGTGTTCAACGCGCTGACCTAACCCTACGACTCTGAAGCAAACCCAAAACTTCACATCTGGTTAGTGCGCTAACCCACCTCCTGTCGCACTTCCTCGAAGACGAGCGGCCGCAGCGTCGCCTTGACCATCTCCACGTCGTGCCTCTGAACGAAGTTGGTTGTCTCGTCCTTGTCCTGCCACGTGGCGCAGTACGATTGGACCGCGTCCTTGACATGCTTCGCAAAGAAGCACGCGGGCGCCGGCTCTGGGGGGGGCTCCTCGGGTGCGTCCTTCTTTCCCTTCTTTTCGTCCTTCCCCCCCTGGAAGGAAAGTTTTGCAGGTGAATCAGACTGTATCTGCGCTCTCACCAGTTGTGGGTGCATGCGTGCAAACTTGTTCTCGACAGAAAGCGAAGCAGGGGGAGCTTTCCACCCTTGGATACTGAGCCTCTGGAAGTCTTGAATCCAGAAGAAGGTGTATGCCTTTCTTTCGGTGTCTTGCAAGTTCGGAGACGAAGCCTGACGTACTGGCAGTAAAGTCAGGTTCAAAGCCCGCGAAAGGATTTCTTAAAGGAGGAAGAGACCAGATGCTCTATCCATTTCTCGCCTGTAGGCCATCCAGAGTACCTCAAAGCTCGGATAGCATCCTGCAGCAAAGAGCCAAACCGTACTAACTTTTAAGATCGGCACTTTCCATGCAGATTCATTATGTCCGAATCGATCTGTCGTATCAGCAGGCTGCTAAAAGTTTTCGAATCAATCTGCAAATTGGGCTTTTTAGCCATTTCCTGCCAATTTTGAGTGGGAAAGTGGTGAAAAGTGCTTGACAACGTTTCCCGACAAGTTGGCAAGCTTCTCAGAACATTTCTTTTCGACTTGCATCGGAGAAAAACAATTGATAATTGCTGATCTTAAAAGTTAGTACGGTGGTTGAAGGACAAGGAACTCGGTCACGGCCGATAAATTCACCTTTTTGTCCCCCACCTTGTCTTTCTTGTCACCTTCCTTCTTATCCCCCTTTCCTTTCCCGTCTTTCGCGTTCTCTTCTTCTCCCGCGTTCGGATCCACAATTGGGGGATTCAAAATAAACTTCGAGCCGCCCACGTCAGGTCCCGGGAAGTCCGGGTAGTTACCGGTCACCGGGTCCCGGTTCTCCAAGAACCACTTGTTAACCCGGTCCTGGACCATCTCCCGCATATCTTGGCCCTCGATCTCCTTAACCCGTTTTTTCATGCTAACCACGCACTCCTCGTACTCGATCCGGTTCGCCGCCTGCACGCCCTTCCGGCGCGCGAGGTTCTGGACCTCGCGCAGGACGGGATCGCGCGCGGACTCGCGCGCGGGTGGCTTCATCCCTGTATGTAAAGACAGGGCAAGAGGGATCTCATAAACCTATCGTTTAGGTAGGGTGGGGTTACGTCAGGGGGTTAGGGGGGGCAGGGTTTCGAAGCGCGTCCATTCTTTAAGTTTTCGAAAGACTGTCTTTATCATACCTAGTAGTTGTGCCACTTAGTTATAGGACTGTGAGCAGTTTCATAGGGGGCCTCGATGGAATTCTTGAAGGTTCTACACAATCCGCCGTAATAGCTGCTGTCTCTGACTTCCAGGTGTTGTCCCCGAAACGTAATGTCATCCGTCGGGGTAAAAGGGCAACAGCTTTTAACGCGGGAGCATTTCAGAAAAACAAACGACTCGAGGGGAGAATGCTCTCGGTGCTACGTCACTGACTTGAGAGCAGTTGGCCTTGGTTGGGCCACATGTATAGGACGAACGGGCGAATACCGTACAACAGAAGGAGATTAGAGACAAAGAAAAACGACCAAGGGTTAGAGTCGTGCTCCGCTGAAAGAGAATCCCTGTTCCGCCGTCCGCTCGGCGCGTTCCTTCGATCAGATAGCGAAAGCAACCGGAAGAAGCACAGGAGAAGGCGATAGAAATCAAGGAAGAGAAGAGACGACACAGGAAAGTCTTCCCACCTATGAAGACCAGCTCTTCGTTCACCATCCGCCGCGCGCGCCGCTTCGCGAGGAAGCCGCGCGCGGCCGCCTGCATCTTGATGGCCGCGGTCTCCGCGCTCATATTGTCGCCGCCCATGCGCTGCCGCCGCAGGTCCTCCTCCTGCTGTGCGCGCGCGCCCAGAAGCGCCTTCACGCGCGCGCGCGCCTGGCGGCCGCGCTCGTTCGCCTGGCCATTTCGAGGGTTTGTCTCAGCACTTCTGGTTCAGAAGAAAACTCGTTTTACCCAGATACATGAAGTAATTCACGATGAAGCAAAGGAGACAAGCCTGGCACAGCTACGACACAATCTGCAGCCGTCTTAAATTGAGACGAGAAGTTTCTTGCGAGGGAAGGTAGGGATGGCGCCAGAGCAACGAGCGCGGTGACACTTGGCAGCATCTTACCTGCAGGATTGCGATAGCCTCCTCCTGCGACATGGCCGAGGGTTCGGGGACGGCCGCGGTGGCGGCCGCGTCATCGGCTGTCGCCGGCCGCTCGTACTTCTCCATCAGCGCGAGCTGCAAGAAGAGAAATATTCAGGGGAAAGAACAGACACAAGGAGAACTGGCAGAAAGAACCCAGAGGCCAGGGAAGGAGGACTGGGTTTCAATAATGCAAAAGTTGGAAGCCCTAAATCATTGGTGTGAGTCTGTGTGAACGAGGCGCTTCACGTTGAAAGAAAAGGTCTTTTCGACCCCCGAGACAAAGGAACAAGGATCATATGGCCTCTTCAGAGTCTTTAGTTGAAAGCAAGAAGACAGGGATACTCGAGAGATTGAAAAGGTCTCTGCGTTTTCTAGTCCAACCGCTCGTACAGATTCCAGCACCCGTGAGGCTTCCAAATTGTCCACCCCGGACTCCTTTTTGAAGTTCCAACGCAAAAGCGCCCTTACCAGGAATGCTGCCAGCTCTCCAGATCCACTGTTTCGGAATATCGGAAGAGCCCGAACCAAGCTTCAAATTGAAAAGTTGTAACCGCTGCCCTCATCAGGAAGTGCTGCCGATTCTCCACTTCAGCCGCCCGGTCGTTCCGGTACTACCGGGGAACTCTCAGGTACCCGGAGCGTTCAACGCTCCTAACCCAAAAGCTTTAAACCGCTGCCCTCATCAGGGGACACCTTAGCAGGAGCGCCTAACCCTCAAATTAAAATTTTGAAACCAGTGCCCTCACCAAGAATTGCTGGCGGCTCTCCAGTTCTACTGCCCGGTCGTTCCGGTAGTACCGGGGCACCCGGACCTCCAGGACGTCCGGACCCAGCTTCAGGTCCACCAGGGTGTCGTCCAGATTGACCACGTCGCGTCCGTCGTTCAGTGTCACCAGCCACTGGGCGAAGAAGGGGCGAATTCTAGGTTTTCGCGTTGAAGGTTTTCTTCGATATGTACGTTTTCAAATTCTAGGACTGTATGGACCGAAGTCTGAGCTTCAAGGTCGTTCCTTTAGCACAACCATTTTGGGAGTTGTAAGATTGGAGATGATAATAGTTTCGTTCTTTCTCTCATTGGTCGCCTTTGGTATCACGACAGCGTTTGGGCGAAGGTCCGACTTGACAAACGCGCTAACGATCCTAAAGAAGTGGCTGTCAACGTAAACATTTCGACAGGCTCGATTAGAACGAGCAACAGTCTTCTCCTGGAGTTACCAACCAGTCGCTGAGTCACACACCCCACGTCTTCCACTCACTCTAGCTCAAAGGGTGCCGTCGTTTTGTCTTTTCGTTATGCTGTGTGAAGTTCTCAACGGTTTGGATGCGTTGGCAAGATAGGGGTCCGTCTGGAACGTACCGCTTTCACCTCCAGTAGCCGCCCGATGCACGCCTCCAGCGCTTTCTTCAGGTCCAGCCTTTTCTGGGGATGCACCATCTGCGGAACCAAAAAGCCTGACTCCGGGGTCACAATCGCCTTCAACAAATCGTAAGTTTGGACAGAGTCTAGGACCAAAGGTTAAAATACGAACCAAAGAATTGTCTACGAGTGTGTTCGGAAGATTTTGGGCAGCGCCTCAGAACTTCATAACCATATGCGAAAATGCATTCAAGCATCTAGACAAAAATCATGGGGACTTGCGCGAGCAAGGAACAACATGTGTGCTCGTTACCTGGTCGTACGACTCCTCCAGCTTGTTGTAGATCTGCAAGTACTTGATGTACATGCACGCGTAGTCGGTGAGCGTCTGCGGGGAAGGGAGAGGCCAGCGTTACAACAGGACACGAATTGAGCTTTTGCATTGCAATTTGCCAGTCAGACAACGACGTTTCCTTTCTAATCAAGAAACTCCGTTTCATCCTATATTTGATATTGTGAAGTCGTTCTTTTCCTTCCCCTGCTGTTCCTTCGCCGTCCAAAATCTTTTCTCCCCCTGCCCCGTTTCATTGTTGCTCTATCCGTCCCTTCCTGCGTCTTTTCTTCTGTCCTCCCTCAAGCTTCTCAACAGCCCAATTCCATCAGCAGCTGAGGCATGTCGACCGTCTCTACACTGTCTTCTTATCGTCCAGAAAGTAAAACTGCCCACGCCGCTGTGCAGGCAATCGATCATCGTTATCCATCTGCGTCAGATTGACTGTTTTTTCTGTAACAGCGGCCCATAAGTGGTTTCTTGATTGCCGGCTCACTTTACTTTTAGTGAGTCTCGACGTGATTTGCTGATACCCTGCTCCCAGTATCCGTCAGGGCGCTAATGCCTTCTGACCCAAAATCGTTCTCCACATTCTTCCTAACTTCGTACTTCCTTGCTCTGCGCATCGTGTGTATTTACTATTGCACGAGCGGTCCTTCCTTGCTGCCACTCGCACAAAGCATCGAGTCCGAGCTCTTCAACAGATATAATTGCAGGGTACGGAACAGAGTTTCTGTCTTTGGCGGGATTGCTGCACGCATCCTCGATCCAGTTAAGCCCGTATTGACCGTAACCACACAGCGGCAAGTCCATAGGGGACTTTGACGAGGATGTAACGAGCTGGCATGCCAATGACTGCCCATTACCATGTCCAAACTTCAAGCAACTGTTTCAAGCTGGCTGCTCCTGTGGAAAAGGCGTGCATCTAAGCTCATTGAACGTCAAAGGAGGTCAAAATTCAGCATCTACATGTTCATGCATCCGTCAACAAACCTTCTTCAAACGACCTTTCATCGAACTCGTACCCTTGATTGCAAGAAAGAGGGGCCCCATAAAACAACCCGCTTTGACGAGATAAGAGCAGGGTCGGAAAGAAGTAGCGCAGATGGTGACTTTACCTGCGGGGCCAGAGCGGGGTCCTCCGGAGCCTCCGCCTCTAGTTGCTCCAGCAGGTCCGTCATGGCCTCCCGCCATTGCAGGTCGAACGTGCTGAACACAGGTCAGAATGACGTCAGCAGTAAGCGGTTGGTGGTTATGCCCTGATTTGCGGCGATCACAAAGCCAGAGGCTTAAGACTTGGAGTCAGCTTCAATTTGCTAAAAGCTTGTGAGACACACGACAATGAATCGAAAAACATGCTGATGGGGACTGTTGATCAGGTGAAATATACATGGTGCCAGTAGTCAGACTGTTGGTTGTGCAAGTCTAGCTGAGCTCTCCAGTGGGTGGAACTCCCATTCAGCAAGCTTTCAACGTTTGCTGCCCATCCGAAGCTTTAGGCTTCACAGCATTGCCTCTGTAGAACGTCTGCAAGGTAAAGCTAAGGTGCTGGAGGTCAGGGGGATTACTTGCGCTCATTGCTTACATGTTTGCCATGATGCTTGTCGCTGTTGCTAGGCTGTAGATCCCTTTCAGCCCCGCTTCAGAGAAGCAGATACTATACCTATGCGCAACCTGATCTTCGGCCGCCTTGTGGCATTGCTCTTCTAAGCGCTGGCGCCCTGAGAGACTCACTAACCCAAGTAGCAGATCTTCTGACTTATTCCGCCCGCCAATCAATGTGGCATAGAAGCGGTCTGTATTGCCTCCTTCAAGACTTCAAAGGCTTGTTGCTGTGCCTCAAGACTTGCCCAATGCCACGCTTCTCGACTGCCTCTGAAGTAGGTCTAGACTAGCAGTCACGGATTAAGCAGACTCAAAATCTTTTGCAGTACTTGATCCTGGTTACGATGCCTTTCTCTTGCGCATGACCCACGACCTCTCCAACTCAGCTATCTCAAAACGAGGCTCTCTGCGGTGCATGCACACCTATCACACGATTGACTCATTTGTAACGTTTCAAAAGCGGACAGCAAGCCAGCATTCACAAGCTCATTGCCATCTGATTGCGGCTTCACATATCGGAAGGGCTCTTCCATGGAGGAAAGGGGACTGCATCAATCGTGACTTGCGACCCTGATTGGAAATTGGCCCTCATGATCGCCCTTTTCCATCTCATTTTCCTTCATAAGACTAGTTGGGATGGGACTGGATAGCCGGCCGAAATTGAATATCTAGCTAGGTAGTGCATGATGCAGCCCGCACTTAGCAGTGTTGATCAGCATATGTGTGCGTCAGTACACAAGGTCCAAGTCCATCATACGCTACCGGTACCTAGTTAGATGGGCAGAGTGAGTCGCTCTTCTTCAAGTCATGCTTCTGGGGCGAGGAAGTACGTCGGTACGTCACAGTGGTTTACATTCTCCGCTCATAGAATAGGATCAGCAGATGTGTATTCGGAGTTTGAGAAACAGGAAACGTCGACTTTCCGATGCACGCCCCTCGACGCAAGAAACAAACTTTGTGGCCGTTCGATACGCTATTACAGGCTACATCGACGGTTCCCAAGCTGACTAGTCTGAGCACTGCTTGACCGCGAGATAGGAGTTCTGCGAATGAGGCAGCTGGTATAACATTGCAGCTCTAGAGTCTCGGACAAAATCTGGCGCACTTGTGTGGATTCTCATGTGAGCTGGTCTCTGCAGATACAAGGCCAAATGCTGAGGAGCCGTCGGCGGGGGCTTTCAGTGTCTACCTCTTCCAAGGTGTTGTAGCTTTGTTCTAGTTCTTCGCATAAAAGTTTGACTTGGTTATGTTTTACAAACATGGGAACTTTGTGCCCCAGGTGATTCAGTAGAAAAGAAGTGATACGATTGAAGTCAAGTGTGCAGGATATCATAAGCCTCAAGCATCTTGGTGGCAAGCAAGGATGCCTTCTCTGGCAGTGCCGTATTTGCGGCAGGTTCAGGCAAAGCTGCGCATCGAGATGCACCCCTCGCAAGCGGAGGACGTCAAGGTGGCGGTGCGCGAGCACTTGAACACCCTGCTGATGCGGTAAGTCGCAATGCTGACTGCAGGCAGTATGCTGCTCAGCACTGCGTCCTGGTAATGGTGCGAGAAATTCAGAATGTGGCGCCAGAAAGTTTGCCACAACCTGCAGGCCTTCCATTCCGCAGGAAAGTGCTCTAAACCCGAGCTTCCAGCAGTGCTTAAAGTTCTAACTTCTTTTGCAATATTGCTCTATGGAGGTATTCGACACCAGTTGGAAACCTGCCATCTTGTATGGCGATGGAAGGGTGGTCGAGGAACGCTTGCAGTCAATCATACAGTCTTTTTATGAAATGCGCACCATCTTTGATGTTTGGAGGATTGTTTTGGAGATAGCAAAGGTAGTGCCGCTTGCTTTGACAGTTGCGCAGAGTACCACTTACACTCAGACCTCAGAGTCGATACAGGTCATTGTAAACCCTAATGTGAGGGTCATTTATCAAACCCTGATTTGGGTTGGTAACCCTGCTCATCACATCATGCGCCCCTAGCATACTTTGCAATTGACTGCAATCTTTCACGCTTGCAGTCGGTGCTCCTCTTGTTGCAAAGAGACATGGCCTACTTATTTCATTTTAAAAGAATGGTCATTCTAGGCAGAAGGTCCAGGCTGGTGCATTTCTTTATCCTACTAATCGAAGTGTGTATGCCCCTTGACTCCATCCAAGTAGGCCAATCCATAACATGATGCCATTCCTTTCTGGCGCCACATAATGCATCGGCCGTAACGTAAAGGGCCTGCCTTCACTAGCGAATCAACTTATTTCTGGATCGCTGCGGCCCTCAAGCCTACCTATGTCACCACATCAGCCCCCACTTGGTCTTTTCAAGGCAGTCCAAACTTTGTCTGGATCCGGGGATAGCCTCCTCTGCTTGACGCTCAGGGTCTGGACCATTTTGCTCTGATGTACGGACGACAGACAATTCCTGCTTCGGCCAATTTTGCTAGTTGCCCTACTAAGTAGGCACGCCCATTAAACGTCCCAAGGCCTGACTAATCCATTTCTCTCAACAAAGGAGAAGCGACGATCACAGGGTTGCTTCTTGTTGGCAGGTATAATGAGGAATTTGGGGGAGTCGTTCTCGCATATTCGGACGTGGTTCTCTTGGGAAGAAAAGGCCGCATCCTTACAACACTTTCTCCGTACATCCACCTCGACCTGACCGCCAGGCTGCTCGTGTTCGCGCCGGCTGCGCAGAACGTCCTAGGTGAGCGCCCGGTGTTGAGAGAAAAACTTTTTATTAGTTTCTGATGGCGTGATGACCTACCGACGGGGGATAGATTAGACCCTGACTAATGGTTTCAATAAGGGTACCAAGATCCGCTTTTCGATCAGGGCGTCTTTGTTTTGTTTGTTCTGTCAGTTTTTCATAAGCAGAGTCAAACCGCGCCGAGCAGTGTTGACATATCGATGCCCAGGACCCCTTTCTGCTCATCAGCAAAACCGCAAAAGGCTCCGAAACGTCAGATTTTTGAGACGCAAAAGCATTTTCGGTTTCCTTGTCTTCGTCATCCCTGTAAATCTCGTTTGTTTCATAAGTGGAGCCAAAGACTGGTTCAAAACGGACGAGCAGACTTAGCAAAGTCTGAAAAGGATGTAGGACCACCTGCAAAGCGAGGGGCGGAGTCCTTTTGAAATCTTTGTGGTTGCTTCCACACAGATCCCACTTACCTTTTGTTTCTCTAGCTCGTTCGTCACCGTCCCTTTTCGCTTGGGCAGGGTCGCTCACGCCTCTCCTTTCTGTGGCAGCTGGCTCCGTCAACAAAGTCGGCCCTGCGCACATTGGTCTATTGGCGCTCGGCGCTTTCAATGCTTCCATCCGTGCAGACGAGATCGGGGACGCCTTTCAGTATGATCCAGACGTGAGTCGGCCGAGCTTTGGCTTTCTCGGACGTAGTAGTGAAAAAGGACGTCTTTTACTCACCCGTTTATTGGAGAAGACCCTCTGACTCATTTTCTGAGCACACCAGTTGGTTCCGTGATTCACAGACGCCTTTCTGTCTGAACCAATCATGAATAGGGAAAACCCGCTGTGAGGCCGCTGCATTCATCGCTTCGTCGAATCAGAAGCATCCTTTTCGGTCCGGGGGAACGCAGACGAACATCCTCCGAAGGCTGTCTTGCTCCTTCAAGGCCGAAGGACGATACTGCCGCAACCACTCTTGTTGAGGGCTATTTGTGTCTTCAAAGTCTAAGGACGTTACTTCCGCAAACACTCTCGTTGAAACTTATTGTTATTTGGGCCAAACCGTCTTCGACTTTCAGGTTCTCTTGTGTATTGCGGCGGTTTATCCTGGCTCCCTTCTGTAAAGACAGTTGAGAGTGGTTAAGAGAGCCGATTCACTTACACTAACCGTTCGATCGTCTGCAGGCCTCAGCATGGGTCGACGGCAGCTCACGCATAGCGGTCGGGACGGAGGTTGACTTTGCGGTTGACAGGTGCGTATCTGCACGGTCAGGCGGACTTTCCGAATGGCTGGACTTTGAGTCCTCACCTTTGTTTCTTTGAACGCACTTCACGGTTGGGATCTGATTGCCAGCGATGCAGCAGTCGCCGAGAAGATTTTTGCGCGCAAAGGTCTTCGGTAACCATGGAGAGGGCTGCATGATCTAGGATACCACTCTCTGAATGCTTGGGTTCCGAAATAACGCTCGTCTGACGTGGAGCCCAATCGCAGGATTCAACGTTTCTTAAAGAGCTCTGCGGTCGAAGACTAGCGGTATTTAGCTTGCTGTGTGCTGCTGCAGAAAGTGATTGTACTTTCTGTGCGCACCAGAATGCAGTTTACAATGGCCATGTACTATAGACGTGTGCTTCTGTGACCAAGCGCACAGCAAGCGCTGCTTCGAGTCGACATCCAATCTGAAAAACCATTATCGCATCAATGATCTTTTTCCAGAGAGTATCCCGACCCGCTTGAAGGCGACCAACGAACCTGCTCTGGTACCGCTGCCCCAACCGTTTTGGTTTCGCGTATCTGCATCCGCTCATCGCTAGGCCCTGGGCGACCGGATAAAGAGCGTACTACCCATTGTCGGATTTATGGAGGACTTCCTGAAAGACATTTCATCTTACCTTTGCCAGGGTGCATGACGAGGGCAACTTCCTGAGTCTCTCCGGTTCTTTGCTGCTGCCCGGCACCGGTCCCCGCACGTTGTCCGAAGCTAGGTAAGCAGTTTCACACTCCATGAGCAAGGCCGATTGTTTCGCCCCCACAGCCGGAATAGACACGAGAAGCCCTTTGAGGTTTGCGTGGCTCCCGGCGCCTGCTAATTCATGAAAGCACATGCGATCTACACAGTGATCGGCAGTGTGCTTATATGGTTTCGAGTCCTTCGGATCTGCGCAAGCTCCTACAGTAGTATCGACTTCTCCCCCCAATTTTCACTATGAGATATTTGGTGCTTGTTTAAGCAGGGAGGCCGTTGACGGGGCCGCAGATGCTACCCAAAGTGCATCCAAACGGAAGAGGAAAAAGGCGGAGCAGACACCAGTAACGAACGGCCTACCGAAGGAAAAGGATCCTATTGCCGTAAGAGAACCTCAGGAAGGTCAAGCGGACGAGCCTGCGGGGAATGGAACGAAGAAGAAGAAGAGGAGAAAAGCGAAAGAGGGGGAATCGCAGGAGGGTACTTCTGGCAAAGAAGTGTCACAAGAGTTTCGGAATTTTGTTGAAGAGCATAAACGAAAGGGAAAGGACAAAAGCAAACTTTGATACGGCGACCACCAAAATCTGCTCGTCTCTTGCAACATCGCATTCTCGCATGCAGCAATTTCATAAATAGTTGCATGCGTCGGAGCTTGGCCAGCTTAATTTCCAAATGATTATTGCATGCATTCAAATTATAGCAGCAGTGGGCTGTGACATTCCGAATCCAGTGGTAGCCGTTTGATCATAGCTACCGTACTTTGAACTCCATAGATCGAATCAGAATGCTCAGATCTTCAGTATATGTGGATTGTGCAATTGAATCAGCAAAGGAATGATTTAGCTGTGGGCCCGGTCGGGATATCGTGTGAATCTCTTGATCAATCAGGCCCGATCCTCCTCAAGCCGGTGCAATTAACACGATACTGGTGACCATATGTGACCTTGGGGCGCATGTGATTTGAGGTTAGGTACCCGGGCATTATTAGTCTATTATAGCTATATAGGATCCTCCCTGAGACCAACACGTACCTAGAATGACGCGCCCGGCGCAATGCCGCAAGCTACCCGCAGACGTATATGCTGTACATACCTATCCAACACTGAGTACTTGCAATTTTCAAATTTGAACAGGAAATGTTACCGGTAGGTTTGATGTAAGCAACGGTCGATTGAGGTACGTGCCCGGCCCAATTTCATCCCAGGGGCCGGGACCCGAGATCCAATCCACAAATGGCACAATGTGCAAACCCGGGCCCGGTGCCCAGGCCCAGGGCCCAGGCCCAGGCTGTAACCATGTGATCGAGTCGTACGGCTTCGATCTATGCAAATCTGCATCCACGGCTATCGAACCTACAGAATCGGTTTTGCCCGCACCAGATCAGCCCCGTCTGACACAAACGGAGGACTTCTCGTGCAACGAGGACCGCTGAGCCACAACTCGTGCTGCACGCTCATTGGTGGACAGCTTGATTTGCATGCCAGCCTGGACGCTGCCACCACACATCCGATGGTCGAAGATCTCGCAGATTCTTGATCATGGAAGAAGAAGGTTGAACAATGAAATCTATGATCATCATGATTTCGGACAAAAGATGGCCGAACCTCCTGACTTTGTGAACGAGCGGCGGACAGTCCGATTACATTCCACCGGTCAGATTTGCGGCACAAATCTACACCTGCCCTGGTTCTAGAGTCTAGATGCCGGCCCGGGGAGTCGGACATGTGTCTATGGAAGATATTATAGTGAATTCACTGTTATATTCTCAAGAAGAAGCAGAATGTCAGTACCGGTAGGCAGAAAATGGCGCCAAGGGAGGTAGGAGCATGCATCCTCAGGCTGTGCCACTAGTTTCGTGGGCGACGGTGAACGGAGAGGTTCCTGCAGCGTGCAGGTTGTGACCATGCGGCAATTGCATCTGCTATGGCTCCGATTGCCCTCGAAGCCAGCAGCAGGGCCTGCACCGCGGCTCTAGTTTGCGCCTCGGAAGAGATGCCGGGGCTGGACCCGTCGTTAAAGTTGGGGACGAGGGACTCGATGGATTCCGGGGATAAGCGACTCATCTCCATGGCAGCGAGCCCGGGGCGTGGCGCAATGAAAGTAATCGTTGTTGGGGGGACTCAGAGTGGGGTAGGGAAGACGTCAATTGCCGTCGGGCTGATGGCCGCCTATCGGAGGAGGGGCCTGCGTGTGCAGCCGTTCAAAGTGGGGCCTGGTAAGAAGACTTGCAAGCTACGGCACGGTTGAAGTTGGTAATGGTCGAGAGCGTATCTAGGGAGTCGAACGAGGCAATTGGGGAAAGGGAGGCTCTAGCTCTCTGTCTGGTTTGAGGATGGAGCTGGGTGTACTGGCATAGCTATTGCTACAGCTGGGAAACAACTGACATAGCAGAAGATTGTCATTTTGCATGACAGGCTGGCTGTGGTCTGCTCGCAGTGTAGATCTGGAAATCTGGATTGCATTGGAGGAAGGAAGTCTAATTCTTGCAAGAAGAATGCACCAAGTGCCCAGTGCAGCTCAATAAGACCACCACTTTTGCATCTGTCTACTTTTCTGCATGAGTTTACCACGTTGAACACGGGCCCTTGTCTTTGAGACAGACCTGAAGTGATGGTTGAGCAGCTTTGTTATCGTCAATGCTAGCTGTAGATCTTACATAACAATCTGCCCAAAGAGGGAAGAAAGGGTTTCACACGGTGGCGAGCTCAAGCTCAGGGAACTCTGCTTTTGTCTAAATTTTGCACCAATTGAGGGATTTTGTCGTGAAGCCCCTCGTCCACCTGACTTTTAGTTCTCCTCTTTCATGCTTCTGTGGAACAGCTTTTCTTTGAACTGGCCGGCCGATAGCTGCAAGCACGTCCTCATTTAGATGCTTGACACCTGTCGCCCTGATATCTCACCTCGAGGACAGCTGGCATGAGTTTGACAGCTGTCACCACTAGCATCAAGCTTTCTGCCCGCATCTTATGCGCAGGTTGCATTGACAGCTGTTGCAATCACATTGACACCGGTTGCCCCTTGCATTGACACCATGTCATTTGACACCTGTCGTCGCCCGCACTGAACCCCTCTGCCACCTGTTGCTTCGCAGATTTCCTAGACCCGATGCACCACAGGGCTGCAACGGGTCGCGACTCATTGAACCTCGACGGCTGGATGCTTGACCGGGAAACGAATCTTGCGTGCTTTTCTCGGTGTGTTCCGGACACAGACATAGCCATTGTGGAGGGCGTCATGGGTTTGTTTGACGGGCGGGACGGGAAGACGGAGTCGGGGAGTACCGCTGAGATGGCAAAAATCATTGGCGCGCCGGTCGTGCTGGTTCTGGACTGCTGGGCGCTTGCGCGGAGCGCCGCGGCAATCATTCACGGCTACATGACGTTTGACCCTGCACTCGATTTCGCCGGCGTGGTTTTCAACAAGGTGAGGGGCAGCTTGTCTGCATCTGGGGCTGCGGGCACACGAGTCCTGAGCTTGGGTGGCGATTTGGCGGAGGCTTTCAAGTCAGATTGGAAGCATTCGATATTGTAAATGTTGTCTTTGACAGAATGAGTTGCGGTTGCAGAAGGGCGCTCGTTGCCTGGTACAAAATGTTTGATATTACTCTTAGGAGCTGCGGTTGCAGAAGGGCGCTCGTTGCCTGGTACAAAATGTTTGATATTACTCTTAGAATGTGTCTGACAGAGTTTGAATGGACTTTGAACAAGCAGAGCGGACTGAATGCACAACCAGTGGAAGCTAGACTAGTATATGGGCCAAAGAGAGAGCTGGGGAATCTTTAGATTGGAGATTGGGCAGTACGTTCCAGAACGTTGCGATTGGCAGCAGGGCAACGCAATGCAAGTTACCCTGAAAAGAGGAATTCAGGGCCTCATGCATTCCGGAGGGCGGCGATTGAGTGCGTCGTCCACCCCATTAGGGTTTTGGGTTCCGAATTCAGAAGGGAGCAGAAAGCAGCGTACGATGGGCGCTTGAAGAAACGACAGTAAATGCAGCGTTGGTCGAGAAGCTCGTCCTTGCTGGAGCCAATATATCAGTAGAACCAGGAGCTGCACTGATAAGTAGCCGTCAGTTGTTGGGGGAATAAAACTCAAAAGGAGGTGCCGGGGCACTCGACAGTGCTGGGGCACTCGACCAAAGCGTTTGCCAGCTGTCTGTTTCAGTGGGGGCCAATCAGGGTGGCAATTCTAAGCTGCGGCCTCGCCTTTTCAGGTGGGAAGCGATGCACACACGACGTGGCTGAAGGATGCGGTTGAGGCCGCTGACGTCACCGCAACAGTGCTGGGTGGCGTCCCGAAGGTTCCGGAGCTTGTGCTCCCTGAAAGGCACCTTGGGCTGCACATGCCGGGTAAGATATTTGGACTCGTCTGGTGATTTTCTGAGGGTTTGATCAGGAGGAGGAGTGAGGTATTTAACTGGAAACCTTGCGGGGTTTGGGGAAGTCTCAGAGATGGAGGAAGGTTATAGAGGGGGTTTTGGAGGTCTGGGTGCTACGAGAGTGCTTAGGCGCCTTGAAGGTTAATAAATGAGAGGTTCTGCGCAGTGTCAAGGATCTTCAGTTATGATTGTAGAAAGAGTGGGGGATTTTGAAGCATCCTCCAAGAAATACTTGAAACAAAAATGGCATATACCATATAAATGTGTCTTTGTCATGGTCGTTCAACTTGGAAGGGGCGCTGTAAACGACCACTCAGGTGATTATCGAGCGGGTCCTTCCTTGTGCTGGATTTTCTGGTTTACCATACCTCTGCTTTATGTGCGCCTCCAATGTGAGCCGCCTTTCGAGTCAGGTTTGATGATCAGACAATGGCCAGGGCGTCTTCTGAAGGTCATAGTGCAGAATATCGTAGGTATGTTTGTCCCTGTTGACAACCTAGTCTATCTTGGCCAGGTCAATATATCTGCTGCCGGTCGATGAACATCAGTCTATTACTCTGATTGCATCTTATCCGTTTGCTGTGAAAACACTTGCCCACCTAGCCATGTCAAACCTTCCTGCCGGTGAAACCCAACTCGGAGTACTCCCCCCTGACCCACTTCTTAACCACGCTCTTGACCACTTGACCTGCATCTCGTTTATTCAAGCCGTTTCTTGATCTCATTCCTGACCAGGCGACGAAGGGGTCCCAAGCGGCCAAATGGAGTTGCATCGTGGTAAGTCTGGACTTGGGGTTATATCTCTGACCCAGTCTATAACCATGTTCTTGACCATATTCCTAACCAGGCGAGGAGGGGGTCCCCATCGACCACATAGAAAAGCTCGCCGACCTGCTAGAAAAGCACGTCGACCTCGACGCGATCCTCCAGCTGGCGGGCACCGTCGAGGCGCGCTCGCCCACGAGCACTGACGTTAGCGCTGATGTCAGCAACGGCGACCCTGAGAGCCCAACGTTCGCTCCTGCAAATGGGCTGCCGCCCCTCCTGCCGTCGCCGTCAAAAATGGTCCGGATTGGCGTCGCACGGGACGACGCGTTTTGCTTCTACTACCACGAGAACCTGGCTCTCTTGCAAGGTGAGAGATCAAGATGGTGTCACTGTGGGTTATAGTTGGGGTTTGGTTGACTACAGAGTTGACTATAGAGTGTAGAGAGAGGCGTGGTGTATGTTTTGGGTGAATCGCTCGAACAGACCAGAAACGTGTCTTGTGCAAGTGCATCTCACAGTGGCAGACCTTTGGTTCCTGGTTGATCGAAGCGGTACGAAGCAGTGTTTTGTGACTTAGAACCTTAGTGTTTCTTTGCCAAGGACATGAAAAAGCTCGTGCGGGAATCAACATTCCCTGCTATAGAAACATACGATGTTAGATTCTTGACGCCCATGCCCGTGATGTCAGCCACATGGTGTGTGTCGTCAGCGCATTGCTTATACCCATCATTCTTATCTCTGTTGCAGCGGCGGGGGCCCAGCTCGTGTACTTTTCCCCCCTGACCGACGCCCTTCCGACACGCATCGACGGTCTCTACTTTGGGGGGGGCTATCCCGAGTTGCATGCTCCCCAGCTAGCTGGAAACACGCGGATGCTGTACGCGATCCGAGCGTTTGCTGCTGCTGGGGGGGTGATATACGGAGAGTGCGGGGGGCTAATGTATCTCTCCCAGGGGCTAGAAACGGCGGGCGAACGGTACCCCATGTGCGGGGTGTTCCCGTTCTGGACGCGCATGGTGCAGAAAATGATGATGGGCTATGTCAAGGTGGGTTTGTAAGACTCAATGTTAGCCAAACCTAAGAAAAGCATCTGCGGTCATCGTTTGGTTTGCCTATCGGCTGCTTGAGATGTACCCCAGCAATTTGTTACAAAGCGCTTGAAGGGAAGACTGAGGATACGCCAGCGGTTTCCGCTTGGAGCCAGGATTGACGGTCGATTGTATCCTGCTAAGCCAAATCAACGCTATCACCAAGGTTCTTTCGCAGAAAAGGGGAGGTTTGATCAGTTTTGCAAAGAATCCCATGTGTAGCCAGAAAGGGAAGGTAGAAAAGGCGCGATGTAGCCCTGTTCTATTCTATAATATAAGCACCTTTCGTCGAAGCTCCCAGTCGTAAAGCAATCCTGACCCAGCCAATCCTCCGCTGCCAGGTGGCGCCGCGGGACAACTGCGTTCTCTTCCCCGCGCACTTGAAGGAGCTGCGGGGACAGGTGTACCACTTTAGCGAGGTCATTGAGGACGAGAGCCCCGGGAAAATGACAGTCCCGGGGGGGCTGCCTCTGCCCGTCGAGCAGGCTTACACTGTTAGCTTGCAGTACCCCGGGTAAGTTCTGCCGGTTTCTCTCGTATTTGTTGCCTGGCTGCATCATTCCGGTGTTATGAGGTGCTCTGAAGGTCGGCTTTTGGGAACCGTAGTCGGCTCACTCTCATGGTGCACTTTAGATTCGGACTTGCGGTTGTGACGGCCGTACCCCAGGTTAAGTGCACCCGCTTCTTTCGTGGTTCTTGCCAGACAGTGATTAGCATCATGCAATGTGGTAACCTCGAGGGTAGCTTTTGGGCTATGGGCGGGTCTATCTTTTGTACTTTTCATGGTCGGAGTTATGTTTGTGATGGGAGTCCCCCGTGTAAGTTTTACCGGAATCTTCCTGACTCTTGCCTGACCGTCAGTCCATTGTAGCAATCTACTCCTGAGATCGGTGTTCGGGAGTAAGGACGGACTGATTGTGAACTGCGTTCTGTAATCCGTCTGGCGATTGTGACGTGGCGACATTGTTTCACTGACAGGACTCGAGAGGCTTCGAAAATTGCCAGCTCGTTGTGTTCAGCAACTTTTAGTGTGTCATTTTGCCCGTTATGTCCGTGGACGTTTGCGCAGCATACGTCGGCTGAAAGTCTCCCAACAAAATTTGACGCAACTCAATCCCATGTGCTGAAAAGCACTCTATTCCAACGGCTACTACTCTGACCAGCTAGCAAAGATCACCCCTCATTTTCCCTGCGCGTACCAAGCGTCCTCGATCTGCCTCCTAACAAGGTACCAGCAAGCCAAAGGCGTACCCATCTGGGGAAGGAACGACAAAAACTTACCTAAGCACTTTTCGTTTACAGAGTGGAGCCGATCCTGGAAGGGTTCCAGATCGGCAACGTGCTGGCGAGCTACGTGCACCTGCATTTCGGAAGCAACACGGGGGCCGCCACGTCGTTCGTGGAGAAGTGCAAGGAGGACACGTCAAAAGCGGCGGCGGTCGCCGCAGCAAGCGCCTCGGCAGTGGCAGCGGCAGGTGGGCGAAGACACAGGATGTTGAGGCTGCGTTGTTTTCGGGGGCTTGCAGGACGTCGCTGTCTCCTCGTGTTGCTGAAAGATCTGGTTTAGATGCCGTTTTGAGGTCTCCGTTTGGCTTCTCGTCTTGCTACTTTTGTTCACACTCTTTGCGACACTCTTTCCGCGGTAGCTTGATGCTGCTTGTTCTTCGGAATCTCAGTCAGTTCATCTTTTCGACCTGCGAACCCGCTTTTACTTAGTTTCAGATGGGGGATCCTTGGTGGTCCTGCATTCGCTCACCGCCAACTCTGGGTCAGATGAGGCAGCTGTAACGATATAGAGACTAAGCTGAAGTGCATCAACTTCTGATTCTTCTGAAAACGAAGCTCGACTTCGCCCCCAGGTGCCGAGGCTGCTGCCGCTGCTGGGGCCGCCGCCGCCGCCGCCGTGCATGCCGCTCTGAACGAGTCCGACTCCAACCAACTCGTCCGATATTCGTCCGAAAACGGCGGGCCCGCTCTCCTCAAATCCATCGTAAGCGCTCCGATCGTGACCGAGATCCACGACCCCCTGATCCGCGAACTCCGCAGCTCACGCGAGTTTTCGGACGGCCGGGGGATCCCTCCGGACGTTCCGGGCAGGCATTCGGACACCCGGGCGAGCCATCCGGACGCTTCGGGCCGGCATGCGGACGGCCGGGGGGGCTATTCTAGCTGGGACTGGGCGCGGCGGGAGAGCGACTCGGGGCCGCTCTACCGGGTCGACTCGGCGCCGATGTCGCGCGCGGGGTCGATATCGAGAAACGGGTCGGTCGACTGGTCGCGGAAACCGGTGTCGCGGGCCGCGTCCAACGAGTGGACGAACGGGTTCTCGAACGGGGGCCTCCGGGGATCCCCCTTGAAGGGGACACGTGGCAGCTCGGACGGGAGCTCGGACGGCGGGTCGCATCTGCGGACGTCGGCGGAGTTGGACGACGAGGGGGGCTCCGATTCTTCGGACGATTTCGGGCCCCCCAGCACGTCGGGACGGTATCATAGAATCAGTCCGCGGAGTTCGTTGAACGGGCGCGAGTGGGGCGGAAGCGGAACGTGGCACGGTCCGATGACGGTGTACGGGGCGCCGAGGCGGTTGCCCGTGAAGATCGTGTCGTTGCTGCCGCATGCAACGGAGATCCTTATGCACTTAGGTGAGGCAATGTCTGATCACTGGCTGACTTGCAGGTTACAGAGAGGAAAAGAAGTATTGCTAGAATAAAAATGGATCACAGTCGCTTCACGCGGCCGGGAATGCCGAAACGGCCGAGATTTCACCATCATCCCCAGCTTATGCGACAACTCAATGCTAACGTATCTCTCCTGCAGACTGATCGGGGCACTATCGAAAGGCAAGGAGTAACGTAGGGCTAGTGAGGACGAGCCTGAGAAGCTCCAATCTTTGTCCTTGTTCTCTCTCACACGAGAAGGCAGTGCTACCGGCATCTAGGACTGTGCAACTTCCCCTCGGGCAGGTGCTTTAGGGCGAGGTTCCATTGGATCCTAGAGACATTGCCCTTACAAGATCTGTTAGGGATAGCTCACGAAGTTTTCAAGCCTCCGTTTGCTTGCCCCTCTTGCAGGAGTAGGCGATGGCTAATAGGCATCTCGGACCTGTGCGACTTTCCTTCCGGCAGGTGCCTCGAGAAAGGACAATCTAAGTGGGTTCGAAATATGGAAACAAAATCAAGCAGAAGCTTAAGAGACTTCTGAACAAGCGTCTCTCTGGTTTCCCCCTTGCAGGAGTAGGCGATAGGCTAATAGGCATCTCGGATCTGTGCGACTTCCCGCCTGGCGTGCACACCCGGGGGCGGCACATCGTGTGCAGAAGCAAAATCGACAGCTCCAAAATGAGCTCCAAGGAGGTCGACGCTAAGGTGGGAACCGAGTTTTAAGAGTTGCAGGATCTAGAGGCCGATGGTTTTATTGTTTGAGAGTTTCAGGGTTTAGTGCTTTATGGTTCATCTGTTTATTGTTGTAGGGCATCTGTTCATTGTTGTAGGGTATCGCGCCCTTAAAAGGTCGTTGCCAAGGTGGTACACTCAGCGCTCGTCTTGGCATCTCTTTGTGGCTTCATCGCCGAGCGGCGGTCGTTTTTCCTCCTTTGTTTCCGAATTTGTCGTCTTTTCGATCAACTGGTGCTTGGAAGTTTGGAATGTAATTCGTTAAGACAGCTCGACGATGAGCTCCAAGGAGGTCGATGCAAAGGCGGGGCACACCGGGCGATTGGAACATTTCTTCGGATTGTGTTACCTGTTTTGAATGGTATTCCAAAAGGTCTGGATCGAATCTTGTTGTGCTGCTTCTCTGCAAACGACCACTTTTACGCTCAGGAAATTCTTGAGTTGCCATCGTTTTCGCCGATTCATACACGTAGCGTCCTTTCTAAAGCCAGGTCGCTTCGATTCATCTACATGAAACAAACTTTGCAAGCACTTGGAACGTTTCCAAAAGCCGTTCAAGCTGTGAGTGCGGTTCCGGTATCCTCTAAAATCCATTTGAACAAGGGCTCTCCTAAATCAACGCATTCTTATCAAAAGCCCCCACGTGAAAAAAATACAAGCTCTGCATCCGTTGCGCTCGTGCAGTTACGCACCCAGGTGCACAAAAAAAGCGTGTAGAAAGTCGAATCCTAGAATCTCAAACACACAAGAACGCTAACCCTAGATCCTAAAATCTCCACCTTATTCCTTGTGCAGTTACGCACATTCAAGGAGCGCAAGGAGACCCTGTTGAGAATCCTAACCCCAGAACTTCAAAGACGAGAACGCTAACCCCAGATCCTAAAACTCAAAGCCCATTCCCGTTGCAATTGCGCGCGCTCAAGGAGCGCAAGGAGACCTCGTTGGAACCCAATCCCAGAATATCAAAGACAAGAACCGCTAATCCCACAACGCTAACCCAGGTCCTAAACCATAACCCCATTCTTGGTGCAGTTGCGCACGCTCAAGGAGCGCAAGGAGAGCCTGTTCGAGATGGACGTGGAGTGGCTGGCCCGGGAGCGCCCCGATCTAGTTGTCACGCAGGACTCGTGCCAGGTGTGCGATGTCGACAAGAGCGAGGTCGCGCGCGCGCTCTCAACGGCGGGGCTGCTCGACGGCGACACGGAGGTCGTCGTGCTGGATCCAAGAACGGTGAGTCTTGAATCTTGATTCCTGTGTTTTAGGCTCTTCTTTAAGTTTTGAGGGCCCTTGCCAGGGTATGCATTGATTGAACAATGAGACCAGTCGGAAACAACAAGAACAAACAAAATAGAGCGAGGTTGCGCTTGCGCTCTCGACGGCGGGGCTGCTCGACGGGAAGACCGAGGTCGTGGTTTTGGATCCGAGGACGGTGAGTCGGGGATTGTTACAATAGTGTTCGCTGGTCACTTACTTAGGTCATCACTTAGCTACCTTGTTCGTTTGTTAGTCAGTCAGTTACCTGTTCTAAATCGTTCTAGGCCAAAGGTTGCGCGCACACTGTCCACGGCGGGGCTGCTCGACGGGAGACCGAAGTGTGGTGCTAGACCCAAGGACGGTAAGTCGTGGATTTTGTGACTGATTTCGATTCGTTCTTTGGCTGAATAGATAGTTACTCAGTGGTTGATGCTAGGCTAGAGGGGCACGCGCGCGCTCTTTCCATGGCGGGGCTGCTCGACGAAAAGACCGACGTCGTGTAGCTGGAACCAAGGACGGTGATCTGTGGGCTATTGAACAGCTTTTACACACACTCTCAGAACGTGCTGTTTTGGAGAACACAGTCATTCTGAAATTGCTAAGACCCGCGGTACCTCCCGTCCAGATGCCCGACGTTTTGCCAGCATCCTAAAGCTGGGAGACACGATTGGCGCGGCCGCAACCGCGACCGCTCGCGCACTGGAAGAGCACCTTTCGAGCGTGCAATTTAAAGAATCCTGACCATTTGCATTCTTATTTTCAAGTTGTCGAACACCGGTTACCTCCCGTCCAGATGGTCGACGTCTTCGCCAGCACCTGAAACTAGGGGAAGCGGTTGGAGGGCTCCAGTTGCGCGTGCGCTGGCCAGAGCGCTCCGTCAAATCGCAAAATTTCTTAGACCCTAAACTCCGGGTTTTTTTTCATTTTGTCAACACCTGCTTTCCCCCTGTCTAGATGGCCGACGTCTTCGCCAGCATCCTGAAACTAGGAGAAGCGGTCGGCGCGGCCGCAACCGCTCGCGCCCTGGTAGAGCAACTCCGGGCGCGATCACGCGCGGTCGCGGGAGCGGTGGCTGGGGCGTCGCACCGGCCGCGGGTGCTGTCGCTAGAAGGGCTGCACCCGCTCGTTCTGGGGGGGCACTGGCTACCGGAAATGAAGATCTTGGCGGGGGGGGTGGACGGCTTGCAAGTGAGCATCAAACTCAGACATATGATTTTTTGAACTGACAAAAGACTGTTCGTTGTAAAGCAGAGAGTATGTGGTTTTGGATTTCATATGAAGGGGCAGTGGCTGCCCGAGATGAGGATCGTGGCGGGAGGGGTGGACGGCTTGCAAGTGAGCATTGAATTTCATCATTTGATGCCTTTTTTCCGGTCAAATTCATTGGGAAGAGGTACAGCTTTGCTGAATGCCATGCGAAGAAAAGGTCATCATTGTATCTCCGGAGCGTTGAGAACGTAAGATGGGACTTGCACGGAAGAGTGGCTGCTCGTTACAAGCGTCCGAGAGCAGGCTTGCGGGGAGGAGTTTTGTTTTGGAGCTTCTGATGTGCGGTCCCGCTCGCTGCTGTCACGCTGACGTGGCCCCCCAGAACTTGAAGTCAGGGTGCCACTTGGAGCGGTTCTAGTGGGCGTGCCTGATAGTCTCCGCCCAAGCCTTCGCTCTCACCTTGAGATCGTCGGAGCTGACGTGTGCTGCTGATGTGTCTCAGCTTTGTTTAGCGTTATGTCCGCTTTCGTCAGGAGCCAGGGTCGTTTGCGAAGCAGCCACATCGGGCGCGCGCATCATTCTTCGTCAATGATTACTGGCTCGAACGCCTGTTGCACTTTTCCGCGACTGTCAGACGGGCACATGCTGACGTCATGCTGACGTCTCTTTCTTCCATGAGAAGGGCGCGACCCAGAGCGGCTGCAGTTAGAGCGCTCGCTAAGATACACGGTCGAACTTTCTCGGTTGTCTGCGGTCATTTGCTGACATCACGCTGACGTCTCTCCATCCCAGGAGCTTGGGCGCCACGTGGAGCGGCTGCGTTGGGAGCGGTTCGGCTAAGACGCCTGGTCAAACTTTCTCGTTTGTCTGCAAACGTTTGCTAACGTCATGCTGACGTTTGCTGACGTCGTGCTGACGTGTCTCCCTCCCAGGAGCCCGGGTGCAACGCGGAGCGGCTGCAGTGGGAGCGGGTCATCAAGTACGATCCGGAGGTCCTCGTCCTGGTTCCCTGCTCCTCCAATCCTGAGCGTTCGTTGTCCGAAGTCGAGTATGTGGCATCATGTCCGGGCTTCTGGAACCTTACGGCCGTCCAAAACCGGCAGGTCTTCATCTGCGAGCACTCGTTTTTCAGTCGACCGGGGCCCAGGTGAGAGCTCTCGCTTTTCCGTCTTTGTTGTCTGCCTTCCCATCGGTACGTCTAAATTCGCAAAATCGTCTTCCTCATCACCGTTACCTTTCAAGATTGTGGTTCTTTTGTTGTTGATAAAAGCCCTGATTCTTTCGCTTCTGCGCCCAATTGAAAGTAGGCACTCCGGCCAGGTAGAATCTCCTCAGTTGCTTTAGTGCGCCAATTGATCAAGGCATCAGATAGCACTGCTTTGCTGTCGAATCAGTGAAGGGTTTCTGCTCTCGGCACTGCCGCATCGTCTGTGGACTAGTAACAAGTTCTTCTAAGGTAGACTCGGTCTGCTAGCGAGTCGATCCCATGACGTCTTATCATGAAAGGCTTGCTTCCATTCTTATCATCCTTCTCGTCCTTTTCCTCAGGTTGGTCCTGGGCGTAGAAATAATGGCGCGCATGCTCCACCCGACGCACGTCTCGGGGAAAGCGCCCGCCGGGGCCGCGCTCAAGCTGAGCCTGCCGCCTGGCCAAAAGTGCCGTCCGGAAGACGTCCGAAAATACTTCGAGCGCTTCCAATAGCTACTCTGGGCGTCCGAATGTGCTCCCTTGCGCCAAAAGTAGCCATTTTGGGCGTCCGAAACGTTGAGACTAAAGAGTCGATGTCAATACTTAGGTCAAATAGAGCGTGCTGAACAGAGTCTTAGCCGGCGGTCCAGATATATTGGCCGGCAATAAGCCGTCGCGATTGATAAGCGCGGCAGCCCAGAAGAGCGGCGTTCGCTTGGCCCTGGGCCATAGCTTGGGTCCTTTAAGTCCTGTAAAGATTGTGTTACCTCGAGCTTGACACGATTTGATTGCGGATCGATAACATGATACGGATTGAGTGCCAATGCCAGCCAAGTTAATTAATGCCAGCTCAGGTTTGCATGCAATCATTGCAGCGTGACGTCAGAGACTCGTCACCGGCCTGCTGCGGCAGTGACCATACGTACATGGCTTTGATTTGTTGTTTGAATACATGTTGCAGATCTGGCGCTGCATGCAAGCGGTGCAATAAATAGTTTTGACTTTGCATGCAATGGACGCACAGTTCACGACCCATAAGTTCACGCATGCCATAGCTCTAGGTCTGACAGTGGCGAAACTTAACATGTACTAGCTCTTGCATGATGTGAGACATGGACGTGATTTTCTATGGTAACTCAGCATGGCAGCGATCCAACTATAACACAGATGTATATGATCAGATCATTGGCCGGTTGCAGATGGCATGGAGCTTCAAGGGGGCTGAGGCCCGGTGCACGGCCGGGCCTAAACCGAGCTTTCAGAATTCAGGCTTATAACTTGCAGATAGTGTGACACCCACAAAAAAACCGCATGACCGTGAATTAGTTCGAGTGTTCCGAGATCAAGTCGTCTTCACAATCACACGAAGAAGCCTTTCAAATGGTATGTTCCAGTCTTCAGGCCAAGTACGACGCCATGTCCAATTCGGGCATGGCGTTTGTAAGCATCAAGGATAAGAATCTTCGATCGAAAGAGCCCTATTTGATGCGTGCCTCAATCCCAGGGGCACACTCGCATCAAGCATACTGTACAAAAAATCTCTTTCTACATGGATAAACTTGCTACCTCCTAACTCGACATGGGTTCCCTGCTACCTTCTAACTCGACATGGATACCCTTGCTACCTCCTAACTCGACACCCAAGTGTGAGCCCTTTCGAACCCGTTCCTCCCGTACTGGTAATCGTTGAACGTCTGCATGATCTCCTCGCGCGTGTTCATCACAAACGGCCCGTGCTGCACCACCGGCTCGTTCAGCGGCTTTCCGGCGATCAGCACAAACCGCGCGGGCTCGGCGCCCTTGTTCTCGACCTTGATCCCATCCCCCGGCCCTAGTTGGAGCGTATGGTGCGGGCCGCTCTCGACATCGTCAAACACCGCCGTCCCGTTCAGCGTGTACGCGAAACCGTTCCACCCCTCGGGGACGGGTTGCGAGATCGACGCGCCCGGCTGGAGCGTGAAGTCGAGGTACATGCTCGGGGTGCGCGTGAAGACGGGGGACGAGATGCCGAGGGACTCGCCCGCGATGACGGCCACGGAGACGCCGTCCTTTTCGGCTTTCGGGATCTCGGACGCGAGGAGCTCTTGGTACGCGGGCTCAACCCTGGGGGTAAACAAAAAGTGCGCGGGTTAGTATTGTGAATTGGAGACGGGTGAGCCGATCGAAGCTGCACCAACTCTGTGAGGGCAAGGAAGGAGAATGGATGAAGGAATGGACAATCTAACAGCTAACAGCAATTTGTTAGCCTCGGGTGATAGCGCCTGTTTTGCGTGCGAGCACGAGCGCCCTTTAAAGCCCCGGCCAACCATTGGCCTTGACAGTCGTGCCAGTCTCCTGGAAAGTTTCAAGAAGCAGACTCGACAGCCAGAGTCGGCAGACGAGACGTAAGCTGAGCACCACGGAAGACGTCAATTCTAGGCGAGACAGATACTTTCATAATCGGCTTCGAATGCACTTGCATACCAACCCGGCCAAGACTGACTGGCAACAATTCTGTCTCTACGTCGATGGTTGGTCTACTGTGCGAGGGTGCGGAGAAAAGACTCCACTGAAGCCAGGCAGTCAAGAAGCACCTTTGTTGCACTTGCGGCCATTCTCAAACGTAGGCATTTTTACGTTGATCTCAGCAACATACCCACCAAAACCTCCTACAGAACCCCTCTTCTGAGCACACAAGCTCTGTCAGGAGAGACGTGTCCAAGTGAATCCCAGCATGCAGTTCAATACAAACTACATATTAAGGCAAGCAGGCCGAGAAAGTGACTTACATCTTGTCCTTGGCTGCCAGGTTGACCCACAGCTGCAGCCCGTGCGCGTCATCGGACGCCGGAATCTCAGAGTGCACAATGCCCCTCCCGGCAGTCATCCACTGCACGTCCCCGGGATTGATGGTCCCCTTGTGGCCTGTGAAGTCTTGGTGTGTGAACGTGCCCTTCAGCATGTACGTGACGGTCTCTGCAGAGGGGAACGGGCCTATTTACGTCCAGCTCAAAGGCAGGCGCTCAACAGTCGGGTCACAGGCAGATTGTCAACCCACACTTCAGAAGAATGAAGTGCGCCGCTCTTGCGCGTTTCTTGCAACAGCAGAAAGTCCCAGACCCTGTAACAGATTTAACACCCACATCCGATTGTAATAAACAAGAGGCTGTCGTAGCTCTTGCAGTGAGAGTCACGACTCACAAGCGTTGCTCGTTTCATGCTGCTATATATAGCTAGCCTCGGAAGGTAATCAATAATATTTCAGCTTACTGCCAGTTTGGTCCTTTCCATCAGACCTGGCCTTCTGATGCCCAAAAAGAGTTGCATAAAAAATGGAAACTCCGAAGGCTGGCTGGAGTTGTTTCCTGACGTGAGCAAACAAGAGTCTCTGAAAGTCAGAATGAGTGAGTTTCGAGCGTCAGCTCAAACAACATCGTATTTTGCCGAATTGCCACAGCGAAAGCAAACTCACCCTGTCCACGATGGGGATGGTCGGGGAAACCGGCTGGAGGCTGGACGGAGAACTCGTCGAGCATGAGGACTGCAGAGAAGGAAGAAATGCTTCAACAGCATGACCTTGGTCCAAGAATGAGCAAGATGTCGGCAAATTAGAAGAGGCAGTGTGTCGTGCACAAACCTACTCAGGAAAGTTGCAAGTTGCCGCCCCGACGCAACTCTCTTGCTTTCTCACGGCCCCAAGGAAAAACCCTTTTCGCAATGAGAAGGCTGACAAATCAAACCCCCAGATCTGAGCAGAGCGCGAAGCATAGCAGCATACATACATACATACATACATTAGATACTCTGGACAAACTGTACGTCTTGCTGCCTAACATACCAACAATCTGGAAAAAAAGACACTTGTTCCAGTCACCGAGAAAACACCAGCAACTCATGGGAAGGTTTTGACAATGAAAAGGTGGCATAGCGGTGCAACTCCGGATCTTTTGCACCACCTACTTACATGGATCAAGATTTCTCAGCTCCGGTCGACCGATGCTCCTCCGCACTCTAGCTCCATCGCCCTGGACAACAAAAATGAGGGTTGTCAGAAGCATACGAAACCTCCTGAATGTTTGGTTTCTCAGAACCCCTCCGCATATCTTACTTACATCAAGCAATCACAAGACTCCATGATGAGTCAAGTAGATGGCGATCAAACAAGCTTCCAGGCACCCCATCGATGCCTGATACCTCTTCTGTGGAGAACTCTGCGCTATAAACGGCAGAATCTGACCTTCAGATGCTGGCCGCACCACTAAATCAATGTCACAACAAGCAACCATTGACTCAGATAAGAAGAGCGGATTACACTCACCTCACTCTGCTCACGACTGAGCAACTTCTTGATGATCTTCCTTGGCTTAGCTAGCGCAGGGCCGGCCATGTTTTGCTCAGCCGATAGGAGGACTCTGGAGGTTGACGCCGCTCTTACGCCTTTCTGCACAGCACCTGGTGTTCTAAAGATGCTCCTTGCAAAGAGCAATCCGGCGGGGGCGGCAGCGAGCATGACAAGAAACGTGATGAGTAAGTGACTGCGTTTGCAAGCGAAAGACTTATTGTGCTGCCTTTGTTGAGTTCTCCCTTTCGCCATGCACCTATTTATACCCCCAGGAATCTCCCCTACAGCATTGCTTAGGCGCTCTCCGAAAGCTCCTGTAGAACCTAGGCGTTGCTGGAGAAACGTGGAAGTGAGCGACAACGCCTTCTGATTCTGACCTACATCTTCACCGTTGTGCTCTCTCCGATCAGGAAGCCATGGAAACAGGTGGAAATGCAGGTAAACGGGCGTAAACAGAGCAAAGCTTCCAGAATCCCAGCTGGGTCCAATCTCCAGCCAATCAGAGCCGTCGGCAAAGATTTGCTATGACGTTGCTTTTGGACGTTCCTGACGTCACGATCATCGTTTTTCGACGAGATTTCTACCGGGTGGTAGAAGCCTTAACTCAATTGCAGCTCATGGATGCCCGGGCGAGCGCTTCGATTTGAATCGTCGAAACCTGCCGATCAGCGGAGCCGTTTTAGCGGGAAGATCTTTCAAATTGAAAATTCGTCTTCGTGAACATCGTGACTGTTGACATCATTTGTCTCTCTGTTGCGATTCACAAGTTTTCCTTCTCTGATCAAGCTGAGCGCTCTGCGCCAGTCTTCACAAGCCCCTTGTGTGAATCATGTGACCACCCGCTCCCTGCGTGGGCTGAAGTTTCGGGGTACCTAAGGTGCTGCAAACGCAGATGCATGAAAGGCTCGAGGCAATAGCGGAGGGCATAGCATCGGTCTGCGCTCGTTCTGAAGACGAGTACAACTTGTCATTGATAGGACGAGAATCAAAGTTGGCCAGTGGCCCTGGGAACATTGGGGGGCAAATGACTACAATTTCCGCTTCCTAGGGTTTCTAAAACAAGTTAGGGCCTATGCTACACTAATGTCATCATTCTGCAGAGCGCTCTGCGATTTTAGCAAAGAGTTGGGAAAGTGCAAGAGGTGGACAAGTGAAGCGGCACCAAAGAGCATACACTACAGCGTTGTGCTTCAGTTGTCTGCTCAGGGCCAAAGTAAAAAAATAGGAAGAGCGAATCAAACTTGATCATTGGCTGGCAATTCATCCTTGGCAGATGGAAGGCTTAGGCACGCTGCAACAACAGGGCAGTGCACTGCTTTGAAGGTAGACCAGGATTGCAATGACGCTGTACGGGCGCACGATCGATGTGAGGACTCAAACGTTTGGCTGCCATTGAAAGCCAATTAAGTTTGTTTCTTGTTGGAAAGGGAGAGGTTTGGTCATTTCAGCATACATCACTTGATCGGGTCTAACCATCTCATACCAGTCTTTGATGCAATTTACGTACTTGTTGATCAGTGAGACTAATGCTTGATAGTCTGCACCTACTGATGCTGCCGGTAAAATCAAGAGCGGAGCGGGTAAAACAGTGCTGCGCATGCAGGCGTACCACATTGGCCGCCTGCTTGGGCGGGGCAGTTTTGGGGATGTCTATGAGGCAAAGTGCCAGCACTCTGGTCAGCTTGTGACCATCAAGATGGTAAGTGAGATCTATGAGCCTTCACCTTGAGAAGACAAGCTTTCTCGATTGATAAGTAGAAAAGATCCAGGGCCAAGCTCGTCTACCACATTACCAGTCTTCTCCCTCCATATCTGCTGATGTGGCAGAGGCAGGAATGCTGTTTCTTCAGCCTCCGCTTTTACTGGGAATAGAAGGCGTGCTTCAGATTAGCACGGGCTTAGCAGTAATGGCGTGGGCAGCACTGGTTGAGGGCATTTACCATGTATGAGAGCATTGCTGTCAAGAACAGGGCTGTCATGCATCAATTCATCTTAACATGGAAGGTGAGAAAGCTAAGTTGGCCAGCAAAGCACTGAAAGGGCTTTACCTTACGTTCTCAGATCAGCAAGGAGCTGCTGCACAACCAGGGCCTGCTGGATCGCATCACAAGGGAGGTGGAAATCCACTGCCAGCTGCAGCACCCCCACATTGTGGAACTGTACGAGTACTTTGAAGATGACCGTCGAGTGTGAGCCTACGATCCCAGGTTCCAAAGGCTGGCTGACCTTCCAGATTGGTTCTTCTCATGCTTGTGCAACCGCAGAAACGCCGCGCACTGAGGGATCATATCTGTACGTTAGTGGCACCCTTCAGGTGAAGCCATACAAAGGTGGAGCTGTCGTTGCACCATTTTACCTGCTCTTAGATGCAAGTTAGGATGAAGACCCAGTCCCCTCTTCAGTGCATGCATCAGCTTTCAACATGGTGATTGCTCGGAGGATGCTCTGGCACCGAAAGACTATGCTGACTCAATGTGCACCTTCTCAGGTACCTGGTGATGGAGCTGTGCAAGAATGGGGAGCTCTTGGCCCTGTTGCACAAGGTAAGATTTCCATCCCATAAATTTGTTTGATATGGTGCACTCTAGCATCTGGTCCTATATCTCTCATTGGTCAGAGTCGAGATTACCACCTTCGAGGCAGAAGGTATGCAATCCTCACAAAGGGCATGTTGAGAAAGGATGCAGAACTTTGTAGTGGAGGGGCCAACGCAATCAAGTGAGAGAAAGCAAGGCTCCCTCAACTTCGTAAGAGCCAGTCTTCACATGACCAGGGCACGGCAGGTCACAGCTCAGTGAACAGTTTGTAAGCTAGACTGCTCTTCTGCTACACAAAGCTCTCCGCTGACATGCACACTCTCTTGCAGCATGGCCGCTTTGACGCCGCCACAGCGCGCTCTTTCTTCTCTCAGCTAGTGGACGGGGTTGCGTACCTCCATGGCCACTCAATCTTGCACCGGGATCTGAAGCTCTCCAACCTCCTGTTGAGCGCTGATAACACTCTGGTACGTCCAGGAATGCCTTGGCTGTGGCCATTTGTGAAAACGGTGCAAAACATGCAAATGTTTCAATGCATTGCTTCCCAGGATTCGCTGTCTTAGGGAAGATTTGGCAGGAAGGAGTAGTGTTCAGCTCTTAGGTACTATTGGCAGACCATCCCGTCAAGTGCCAGTTGAAAGTCGACAAGCTCCCTGGAAAATACGAAGTTCTTATTTTGTTTCTCATATATAGAACCACATGTACGTGGTCCTCAGACCAGCTACTGAATCAGTACCTCCATATTTGACACTGATTGTTTCTTGGCTCCACAGAAAATAGCAGACTTCGGGTTAGCTGCTGCAATCGGTGCCAACGATCCTGAGAGGCGGACCATTTGCGGGACGCCCAACTACATGTGCCCGTGAGTCAGGCCCTTCTCCTCTGCCCGCTCCACGTTGGAGTCCATCCAATAGGCCGGAACACAGGGCAAGGGCACCAAGTCTCGTCTTATCCGTGTAATGAAGCAGTCTTCTTTCATAACGTGCCCGTTTGCTTGTCCACAGTTACCACAGATCTCAATTCGAGAATAGTGTGGATCCTGGTCTCTGAGCAGTTTCTTGACTCAAAATCGCGATCCTTGTGCAGGGAGATTGTCGAGCAGCAGCCGTACTCGCTGGGGGCGGACCTGTGGTCCCTCGGAGTGACGCTCTATACGTTGCTGACAGGGACCCCGCCGTTTCAGGTGAGGTGCCTGGTTCAGATCTGAGCTGCACCATTTTCACCACACTGTCCTCGTCGTGCTCCTTACAGATCACCAGTGCAGAGTTGCTCTGAGCTTAACTGAATCAAAGAAAGATGTAAGAGCGAACAACCTCCTAGATGGAGATTTATGATCCGTTTTGTAACAGAATCCACTAAGATTAATCCGCATTTTCTTTCGAGGTTGTAACGTGCCATGGAAAGAGTACCCCCCCGAGTTTCAGTTTTGCTTGCGCCATTGCGGCTCCGTACTATGGGTAACCCACGCATTATTGTGTTTGGCTGATTACCTGGGAGTTTGCGGGGTATTAATATACGTCCACTGCTTTGTGCAGAGCGATGCTGTAAGGGGTACTCTGCAGAGGGTTGGGTGCGCTGACTACCTGCTACCACGACAACTACCTGCAGAGGCGGCAGATCTGATCAGCCAGCTATTACAAAAGGTGAACAAATGTCGGTTGTCCTTCATTCTTCTCTTAGGTCAAAACCGGATGAGGTTTGAGCAGGATGATGCCTTGATGAAGGCAAGGGAACCGTTCTTGACGGAAAGATGAGTTGAGTGGCTATAGAACACTTAGAGTCTGCTGTTAGCGAAGCTAGTGCACCTTCTTTCTGAGGTTTTCTGTTTGTTCCAGTCTGGCTGACTCGATTCTTCTGATCTTGTCGCGAATGCAATTTCTCGGACGTCGATACATTGGCCAGGCAAACTTCTGACTTGACTCCCCACCTTTTCACTTGCAGAACCCTGCCCAGCGACTCTCCCTCCCCGCCATCCAGTCCCACCCTTTCCTAGTCGGCCCTTCGACACGGCAAGCAACCCCTCCAGAAAGCGAAAGCGATCGTGCTTCGCAAGCAACCCGCAGTGGCACCGCTTCGCCTCGAACGAACTTCGCCCCTGAGAGCTTGCACACAGTGGAGCAACGCGAACGCGCAGAGCGGTTGTACGAGGGAGACAGGGTTGAAGAACGCGGATCGGGGAGAGGTAACCGTAAAGATCGGAGCGAAGGTGGTCTGAACCAGTCCGAAATGTCAGGGGCGGTGGAGAGAAGCGGCAAGTGGGACGGGCAGCGGGCCCTCAGGAACGAAGTCCCGGCACAGAGCCACCCGCGGGAGCACAGAAGTGAGGGGCAACGGGAAACGCAAAGAGGGCTCAGTGAAAGTAGTGCGAGTGCAGGGAGAATGGAGGTCACTGGATTTAGCGACCCTGGTTTCGGGAGAACCGAGGGGGTTTGGGTCGACCATGGAATGGCGAGTAGCGGCTTGCGGGAGAGGACTCCGGAGGGAGAGCGGTTGTGGTCACGTGCCTCAGGCCCGCCACGGAATGAAGCTTCGGCAGGCACTGCTCCGCGGACGGACGTACGAACGGAACGGCGGACGGACCGACGAACGGAACAGAACGCGTCCGAATCGCGGGGCTCAGATGCAAGGCCGCAGGGCAGTAGTTCACGGCCCGGGACCGCGAGTTCCGATCCGGGGGGGTTAAGAGCAAGCTCCGCGGTGCCGAGTCGGAGCCCCCCTGGCGCGACGCAGCTGCCGACACGCCCGCTGAGCACGCTCCGCCTGAAGGCCCTGCGGCACGAGACGTCGTACGGGTCGCTCGCGATTCTGGAGGACGGGCGAGTGCAGGTCAGTGGTGAACCCGTTTTGGAACCAAATGAGATGTTTTCAAGGACCCGGAATCGACCACTTAGTTCGCAATGGACTACAGAGGTCGCTGTTGGGCCGGAGGAAAGCTGGCTCAGAAACCAATCTGCAACCACGGACTGGTGTTTATCAGCGGTAACTATGTCTAGTGAAACCGAAACAATTCTTCAAGGAAAGCCAGTCGTTGAACCCGAGTTGTGAAGGGTAGGATGGTCGGATCTTTAGAAACGGGAAACAAAGTCATTATGGAATTCCAAACTTGCAGGTTTGGAACAAGGAACTCGGCTTTTCTCCCCGTCTCATACCGGCTGGACACTAAAAAGCTCATACGGTGGCCGGTTTTGGAACCCAGGGTCTAAAGACTGAGTGCCATTTTTAATTTTGTAGGTCCACAATACGGGCCCCGGGGGAAGCGTCCTGACGGTGTCGACGGACGGGCTCGAGGTGGAGGTGGAGCAGGCTGGACGTCCGGGGAAGACGTACCGATTTCCAGCCCTGCCGGACGCTCTGCTGATGCACTACGCTCACGCGGCGGCGTTTGTGGGCCTCGTCGCGAGCGCTACTCCGAAAGTGAGTCGGGTGACAATGTAACGCTTCTCTTATTATCGAGATAGTTAGTTAAACGGGGCAGGCATTAGCAAGGAGAGCTCCATTTTTCCTGCTTCGTCACCCTTTTAAAGTTCAAGAGAGCGACTAACGCCAAGAGATTTCTCGAAGCTGTCCCCGCTTCAGGAACGTCCATTTGGATTGTTTCTTAGCAAAAGTGGGCGCGAATTCTTTCTGTGCTTTCAATATTCCTGACGTTCCATGGGACGTCGCCATATGCTTAAACCCTCATTGACGTTGAGTGGCAATTCTACACATCAGTACATCACTCTCTTCACTTTCGACCTCCTCAGGTGATCTACATCTTTGAACGGGGCCAGGCCACCTGCATGGAGAATGGCGACCTCCAAGTCTGCTTCACCGACTGCAGCCCCACCGCGCTCCTCCAAGTCGACGCCGCTTCCGGAAAAATCACCGTTACCCCCCCAAACGGCGCCCCCGTAACGCTCCCAAGCCTCCACTCCCGGCCGACTGACTTCCAGGCTTCTCCGAGTCACACGTGGCAGCCAAGCCCGGATGACACGTGGCTTTGGGAGGTCCTTTCCCAGGCGCGCCGGTGCCAGCGAAAGTGCGCAGAGGCGGAGGCGCGAGCGCTCGCCCGGCAGCCCCCGAAAACGTTCCCCCTCGTGGCGCGAAGCGCGCGCTTGAAGACGGTTTCGCCGCGGGGGGGTGCCGACGCGACTGTGGCGCTGGCTGCCGCGGCGCCCCCCGCCGAGGTGGAGCGCGCTGCGGAGCTCGTGGCGGCGGTCCAGGGACTGCACACGTCACTCTTGCCCGCCAACGTCAGCGTCGCGTCAGCGCAGGAGCTCTCGTTCGCGTCGTCGTCTGAAGCGTCCTCGCATTTGCAACCGGGTCCCCGGTTCCCATCTCAATCGCAGCACGCCCCGGCGCCCATTCTAAAACGTGCGCTGCCACACTCGCCGTCTTCGCCGCTGTCTCCGAGCCCCTCCCTGCCGGAGACGCCTTCCACTCGCGACGGCAGCTCGCTCGAACGCGTGGCAGAACGGCAGCCGTTCCACCCGTTCGCGGCACGTGGGCGGCCAACTCCGTTTGGACACGTGGCAGAGCTGGACGATCGAGAGCGTCGGCCGTCGGGGCTTCGCCATGCTAGTTCGGAAGAAAGACCGGCACCGGAGGATCGACGTGACGTTCTAGGAACGGAGGCGGTGGAACGGCGGCAGGAGGGGTTGGAGCGGAGCTTGGATGACGTCAGACGCCACGTGGCAGTTGAGCAGCGCGTCGGAAGGATTCTGCCAACCGGTGAGGCCTCCGCGAGAAGATCGGCCGGAGTGGAAGAAGCGTTCGCTCCTGAAGGAGCGGAACGGCCTCCCCGACCAAAACGGAACGGGTCGGAAGAGCTGCGGAACGCCGCTGGTCCGATCGAGCGGGGAGCGGAACGGGCGGCAAGGAGCGCAGCGGGGACGGCGGCGGGTGACGTCGGCAGGCAGCAGAGGGACCAGCCGGCACGTGTGCTGGCTGACGTCAGCAACAGGCCGCCGGCGGATGCGCAGACTGCGAGGCGCGTGGAGAAGGCGAAAGGGGATCAGAGGGGGTCAGGGGTGTTGGATGGCGTGCGAAGGAGGGCGGATCGGTTTGGGTCAGCGGGGCCGATCGGGGGAAGCTTGAAAAGCAGTGAGAGTGAGAGACGGAGGCTGCCGGTAATCGGGGAAGGCTTCAAAGTGTTTGAGGATCGAGGGGAGGTGCGGCCGAGGAGCAGACTTCCAGAAGCGAAAGTGCAGCATTCAGCAACTGTTCGCCACATGCATTCCCAGGAGGGATCCGCTGGTGAGAGCGAGGCGGAAAAGCTCTCAGGCTCTTACAAGGACCCTGATTTGGACCGCCGTACAGACCATTCAGGGGGTCAGCGACTTGGGCAATCACAGGCGCCGCTAGACCCCCCCTCGGCGAGGAGCTTCTCTGACACGTGGCAGGACCTGAGCGCAGCGAACCGGGAGCCTTCCGACTTTCATTCGGCAGATCCCCCGTCTGACTCGTGGCAGCACCTGAGCGGAGCAAGGCGGACCTTGCCTGCGGCGAGCCCGTCGTCTGACACGTGGCACGACGGGCGCTCAGAGGACCCGGTTTTCGAGGGCCTTTCCGTTCCTGTCGAGCTCCGGAAAGCGGAACGGTCCCCTGCCCGGGAGGACGCCCGTAGCTACGTCGCGTCGAACCGTCTGGTTACTGCTAACCAGGGTTCGTCGGTTACGGCTAACCGGGGCTCATCTTCAGCACTCCCCGGTCCCTCCGCAAGCCATTCTTCACCTCCTAGCCTCCCGGAAAGCCCACTTCCGTTATCCCAAAACACGCGGGACTTCCTGAGCCCTCCCTCAGCGTCAGACACGGCAAGGCAGGGGGATCCCCCTCAGCTCGACGGCGCGGCTGGCCGACCCCGGAAGGACCCGAACGGTGCGAATGATCGCCAGAGCACGTGGAGCCGTCGGCCGGGACTGGACACGGCAAAGACGGGGGATCCCCCAGAGCCAGACGGCGGTGGAAACGTGGGCCGAGAGAGGTTCAGTGGGCGACCAGGGAAAGGGCCGCACAGTGCGAATGGTCGCCAGAGCGCGTACTTCCCGGGCGTGGGGTGGGCCATCCGGCTGAAGTCGGGGGAGCTGCTTATGCATTACCTGGACGACTGCCAGGTTAGTTGCTTTCGGACCTCGCCAGTCGAAGCCTGCGATTCTCGGTTGAGAGTGTATTGTGGTCCGGTGCAGTTCTGGTATGGAAGCTTTTCTGGTAGAACAGTGAGGACAACTCGTCTATTAGTGTCCCGAGCATAAAACGGGCTCTTTTCAGCTCTTTTAGTGACCAGTCGAACAACGGTTGTTGAATGTCATCCGCCAAATTCGCGATTGCTGTTTACGAACAGGGGATTGTTTCTCTTATGCGGCCTGGTTGTCGAAGCCTGTTCCCTCCATCTTCCATGCTGACTTGGGCTCTCTGTGTTCCATTTCGTCCACGACTGAAACCAGAACTCTTTCGCTGAAGCCAATGAGGTGCTCAGAACGTACTTTCATGCGAAAAGGACATGGCTTCGTCTCCTCTGTTTATTCAAGTCCCATCTTCCGTGCTTGTGCAGATGGTCGTATCCAACGACGGGGCAAGCGTCGAGTTCTGGCCGCCTGGTGCCAAGATGGGCGGCTCCAAGTATACGCTATCAGACCGTGCGAGCATCCCGCAGGAAGTGCGGGATAAGCTCCAGTATCTTAGTGCGTTCATCAAGCTCATACGAAAGCAGAGCCACGGCACACAAACCTACTCAAAATGGGTCACGCCCAGGACATCCCCAGCTTTGACCGCCCAATAAGTCGAGCACGCTTTTTCTCAAAGATGCTTGCACTGATTGATGGAGCGGCGCTGTCGTTTGTTAAGAGCACGACCAAGCTTCGAAGTTTGCAGACTCTTACACTGCACACCACTGCAGGATCTTTGAGGTTGTCTCGTTATGGTCATTACACGTCATGCGCGATCGCGCGAGTGGCGCAACCGTGTCTCCGTACGGTCACCATCAATATACTAGTCGAGTCCGACGCTCATGGCGGGCGCAGGATTACTCCTACACCTTCTAACCTACGGTATACTGCATTCAATTTGAAAAGTCTGAACTGTAAAGTTTAGTAGTAGTAGGGCCTACACGTCACAGAGTTGGAAACAGCCGGCCGCTTTCAGAATAGTTTGAGGCTGCATGAGCATTTATGTTCTGTCGATCTTCTTAATGGTCTTCCATGATAAGCGTTTCGATATAACTTGTACTAAAACCATGCATGCAACTATATCCTGATTCATATTTGAAAAGCTGAAATTGAGCTGTGGCGTTATGCCAAGATGATGAAATAGTGCATAAATTGCCATACGTGTTAACATCATGACGCTCCGGGACGCCGTCGCCCACAACGGTGTCGATCACACATGTGCATACCGGCTTGTGTGACATCTGCAGAAGTTGATGATATGCATGCTTGTGACAGGTGCAAGCTTCAGTGTCGCATGCCAGCTTGGAGGAGTAGTCAGTAATTTGAGTCCGATATCCATGCAACGCGGTTCCTACTCTCATTTGCTTTCGCGTTAGTTGCTCTTTTGCCTGTCCTACCTGCCACTAAACGCCTCCACAAAAGCAACATACATGAAAGTTGTTGCCTGTCAAAATTACACATCCAGAAACCGCACAAATCGATTACCTGCTGCGTCATTTTCGGTCGCCTTTCCTGGTCACCAAGCTGAACGTTTACCTGGCTATGTACAGCTACGCATGTCTTTAACTTCAGCAGGGCACGCTTTCTGCAGGCTCTCGTACGTAAGTAAGCACAACTCGAAACGAAGTTCTCGCAAACCGTCTGCCTAAATCTGCAGTGCCAAACCGGCTAGCAAAGCACTAAAAGTTGTGATGCCTAGCCAATGTACTCGTTGGAGCGGCGAGAACCCCGAACTCTTGAGGGTTGCAGGTGGTGACGGATAACTGCGAACACAAAATCGCTTTGTTTTTCTGTATTTCCGGTTCCCAAGCGAACATCAGAGTCTTCAACGGAGGCGGGATTGAGCTGATAACTTTTCGGCGCATTTTCAACAACCCAGCTGAGACGCCAAAAAAGCCCCGCAGAAGTTGACGCAAGCGAGCTGTAGGATCGTCGCCACAATTTCGGCTTATGCATCCAGATAGTGACCGAAAGAGGAGGAAGGTATCTGGTCAGCAAGCCAAACGGAATGCAACAAAAGGGGAAGTGGATCGTTATGACAAATAAAAGCATGTTGTGTGACGGATATAGACAAAACACCATCTAAAACCGTTTACTTTGGGTTCGGTTGACTGCTTTCCTCGCCGACCACGGGGTGAAAAAACGAAGGGTGCGATTCTGCCGATGCAACATTTTGTCAAGTCGGAGAGCTTCCGTCAGGTTTCAGTTCCAGAAGATCTCCCTCGACAATTGCTTTTGAAAGACGGATCGAGGTCACGGAACTCCAAAAGTAGCAAGAACGGGCGGCTGTCCCACGTTGCTTTCGGCAACATTCGCATCACGGACATCGACGACAGATTCTAAGCCACGTGGCTTTCGTAAGCGACAGCACACGTGAGCTTTCGGGCATCGGGTCGCCGTGATGGAAACATCTCACTACGCTCTTTTGAAAGCCAAGTGAGCCCTCAAGAGATCTCGTCCTGTATAACCCCGAAGTAATACGGTCCACTTCGCAGAAACTGGATGAAAGGCCGGTGCTTACGCCAATTCGCACGTGCTCCCTTGCCAGTTCCCTTGACATTGACACTCGAAGTAGCCGGTACTGCCTGTGGTAGGCTGACGGGTGCCGGAAGGGTCCGCGAAGCACGTCCCGTTGTTCTTGCAGGGATTTGGATTGCAGGAGTCAGTACCTGCGCCAGAGACAACTAAGGGTCTCAGCGTGTTGAGCTTCATTGAGCGGTATTCTTGCAAAGGGCGTTGTGGTGGGATTGCGAGAAGGGTCTGCGAAGCACGTGCCGTTGTTCTTGCAGGGTGCTCGGGTTGCACGAGTCAGTGCCTGCGCAAGAAATTGTCATGTCAGGGTTTCTTGGCATTTCAGGGCTTGTAGATTTTCGAAAAGTGGTGTTCTTGAAACGGGTCTTTGCTAGAATGGCGAGTACGAAATTGATGAATTTGCCATTTCTGATTCGGTCATCGAAGGATGCATGCTGAAAAGTCGTAGCGAGAAGGGTCCGCAAAGCACGGGCCATTGTTCTTGCTAAGACTCGGGTTGCACGAGTCAGTGCCTGCGCCAGAAAGCTCCTGTGTCAGGGTTTGTAGGATTTCAGAAGCGGTGTTCTAGAAAACAACGCTGCTAAGATTGCAAAAAAGGTCTGCGAAGCACGTGCCGTTGTCTTGCAGGGACTTGGACTGCATGAATTAGTGCCTGCACGCAAGGAGAGGAAATGTATCTTGAAGCGGGCGATGGCAGAGCTTTCACGACATGGTCATGCACGAAGCACGGTTGAAAAACACAAGCATGCACGCAGCACGTTTGTAAAAACAGAAGGATGCACGCAGCAAGGAAGGATCTATTCATTCCTGTTCTGTGTCGAACTTCCCAAGACGATGCAAAAGTTGAGGCACCGAATAAGGACATGTACCTCGACAAAGACCTTACAGCGGAGTGTCTCGAGACCACCAATCAACGAGTTCTGACCGACACTTCAGAGATAGCTGAAAAGTTTGATCGGAGTGTGTGAGCAATAAGACCTGCCAATCGAGTCGGTTGAGTTTTTGATGCAGCTCTGAGCTGAGAGAGAGGTAAGGAAGTGCTGATGCCAAACTTAGAGTCACTGTACAGTAAAGGCTGTAGCCTGAAAACGGATACACGGAGACTAGGATCGATGACATGACGAGATCAGTCGCTGAGGTAGTTGGGCGCTTGCAAAGTTGGACTACAGAATGACAGCCACCTAGTCGGAGAGGACAACATCTTTTCAGACCAGCACAAGACAGATCCGTTCTCGCGGTCGATATGGGCGACTTGAGTGCAGACGCTGAGAAAGAATGAACAGTACGGTGACGAGAGCGAAAGCGAACGAAGGGAAGGCACTGAAGCTCAAATCTCACAGTGCAATGCAATGAGCGAAAGACAAGAACGAAAGAACAGCAACGAAACAGAAGAAAGGGAGGCAGACAGAGTAGAAACGGACGACACATTGGCGGAGAATTGATAGAAGGGACGAGGAGCCAACGAAAGCCGGGAAGACTGAAACAGCTGGGAACAGAAGCGAAAGGCGGTTTCAAGGGGGAGACGAGGCAAAATGGCACAAAGAAACGCAGCTGAAAAATCGAACCCTTACCATTAATGAAGCAAAATTGGGAGTTGAATTCGCCTCTGTCTAGAAGAACAGCGGGCGCTTGGCATTGGCAGACGGTGCGGAAGAACGTCGCCCCACGAGAGACGATCAGTGGGTCCACCGTGCAGGTGCCGCCTGAGGAAAAATGTTTATTAATTTTCATCTTGTGAATAGATGATCAAAGAGGAAGACCATCCGGGCCTGAGGTAAAATGTTTCTTAATTTCTTTCTTCGTTTTCATTTTGTTAAGATGGAAATAATAAAGGAAGACCGTCTGAGCCTGAGGTAACATGAGAGAAGCGTGAGGGCAGCGTTTTGTGTTCGTGGGTGAATGGTTGGTAGGCAGGAGACTCGTTAGAGCAGAGGACTTCTCTCGTTGGTAAATATGGTTGGAAAATGAGGGGCGTGATTGATCTCTTTTGTCGACGATTGGCTGGGAATGAGAGACGCGTTTAAGCGGTTTCTTCTCTTTCGCTGGTAGATCTCCGCAGGAGCAATGTGTAAAGCGGTTTTGGTCTTTCGTTGGTTGGCGGTTGGAAGAAGAGACGTGTTACGGCGGTGATATTTGTAGTTGGTCAACGAGGTGAAGCATCTGAGGGGTTGTTATTGACATTGTCCCTCGCAGCGAAGATGACAAGAAACGGCTGCTTTGGACCACTTGGTAAGTCTCTGTTGCTCATCGAGCTGGTTGGGACTCGAAAGGAGCATCACTGACAAGTAACGACGCAGATCTGACTCAGACATGAAGGCACGCAACAAGAATCACGGCTTGGATCTGTTTCGGTGGAGGACAATGCAAGCTGCAAGGTGAGCGAGAATAGCTGCAAGCATCGGGAGCAACACAAGCGGGAAGAAAGTTACTTCCATCCGACAGCACGAACCTCCAATAGAAAGTTTCTGTTGGGAACTTTCTTTTGCGGCGAGGAAAGAACGACTAATTGGAGAAGACTTCTAGCAAACTCATGAGGAAAAGGAGGCATCCAATTCCCTCAAGATTAGCCATTTTCACAGAAAACAAGGGAGAAGTTGCAGGGCGCTGAAAAGGATGAGTGGGCCTAGCCTCGTTTTGTATCACAGTCTCCATCTTCCAGCATAGTGCCTCCCAAATGTAACCAAAAGCCCAACGCACTGAACTGGGCTTCTTCTGCAAACTTCTATGTTGCTTTCTGATACGTTTGCTCGGAGGCCAGAACTGATAGGGGCAGAAAGGGTGCCCATGACTGAAGGCCAGTCAGAGAGCTACTCTTTGGACTTTTTCCCTCTGTACAAGAAGCGAGATGGAAAATCGAATTCTTTATTTGGGCTTGGCCTCTGATCGAACATCGCAGACTGTGACAAAAGTGTGCAAGGCATAGCAAAACTGAGAAACTAGGCTTTGAAAGCGGCTCTCCAAACATTAGTCCCCTAGCTCCAACGAATTCAGTCAACCTTCACCTGTTGTTTAACCACCTTACCTTAAGGTGGTTAAGGTGGTTAATGAACAGGTGGTTTAACCACCTTACCTTGACCGCATGGCCCAGGAGCACCGTAACAAGGATTCGGTGCGCAGGTCACGTTTGGGGGTGTGAAAAAGGAGGGGATGACGGTCGGCAGGTAGTTTGTTGGACACGTGTAATGAGACGTGTTCAGATCCTGTCCCATAACTGCTGCCGACGCACTGAGGGCCAGAACAAGCGCAATGGCAGCCATTGTAAGTGGGCGAGGGCTTATGAAAGCCCCAAGGAGGAACTATATGATCTTGCTTGAACCTGGGCCTGCATGGAAAGAATAACAATCATTCGACAGTTCTCGTTTGAATCTTGTGTGCCTTGAAGAAACAAAATACCTTTGAAAACCATGAGGCCATTCTGCAACAAACGAGCAGCCAGCCTGTGAGTCTCAACTGCTATGCCTGCCCAGCGACTTCGTTATGCTCCGCATCTACAAACCACCCCTCAAAAGTCGACAATACAAAGTCACTGAGTGAAACTGAAGACGCTTATCACAATCTGAAGCAGCTCGTTCCCAGAGCATCTTCAAAGCATCCAAAATTCAGCATGAGCATGAGTTATCCATGTTGGATTCGGCTTCGCAAATACACTCTCTTTTGCCAGGTCTAAGCCAAAATCAGCTACACAGCCGCTCATGCAATCGAACCAGACTACAAGTATATGAGCAGCAAAGAGGCCAAGGGTGGTGCAGAGCACAGAATAAGCAGAGTTCGGAGACTTTCCAAGCTGCTAAAGCTAGTCCAGGCTGGTGCATAACACGTTGTGTGCAAGCGGCGGAAGGACTAGAAGGGGGTGCGACAGCCTCTTACTGTAGCATGCAAACAAAGGGGGGCTTGGCCGCCAGTTTAGAAATTCTCAAGAAAGCTGCTCACCTTCAGGCTTTTTCCGATGCTGACTTTTTCAAACCCTCTTCAAGTATGCAAGAGGTGAACATTCAAGGATGAAAGGACGCTGGTTGCAAACTCTATGAAAGGCTATTGCAGGGATGTTGCAGACCAACAAGCCGAGAAAAGACAAAGCAAAGTTCTGGAAAACTGGAATTGCTCCTGAATCTAATTCAAATTGGGACTCGGATTCCAGAGGGAGTGCCGCGCCCATGCAGGGCCAGGGCCACCTGGGGGTGATCGATTGGGGTTTTGCTTTTCTGCAGCAGGGGTCAGGGAAGGGTTAAGCGGGCATGTACTGGGTTTCTTGACCAGCAAGTTGCAACGGTCAACCATGCCAGTCAAACTTGGCTGCGTGCGTCTTAGTTACGAAAATGACGGTTAACCAAAACCAGAGTTAAAAAGCACACCCACTAACGTGGCCATAACCACTTGCATTCAAACGCAAGTTGCTCTGCGTAGCCAGCTCTCCACACTGCCTGCTCATTTCCACACACTACTGCAGAAGAGAGTGGGACGGGATTTGGAGTTTGGAGTTGTCGCCTGCGGCCTTCCACCTTCCCGCCGTTTGCTTCCTGTCAGGCAGAGCCATTTGCTGTGTGCTTATTGCTCAAGGCATTACAAGCGGCCGCAGAGCATCCCCTGAAAATTCTAGAGAAAGAGAGGAGGAAGAATGGCGGACAGTTGGGGTGAGGACAGCTACGATGCCTTTTCTCTTGGGTAATGGTTGTGATTGTTCGTGACTTGGTTTTTTTCAACAGGTCACACCTGGTAGATTACACTTCTTGCAAGTAGACCGCAGCATTCCAAGCACCCATCAAAAGGGCGGTTCCTTTGAGTCCAAGTTGCTGGATTTGGTTCAGTGCGTGCTGGTAAGATCCACCACCGTGGAAAGCAAGAAGTGCTTCTCATACGGAGGTGGCGCGGTCACAGATCAGCATTACGTAGTTGGTGATCTGATGATTTCTAGGGTTTTTTCCATCAGGATCCAGAGATGACCCATTGCTTACCTCTTACTTACGCGAGCATTCTTTCATGCTCAAGTATTCTGAACCATGTTCATGATAGTTTGTGCTCACGTCAACTTCTCCATCCCCTTCGTATTGTCTCTGGCATGCACTTTTTTTGAAAAGCGCCACCTTGTCTCGTTTCGTCACCTTAACAATTCTTTTATTATTACAATGCTGAGCAATATGACGATCATTGCGGCGCAGAAGGTTGCTTCCTGTGATGGGGTTCAAGCAAGCATTTGCATAATTTGACACGTGGGGGGGTGGACAAGGCTTGTTCTACTGCCTCATTTTTGTCTTCCCTGGGGCTTTATGATAGTGAGTGAGTCATAGATTGTTGGAGAGCAAGTGTCAAAACTATGAGGCTTTGTGATAGCGACTTGGAGAATGTTAAAAAGGAGTGTTGCTGGACTATGACTGATCAACAGCCGGAAGCCATATTGTGGTCTTATTGTGTGCAGTCTTTGGTCTCCCTCCTCTTCTGTTTACTAGAATTACTAGTAGGAATGAAACTGCATGAATGAATAGTGTGATCAAGGCAGATGCCCTTCTTGTATTTATTATTCTTATTTCGGACTTGCTTCGTTTGAATCAATCATGCCGCCAGCTATGTAGCCCCCAGAATGGGGGCAACACCAATCAATTGGTGTTGCCCAATCGGGGCTTCAGTTCGCTCGACCACCTAAGATGATATAGACTGGCACTCCTCAATTGGCTCCTAACTAGGTCTCTGGATCATTGCAAATGTCTTGCAGACATGCTTTTTTGGATCTTGCTTTGTCTTCAGGGCTTTGAATTGCTGATACCGCCCAACGGCTCAATTTTGAAGTGTTTTCTTGCTTTTGAAATTCTTCGACAAAGTTCTCGTCGGGGCCCAAGTGGGATCCTTTTCACCGCTGTCCAGACGATGCGAGCGTTATAATCGAGGCCCCCAACTTGTCAGATTGTATTCATCATCCTCCAAAGCTTGAATCGCCACGTTTTACCAGCTTCAGATCCTTGATCCTATCACCCATCCTCCTGCAGAGAACAAAGAAAACAAGCACTTCACACAGTTTTTGGGCATCAAGTCCGAGGCCCCCAGTTTCTCAAATACCAATAGCCAAGATACAAACCTTTCAACTACCAACAGCCAAGATACAAACCTCAAACCTTTCTCAACTTCTTCACTGTTGATTGTCCAGCCAGAGCGTGAAGATTTACCTGCGGCCCCAGGAGGGTTGGCTGCTAAACTCAAAACCCTTAGCCACCACAATTTCCCCCAAACCTTCTCAACCTTGACCCATCATCGATTGGTTTGCAGAGGACGATGATTTCGAGCCCGCGGCGCCCGTCGCTCCCCAGCCCCCGGTGAAGGGAGCGTGGGACGATGAGGAAGAGGAGGAGGAAGAAGTGAAGGAGACATCGGCAGATAAACCGGCTGTGAGGATCACGTCAGCCTAGTTGCTTGTTTGGGTTCATCTCTTATGACCGAAATTGAGAGTATGAGAGTCATCAGAGATTTATACTGGACGCTAAGCATTGAACCAGGATTTCTGGAGTCGCCTGGTGTTGGTCAATAGAAATTAAGGTACTGGTCGTGAGTGCCCCTCAGAGTGGTGAATTTCCTGAATAAACTTTGAACCATGATGCGGCATGTGCGCAAGTTACAAGATTTCAACCAAGTCTTGTGGGCCACTCCAATCCAGTTTATGCTAGCTGTTTGAGCCCTGCGCGGACTGCAGGGGCGGGGTTGTCAGATCTGGGGGTCTGTGAGGATCGCGAGAGCGGGTGGGAGTAGGAAGGAACTTTTGACAAACTGCTTAGCTATCATTCTGAGGACTTTGGATCGACAGGCGCCCATCCACTGCATGTAATTCGTACAGATTCTATTTGCTGCGGGTGCTCGAATCTGCTATTGTGCTCTGGAAAGTGTCTTTGAGGCTTGGAGTTGGAGGCACCGTCGACTGCTGTAATACTGACGAAGGGGGGCAAAAAGAAGACACCATATATTTCAGCACGCAAGAGATTGTCACCAAAGCAAGATAGAATCTGCCCAAGGGACAGGGGCACTTGGCTCTCTGAGTTCGCAGTTGCTAGCTTTGGGGGTCAGAAAGGTTGCACACTTTGAAATGTCTGGCGATGTTAGACAACCTAGGGCGGAACTCTTTCGTTGAAGTTCTACTGTTTCGAGCAATCATTGCCAAGCCGCGTGCACCCAGCCGCTGGATATTTGCAATTGGATGCGGCTTCTTTGACGAATGAAGGTAGACTGCTTTTGATCGGAGGTTGTCTGCTTCTCAGGCGGCCGCTAAACCGAAGAAGGATAAGAAGCCAAAGGCAGCCCCAAAGGATGAGACGCTTGCAGACCCAGTTGCAGAGAAGCTTCGGCAACAAAGGTGAGTTTCACCTTCGATCGAACCAGTCTGGTGTTTTCCTGAACTTGACTCACATTAAGAATAGAGATTAGGCGGATAAATGTTCGCCTTGGCCGAAGTTCTGTACGAAAGACGACTCGTTGGAACTAGCGTCGTCTTCGGAAGGGGGTTTGGGTCCCTTTTGGGATGCGGTAACCAGGTTTTGCAGCAGTAGCTTCATCCAACAGATGTTGCCGACCCTTACAGCTTCCCCCTTAAATTGATGGGCAAACGAGGCTGGGACTAAAGCGAGACTGAATATATTTGACCATGAAATAGGCGGTCGCTTTCGGCGCTTCCAATATGCTCGTGCTTTCGTTTCCGACTCTCCAATCTTTTCTGTCTCTTTATCTAACTTCTTTGCTGTAAAGCTGACTAAGTGCAGGTGTACGATGAGCAGAGTTACCTTGTTGGCCCTCTTCTTCTGTGCACGTTTCACTTACTCAATGTTCATATGGACCCATGCTTTCGCGTTTGCCACTCTATCCCTTGTAACCACAGTCGGCCCCTCTACTCTGACACAAGCGTTTCAATCCTCTCCGCTGCAGATTGGTCGAAGAATCGGACTTCAAGGCGACGAAAGAGCTGTTTGGGGGTGACAAGGAGGAGCGAAGTCTCGAGGGCTTCATCCCAAAGACCGAGGCCGACTATCTTGAATACGCCACGCTTGTAGCAGAAAAGGTTACTCCCTTCCAGGTGCGTACGTCCGCTGTCTCCGGGTACCGGATATCAAAGAGTGGAGTGCCGGGTACCACTTTCTGGAGTGTAAAGTGCACTTTTTGATCAGTCTATTCTGGCAGCTGGTATACTGTTGGTACGGCAATCAGGATCGGCAGAGTGTGTTTAACGACTATGAGTCGATTCGCTGCTTCTAGTTACAAAATGGCAAGCCCGCGGTCGAGTGACGTGTACAGTCCAGTCGAGTTGCTCAAGGTGTCGCGCCAGGTGATTTCGCGTCTCGCTTTCAGAAACTGCTTTCATGTCTTTTACTATTGAATAAAGGTTTAAAGAGGGATGTCATCGAGAGTGTGTGTATTTGTCGCTTTACATAAGTTGTGTACAACACTGACCCTAGCTTCTTTTCGATAAAACATAGACAAGAGTCGGAATCGGGCGTCATTTGGATGACCCTTACACAGAATTCTGAAGCTGGTTCCCTGCCCGATATTGGATTCAAAACTGGGAAATTCAGGCCACCGTTCTGCGTTCAGACCGTCCAGCACCGCACTTAAGACGTCGCTACGCATCGTTGAACCCTCGTTACGTGTGCAGGGTCCGATTGAATCAACATTGTCATTTTGCTCAACTCTTTTACGGCGTCCGCAAAGTATTTCTCGAAAGTTGTCTATTGCTAAGCACTAGTATGCGGACCGCTCAGAAGGTTTCATCAAGTCGGTGCTCACCAGTGTTCTGACTCCGTCTCACGGTAGCCTCTGTTTGAAGAGAAAGACGGCATTTTGCAGCCCAAATCCACCCATACTCATTTTCCCCTCATGCACAAAAGCTCCTTCTGTTCGTGCTAGGTCATAAGGCTTTTCCTCGTGGAACAGTCGCAAAGATGCCGTTTCAAAATCACGGCGGCTTTTGTAGCGAAAGCAACTGCTGCCGTGTGCTGAAGCGTCTTCGTTCCTTTCTCTGCAGAAAAGCTTCCACTACCTAACGATGCTAAAGCAGCTGTCACGTGTCGCTTCGGAGCCCTTGAAAGGCGCCGACGTGAAAGATCTAGCATCCGCGTTGACCGTTTTGGCCAACGAGAAACTTAAGGCGGAAAAGGCGGCGGAAAAGGGGGGCACCAAGGCGAAAGGTGGGCGCCCCGTTCTAGTTCCCGTTCCGCTCCATTCCCGTTCCGGGCTAGCTTTTAGTATCCGGACGGAAGCGTCAGATAGATGCAAAACCTTTGGACTCTTTTGTTGCTGCAATCGGAGTATTCCGACTTGTGTGTCAAGAAGTAGAGCACTCAAGTCTGTCTTTCTCGTTGCAGCAAAAGCGAAGCGGGAGCTCAAGGTTGATGCTGCGGACAACGACTATGGAGCTGCCGGAACCTACGACGATCCAGACGGTTATGACTTCATGTAGGGGGCCTAGAAACCGCCGGTCAAATTTGTCAACCAATGTCACCATGATCTGTCTAACGGAAGAGTCTAGTCCACTTCGATGTGTCCAACATCGATGCACGCACTCTAAATACCATCAGCAATGGCTAGCTTCGTGATTGCGCTGCTAATGCTGCATATGACCAGAAGAGAAGAGGGAACAACTGATTGCGACACTCCCAGCTTGTGTCCGAGTCTAGCCCCAGCTCAAGGGGTTTGACGAACAATATAGCTAGGGATTTCAATGAAATACGTGTCTGCACTGTGGCAGAAGCTATAATGAGTACGGTATGGCCGCCCTTATATGAAGCTTGCGTCAGGACCTGCTTGATTATAAGACTCAAGAGGACTCGAGCTCCTAAGTTTATATGCACATGCATATATAGCCTGCCGCCGCAATTGCACTTCATTTAAGAGGATTGTTTATGGAGAGCACATGGCAGCGGCGCCCGCCAATAACCAAAATTAAGTATGCCAACAATTTTGTCCTATCCTAGGCCCGAGCTAGCTGAGCTGCCATTATTCGTAGCGCGCTTGCCATTGGTGACTAGTGAGCATCCACGATCGTTATATATGATTCATGCAGAATATGATGAATCGCAGCATAGAGACCTATATCTTTGAATATATATGATAGTTGCACACATATGCAATCTAACTACAGTCGATCTCGTTGAAAGCATGCGTGCATAACGATGCTGCATGCACTGAATGAAGCAACACCAGAGCTGGGTCAAAGCTAGGAAAAGTGTTGCGTGATGCAGGATTTGTCTGATACACGTGTAGATCATTATTATGTCCCTGGCCTGTTGTAGCGAGCAACACCCCCCGGTACTCCGGCAGGTTCTGTTGCAACTTCTCAAAACCATAATCCATGGGGTAATTTGAGGCTTCGTAAGACACTTGTGCAAAGGTAACCCTCATACACCAAGTTCACATTTTCAGTTTCCTTTAACAGTCAACGCGCTGCTAACGAACAGACGCTTAGATCTTTGACGCAAGCTTGCTCCACTCGGTGTGGAACGCACCCTCCCCATCAATGCGCTCATAGGTGTGGGCGCCGAAGTAATCACGCTGGGCTTGGGTGAGGTTGGCCGGAAGCCGTCCCCGGCGGTAGGTGTCGAAGTACGCCAAACTGCAATCGATGCAAGGAAAGTGTTAGGCTCCAAAAGAGGACCAGAATTTGACAGCCATGGTGGACCCTTTAGGAGCGGCACACCCTCCGAGAAACGTTCTACAACCACTGGATTGAGATTGTGAAAATTTGGTTGATTGATCAACCCTTCCGGTGTGATAGACTGCCGATGATTGCATCGAAGCCCTATCTGGACCATTTGCTAAAGAATGATCTGGAGGCAATCATGAGATCTTGGGTTTTTCTTTCGAACCTGGGCAGTCTTCGCTCAAAGTTTCGGATAAACGCTTCTACCTTGCACTCCAGATAGGGATAGGGATAGATGATACGGACGACTAACAGCCACCTTTTCTGAAGTCGCTCCCAGATTCTATCTAGTAAAAAATCAACGTGCTCAGGCGTCCTGGATCGGATGGCATATGTACCTGGCGGTCATGCCTGCTGTGCTGATGCCGGCCCCAATGGCCAACTGCAACACCTTCCGCCACGAACCCTGGCGGTCGACGAGCTCCTGCGCGAACTCGGCGTCAACGAGCAAGCTCGGCAGGTTTGGGTCGCGGTCGTACGCCTGCAGATTCAGGTAGATCGACGGTCAGCTGGGACAACACTAACAGCGTCTTGGAACCCGTGGTTCTGTAAGACTCTCGGACTGACATTCTTGAGTTGGTGTGGCCAAAGCACTTCTGGAAAACCGGCCTGAAAGTTCCTGAGCTTCTGGGGTTGGTTTGCGTAGGTCACTTAAAAAAGGTTGATTGTGGGTCTGCTGGAAGAATGCCAAAACAGATACTGCCTCCCTAAACAGAATCATCCGTGTCTCCGAACTGCCTCCACAGAGGTAATATTCACCATGTAAGGACCTCAATAGTACCGTCCCTCTAATACATTATGTGTTAGGCCTGACACCAAAGTAGGATTTCTAAGAAAGTGGTTCATACTAGGAGGCAGAACTTAGCGGGAGCTTGACTCTGTTTGGTACTCTGTCCGCAGTGGTCTTGCAATAAGAGGTGCAGCCATGATTACCTTTCGCCCTGCTTGTCGACAACTCCCCTTTGAAAAGGTCGAGACAAATCCACTTCTAAACCAGAACAGGGTTTGAAACCAAGTACCTTGAGAAGATGACTTCGAAAATGACTGTGAGGACAGAACAACTCTCCTCTCCGGCTGCAAGATTATAAGATTGCAGTGGGAAAAGCTACGTCAAACTTTCATGTTCGTTTCAATGGTACTTCCGACCTTCTCTTCTGAAATGAATTCTGGACCACTTGCAGACTAGCGCGATCCACTCACCTTCTTGATCCTGTCCAGGAACTTGGCCCGAATGATGCAACCGCCCTTCCAGATGCGCGCCAGCTCGCCGAGGTTGAGGTTCCAGTTCTGCTCCATACTCTTGGCCCGGATGACGTTCATGCCCTGAGCGTAACTGCAGATCTTGGATGCATACAGCGCCTGCAACAGAAAACGGTTGTACAATTCACGTCCAATTGGACTTTTGCCTGAACGGCGAAATGTTCAGGCAATCAAGGAATCTACTTGCGACACAAATGATTTAGTCGCCTGTTAGAAACACAAAGTGGATTTCAGCGGAGCAATTAAGTTCTTGATCAACTTTGGAAATGAACAAAGTGTTTCAGGGTTCTGTCACTGAACGAATATTAACACTCTTCATCATTGGAGAACCGTCACGGTCCTGCACTTGCAATCCACATGAAACTCCTTTCAAGACGACCGGGGCTCTCAAAGACTACTCCAACAAATCCTACAGCAATGGCACGTCGCATCCTAATCCCGCACTTCCCATCAGCCGTGCAAGCTCAATGCCAGCTATGATGGCATGTCCTGCATCCGGACTAGGTCAGCTGTTTGTGCACCTTATGTTCAAAGGCAGGACCCCATCTGATCGTTGTTCCATCAGAGGCCCCTCCCTCACCTTGCGCACGTCGTCAATCAGCTGCTTCTTGTCCACATTCATGTCCGCCTGCACGTCCTGTACCCCCAGCTTCTTGAATGTCTCCGCAGCCGCAACGCGCTCGTCCTTGAGGGCGCTCAGATACCGTGCGTCCAGGGAAGCGGCAATTGTTGGAGCAGCAATCGCCAGCTCGGCTGCCTGCTGCACTGTCCACTTGCCGGTCCCCTTAGAACCGGTCTTGTCCAGGATCACATCGACGGTGTCTCCATCCGTCTTGTCGTCCTTCACTGTGAAGATGTCGGCGGAGATCTCGATCAGGAAGCTCTCAAGCTCGCCACGGTTCCACTCGGCAAAGGCCTTGTGCATCTCCTCGTTGGTGAGGCCGCCAACGCTCTTCAGGATGTCATACCTGCAAAAACATGCGCGATGTGAGATCTCTTACATTTATTTCCCAACGTCCGGGAGACTACTTGCCACTGCCATCAGGAACTAGGAAATGTTCCTTGTGTCCCTTTTAGGCCAGAAAGAAAAAATGGCAGCAAGAGCAAGGGAGGAAGGAGTGCCGAAAAAAGGCTTAAGGTGAGCATTCAAACATCACAACTTGCTGATCCCATGAATTACCTCTGGCAACACTGCAACAAATCAAGTATACATGGCCATATCTCATTCCAGACCATCGCAATCACAAGATCTGAGAAGTCAAATCCGCTCTTCTTTCCAGTCATTCAAGAACCCTAACCTTACCTCAGTAAGTCAACCGGCAGGACTGAACGCAAGAGTGGAAGCAACTACCTGGGAAGGTAAATGTCACTTTGATCTCAACTCCATTCAAAAGAGAAAGCAACGCGCCAGGGTGGAAACAAAGGGGGACCAGAGCCCTTACGCTTCGGCGATCAGCTGCATGTCGCCGTACTCGATGCCGTTGTGCACCATCTTGACAAAGTTGCCGGCGCCCCCGGGGCCGATGTATGTGACACAAGGGCCAGAATCAACCTGAGCTGCAACCTTCATTACGATAGGCTCAATCCTGGCGTACCCCTCAGGGGTGCCACCAGGCATCAGAGAAGGACCATTCCTGGCACCCTCCTCGCCTCCTGACACTCCCATCCCCATATATGCAAGGCCCTTGGCCTCAACCTCCTTGGCCCTCCGCTCCGTATTCTCGTACCTTCAGACAGTAGACCAATCCAAATCAATCTTCTCAATAATCTTACTTCTGAGATACATATCAAAAAAGTGCACAATTGAAAAGACAATACTGCGACCAATACTGCGACCAATTGTACATGGCAGTATCGCCATCATGTCCTTTCTGAAGTCAAGTCGCATCTGGACAGAACAAACGTGAGACCCCAGAATTTTGCTAAACACACCCGTCCAATGAAGACTACTGCACCACTGGGTGCTGCTTGCGCTTGCAATCATTGAGATCCTGCATTTTAGAAAGGTAGGTCTGCTGCGCAACTGACCATTCATTGCCTCCATCGATGATGATGTCGCCTGGCTCAAGGTGCTCCGTCAAGCTCGTAATAGTGGCATCAACTGGTGCCCCTGCTTTCACCAGAATGATAATAGCCCTGCACAGCGGATCAAATTTGACCTTATTGCCATTGCTCCTGAGGATTGTTGACAAGATCAAAACGCGGAATTGGAACACATAGATCCAGCAGATCTCATTTCACTTGACAGGAAACGTGCATCCTGCACCAACAATCTAATATTTTTGTCTCTTCAGCTGCCAATCCAAGCCACACAGGACTGTGCTCCATCAAAGACGGTCCACTGCAACGGAATTGCTGTTTGAAGTGTGCCTAAGCTTGAAGTCATATGTGTGTCAGGCTCATACCTTGGCTTTTCAATTGATTCCACAAACTCCTTCACATCGTGATAGCCTTGGACAGGCAGGTCTCCCTCCTTCTTGGCTCTCTCCACTGTGTCATCGGTCTTGCTTGCTGATCTATTGTAGACTGAGATTGGAAACCCTTTCTCAGCAATGTTCAGGGCAAGATTCTGCAATAGCGACAAAAGTTGTCATCACTTATACCATGCAGTGACTTTCAATTGGAGATGCAATGTGGTCCAGGATGCTGCTCAAAATGGCAGTACGCTTCGAACTAAAAGAGGCAAAAACATAAGAACCTGATCCCACCAAAAAATCTGCATCAATTATCACCTGCTTATGAAACTAGACTTTCAACCAATTGCCTACTCAAGGCAAGCGCGATTGCAATGCTGACACCTACCTGGCCCATAACAGCCAGCCCGCAGAGTCCGATTTTTGTCTTGCCCGTCATCTTGCCTGGCGTACTGCAAAACCAGTGTTGATTGTCAGACCGGCAACCAAGAACACGACGGTAACTGCCTCAATGCAACATTGCTTTCGTGGTCGATTTCAAAGGGCTGGATTGTCGAGCTGACAGTGGGAAGATCTGCATGCTGGCGCAGTATAAGAATCAAGCTATGGACAGATCAGTATATGCATAGATGCAAACAATCTCTAAACTTGATCCAGATCCAGTTCTGTCGCGCTCCATCAGCAGCTGACATCGAACCACCCACCTTGTGACAGCCTGTTCACTTGCAACAGCAGCTCTAATGGCTGCGCTTCTGCCTAGGGCTCTCCGCCTTGCTTGTCGAGAAGGATATTCAACAGCTTCAACTGCTGGCGCTCCTGCATGACATATCACATGCACTTGAGACAAGCAAGTTTTTGCAAGAACCGATAACAATCATGCGCCCCCAGCCTAATCCCAAAGTTCTCTCGAAATGTGCAGCATCATACACAGGTGAACAGCGGAGACAATTGGAGTACAGAACAAAAGCGGAAAGGGTAACACAATTGCATGCACCGCCCTCACCTCCAAAGTCCTGCCCTCTTGCGGCTCCCAAGAACGGGCTTGCAGAGGAAGAAGGAATCCTTGCTGAGAAGCTGGGTCGCTCGTTGACGCTACCCGAGGTGCTGGCTACAGAGGCGGCGAACGCAGGCGCAAGCGCAGCGGCATGGAACGCTGCGGAGATCGACGCCATTCGCTCAGCAAGGAAGCTGCGCGATGATTTTCTTGCAAATGAGGATCACATGGCAGGAGCATCCGCCTATCAAAAGCGGTCATGTGTACTCCACAAAGTTCGATCTCACAGGATTTCGAATCCCATAAGGGGGCTATAACGCCTCAATCTCGCATTGTTTCGACTCCGAATCAGGAGTGACTTGTACCTTTGTTTCGACGAATAACCAGAAGCATACTTGGTTTGAAACTCCATTTCAAGCATTGTGTCGAAACAAGGTTAACGGCGGCTGAATTAGCTTGTCATAAGCTGGTAGTTCGACTTTGGGTTCGTCGAAAAAGGGTTCATAAGCGAGCGCCGGCGGCACGCTTACCAGGGGCACAGCTTGGCACAGCACGGGAAGATTTCTCGCAAGATTTTTGGTCGCCGGGAAGAGGACTCCAGCATGACGCTTTTGCGGCGGAGATATTTCCAATGCTGCGATCTGATTGGCTGCAGCTCGGAAAGGACATTGCCCACATCAGCGGGCATGGCGTTTTGCCTTTTGGAAAAGGCACTTTTCGGAAAGCCGGAAAGGCGACAACTCTGCATTCTTGTCTCTTTGTCCAGCTTCTTTTCTCTCTTTCTTGGTCAGCGAACCTGCTCCCAGCAGCTCCCTCCTCCTCTTTCACTTTTCTTCCACCTACTTTCTCCACCTCCTCAGAGAAAAGCTCGTTTTTTCCCTCTCCCCAACAAAGTGCATTTGCTGCTCTAGCAAACATCAGATCCAACTTGACTTGGTTGAGATAGAGTGGCAGACCCTCGTGTCAGTATTGCTTTTAGAAGCTGACTTGCAGCATTCACGAAGAAGGTTAGTTCAGTGCCCATTGTAGTAATGTACCTTTACCACCGTACCACCATTCCATCGTGGGGAAGAAAGCAGTAGGTGCTTGCTGCCCCTGCATTCTTATGCTGGTATGCTCGATGAATCTGTTGACAATCTGAGCTTTGGTCACGGTATTGTGGTAACAATCAACAGAGATGCCGAAAGCAAAGCAGTGCAAGGCGATCTTTTGGAAGCATAATGTGTTACACACAAGAAAGAAGATCTGCACTAGTCCTTTGACTTACTGTTGGAAGGTGAGAGTGCAAAAAGGTGAGAAAGATCCAGATCTCAAAAATACCGGAGGTCAACCGCTTCCCAAATGATGGTGCGTATTTGACCACTCTCTTGGTGAAGATCAGTATGCCTTGTGAGGAGCGCTAGCAGTGAGCTGTGACAATCTTGTAATGAGTGCGCCCTTAGTTAGGCTTTGCGCAAATGTCTGCGGCGTTGTCGGGGCGTTGTAATGGATGAAGAACAAGTTGTGTCTCTCCTCTGTGCTTGGCTCTGCAAAAGTGGAGGTAGTTCTCTCTGCTGTTGATGACAGGCAGCCACCGCTGTAGGCTGGTAAGACTGTGTTTCTCAACACACCACATTCACAGACTGGATTCACACTCGCCTGGTAGGAAGATACAAGTAACTAATACATGCTGGTTGCCCTGAACCTTGCATCAAAGCCTGTGATCCCCCCTGCAATATTTCATCGGAGTCTGCTTGATGCAGGGCATTGCCATCGCTGCATTGACAATCTTCATAGATCTTCCGCCTCATTCTTGTCATCGATATGGATAACGACTATCAGAAAGCATGCACGTTTCACAAAGCCTTATTTTGCCATGGCAAGGAGCTCAGATGTACACCATCTGTTGGCTTTGGCTGATGGTCCACACATAGACCAGCGTCCTGGGTCTATACCCGCCCAATCATGGAGTGCACCTCGTCGGCGCACGGATTTGTGCATGTTAGTCCTCTAGGCTGAGAGGCCGGCCACAGCTTTGAATATGGCCGGGCTCCATCAACTCTCCCATGTACATATGTGAGAAGTTTGCCGCATCCGCCGCTGATCCTTCAAATGCTCATACTGGACTGCCTACCATACATGTATGGTAAATCCATGCAACGTTTGAAAATCTGCGCCTCAGTTCGAAGTGCCTGCATTGTCAATGAGCTAGTAACTGCACTTGGCACTGCATCTGGCAGCTCCTAATGCATTTTTCATGGACATCAAACCTCATATACACCGTCATGCAGAAGTTTGATAACGACCTATATTGTGAGGCTAGTACGAATCAATCGCGGAACCATTTTGTACTAACGATAAAGCATGCATATACCTAAGCTAGGTAGTGATTAGGTACATAACTGAGGATCAGATGTCAGATATTTTTAACTTTAGAAAGTGAAATCTAAAAGTGATTGGGACATGCGGCCACGATATGCTCGTACATCACAACTGCCCATGGTTTCTCCTTCCTAGACAAGCGACGACCTTGGCGACTCTTGGCTGATCTCTCGTCGCCTGCTCGATGTCCCTAACCGACCCTGCGAGCCACGCCCCTGCAGGCTTCGACCCCTGTCTTCGTCGACTGCGGGGCTCAAATGCCCATCTTCATCCCCGCTCTCAACTCTGCATGCCAAACAAGTTTCCAGTCAGGCCGCTGGCAAAACTTGGTAAGCAACTGGGGCGAACCTCAAAGGGAAACTGCAACGAATTGTTTGACAAGGACCTAGCCAAACTTTGCAAACGAGATTTGATGAACAACTCGACAAAGGATATCGCTGCGAGAATGTCAAGAGTTCGTCCAATACTGCAAAACCAGTCCCTCTTCGCAAACTGTGACTTGACGTCAAACCCGTCTTCGATGCGCAACACGGCAGCTGATCAAAAAGTCCCGAAGCAGGCTCCTCGGCATCCAAATAATTGCTGACGTCACAAAAAGGCAGGAGACGGGTGGACAGGGCCTCACGCTTCGTTGTCGTCCTCCCCGCGGCTCCAGAGCGCCGCGAGCTCGCCTCGGTACCACGCAAGAATCAAAAGCGTGCCTGCAAGAGCAAACCCGGTCCGCAATTTGAAGGTGGGCAGCAACCCTGGTATGCACTTTGCAGGTGGGCAAAATCGGTGCACGCTCTAAAGGTGGGCACCGAATACGGTACGTTTGTGAAAGCAACCAGCAGAACCGATTCGCGGTCTGAAGGCAGTGCGCGAACCGGAGTACGCTGCTGGCACTGCTTTTTGGTTGGAGGGATTGACGAGAGCAAGATGAGCCAGAACGCGACAGGGAAACGTGTTACAATGTATGTCGTACGGGTTGACTATCGACAAGATTCCGCGACACTGCCTCGCCAGCTTACATGATCAAAACGGCTGCTAGAGTCGACAGACTGGTTTGAAATGCTCGCTGACCAACTGTTGCTCTACTTAAGCAACAATTATTCCTTAAGCAGAGCCGTCGACGAGATAAATCTGTACAGTTGTTGTGTGTTTTAGCTATTATACGGAAGCTCGACAGAAATAATTTCTTGTAACGAAAACCGTCTGCAAAGGGATTGCTTGACAGCGACGTCAGCGGATGATACTTTTCGACACTCTTCGGGTCCCCTTTTTCAACATAGGGGCCAAACGAATACCATCAGAATCGAGAGTGCACCATTGAAATACTTACCCAGCGTGCAAGGGACCAAGTAGAGCAGCGCGGGCTGGCCCTGACCCGACATGAGTGCCAACGCCGCATATGTACACAACAGGCCTGCGATATTGACACAAGAAACGGGGTCAGTGTAAGGAACCCGTTTGAATACAACGGTCAAAGGTGCTTGGAATCCTCCTGTCAATCCCGAAAGTCCAGATGATGTAGGGATGCAATCTGCGCTACCGAGAGACCCGCAAGTACGAGGAGCCTAATGAGAGCTATTAAATTTGACGAATTTTTGAATTGCGACTCCAAAGAACTACGCCGCGTCCACGAGCATCACGATCCATTCAGGCCTGCGTGAGAAGGATAGGCGATGCTCACCAACTCCATACCCTATGCTTGAGTATAGGAAGTATCCACCCGACCACGACCGCTTCTCTTCGCAATCAAACCTGCCAACAGGTAAAACGAGCTTTTTGAGCACACTTCCAGCAATATCAGGCTTCTTCCGTCAAGGATAGTAGTACGGCTACTACCGCCGAGTTAACCCCCAACTGAGGGCAAGCGATACTGATCGGTGTACAGAGCCCTTTCTCCACGTAATGTGAATGCGACCAGCATTGCATTCAAACTATCATGACACACGCCGTACTAAGCCTTTTCTTTGTAACGTGAATTTATGCGACCAGGCCTGCAAATACGTGTTCTTAAACTCTTCTTCTTTCCTCACCGTGTGTGAATGCGACCATGACGTGTTCAAACTATGCTTGACACAAGCCTTTTCTCGACGCTGTGTGTATGCGACATGAACGTGTTCATACTATGCTCGACGCACGTCAGAGCCTTTTCTCACCGCAGTATGAATGCGACCAGTAGGCCCAGTAGCACTATGTCCCCAAAGCCTAGCGCCAACCAGGGAGGGAGTCACACTTTTTCAACGCAAACCACTCACGAGCCCGTTCTCACCGTAGTGTGAATGCGACCAGGAGGCCCGGTAACACAATGTCCCCAAAGCCCAGCATGTTGTACCCCCCCCACTGGTCCAATATCCGAGGCACTCGCAGCAGCATCGGCATAGCTTCGCCGCCGCTGTTGAGCCCGCTGGCCACCTGAGAAGGGGGGGCAAAAATACAATGTCTGTCCTTTCAGCAGGAGTAGGGGATGGATTGACGATGAGCGAAATCCGTGTCGATACCGTACCGGTGTGGAAATGGCAGGATCCCCGCAAAAGGTGTACTATTCGTGGTTGTGTTAGTCCTTACGAAATAGTGGTACAAAAGTTGTGAACGGGGAGGACTCCACGGCCTCTCTTTAATTGAACGATGGAGCGGCAGAAGTTATAAGGCAAAGGCATCGATCCATGTTTCCCGTTCGTATGACCGAAAGAGCGGCCGAAGATTTGGTTACTGGAGAGAGATAATGTGTTCCCTTTTTGTGTACTGAAAGAACGTTAGGGAGGCCAAAGAGCACAAGCTCACATTTTAGAGCGTCGAAAAGTCTGTAGGGATGATCAAAACATTAAGGTTGCAGCATCAGCTGACAATCGGCTGTCAAAGACAAAAGCATGAGATTGAGACCCTTTCTATCAACAGTCGTAGAATGAGATTGAAGAGCCCCTAGCGAACCGTCTGTGTCTTTGTTTGTTCAGTCGAACAACATCTTGGAACGGACAAAGCAAAGCGGATCCTGAAAAGGACGCTCGTTTTCCTGAGGCTTGCTAGCAAATAGGCAGCACAAATCTCAAAAGGACCGGAATCCTTTATGAAAGGCAGAGGAGTGATGGGCGCACCGCGATCATGACGCTCTCCCCATTGAAGAAATAGGGCGAGAGGAACACCCAGAAGATGTCGTACGCAAACGCGAGCCACAGCAGGAGAGACGACACCTGCGCATCGGGCGGGAAAGAATAAATAATTGCAACATCGGATCATTCCTCTCGCCAAACAGGCATACGTGACCGGCTCAAGCACCCAAGTCCCGGCTTCGACTTGCGGTAGCAACAATGGTTACTCTGAACTGACTTGCAACTCAGCTGAGCGTAGTTTGGCCTCGACAACAGTATGCTCCTGCATTGAAGAGGCACCTTACTGGATTTCGCGCAATCAGCATTAGGTCTCCTGAATGAGGTGCCCAGCAGAGTAATCATACTGCTAGACCACTGGGATGGTCTGACAAAACGCCACAGCTACACTGATGTTCCCTGCTGACCTTGTCAAATCGACGTCCTCGTTTCGGTACGCTTGGAGGACATAGCACATGTTCACCGTGTCCATGACGTCAGCAGATTACATCTTGGCCCAACAAGTTGAGCACAAGGTCTGGAAAGCCTACCTTGATGTTTGGCAGTCGTGCCATCTGCAGAACGACCAGGATCAACGCGACTCCCTGCAGAAGACAACGAACGCGTCAGGCCTACACAAAAATGACTCCCCAGGGGCAAATCGGTTACCAAAATGCGGACTAAGAAGGTAGCCGGATAGCCAGATGTGCCAGACTCAGTCGATCGAATCGAATGGGTCTCTCGACCCGTCCGCAAGTCGAGGATTCGACAAGTGTCAAGCATCTGAATGGCCACTAACCAGGACGTTCAGCGGCAGTCGACAAACCAACAAAGGATCGCGGATAGATAACAACTCTGGTTCGTATTAAGTATCCAGGCCGTTTCCAGACCCAAACCTGCCCAGACGTCCGAAAGGTCATCAAGCGTCCGAATGCCGGCTCACCAGGACGTCCAATCCGGCCGCGGCCCAGTCCGACTTCCAGACGCACTTGACTGAACCGTAACGCTTCAGATACATCGGATCTCCTGACCCGTCCGAAAGTCAAATGTTGCATCACGTGTCAAGCGTCCGAATGCCCACTCACCAGCACGTCCTGTCCGACCAACGCCCAGTCCGTCTTGCAGATGCTAGAACGAAACTCGAATTCTTTAGATCCTTCGAGTCTCTTGCTCGTTCGAAAGTCGAACTTCGAAACGTGTCAAGCGTCCGACTGCGTACTCACCAGAACGCCCTAGCATCTATCGACAAAGGCTCGCGGCTTTTCCTGAGCATGCATTGTAACGAGGATCTGGACGCGGTTCTACTCCCCGGATCTGCCCGAAATATTCCGGACACTTTTCAAGCGTCCAAAGGCCAACTCACCAAGACGTCTTGTCCCACCCAAGCCCAGTCGGACTTTCTCCAGATCGCCCAGCAAAGGCCGACCGCCGCCGCCACCGGCAGTGAGATCAGCGTCGGGGCAGGCCAGTAACCCAGGTAGGGCAGCTCGGCGCCGCGTGTGGTTAGCGCTGGGGTTAAGACCACCAGCAGGCTGCTGAGGCACTTGGAAAGGCCCTGAAAGAAAGAAGGTTTAGTTTACCGTTTCGGCTGTGCTGCCAACGATCTGAGGTGCCCAGATTGGAAGGAGGTCGGAATCTACACGTCAGTAGGCCCCAGTGAACGGTGGAACGCCCAGACCCATCGTTCCTGATAAGACAAATAGCAAGCGCACAATCTCAAATGTGCAAAAGGCGGGGCGAAAGGGCGCAGTTCAGGAACAGCAGTCAACCAGAAGATAAGCTACTCTCCCACACCACTGAACAGTCGACCATCGAGCGTCCTCGAATTAATGGCAGGGCTATCTTGCAGAAGACTGCCTCCTCTCACTTCCAACTTGGTGTACAAGTTCGCCACCATTCAGCAGACTCGCCACCATGTTGTTTGAAACCTAGGCAAAAACCGTGGCTTTGGACAACACTAGCTTTCTTATCGGACGGTCCTTGAAAGCTCTGCGACTAGGCCGGGAGAGGCGAAACGCAACGCCGCCGAGTCAAAGGACAACTTTCTCAACGAGTCACTATTTTCAGATTGAGATGCTGACTACCCACGTCCTTCGTAGGCTAACTGGCTGCCGCGTCAGGTGACTCCCCTGGCAAACTCAGAGAACCTGGAAAGCTCTTCGAAAGATCCTTGCGAGCCAGGCACCCCGACGCCGCCAAGGCAGAAGACGACAATGAGCACGGAGGAAAAAGAGCACAGCAGCATCGCTGACGACATCACCCCTAAAACCGTGAAAATTTCAAGAGTCCTAAAACCCTAGAAATTTCAAAGTCCTAGCAGTTGAAACCCTATGCGTATCAAAAGGCTCTACAGCGAGGCGGTGAGCGGCGCACCTCAACGCCGCCAATGCAGAAGAAGACGATGAGGACGACGGCGAGGTACTTGGACATGAAGAAGAAGAGCAGCAGCAGCATCGCCGACAACGTAACCCCTCACACCGAAACAGCCTCAGAATCCTAAGACCAAGAACCCTGGACAGCCTACGGGGAGGCGGTGAGCGAGCGCACCTCAACGCCGCCGATGCAGAAGAAGACGATGAGCACGACGGCGAGGTACTTGGACATGAAGAAGAAGAGCAGCAGCAGCATCGCCAACAAAACCACCCCTCAATCCCTAAAACCCTGAATCCCTCTGGAAAAATCTCGAATATCTAGCTGTTGAAACCCTAGAGGTATCAAAAAGCCCTGCAGCCCGGCGGTAAGCGGCGCACCTCAACACCCCCGATGCAGAAGAAGACGATGAGAACGACGGCGAGGTACTTGGACATGAAGAAGAAGAGCAGCAGCAGCATGACCGACGACACCACCACGAACATCACCGCGCCCGCCACGCCAATGTCGATATGTTCCGCCTCCTCTTCGTCCTCTTCTCGCCGCGCCTGTGCTTCCGAGAACTTTGCATGAGTACTTTGATTTATGAGAACAAGAGGGAATGTGGTTCGAAGGAGTACCTCCAAGGTTTACGTTACTGAGAGAAGAAAGTGCTTTCGCTTCCCATCTGGCCGCGCCCGCCACGCCGATGTCGATGTGCTCCGCCTCCTCGTCTTCGTCGTCCCGCCGGGCCTGCACTCTCGAGTTCGATCTCAAGAAAGATAACAAGAAGGTAACCGCGCTTGTACGGGTGGTTTTACTTTGGAGGCTTGGGGTGGATAGGGGTACGGAGCAAGTGAACCACCGGGTTGGGCTGTCTAGTATCAGCGGACGATGATACTAGAGTATCGTTGGCGGGACTTACCACCATACCGGTATTTGATTTCGGCACCTTCGACGCCGAATGATCAATGAAACGTTTGAGAAATTCGGCAGACCCAAATTTGACCTACTAAAGTACAGTTATTGACCATTATCCCCTCTTGATGATTATATAAATGTTCGGGGCAGAAATCGAATAACAGTACGGTGTAACATCTCAAGCAAGCCACACTGTCAAGATGTCATTCTCACCCTCGTCGGCTCTGCAATCGGGAGGGCCTCAAAGTTCGAACACCATCTGACTCAATGATTCGAAGTATTGGCTTGCTTGTAATGCCAACGCGCAAACACATAGAGAGCCTTGGGGGTGCTCGGATGCACCTTGTTGAGCCGCTCGTACTTGCCCCCCTTTCGGACGTCCGATGCGGACCAGAAGGCGGCCGCAACGACGGTGCCAACGGCTACGAACCACAGGATGGCAGCGGAGGGGTCCAGAATGGGGCGGGGAGGTGCAAATATCCGCACTGAAACTGTAAGAATAAGCGGAATCGGACGTGGGTCAGCCAATCTTTCTTGCAATCTTTCCGTTCCAGAGCCATGCATTTCGTCCTGTAAAACGAGTTGGATGTGAATTTGCACCAAGGCTATGGAAAAGGCGATTGCTAAGCAAAGGCCCGTCCAGATTCTCTTCCCCGCTTTGAAAATGAGGAAGACCGGCAGGAAGACATGCATCGAAATCGCGAAAGGAGAGCGGGCTTCAAGCACCGATAAATATTGCTGCATTCCCTCGTTAGCTCTATGGATCACGTGGCCAATGTGGGGCGGCATCATAGAAAACCAGAACTTTGCTAAAATTTTGGGTCGAGAACTGCACGACCACTCAATGACGAGAGACTGAAGTTTAGATCGACGAGAAACCGCGTCTTGTTCTTGCTGCCGCAAATGACTGCACAAAACTGACGCACAAACTCAACTGCTGTAAAGTCAAGGAGCGCTTTCGTAGGCGAGAGCTTACCTGGGCCCTGTCTCATAGCCGCCCGCAGCTTGTAGCCAGCCGACTTCGAAATCATGACAGACGGGATGTCGATCTCCATTGTGGGAGGTTTGTCCTCATCGCAAGACATCGGGAAGTACTCTGAAAGAACGTCGCGAACCCAGCGTAAGCCAGCGCACTCAACGCCAAAACAGAAAGCCGGCTGCTCGTGTGAGCTTCTCCGTATGAACGTGGGGAGATCTAGATTCGAGAGCGATGTACCCACTGCCATCTGATGGCTCGACTTCTGTATTGAGGACGTCTTGGTAAGCACATCGGAGTTGTGTCCGGAAAGCTGCGCTTGCACGTCCACATTCTGGCTTTCATTGAGTCGCGCAGCATATTTTGCAGCCAATATCCAGATATCGAGATTGCCAAATTATTGTCAGGCTTATCCGGTTTCGCATAGATGGACAAGTTCTTTGGGTTGAAGTTTGGAAGTCATCTGGACTGACGGTATTCCCACCCACCAGTGACTAAGATAGATCCAGATGCTTCCGATAGTGCTCATCCAACTCCCGCAACAATTGCCTGATGGGACAAGCGCGGATCGAGGGGGTTGTACGTATCTACCTCACCATTTCGGTCTGGTTCAAGTCCCACGGGACCGAAGAAAGGTGACCAAGGACGGACAACGGTGCCGACCTTTGTGATCATGCCAGCATCCGCTTTCACATACATACACTTGTCTTTCCAGGGAGACCAGACGATTCCAGGACTGCCCACCTTACCCTCAGCCGTGCTGATGACAATGAGTCCCACGGCGCCTTGCTGCTGCGCAACCTCCGCTTTCAGGGAGAAAAGGCAGTCGCCCCTCAGCGCCACCGCAAGCTTGCCTTTCAAGCTGGCCTGCTGACAAGAGTGCACACTTCTTACTGTCGGAAGGAGCTTGAAGAAACAAGTCGCAAGTGTAATGCCAGTCTTGGCCACCTCACTTGACCCTGATTGAGCCCGTTTGCAGAGATCAGACCATCGGAGCGTCAGCTTAATCAGTCAATTCACTTCTTTTCTCAAGTGGTGGAAGTTTGAGTTCTCTGGCGGCCACTCTGACAGAACCTGTAGTCGGTACGGGGCACACGATGCAGCCCTTAATTAGGGAGCCCTTGGTTTAGGAGCCCTTAGTAGACTTATCTGATTAAAGATCTGACTGCATTCAGTGTGAGAAAGAGATAAAGGGGACCGTTTACCTCATGCGTTTATCCTGACGACAAACCCAATCCAAGTTGCAAAATCTCCCTTGTCTGCCCTCTGAAAAGCTTCTGGGGCTGCCTTTGGCCTCCAGCAAACTCAGGGAGGAGGCACAACCAAAAAAGATCCCTTATGAGTATGTCGTAGGGAAGCTGAATCACCTGCGCATCCGACCTATTGCACCCAGTGAGAGGGGCCATAAGCTCAGCTACCAATGGCAATGCGTCGGTCTTGGCAACCGGCACCCTGCCCCCAAAGAAGGAGGATGCGCCGACCACCTCTTTCGACGCACCGCTCTCGCCTTGGAAAGAGAGCTTAACCTGCAGGTTATAGAGAGACTTTGTGAACATGGGCAGAATCAGGCTGTCCTTAAATGTGTCTATTGATCAGCAGTGCCTTGCGAGCTTACCAGGATTGCAACCTGATGCTTTTATTAGAGAAGTTCCGTTCAGACCACCATAGCAAGGAGAGTTTGACAGGAACAAGAGAGAATTTAAGCCTCCTACACTTCCTCGCAGTGCTCAGAAGGGGGCTCAGTGGTGTGAAAGAAAGGGGGGCAGGAGACATGAAAGAGTGCTGACCAGCTGTGCGGTGTTGTTGCAGCCTGGGGCCGGCGGCTTTCTCTGAGTGAGAGCCTCGGTGCTATTGATCCCCATCGTCTGTGCATCGCACACAGGCAATGCGAGGGTGAGGGCTCCCAATATGAAAATACATAAGCAGAGCACGGTCTGGTCTGTCCTAAGAGCCATGGTAGACCGATCCTGCTAGGTGCCCCTGAACTTGCAACCTGAACGCCCTCAAATGATCAGCTGCAGTTTGGCTTTGTCTGTGATCAAAACAAACCCTCTGGCCACCTCTGAAACGTGTTGGAGACTCGGGTAGCGCTTCTGAGCTCTTAACGTCCCGGCGTTCAGAGATGCTCAAGCTGAAACCCTAATTCTAGAACTGCAATCACGGAACAATGTCTGCCTCTGGATAATGCCCAGGCTCTGTTCTGCGCTGCGTCGTTTCCCCTTTTGGACACAGCATCCTTCCACAGCCCTAGGAGTCGGACCCTCAACCATGCTCCCAACTTCTCCCAAGCAGACCAAGCACTGAGCAGCTGCTGCGCTGTGCCCGCGCTATGCACAGCACTCGCGCAATCTGCACGACTGGAATCAAATTGAATCTCGTTTCCGACGTAACGCAGAGAAGTCAGGCCGACCTATCGTTACAGAGGACGAATGTGTAAACAACGTACCGGTACTTGTAATCTGAAAAGCTTCTTCAGGGGCCCATGGAACACAAGCATTGAAGCAAGAGGCCAGAGCTTCGGATTGCTGAGGAGGGGCGCAGGAAGCTGGTTGTGAAGCTGGTCAGTTTGATGCGAGAGATCCTCATCAGTTTCAAGCAATCAGGATTCATTCTCTCCTGAAGAGCAAGCTGGCCGTTTGATCGAAGCTGTACAGGATTGCTTGACCTGCTGAGACTTTGGAGAGGAAGCGAAGCATCACTGCATTTGAAGCTCAACGCCTTCATCTATCACTTTCGATAAGCCCCTTGTTAGAGGGGGTTTGAGGAATCTGATCTGCAGTACAGCTTGATAGAAGGAAACCACCAACTGAAGGTGAAAAGCCTTTTTGGGAAGCTGGGGACATGGCCATGTCACAAGAAGGGAAGTTGGTGGCTATGATTGCTGATGAGGTGAGGCCCTACCACTTTGAATTAGTTGGCCGCAATGATTTGCAGTGGGCCTTGCAATTGCGCTTAGGCAGAATCTGTTTAATGCCTATTTCAAGTTGATACAACCTTTTCACCACTTCATTCAGCAGCAATGCCAACAAACAATGAAACGTGCGATGTAGTCTGAGTTCGTTCAAATGAGCTGCACATCATCCCTGCATATGACTTGCTCCAAATCACTGCCAGCATTTGCAATTCGGCTATAATTTTCCAGCTCAGACAACTTTCGTCACTGACCACTTGGTCAATCGGCAACTGTGATTGCCTGGCAAAACAGACCTAGAATTCACTTCTAAACTGGACTTGCTCATCGGCATATTTTCGCAACAATCCTGATGGTGGACTTCATTGCAGGATACTATCACTGGCTTCCTGCTCGCGGGCGTGGGGAATGTAGATCTGCGCAGAAAAACAAACTATCTCGTCGTGGATTCAAGTACGTCATCTGTGCACACTTTCTCCTGAAAAGGCAATTCGAGAGCGCTCTAGCAATATTGAGTATGTACGATTGCATCTGCGACTATACAGTCGCCCTCGCCTCCACAAGCACTACTGCAATCTGTCTTGGGTCGCGCCTTTCTCATTCCGACCCTCCCACAGATTAAGTTCTGAGGCAGCCTTGTTGGTATGGATTGCCAGTGTGTAAGCTCAGCTTTCTGAAGCTACTAACAACAAGATTTGATGCAGAAACGACGACAAAGCAGATCGAGGATACGTTCAAAGACTTCACGTCAAGGGACGACATTGCGGTGGTTCTTATTAGTCAATATGTGAGTTCTGCTTCTCAATGTGGTTTGGCTCATTGGCCTGGAGTATTACAAGTCCTCAATCGCTCTTTGATGTTACTGCAGCTGCTTTTTTCTCAGGGCAATTGTTATAATGCACAAGACTGCTGAAAAAAGTAGGTAGACTCTGGTCTTAGACGTCCCATGTAGCTTGCTTGTCTTGAAGACAATGAAAGATATAGCCTCCAAGGGACCAGTGGTTCACAGATACGGCATGTGTACATGTTCCTCAGTTGCTGCAAGATTGTCTGTGTGCTTTATGCACTTGAGATACATCCGTCCAGACAAAGCTTCCCTTTTGGCTGCAGATCGCAAACATGATCCGTTATGTGGTGGACAACTACCGAAACACCATCCCGGCTATCCTGGAGATTCCAAGCAAAGACCACCCGTACGACCCAAACCAGGACTCCATTCTATCACGAGTCAAGCACATGTTCTCTAGCGATCCCGCGTCCGCATCAAGAGGATAATGAAAAAGCGCCTCTGAACTCACATTCTCTTGTACATTTACCTTTCTTCCTCTTTATGTTCCTGGAGTTTGAGGCTTTTATCGCTTCATTTCTCAGTATCATGCAGGGGATATCTTCAGATCGGATCACTGAGTCGGGCCTTGGAGCAGTGCAAAAAAACGGCCAGGTAACTCTAGCATGCCTTCCTCAGACAACCTCAATCTGGGTTGCCTGACTCATTCTAGAGCTCAGGTCCTCCAGACGCAGGACGGTCCCGCGCAGCACTCTGTCCAGCTACATCATTGTGCCATGGAGCACTGTTGGATCAGTGCACTTCACAGATCAAGAAAGAAGTGAGCAACCATCAGATGCCAGCGCGCTTGCATGTTAGTACTCTCGAGTTTCTTATCGGCCTCAGCCCAGTCAGCTTTTTGATGATACATCACAAGATATGCGAGTGATCCAGGCGATTATACTTTAGCGCTGCATACATGCCATAACTAGTGATTGTTCTCATGCCATGATCATGACGTGTGTCGTCCAGGCGCTTGTTGTGATGGTCACGGACGGGCGGCCGCCCGGATGGCTAGATCTAGCTTTTGGCGCAGCCACACATGGTCGGGGCCATATGATAGCTCACATGGTGTGCAGTATGTACCAACAAATTGTACCGTACGGACGTACTGGTGGCATGCTCGGGATTGCCTAAGGATGCCCAGATGCGGCCAAAACCGTCCGTTTTACACTATACAGGTCCGTGCTTTGCGCTGCATCAGATCGTTCTGCCATGGTTGTACAAAGCTCGGCCCTTTGATAGCGCTGGTGTAAATCAATGAAACGCGTCTACTCAAATACAACACAAAACAGTAACTCCTAGCTTTCAAGTCATTCCCTTACGAAAGACTCACGTAAAAGCTTGCGCGCGCGCATGCGTCTCAATCCAAATACCTGGACTGTAGAAATTGTTCCAACGCGCACTGGCATGTCAAGCGTTGCAAACCCGCTACACTAACGTGCCGCCCAGCAAAGAATGTATGTACATTTTTACAAGATACAATCGGATCTTCTGACGACACCCGATTGTTCCTGGACGTGACTGTTTTATGAGGCAGCTGCTGCAGTCGGCTTCCTCGCCAGCCCGATCTTGCCAAAGTAGTCCATGTCCTGTAAGAGAAAAAGTTGCACACCGATTGACATGCGATATTACTCGTCAAGCACAACCCGAACTTTCGGGAATGAGCTGCGAAGTCCGTGAATCAGGATCCTCATACGTGCACAGCAGAATCGATTTCACGAGCCCCGTACACCGATGCACTGCACAGGGGTACCCAGATCCTTCCAAAAAAGGACAGAGCTTATGCAGGATAGATCTTGGAACCTCCGCCGATCCCGACCCCTCACCAGGAACGTCTTGTACGTGGCATGCATTCGTTCGTGTGCCGGCTTAGTCTCCGCAAAGAACGGCTGCTCGCTCACGATCTACAGAAAAGGAAAATGAAGCGCATGAGGGGACGTGCCGAACCTCACCAGCGCAAACGTATACGCCTCGAGCATGCGGTCCCGGTCCGCTGTGGTTTCCGTAAAAAAGGGCTGGCTCGCCACGTGCTGGATGATGAGGCAAGAGTTGACCATGTTTGTACGAAGACAAATGTTAAAGCTCGAAATGTCAAGCAACTTTTGGACCAATGCTTACAAAAGGGCTAGGCGAAGGTTTCGGAGAGGGTCCTGAGTACGCCGCAGAACCACGCACATGCTCGTAGAAAGACGATGAACAACCACCTGTCTAAAATAGGATCCCACCTCATCTGAACTCGAAGAAAGCCACGACCCAACATTTCAATCACGTGACATTGGGCAATCAGTACACCATCTCGTAAAAGAGTCTGGGCAGACGTCTCAAAAGCCTCTACTTTTGAGAGTTTCATATGGTTTTCAAATGTGCGGAGAAGCCGCAGAGAGAAGCCAACACTCTGCTCCGAAAAACGCCACAAAGTTATGGTCGATTCTCTTCCTTTTCGTGAACCTCGGCTCGCTTTCGGAAGGCGGAAAGCAGTCCAACCTCTTCGCCTGAACTGTGCCTTCCGTCGATCAAGGGTTTGTCGAACGGCGATGAGCCAAAACCACCAGGCCAGAAACCCCTGAGCTTGGCCATTCCAGTAGGGGTCCAGACATAAAGCTCACACGGCCTCTCACCTGAAAGTACTTTGCGAGCCGGGGGTGATCTTCAAAGAGGTCGAGGCCCCGGAAGTTTTCGAAGATGAACTGGAAGCGCCAGAGGAAGGGCAGGATCGCCGCATCCGCCTGCGGATAGTCGAAAGCTGAGTTAGCGATTAAGAATGAGGACGTAGATAACGGGTGGAGTCAAGGGTTCGAATATGGCAGGGTGTCAGACCCGACCAGCAGCGAGATTCTGATCTTTACCGTGCGGCAGAGGTCAAGGGTTTGGATAGCGGCAGACACTTGGGTTACGTCTAGGGACAGGGTTGAAAGGCCGCGGGAGCGGTTGAGAGACGAGCGCGCCGCTTGCGTCCCTAGTTGTTCGGTGAGCGCCTGGAGATCGGTTAGGAAACCATAGACCACCATATTCTTATTCTTACATGTTCTGGGCCCGTCCTGCGGTCAAGCCATTCCTCTCCTCGTGCGGCACACAGAGACAAGAACAATCACCTCTTCCCGATTCAATTTGCCCTGGTCCTGTAAAGTTTCCAGATTAAGCGTCTTAGGGTTGTGCTCGCAATTGCAATGCGCGACCTCACCGTTGAAAAACCACCAACTAGATATGGCCCCTTTCCCGCCGCTTCCGCGGCCTCCAGCTGGCGCTCCAAGACGTCGAGAACCGGCTCTGCACACAGGTGTGAAAGTTCTCGGAGGGAATCCAAAAGCAGATGGTTGTGATGGAGCCGATACCGGCCGACAGATCGCAAGTGCATCAAACCGCATACTGCGAAATACAATCCTTCGGATTTCATCTCTTTGAAGGCTGATCGAAGAGCCACTCGCTGCGAGCATTTATTCTAGATAAAGACAGCAGGGAACACACAAAGCCGATTAGACTCGTTAGTAAAGCCTTTCGAGCCAACTCCAACCGTGACCTTAATCACTCCCGCCTTGTACCCGTGCGCCGCGCCAAAGCTGACCGGAAAAGACATTGAAGTGCTCTCGGAATAGTCGCCTCTCGATATGAACCCCAGGAACAGCAGCAAAGCCCTATACTACGACACGCGAAGAGTCGAACATGCTCGGAGCCCAGACCTTTATTGAACCTCGGAACCGAGTCCCGAACCCGAACAAAGCGAAGGAACTGTGGTACCCATTTCTTTACATACGAGTTAGGTACCGGGACAGGGACCAGGTACTAATACGGGCTCGAATACCCCCTCATCGCGGATGGCAATCGACAGCGGGGTCAAAATCATATATCCGGGTGCATACAGGAAATGCACCTTGATAGCAGAACAGATCGCCTTGTGAGCTTACTTATCCCCTTCTTGTACTCGTGCGGCGCTGCGTCCTTCATACTCGCCGTGCCGAAGCCAAGCGGGACGAGCTCCCTGTCGCAAAACTCGACGAGCTTTTGTACGGTGACTCGATCCTCCTTAGACTGCAAAAGAAGGAGGTTCTCGTGTTTGATGCGAAAAGGCGTTTGGAAGAGGCCTCCAGAAGCCCAACTGCTCAAGGGGCACACCATTGGCTGGAACGTCGGACGCCGGTTCCGCGGCGGGAGGTTGCTGAGCGGAGTTTGGGTGGTCATTGACGACGTGAAGTGCCAAGTTGAAGCCGGCAAAGTGCGCAGCGGCGAAAGAAATGTGATTCGATGTATTAGTCGCTGGTGATAATTTCAGGAGATGGCTGTTGTTGAGGACAGCACTCTTTCAAGAGAGCAGGCCCAAAGTGCCTGCTCGACCTTCTCAAGAGGGTTCGGTTGGGCTCCGCCAATATGCTGCTTTCAGAGAGTGACCTCCGCTGATGAAACGGGGAAATCAGGAGTCGTGTGATAAAGAGGATATGTACATGCAAAACCTGCCTGCGGCGCTGATCTTTTGCACCTCTCACCATTGCTTCACCAGGGGAGCACTTGCGAGCGCCCGAAGAAACGTGGCATGTTACTCGGCGTCAAGTACGAGAAAACAGCGTTATTACTTCCTTCGTGCAGACCAGGATCGGGAGTCGGGAGAACCGGAGAGAGATCCTAGGCAGCGGCACGAGAAGACCGAGTTGAGGAAATAGGTGATCGACAAAAACGAGGGTTAGAGGAGGCAGGTTATACAGCAAGAAAGCATATGGAGTCCGAGACGCTCACAGCGGGCTCCAATTTCGGACCGTCGAAATGCGTGTCCAGGTACTTGAGCACGTCCAAGCTTTCCCCGGTCACCTTCCCGTTGTGCTCGATCGACGGGACCTGTAGGCAAGCCGAAATCGTCAACAATCATGATAACCATAAAAGCGTGAATTTCGACCACTGAAACACACACTTTAATTAGGTCAGAAGGTTCAGCAAATCTTGCTTCTGAAATGGGCGCATGACCACGCTCGGAAACCTTGAGTAGGTTACGAGCTAACCAATATTGTAATCGATCGCTTGGAACTAACTTCGCTGACCCCACAGGATAGACTTCGACGAACTCCTACGAAGGCCCTCAGGATTTCTTCAGCCGTTCCGGTCATCTTACAGAAACTCCTCGGAAACTGATGCACATCGTCGTCATCGGTTCTAGCTTCCAAACGGCGTCGTCCAGGAGAGCCAATCTCTTCGGCCCTCTTTTCGGGTCATGGACAAAGGGATAGCATGTCTTACGAAAATCCATCGACTATGCTTTTGACTCAGCTTTTGCACCGACAGTCTTACACAATGGAGCCACCTGAGACCCCTGTTTGTAAGTCCGCTCCCGACGGGCTTACCTTGCCCACGGGATACAGGTCCTTGTACCACTGCGGCATCTTCCGCAAGTCGACCTCCACAGATTCCAACTCGTTATCCAGTCCCTGAAAAAATCGGCACGAGATTCAAGTTCAACGCAGTGTCAAGATGGGCTCAATTACACAATCCGCTTCTTTGCAGATTGATCCGGGGGAAGAATACGGCATATTTTTCAGCCACACTAGATACGTAAACGGCCGTTGCTCAAGAAGCTCTTATCTAACAAGGTAGCCATGACATTGCCATGGCCAGTCAGGCACCGTAGCTTCTACGAAGACGAACCTTAGGTTTGATGGCAAGAAATGCGAGGAACGAAACTCATGAAACATTCTTCGGCACTCACTTTGTATTTGACACCAACCCAGCTCCGCTGAGCATACGGGCACATTGGGTTCATGTAGAATCTGCACCAGACATATTTGAAGATTGTTTTAGAGTTGACTTTGAGGCAGATGAGAGATTTTGAAGAGCAGACGAGAAGTTTAGAGGGAATTGTATGAATAAGAGAACACTGTTAAGGGACCCTGTCTGGACGAACTGCGGAAGAGGTTCCTGAACTCGATGAACCACCAAGCATGCACGATTCGAGATTACGGACCCACGTTCCACCAAGAGGCGGTCTGCTTGCTACGGAGCCCCGTCGACGAAATGCAGGATGGGACACACATGTAAAGCAGAAACACTAGAAGCCGTAGAGTGTTACATTTCAGAGTGCACTTGTTGTACAATCTAGACAGGACGTCAGGGGCATAAGGGGGAATTGGGGGGAGGACACTAGCTCACCGACTTTGGCCATCTTTAGGAGGGGCTTCCTCATACGTTTTGAGTTCAGCTCTGTAAGCAGAAAAGAGGGTCAGCTTCCCCAAACAAAGGGTTCAACATGTGAACGGAGAGGACAATCGATGCTTGTGAGCCTCATGGTGCCTTTTGTACACAGATCTCCAGCACATAAAGCACTACCTTACACCATGTTATGGCCAAGCTAAGGCGCTGACCACCAAGGAGTTAAGACGTGTAAGGCGTCACAGAGAAATGGCCTATGCACGCAAAGCATTCCCTCGGAACATTCTTATTCCAATTTGGTTTTCCGCTATTACTACCCTACATAGTAAGGGCAACCTTCGGGCAACCTTCGAAGCTGTTTTGGAAATGCCTTTTCAAACGAGTCACCTAGGAGAAGCAGCAGCTCTGGCCACTCCGGTGCGCCTCATTGATTGCTGCGTTTGGAAGAGGTGCTGAAGGTCGCTTGTCCTGGTCAATCGATGCGGTCCAGCCTTCAACCAAAGCCGATGGCCAGTGGCAATAGCAGGGCACACACTAGAGCATCTGTTGAACATGGAGAAAGTAGCGACTGTGAATATGTGGAAGAGAGTTGACACCCGCAAAAACTCAATTGTCACCCAACAAGAAGAACCCTCCCAATGAAAGTATGGTTTGGTCCCCAAACCACCCTACTTTTAGCAGCCTCACGCGGGGGAACTTTTCACGCGTGACCCAGTGTGTTTGAACGCCTTTCAGGGACGACGAAGGTGCTCAGTAAGGTACTAACTAGCTGAGTTAAGAACCGGGTTCCAGGGAACATGTGTCACAGGCATGCTAAGAAGGGGCAATGCAGTTAAGTTCTATCGGAGCGGTGCGGCATCATAAATATAGCGCTCGTCAGTGCATGTAAGAACAGCAAGAGCTGTAGGCTAAAGTACTTGGCAACATAGATGCACAAGCACAGCTCCCTTTCATAGCACGATCTCAAGTGGTGTAGAAACAGGATCTGTGGAAGTTTCGTACCAGGAAATTTGAAGCTGAACACAAAGTTCCTCAATGGTGCTAAGCAGTCCTTACTTCCAGACATCGCAGACAACAAGAACAAGTGAAACAGCATGCCCGATGGCAGTGGTTTGGATCCAAAGTGCTTTGACTGCCCTTAAGGTCCAGTTGACAGCATTGCAAAACCAAAGTATGCACTGAACATGCATGCAGAAGTTCTACACCTGCAGTTGACCAAGATGTGAAAATACCACCATTTGTGACATTCTGAGGAAGTAAGATAAGGGCACGAACCCATGAATGGAAACAAACATAATCACCTTAGAGCGCAACCCCTTGTGCTTGTCTTTTTCGCAGCCAGATGATGCAACACTAAACCTTCCAGCGTGGTGCCTTGCCAGCACACGGTGTTGGCCATGATCTTCAGGCGTCTAGGAGGCGTCTAACACATTAACAGCTCAACTTGTGCAATCTACAAGTTTGTTCGAGCAGAATGGCAAGCCCAGCGCCATCGCTCTGGGGGCAGGGGCAGCTGACACTGCCCTCGGCCGCCTCACATCGTACGGCCTCGGCGAAGGCGCACCCGCGATCAAGCGCCCGCTCGACACGGGGCTCATCAACGACTGGCAGCGCCCGAACAAGCAGGGCCGCCACACCCCGGGCATCGACAACGGTGTGCCGAGAGATCCAGGTATTCACCACTCTCGATATTCACCGTTTCTCATTTGTAATCTGTCAATATGCTTCGCATACTCCGGACCCCGTTTCTGCAAGTCGTGCACGTTGAACATACAGCCGTACATACGTCACACTTGTCTGCTACTCCGGACACAATTTGCATTGCTTGCGTTGCATTGCTTGCAAGCGCGGCAACCCAGTCGACGCTTCTAGCACCATCAATAACGGAATAACCCAACCGATTGTTTCCAGTAGCAAAGTCTCAGAAAAACAGCTTGCGATCTTCGGGCGATCTTCATCACGACAAGATCCATCAGATTTCTCACATTTTATAATCTGGGCCATTGCAGCCAGGCTTGGCCGCCTCCAGGTCACCGACAACGCAAGACTGATCGCCATGGCAGCATCAACACTGAGCAAGTTCTTCCCCAACCAGTCGGACGTGCTCGACGCGCTCGCTGACGCAGGCGTGGAAGCCGCAATCACCACTGTCGGGGGCGATTTCCTCAAGGAGTGCATCCCCATCAACCCCGGCCCGAGATGCAGGACCTGGCGCCTTGTTGCCGCCAACTCCGGGGCGAAGTCCTTCATGATGCGCCGCTTCCAGCAGCTGAATTTGAAGCTCCTCGAAGCGGGTCTCGAGGCCTCTGACTGGGGCTGGGGCACCAACAAGAAGTTCTGAGATAATTTTCCCTAGCCCATCTATATGGTAAGCTTGTCTTGGTGGCCAGATGGTTATGCTTGAGGATAGTCTTTGATATTTCACATTGAATAATACGTTGTCAGCAAATTGACGTTGCCTCGACGATTTGTATACTAGCCGACTGACACACGGCACAAGTAGATCACGGACTGACACAGCGTGGTCAGAAACAAACAAAAAGAACCGCCATTCGCTATATATTCACAATCACCCGTCCCGCAACTCATCTCGCTCCCTCATATTTTATATCGCAAATTTTTCATCGATGCATCACTGCCTGACATCGGTGTCAGCCCAATGTCGGCCCTGTTGATTTAACATCCGAGGAATTTAAATGCTATTTACCCCCAAATGGCTTCTCCACACTGCTCTTTGCCATGATGCGACCAGATTCTTGTGACGCCGCAGAAAAACTCCATTTATGCACGGAAAGGCACCCCTGGGGTACCTTTTCCCTCTTCCTGAAAAACCGGACGCAACAAAACAGGGCGTACCTGAAGAGGGTTTTTAATGGCCCCAAACTTTCCCTCTGCGGAGTATATTTTTGTGCATCGCACTGAGCGCATGGCATAGACTCCCAGTGATTCGGAGTAGATTCCACCCAAAACATTTGTGCCCGAATGGTCTCGGCTGCTGAATACAAGAGTTTGTTTGTCATCTTCTGCGGAAGGGGTGGCTGGCCCCATAGACTTACGAACGTATCATGCGGTCAATTCCATCCCGGTCTTCACAAGTACACAACAACTCTGTTGAGGGTTCTGGACTGCCGGCCAAAAAGATCTACTCAACAAGCGTGCTAGCGTGCTGCTCCATCGTACATGACTACCGTACCGACATGACGTGCAGCTGCATCCCCAACATGAAGCCAACGACAACTGGGCGACAACTCAGACCACGCCATAAGACCATGATGTTGTAGGCTAGCCTCACAAATAGTGTAGTTGGATGCTTAGTTGGGCATTGGTATGTAGCTTGCGCATGCAGTCGTGACCGGTCACTTTTGTGTAGTGTACAAGCAGTCTCTCCGTAGAGTGACTTTTTGAACCGAAGGTCGAGACTCGAAACAGAGGTGTACTCATTCTCAGGTCCATGGCTTCACCGCTACGGCCTTATAAATGAAGTATGTATGTATGTATGTATGTATGAAGAGAGGGGCCACGCATGGGGGAGCTTGAAGTAGTTGAAGTTGAAAATGGTCGATCAAGCGATTATCAGACTGAGGGACTGACCGGCCCGTGGACACCTTTGCGTTTTTGGGGGTTGTAGGGGCAATCTGTGTCTGTCGATCAGTGTGATTGTACAAAATGGGCCGTGTTAAAACGCGTTTGCCTGATAAAATGTGAACAGGCTCCGGAAAATGGGGACCAAGGGACTCTTCCTCGAGCGCCTGAAAAAATGGAAATGGGATGAACCGGGCCTTTCATTAGGGCTGAATTGTGCCCGGTTATTGGCCCGGGGACTATTTTTGTATGATTTTGGAACTCTGGGCAGTTCTAACTTCTGCGCACCTTGGATTCTGGAACTTGAGCTTGAAGCCCTTCTTTCTTGCTTGCAAGTTCTGCAAGTTGCATTTGCTTGCATGACTTTGCTGCTTGCTTACATGCTTGGAATATGGCGCTGGTTGAACCTGCAAGGAGGGTTCGAAGATAGTTGTTGCTTATCTTCAACAACTACTTGAAGGTAGAAGTAGGCTTATAGGTATATTGACGATTTCAGAGAGCGTAAGGGAGTTGTGTGATGATGCTTTAGGCATTTGGTGGAGGCGGTGGTGGCGGTACCGGCATGTGGTGGCGGCACGTCCTATTGACATTGTGAAGTTGCAGCAGACCTATGGCGGCCGCAGCATCTTCCAGCACTGACGGCCAAAACGGCGGCTCAGCAGAGCCGGGATGGGGCAAGAGGTGGAAAATAGCAGCTTCAACAACATACCTGATTGGTTTGGTGACTATTCGACATCACGGCATGCCTCTGTGCTTGTTTCTCTACAGTGTTGCTGCATCATTTGGCTTGAAAGTATCAATTGTACATCAGGTTTTTCACCGGTTGTGGTGTTTGTGAACACAGCGCCAGTCTCCATCAGCTTTTAGGGACCAGAAGAATAGACATGTACAAGCTTGCACCAAATATCTCGTGAACGTTCGTCACTATCACCTTGAATCAAACTAGGTACATCTTTGAGACTGCTCTTGTCAACCTTAGCCCGCACTTGCAATGTGAAGCGGCTTGCCTCTGCCGTTCACTATGATGGCATTTCTCAAACGTGTCTCATTTAAACGATGACTGCTTGCTTGCTGGTTGCAGTAAGCCATGCCTCTCAAGAACTCTTTGTGTACTGGTGATTGACTCGAGTCAGCAGCTACAGCAGCGTGTTGGTCGCAACAAGCTAATGAGAGTCCTCAATCATCTTCTTAGGGAACCGTTGAGGTCTGCCAGAATGTCGGGGAGCACGTGCTCGATCACATTCGACGGAAGCCTCCAAACACTTCAACTACACTTCAGGGCAAGGTGTGTGTGGTGACAGGGGGCAATGCAGGGGTGGGGAAGGGGACTGCTGAGCAACTGGCAGCTCAGGGGGCACATGTGGTCATCGCCTGCAGGTAAGACAGTCGCACTCATGCAAAAACCATGAAGGTCAAAGATCGCATTCTCTGGTAAAACATTTGCAAAAGCTCCTGATGGCCCAGCTAAGACTTTTCGTGCGTCAACTCAATCGCAATCAGGGCTGTCCTGCATAGGAAAGGCCTCAAATGCTGGTGCCATCTCTAGTTTTACCATGCAATTTCTAAATACGCGTTGACCTCCTGCACGTAGATCTGCAGAGCGGGCAAAGGATGCCGTCCAGGAACTGAAGGCCAAGGCTGCCGCTGCTTCAAAGAAGGGGCACACATGGGGCCCTGTGGAGAGCATGTCGCTTGACCTGTCATCTTTGCGGAGCGTGCACCACTTTGCGGACGAGTACGCACGCAGAGGGCTGGGGGTGGACGTCCTGGTCAACAACGCAGGAGTGATGGCACCGCCAGACAGGATAGTTACTGAGGACGGGCTAGAAGCGCAATTTCAGGTGCGCATGCTTGCGAAGCGATTGCCACTTTTTCGGCGAAGGCTTCATGTGACATTAGGACCAGCTTCATGGTCTTGAAGGTATCATTTGGGCGAAGTCTTCCAAAAACCATTCTTGCCTCTAATTGCCAAGGACAAGTGATCTTCCTCTCTTACAGGTCGATCATTGTGAAAAAAGGAATTGATTAGTTGACGCGAACCACACGTTTTGGCTTTCGTTGCTTGTATGCATGTAACATCTGAACATGCTTATTGATATTGCATAGTGCCTGCAACCCGCCCACTTATCCTACCGGGTCCACCGAAGCTAGGCCTGTAAAGCTCTTCAGATGGTACAAAGTGCCATTTCGCGCTAACTCTTGTCTGGCCTCTGCCCTTTTACCTTCTCGCGCTCGTCCGCCCCCTTACAATCACCGCTCCCCATTCACCGTTCCCTTGTCCTTGTCTCGCAGGTGAATTACCTGTCGCATTGGCAGCTCACACGAGAGCTGCTCGAACAGCGGCAAGGAGCGCGCGTGCGCGGGAAGGCGGTGCGGCCTTTGCGCATTGTCAACCTGACCAGCGTAGTGCACCAGGGGGGGCACATCTGGTTTGACGACCTGCAGTTCGAAAAGAAGTACTGGCCCTTCGCCTGCTATGGACAGGTCCGTCATCGGCTGCTGGCTCAGTGGACATATTTTAGATATCGTAATAATAATCATTGGAACTTTGTATTATTATCAGTACATACATAACGTTTTTATCAAGTGGACCACCGCTCTGGAAAATGAAAAGCTTGCCTGCACTCACGTTTCAACAAGAGCGTTGAGACTTTCCCATCCTTGGTCCGTGCTTCGTCGTCGAACTTCCACCTCGAGCTCCCTTCGAGGACTTTCTTCTGGCTTGAACTGCCATCTCACGTGCTTTTTGAGCTGTGCAGGCTAAGCTGGCGATAGTGCTGTCTACAAAGGAAATACAGCGGCGATACAATAGAGAGGGAGTCAGTGCGGTAAGTGATGCTGGGGAAGGCATGCACGCTGTTGTCTTGACCCTGGATCGACTTGACCGTCGATTTGCAGTGGTTTGGAAGCCCTTCGCGCTAGCAAGATACCTTAACCCGACGTTCACGAGATTTTGTTCGGTGCTGTTCAGGTGAGCGTGCACCCAGGGTTGGTTGACACAGAACTCGCAAGGTGAGATTAGCTGTTGATGGTCAGCTTTTTGCCAGACGTCTTGTTCTTACTTGGTTCCCGCTTCGTCCGTCTGTAAGTCTTGTGCAGAACATTACCCTCCTCCCACGTTCTTTTCCCTCTTGATGCTTGTGCACTCAACCTCCCTATACGGCGTCAAATACCTGCAGGAACTTCTTCACCGGAGTGCTTCCACGACCCCTTCAGTCTTGTTTACGTCCAGTGTTGAACCCTGTCTATACCGCCTTTTTACGGACACCGGAACAGGTAAGCTAGCTCATCAGTGTCTGCCTCAGTTTCCAGCTACAAAATCGAGCTCAGACTTTACGGTTCTGACGCAAAGCCAAGGTTGACGCAGGAGCACGTCCGACCGCTGGTCGTTTATCCGGTGCCTAATCCAGGGGTTTTGAAGGTGCCAAATTGTACAGTAAATAAAAGGATGCAGTGGAATCAAGTTTGGGCGTACGTTTTGATATCGTTAGTACACCAAAGGCATGTCTGTGTCCTTGAGCGAGTTCTCTGGACAGCTGCGTTCATTGTGCCAGGACTCACGAGAGTTTTTGTCTGTAGAATTTGGGTAGGCGGATCGAAGTCAATCCCCAATTTCCGGTTCACCCCCCTTACGGGTGGGTGGGTCGGTCGGTCGGGAAGAAATAATAGTTGGTTTTAACATTAGTATCTTTAGGAGATGGAGTAATTTAGGGTCAAGGTTCGAGAAGTTTGCCCGGACTCTGCAGATATTAAACTTTTGGAACCCAAATTCGACAAAGTCTACGGCAAAAGCCGACAATATATATCAGTTTTCCCTCTCCAATTTCCTGGACCGGAAACCGGGATTTTAAGTTCGCATGACGTAATGTGCAGGCCGTTCAGGACGTTATGATGGCCATCACATCGCCTGAAGACGCAGTGGGCGGGAAGTAAGGCTGTTTCCTTGCTTTGCTTGTTTTTAGTAAGCGGCGCCAATGACCGCGTCCACTTGCATGCCCAACGCATTGGAACGGAAGTTGTGAAGACGAGTGAAATTTGGATCGTTTACAGCTATGTTGGCTAAGTCATGTGAGCCCGACTGTACGCCTTGGCATTCGCAACTGGGTCGTTGAGGATATTGTGAAGCCTACTAGGTGGTCCAAGTTGTTCTACGGAGAGAGCGCTCCGGTTTCAGAGCGGCTGGGTTTAGAACGTTGCTCCACCCCTCCTCAAGCCTTGCTCCTCCATGTTGTAGGTACATCGCAAACGGAAAGGTCAGGGCTGCGAATCCGGTGGCTGATGATCCGGCCCTAGCAGCTCGGCTGTGGGAGGCATCGGAGGAGATTGTGCAGAAACGTTTGTGACAAAGAGTGCTCTTGCCGAAGTCCACTGCTAGGCTCCCATGCACGCAGCAACTCCTCAAGCCACTTCTGTAAGATATTACAAGAGATACGGGAGCTAGACAAGATGGAAAATAGACGGACATAAGCTGTGCAGTACGAAAGGGATTGAGCAAACTTTTTGTGTACCGAAATGTAACATACATGCAAGAGACATGAGGGTTGACTCCGGCCCATGCAGAAAAAGCATGCTCCGCGATGTGCCGTGCGCTTCATTCTTGGGTTTTCAATATGACAATCATTGATTGAAGGAGCCTATATCAGCCTACTAGCTAGCGCGCGAGTAGCAAACCGTTTATTACATTGTAAGGCTAATGATCGGCCTGCCGCCAAGATCATTCGTCGGATAACTTTGCTTAATATAGAGAGCTAGATTCCGATCGATCGGGCCTGCAATGATCATTGGTTTCTTATATATATGTGCATACCACACCGTACGCGATATACTATATAATTTTACGGTATATACCATACCGCGGTATAGTACCCATACCCTTTGCCAGCTAGCAGCTAGAGCTGATCATGCATCCGCCAACGGTTGTAGATCGACCATGGACTCACTGTCGATTCAGGGGTTAGGGTTGTGACCTTTGGCAACGATCGCGGTATAAGTACGAAGCAGAAACGATCCATCATCCGGGGGTATATGGGCCGTAAGGCCGCAATGGGAATCGCGCAGCAATTGTATCAATATTTGTGCGCATCTTGGAGGTTTCCTGCATGTGTGCGCCACAGCGGATACAAACTTTGACGGCTTTCAAGTTTAGGGTATAGAGACTTCCAAGTGATGCCATGATGCTTGTTCAGAACACAGAAAAAGATTCAATGCTCCTTCGACTCTGTCTCAAGAACCAGACAATAGCACAATTGTCCAGAGCACAACGAAAAATCACTGTTGTGAAGACAGTTTTGAGCCCTTCCTTCAAGATTTCTTAGGAGCAGCCCAATTTCAGGAAATGTCTCTACTCTTGGAGACTTGGAGTCTCGCTTCATTAATGGCTTGCTATAAAAAGCTGGAAGGGGGCAGCCTTTGCGGATCCGTTCCGGTCCATGCTCATTCTGTCTTCTGCAAGGTGAAGAAAGACCAACCAATCAGTCGCCGAATAGCGACTGCGAGGACTTTTCCATCACCCACCTTGACAATTGGTGCATTGGAAGTGTCGCCAAAGAAAAATATCCTTTCTAGCACCTCAAGCCGTCGAGACTGAGAGTCTATCTGATCAGTACATATTTGAACAATTGCGGTAAGTTGCGAGCTGCATCAACGTTCATGATCTCTAGTAAAACGGCCTAAAGGTTTTTTGTCACGTTGATTGACAACGCCTCGTAACAAAAGATTGGCACAAAAATACCAGGCGTGTTGGAACCACTTGTCTAAGCTAGAGGAATGCGTGCGGCTCGCCTGAGTGGCGTGCAGTGTCAAAGGCAGAAAGGAACCAAAAACAAGTACGATATAACGGCAGCTCACCCGTGATTCTTACGGTGGTCCCCACGACCAGCGACGAAGCGCAACGTGCTAGGCATCTCTCTCTTTACAGGTCTTCTTGTGTTGCTTCCAGTCCTGCATTTGGCAGTCCCTGCGGAGAAGCAAAAGCGATCTTAATCCGTTATACGAATTGCGGTGGTCCGCAAATCTTTGAGATCAGGTCATTACAAAGACAAATCCACTGAGAACGGAGGAAACGAAGAAGGTCTAGGGCAGAGTTAGCGCGGAGCTTGATTTACATAGGCGCGCAGAGTGCGCAAAGCAAAGAGACCCAGTACAGAGCTCTCAAACGCAATATGGAAAGATAGTCAACGAACAACGGCCTTTCGAGACTTCGAATACGAGGTCATGTCCCACAGAATACGTACGAGCTTTACATAGCAGGTCGCATGGAAAACCATCTGCTACTTACAAGCAGCCCAGAGGAAAGCATAGCCTATCGAGCAGCAGATAATCGCGTATTCCCACCTGCCGCAGTAAGCCTGCTTATGGCACCGGCTGCAGTTCTTTGCGGGCGACTGGCCGCACACCCCGCACGCGACGGCGCCGGTTTGGCTTCCCTCTTCCGCTTCCCTTTCCGTTCCCGGTTCCGTTTTCACGCCCGCCGTAAAACGCGGCGACAAGGTCGCCGCAACCGCTGTCTGCCAGGGGGACGGGGGCGTATTCACACTGGCGCCGGCCGGGGGCCCGTTCACACCGGCGCCAGCCGCCAGGCGGCTGGCCAAGAGCGCGAGCAGGACGGAGTGCGATGTGAAGTCGGGTGGCGAGAGGACGTTAGAGACCAGCGCCGCTGGAGAAAAGTGCAAAGGTTTCAAAATCCAAATCTCTCCGAATATCGTTTAAAGGACTCGGAATTGAGGGCGTTCTCTGTTTGAAGTTACGGGAATTCTTCAATAAGCGAAACGTTGATGGGCGCCGACGTGTATGCTGGGTCATGACCCCTGCGTCTGACTTGGCCCTCGGATCGCAAAGACAAAATTAAAATCGTTCCGTATCGTCTTCAGGGCATCCATATTTAAGCACACCTCAAGGGCGGGCCCCCACAAAAAGCTAACAAGAACGTGGTTTCCGAAACAGTAACGATAACCACTTTGCAAGAGAAACGGTGGCCGGATGGTTCGGCAGTCACAGAACTTCTTGGTGTCGGATGGGCAGGTATCCTATGAGAATTAATCATAGAAAGGGAGGCTCTAGGTTCTAAGATCATAACGAAAGTCCCGATCGGCGCTTTTATAGGGTATGTTTCGAAACAGCGATGCAACGGAAGGTTTCGACCGGGAGCTTTCGTTCCCAAGCTACTGCTCAAAAGGCTGGAAGCTTTTCAGCACTCTTGAAAGCTGAAAGTGACTATGTCTCCAGACTCACTTTTCAGCGCCTCGGCGGTTCGCGCTATGCTCTCCGCCCCCCAGAGCTTGTCGATCTTGTCCTCGTGAAACTGGAGCACGTGTGTCAGAAAGATGGCCGCCGCAGCGGCCTCTTCCGGGCTCACTCTGTACTGCTGCACAAAGTGGGCCATCGTAGGCAGGATGTCGGGTAGACCAATGATCTACAAAAAAGCGGGTTCAATCACAGGTTAGTCATGGGTTAAAGACGGGTCAACAATGGCCGCGGCTAGGCCTCTTTTGGGGCTCGCCCTGTACTAATGCACGAAGTGGGCCATTGTAGGCAGGATGTCGGGTAGACCAATAATCTGCACAGGAACGGGTTTGTGACGGGTTAGTCTTAGGGTTAAGGACCAGCCGAGGGTTCTGCTTCCTTGGGGCTCGCCCTGTACTGCTGCACAAAGTGGGCCATCGTAGGCAGGATGTCAGGTAGACCACTAACCTGGAAAAAGAGTGGGTGTGCGACGGGTTAGTGACGCGTTACGAGTACGACCAAACAGTGGCCTCGAAAGCGTTTCTCGGGGCTCACCTTGTACTGCCGCAGAAAGTGAGCCATCGTAGGCAGACTGCCGGTTGACCCAGAACTGGAGAAAATACGGGTTTCTAAGGGATCGGTCTTGAGGTTTTAGTACGGGTGCAGAATGCTGCTAACTATGAAACGGTTAGGCCTTTCTCGTGAGCAGAATGTCGGGTAGACCCATTTGTAGAAGGGCGTGGAGCTGGGCTGGGTTAGCACCGCAATCAGGAGCGGGTTATGGAAGAGAAAGAGAGTGGGTTAGCACAATCGCGGCCCAGTTTAAGCTGCCACAACTTCCGTGTTCTGGTCCACTTTAGGGATTTGCAGCCCTCTGGAATCCGACTAACTCCTTCTGCTTACAGCTTACGCCATCTCGGCATTCTGCACTACTCAGACGAACTTCGGGGAATCTAACGTTGAAAGCCTCTGCCTTTGCTTACCGCTGTCGCGATCTCCGTGTTCTGCACCAGCAGCTGCAAAACGCCCCCCCTGCTGCACGACGCTGATGGTGAACTCGGTATTCTGAACCACAAAAACAACTTTCAAGTATACGGAGTTCTAGAATCGCCGCCTTTACTCGCCGCTCCCGCGACCTCCGTGTTCTGAAGTACCTAACAGAGCTCAAGTGGATTATAATGCTCCAATTTCGCCACTACTCACCGCTTCTGCGATCTCTGTGTTCTGCACCAGCAACTGTGAGCTGCGCCGCCCCTGGTAAGCTTCGCGCAGTTCCGTAACTTCCATATTTCCACCAAGTTTTCAAGGCATCAGAAATACCAAATTTCCGCTTACTCACCGCTTCCGCAACATCCGTGTTCTGCACCAGCAGCTGCAACACACGCCCCCCTTGCTGAACGACGCTGATTGTGATCTCCCTGTCCTGCGTGGCACGAGTCCAACCAGTGGACCGCGCGATGCCCAGCATGCTCGCGATCTGCGAATGCACGCCGCTCTTGACGAGCCACCGCCCGAGCTTACGCGTGAAGGGGTCCGTATTAACGGTGCTCTGCAAAGACCATTTCCTCGTTTCAGTTTTACTTTTTGTAGGTTCCTTGTTCGTGTTTGTCTGTTTTCCTTGTCTATCTTTTCGTTTTGTTTCGTTTATTCCTTCGATTTGGGGCCTTGAGCGCTCCGTTTGAACAATAAAGTTGAGCGAGACAATTGGCGTGAGTGGTTTAGCTCGTGGTCTTTAGCATATTCGCAATCTCCTCATCCCACCGCCCCAGCTTGCAAATAAACGGGTCCGTTCGCTACATCGGAAAAGGGGGAGAGGGGACGGAAATGATAGTCTTTCACAAACAAAATTCTTCGCTCACCTTGTTGGAGCTGGTGAGCACGGTTCCCCCTTCTAATTTTCCATGGTGACTGAAATTGAGCACACAGCAAAACGGTTATCAGGGCGAAACAAAATCATCAAAACTTACTTTTCCACAGCGCACCTTGTTGGAGCCCGTAAGCACGGTCACCCCTTCCAGTCTGCACAAGTCTTCCACGCGGACTGAAATTAAGCACCAAGCGAAGCATCTGCAAACAAACAAAAGGTCGAAACAAAACCAGAAAGTTACTCTTCTACAGCGCACCTGGTTGGAGCTTGTGAGCACTGTGCCCCCTTCCGGTCTGCAGAAGTCTTCCATGCTGGCGGGAATCAGCATGTTGGCCAAGAGCCGCAGGCTGCACAGCATGATGAGCGAGTACGGGTCCCCGTCCACGACCCCGCGCTTCTGCTTCTTGATGGCGCGCAGCACGTCCGGGCTCTTGACCTCCTCCAGAATCGGACCCATCGCGCCGTAGCCCCTGCAAACAGGAATTTCTAAGTTGGTTTGATCGAGTTTGTTGGGGTTGCCTTATCTGGGGGTTTGAGGATTTTTTGCGATGTGATTCTGATGTTCACCTGCTCCAAAATCGGGCCCATCGCGCCCTAGCTCCTGCAGAAAACACCCCGCTCTAGGTTGCTAGAGTATTCACACCGCGCCATAGCCCCTGCGAAACAGAGAATCCAGTCCACTTTTCAGACTGGGCCCATCGCCCGTAGCCCTTGTGTTTCAAAAGTCCTTTCTCTGACCTCCTCCAGAAAGGGGCCCATCGCGCCGTAGCCTCTAGTTTGTTCTGAGCGTTTACACCGCGCCATAGCCCCTGCGAACGAACAATCCAGTCGAGTATGTCAGACTGGACCCATCGCACCGTCGCCCTTGCATTTAGAAAGTCGAATTTTCTCTGATGCCTTCTAGATCGGGCCCATCGCACCATAGCCCCTGCCATAAACCTCCAATCTAGTTGAGAAATCAATGCCACACAACTTACGAGCAAACCCAACACCACGATCCCGTTTCACCAGATCTTGTGAGCAAGGAGTCTCAGCGCCTTTCATATACACGAGCCGGAATGCATTTAGAATCGGGATAGACATCCGCACTCAATACCCGACTATACAATGGATTCCTTGGGCGCCCCAAACAGACCCTGGGCGCGAGCAGAGGGCTCTTGAGGAAGACGCAGAGCGTCTCAAGTCTTGCTTTCAGCGGACTTCAAACACGCAACCGTCAATCTAATTGGAGGAGAAAACGCAGCTGCTCTCAGAAGTAGGAATTTCGGACCACTCTTCCAAAGCCCGAAGTATCAGGGCGCCTCACCAGATCTTGGGCGCGAGCGAGGGGCTCTTGGCGAAGGTGCAGAGCGCCTCGACGACGTGCCAGCGGGAGGGACGGTCCCGCTCGTGCAGCAGCCGCACCGTCGCCTTGAGCACGCCCGCCGCATCCAGCCGGTGACGCAACTCGTGCCCGCTCTTGTCGATCGCCTGTGGTAACAATTGGTTTAACCGACGTCACGCAATGGGATCGCGATTCTTTCATCACGGATGTCATCTATCCTCCCGGCCAGGTTGTGTCGCAACTCGCGGCCGTCCTTGCCAGGAAATAAGAACAACTGAACTTGCCGCCTCATGAAAACTTTCAAAGTTAACAAGGCTAACAAGAGAACCGAGTGGATGAACAAAGCAGCAGAACGATAGCAGTCTTCGGGTTAGACAATGTCCTTGCTGCCCACCGCGAGATTAAAAGGCCCCCATCCTGTCTCACGTCCAACAGCAGAAGTCAGTCTATCAAGAACAAAACAATGAGCAATCAAACAGTGCAAAGCTGCGGAGAGGAACAGACATCCCCGCAGGTACTTACTGCCGAAATGGTGATAGCGATTAATTAGTCGGCGGCCGCTTGCTCCTCGTTACCGAATAGATCTGAAACCTTCAAAAGGGAAACGAGATTGTAACGGAGGTTTCAAAACTCTCTTGCTGATACTCACCGCGACCACGACGGTGAGCCCCATGCGCTTGGCGGCCGCCGACTTGCCCTTGAAAAGCAGCCACCATCAGGGAAACGAATGAAGAAAAGCAGGAAAAACGAGCAGAAAAGGACATCGAGCGACAAAGAGGAAAAGCAGATGAACAAGCAGACGGTGGCTTCTCCTGACGGCGATCACGACAGTCAGCCCCATGCGCTTGGAGGCCGCCGACTTGCCCTTGACGACCAGCAAAACAAAGGGGAAGTAAGAAAAGTGAAAAGGACAGTAAAGAGAGGAAAGTCAGGAAGCAAGACCTTTGCTTACCGCGACGACAACAGTCAGCCCCATGCGCTTGGTGGCCGCCGACTTGCCCTTGACGACCACCATACCAAATGAAAAGTAGGAAAAATCAAAAAGGACAGTAAAGAGAGGAAAAGTCAAAAAGCAAGACCTTTGCTTACCGCAACGACAACAGTCAGCCCCATGCGCTTCGTGGCCGCCGACTTGCCCTTGACGACCAGCAGGATCGCGCGCTCCAGCGAGATGTCCGCGGGAAGGTCCTCGCTCATCGACAGCTGCGCGAGCGCTTCTTCGGCCGCTAAGCGCGCGGCTTTGTTCGTCGCGGTGTTGAAAAGGTCCATCAGCGCTGCTGACGTGGCATCGCCGGCGGAAGTTTCGTCGGACGGGAGGGCGAGGTCTAGAGTAGGCGGAGCGGCGTCGTCTTCTTCGGCTGGAGGAGAATCATTGTACGTCTGTTGTTTGCATATTGAATCTAATAAATGAGTCAAAGTTATGTGCACGCCTTTGTTCGTCACGGTGTTGAACAACTCCATTAGTGCCGCCGACGTCACGTCGCCGGCAGGCTGCAAGAGCGAAGTTCAAACTCGGAGGCGCGGCATCGTCTTCTTCTGAGAAGGGAGACAATGCGCACGTTTGCGACAATGCGTACGTTTGAGATGTTGCTGACTGCACTTTGTCGGTCCACTTGAGGACACAGGATTGAGTTCAGATGCACGAATTCTTTCGGCTGTTGAAGCAGATCAGCACTGCCAAGGTTGCACTACCGGCGGATGCTGTCGGCTGTTGAGAGAGCGAGGTCCATAATTGTCCGAGTGGGGTCGTCCTCTATTCCCGGAGAAGGAAAAGGCACGTCAGGTTTGCTTTTGTTGGTCGCATCCAGGCGCATTGGTCTGTACGAGTGGAGGGGAATTCTGCAATGAACTTGAGAGCCAGGTGCTTTTTTGCCGGCTTTCGTGTGACGGTGTCAAAAGAGCAATAAGCGTAACAAGAGTCTTACGACTTGACACCACTCACCCATCGCCCGCTGTTCGGTGCAGCAGCAGCAGTTGTCCATAAGCTGCAGCGCCAAGCCCTGACGCTCAAGAGACTTTAGTGTCAAGTCTTTCAATAATAAACCCGGCTAACGAGAGGTGACACAAGTTACCCATCGCTGCTGCTGTGTGCATCAGCTGCAGCTGCCCCATAAGCTTCAGCGCTAAGTCCTGACGCTCGAAACAGCCATTCTCGCGGCTCTAGTGTCAAAATTCTAGACACAAACCATGAGAGGCTTCATTTGACACCACTCACCCATCGCCGCTGCCGTGTGCATCAGCTGCAGTTGGCCCATGAGCTTCAGCGCCAAATCCTGCCGCTCCAGACAACCCTCCGTGCTGACCTCCAGCCGCCGCAACCAGGCCAGAATGTCTTTCGTCGGCATCGCCAGCACCTCGACCGTGCCTGCAGTAAAGCATGACGTCAGCATAAATGTTTTTGATGACGTCACACCAGTATTCCTGGTGAAAATACGGAGAATCCGGCATTAGCGCCGACAGTGCTAACCACCGCAGCCACGCCAGAATGTCCTTGGTGGGCATCGCCAGCACCTCAACCGTGCCTGCAGAAAAGCATGACGTCAGCATGACGACGTCAGCAGTTTCGACGATTTGTTGCAAGAGAGGTAGAAAAGTAGCCCCTTCGTGATGAACTCCAGTCGCCGGATTGTCCTTGGTCGGCATCGCCAGCACCTCGACAGTGCCTGCGACAAGGCATGACGTCATCATAAGCATTCATAAAGACGTCAGCAGCCTCCAACATCCGTTAAAATACAAGAATATACAGTGCGCTATCAGAGCTTCCGATCGCCGCAGCCACGCCAGGATGTCCTTGGTTGGCATCGCCAGCACCTCGACCGTGCCTGCGAAAAGACTCTGATAACGTGAGGGACTGAAATGGGTAACGCTCTAGTTCTTGGCATCAGTCGCTGGCGTTTCAGCCGATCGAAGGCAGGATGAGGCGAGGCAGTTTGACGTGGCGGAATGGAAAAATCTCAGAAGGCGAAAAGCCTGATGACGCCAGCTTACATCATCATGCAAACAAAAGAGGAAAACCGGCCACAGTTGATGGGTTGCACTTAGGCCCCAAGAACACCGTTCTGCATCAGAAGCTCTGAAGGCGGTTCTTTCGAATCTTACTCTCCCTACAGAGAAGGCAAAGAAAGAAAAAAAGGATGGGACAAAAAGAAGAAGGAAAAGTTTCGCTTACTTGGAAGCCCGTCCACTTTTCTGTCGACCACCCCCCACGCCCTTGACTCCTTTTTCTCCACTTCATCCTTATCCTCAACTCCCGTTCCGGGCGAGCCGTTTTCCCTCCTTTCCGCTCCCGGGATTCCGCTCTTCGTTTCCTCGGCGGAAGCGGCCGCCGGGGCTGCGGAATCAGACGCAGAGCCCCCGAGCAACGCGTGCGCTTTGTTCTGGAGGTCCGCTTTTTCGACGCACCCCTGCGTGCTGACGTTGTGCTGCGTCAGCAGCTCCTCGAGCTCGCGGACGCTCATGGCGGCGATCTGGTCGGCGGACGGCACCGGCTGCGGAGGGGAGGTTGATTTGAAGAAAGATAATCATGATAAGGTAACTATACTGGGGCAGGTAGGGTTAGTTTGGGGGTAAGGGTGGGTAGGGGTGCGGAGCAGGTAGCTTTTCGGGTTAGGTTTTAAAGTGTTAGTCTGGGGTTAAAATCTTCTAGGCTTGATATTATCTTTCTTGAAATTTATGGAGAGGAGGGGGAGCCAAGGCGGGTAAGGGGGAGATAAAATAGTCGGGGACATGAAGTTACACTGCTCATGCCAGCAAGTCCAGCTTTTTTTCTAAGCGTTGTAAACCACATCACTGTAAGCTCCTTTGAACAGGGTCCGCTCCATTTCAACTACATGGTTTTTCCATTGCACCTACGGTTATACTTGCTGCAAAAATCGACCTCGCTGACTATTTATGCAGACGCTAGTGTCGGTTCTCGTACAGACCCAAGGTACAAAAAGCTTCGCAGCCATCAAGATAGCTAGAAAATGTTCTCAGGCCCCGACTGCTGCATCGATCCCGAAAACGAAAACGAGGAACGCGTGCTTCAAGCATACCTTCTTGGGCGGTGCTGACGGCGCGACTGACATCAGCGCCTTGATGACGATAACCGCCCGGCGCTTGGTCTCCTGGTCCCGACCCTGCATCGGACCCAAGAACATATTATCGAGAAAAAAATATGGTTAGTCGCACTGGTACGGGTGGGGTTACTTTGGGGGGCTCGACATCCCGAGATTCGGAAAACGTAGGAAAGGAGAAAACGAGCCGCCTTCAATGGGAGGGGGAGGACTTTCAGTCTGAACATCGCTCACCTTAAACTTAGCGACAATTTGAACAGTCCAGAGCACCAGAAGTTCAAAAGCCTTGTAGTTGAGACGCTTTAAGAATCGAGAGCCCAAGAAACCTATCAACGAACGTGCAGGAAGCAAAGAAGCGGTAACAGAGGCGAACTGCTTCTAGCAACAAAAATGGTCCAGAAAAGACCTCGTCGATGTCCGAACGGACTATATCGGCTTACCACGGACGAGTCCGCAAATGGCATTTTGAGCGCCTTCTCCGCCGCTTCGCGCCCCCCCAGCCTCACCACCTCCGCCTTGACATCATCGGTCATCTGGGCGATGCTCCCTGAGAGACCAGCGAGGCGAGCGACTTGAAAGATGAGACGGCATGAGAGGCAGACGCCGTACTCGTTGTATAAGCATTTCTGGGGGGATCATGCCTTATTTAGTTCGCGCGTGACCTTCAGAGAAGTGACAACCCAGGGTTCGACTGTTTGTACTAAGTCCAATGAAGAATCCAGTCAAGGCTCGATGTGGTGGTCACACCCATCTGGGATCAAAAATTGAAAAAATCCAGACACCACCCCGTCCGCAAATGCATGGTGACGACAAGAAGTGCTGAAACAACAGCTAGTGAGCCGCTTGGTCGGGTTTGAACACCAGGTACTATCTTACAGCGACTTCGCAAAGGCAAAGAGACGAGCACACTGCCGCAAATCAGAGAAGCCAGGAATGGGCAAGCTCAAAAGCAATGATCGAACGGGCAGATATGAAAGAGAAAGCGAGTCACCAACCTAAGCACATGAGGGCCATGCGCTGCACTTCGCCTCCTTTCTGGGGGCAGTACGTCAGCTTGATCACACTGTCGAGAAAAGCGGGTTCCGAGATAACCCGCTCCGGAACCCAGGGTTGACGGAGCGCGACGTAGTTGGCCAGCAGCCCAGCTAGCGCGTAGCAGCACTCCATCTTAACGACCTCCAGTGTGTCGGTTCCCCTGTTCAAAAGCGAGACGGAAGTGATGATTTGCTTGCAAGTTCGACATGAGCTTTAAGGGAGGGTCACAGGGGCAGCGGCAAATAATGCCCAACTTCGCGGCTTTTTTGGGACAAACGACAGAGTTGCGCAAGTCTTGACGAGGTAGTCGGGTGCCCCCATAAAGCAAAGGTACAAGACTTACTAGTTGGTTTAAGTTCACAGCAGGTTCTCAAGAGAATCTATCGAGGGAATTAGTCGCAACAATAGAGATGCAGGAGAGGCAGCATTCCAAGAAGGGGCAGCGTTCTGTCTCATAGAAATCTACAGCCAATTGACTGTGTAAACGGGAGATTGCTGGAACATAGTTAGGGCCTTTCCGCAGAGACTTTAGTGCTCAAAGCATTATCAACAATCAACGCGTCAATGCCTTTATTGATCGGGGGAAAGCAGTTGCGGAATCAGACATGATGCCTATTGCCTCCAAAAGGGTGCGCTCAGCCAGGATCACACCCGTGCTTCAGCCGCATACGAATCCAAACGTAATGCTTCTCAGAGAACAGCTCGAAGTCTCTGCTGAGTAATCTGCATCCTACTTTAACAACCCAAAAAGGATCCTAGAACAGCTCACCTCTGCTTGCGTCTCGTCGGTTGCTTGCTCATGAGCGCCATCATCTTGTGCACCGCCCCTATCTCATAGAAGCGATGCTGGAGGCCTCCAGTGGGGTTCACGTCGCAGAAGTACGGGGAGTTGCCGAGAAGTGCGATGGACATCGCCGCATAGCTTACCACCTGCGAAACAATGGAATCATGTAAAGAGTCGTTATGCACTCTGCTTGGACTCCAGATTCGAGCCCACTCAATATTTGTTACTTGAAAATTTGCAACCCTTACGAGTCCAGCAGCCCGACGGCATGCAAAGTACGCGGAAGGTTTGGGACACGGTCGAAGGTGTTTCGTGTAAGACCGCAACTCCTGACGTGAAACCTTCGAAACCCGTTTCAGGAGGATGAAGTCCCAACCACCTCTAGGGATCCGAAAATTCTAACCAGTGCCCTATGTGCAGCATCCTTCTATGTGAATTTGAAAGAGCGAGTGTTACAGCGAAGTTTACTAGCAACATAACGTATGCAGCCCCAGTGTTTCGTCCAGGGTACTCCAGGCTTTGGGATATCTTCTTGAAGAGACGCGGCGACTTGGGCCTTTCTGACCCTATGCTTCGTCCACTCTTGACTCATTTTCCTTGTTTCCCTTGAAAAGGATTCAGGTTGATTAAGTGACATGATGTACAGACGAAATTTAATTGGCAATTGTGATAGGACGGTAGAACCGATACGGTCACATTTCCGGTCCTGGGACCCTTTAGGCCATTGAAAGCAAGCTTACCTCGTAGTCCTCTGAGTCCAGGAGCTCCATATGCCTCTTGAGAGCGTTGCACCACGATGGAAAGCCACGCTCAAAGTCGCCGTCCTTGACATAGCTGTAGAAGCACATGAGAGCCGCCACTGCACAAGCGAACGGTCAATAGATTATGCTTTGTTACGAGCCAAGAGCGACGATCTGATCACCCTTGAGGCTGCTTAAGAGGAGAATCACATAGCATGCCTTGTTTCTTCGAAGCAGTGTCGACAAGCAGTCCAGAATTGGAAGAGAGAGCGCAAAATACCGCTGTCATCTAGCTCATGTTTTTCAAGACCACCGAAGTGAAAAACCTAAGACTCCGCTCCAAGCTTGTCCAAAAACATGCAGAAGCCCCCAAAGGAACCATTGTCTGGGCTTGGTTTTTCTCCAAAAGGTTGGCTAATCTGTTCTAAGTCCCACACTGATCTTTGTACGCTACGTCCTTAAGCTTTTGCATCATTGAAGGGTCCACTCTTCCCTGTTGAAATATAACAGATTACAGAGCCACAGTCCGTTGCATCAGTGCCAGAGATTCTAAAACACACAGTGAGTGGCTCACCCTGACATTCTTCGGCTTCTGAGTAGAGCCCCGCCGCAAGAATGGGCCTCGCCGGGTCAAACTTTGCGAGGGCGTGAGCCTCCTTCAACTGCTGATCATACTCCTCCTCCATCCTGCATCGTCAATCCGATAAGGAATGAAGTTCGACTTCAAAAAGCTGAATCCCCTTCCCTCAATCCTGATGATGTGCATTTGCAAGATAGAGCCTACAGAGGCGGCTAACACCGTTTGGCCAAAGGCATGCTTTTCGCAAGTCTACTTCTCATCTCAAGTCAAAGAAAGACGCCAAAAAGCTTGAGTTGTATACTCTGTAAAAGAAACTCGGACACTGTCCCTTGTCAAGTCGCACCTGATGAAAGTGAGGTCCTGCAGGCACTTCGCCAGAGAGGGCCCCTTCATCCCTGCCTTCAGCAGCCGAGTTGGCACAGCTCTTACACACTGCAAGAAAGAAACACATATGGTTTACTTTCGTAGCTTGTAGGCTGTTCTAGAGGAACCCTTGGCTACCCTGAGAGGGTACTACAAGGTCTGACTTCCAGGTGTCACAGTCTCTTTGACAAGTGGATGGTGTGCATTGTAACAAACGCTCAGTTTTAGCAAGCGACAGACTTGATGATGGGTCTACCTTACCAGGCTGCATAAGCATGAAAAACCTTCTCAGCTACCATGTATGAGCTTGCCACAACTTTCCCTCTCAGCAGATGCAGGGAATGTGTCTACTTGGCCCAGAATCTCAATGTATCTAAAAGAAAGCCAATGTGGTGGAAAATATGGAGATGGATCCGTTGAGCAGAATCGCACAAAATGGAAAGCTAAACCCACTTGGTCGATAAAGGTATCACCTTTTCCAGCCGCTGTCTCATTTGAGAGAAGCGCAAGTTGAAAGGATCCCGATCATCGGTGCGGCCACTGGCTGCCAGCATCCGCAAGCAGCCCTCGCAGTTGCACCCGCCAGAGGAAGCGTGCGGATTCGCACCGCTGAAGCTGCTGGCGCCATCGCCTCTGGCGCCCTTCTTGCGCTTGTCCTTGCTCGCCATGCTCGATGAAACTCCCAATACAAATGCAAGGAATGCAGCTCAAAATGCCCCAGATTTCAAGAGCCTGGTTGCGCCATGCCCTTTCTTCTTGTTAGTGTTACGATATGTACTTGAGATCAACAGATATCTCAGAAGGAGTCAGGCAGGTCTGACAGCTGTAACAGCTGAATGCACTCAAAGAAACCCAAACCCTGGCAGGAAAGCGCCCAGCGTGGTCCTGAAGCTGAGGCGACAGATTCACAAGACCGGGAAGACAGAGAACTTGAACTTAGTCAGAGAAGGTTCTGTGGCGGATCACGACTGAGTCACGACTCACGACTCACGAGCTTGCACTCAAGACCAAATTCTGGCGCGAAGCCGAGCCAATCAGAGCTCGGCATCTCAGCGGACCGTGACGTTTTGAAACGTCAACACAAAGGTCGACACCGGTGCCAGTGCTTGTGCCAGTTGCTGCCGCAAGTCTGTTCTGTTGAAGACGTTTCTTCTTGCACGTACAGCTAGATTCAAGCTGAAGAACATGAATTGCCTTGATGGGTTTTGAAAAGCATTTCTGGCAAGGCGCCTGAGTCCTGACAAAGAAAGTTGGTTTGCAGGGAGCACTTGTCCTGGAGCTGCTGGGGGGCTGGCGTTGTGGGCTGTCCAAATTTGGGAACATTGGACAGCACTTTGTATCAATTAGACAGCAAATCATAGAAAAGCTTCACTGAGGAATTGGTATCTACACGGAGAGATTGCTGATACAAGTCAGTTGGCAGGCAAAAATGGAGTCATCTCAGGGCAGAAAGAAGCGGCGGCTGAACAGCGGCCCGCTGAAGCTGGAAACCTTTGCCAATGCAAAGACCAGCAAGTACAACATCAAGGAACTGAGTGAGGTTTCGCATCCAAATGATGTGTGGATGTTCCAAGAGTTCGTGGCTTTAGAAGAAAGGTGGTGTTGTGAAACATGTGCCTGTAAACATGCGCCATTTGTTGGTATGGCTTTGTACGAGAGCAATATCAATATTATATGTGTTGATTCTGCTGACAAGTTGCTCTAAGCAATGTGACGATGGTTGTGAGAGTTGTGGTCGTTTTGACCTTGGTATACCACCCTGACGCAACTTCTGATGACGGCACAGGGGTTGGGCTGACTTGCATTGAGCTCCTGTTGTCCATCACTTGGCTCGCAAGCCTAATGTTTCTTCCAATTTGGAACTTTATGCTGCTAAAACGAATCAACCATTTAGTTTCAGAGCTGAGTAGAGAAGTTCCTTCAAAACTGAGTTCTTGCGAGCTTTCAAAGCAGTCGCTTTGTGAGGTTGAAGCCTTCAAAAGCTTTAGTCAGGGGACTTAGAGCATTCGAAAGTCTCAAGTGAGGGGACTGCTACCGTTGTTTTCTTATGCAGTGTCAGCAGTCTGGCAATCTTTCGTTCTCTGAAAAGAGCCCCAACTTTCCGCAATAATGGTCTGTCCAAGGCTGGAGAAATTCGGCTGAACAGGATTTGTGGCTCTGTGTTGCAGAACGAAAACACGAGTTCATCCAGAATGCACAAAAGGTGCGCAGGTTCCGAAAGCAACTCAAAAGCGACGAGGTTCCAGTCTCGGACTCAAGAGCTGAGCACCCTCCCCAACACACAACATCGCTGGTAAGGGTTTGTCATTCCGCAAAATACTTTTTTACTACTGCAACGTTTCATGTTTGCCATCATTTCGGCGAGTATACGATTGAGCTTATCAGGTCTGCTAGTTTGTGTATCAGCGAGAGACTGCATTCGTACCGCTTGTTTCAATATCTGGGGCAGATGCACCGGTTTGGTCACTCTATATTGCAAGATTCTGCATATTGCTGCTGATTCCCTAATCAGGTTCGGTTGTCTTTCATCATTTAGGCTGGCAATGTTTATAATCTCATCAATCTACAGCTTTGAAGTCTTTTCCTTTGGCAGGACGATGGCCAAGCCGGTCGTCAGAGTCAGGAGGGCGAAACTTCGCAAAGGAAACAGCTCAAGGAGACCAGGGCTCAACTTAGACAAACAGAAGATGAGGGAGGCGAAGGTAGCTTGCCGCGAAAGAAGAAGCCGCGTCCCTTGAGTCAAGTGGAGAGACTAAAACGGGAGGCGGACGCTAAGCGGGCTGCGCAAGAAGCGGAGCGGCTCGAGCGGCTCCGGGAAGTCGAGAAGCGGCGAAAAGAGAAAGAGGCGGCCGAGCGGGCCCGCAAACAGACGTTTGTCAAGATGCATAAGAAGACGCCACGTGGCCAGCCAGTGATGAAGCATCGGATGGAGCACCTACTGGAGAAGCTGCAAAAAGATCAGGGCTGATCAGGGGCACATGGAATATGGTGATTGTGACTACTCACTCTAGGATCTTAGACAGAGATGGTAGTGCCAGCGGGCAGCCGTTTACACATCCGTTGAGCAGCGAGCTGCTTCGCGATGCGGGCGGTTGAGCGAACCTGACCCTATGAGCCTTGGAAGCATGTCGGCGACCGCGGATGGTCGAATTTGACCGGGAACACGTTAGAATCTAGCTTGTGTAGTCATCTGGAATACATATTTCTAGTGCCAGCTATGCTGAGGCATGTGCATTGACAGAGGTTTTGCCATATGGTTGCGGGCGTGGTCACAGGATTGGACAAGGGAGCGTGGTTTTCCGCTGACTCAGTGGGTGTCAATCCGCCTGAATGAGTTCCACTATACTGACGCACGGTAGCCGCGTAGACAGTGTGGCACGTACCGTGTCATGGACTATGATCCATCATGGAAGAGATCATTCCAATGATATCCCGGGGGGCTGATTAGAATGATACACATCAAGAGTATTCATGCCTATTATAGTATGGGACTAGTGTCAGTCCTTTGTTTGATTCAATCATATCAGCAATCATCCGACGGCGCCGCCCGCCCCAACATGTGGTCGATCAATAGTACGTTGCAATCTTCAAAGCTAGCTAGGTTGATGACAATTAAGCCATCTACAGTCGGCCGTCGCGGACTGTTAGTATATAGGAACCTTGCACGTAGCTAGGCCCGCGGCATGCACTAATTTAATCAAAAATTGAAGATCCGACCCGCATGCCAGATCGACGCTCACTACCAGGCGCATGAGGCGGCGCCGGGCCCTGGATACCATAACGCGACGGTAGTACTCAAAATGCCAGGTACAATCATGCAACTATATACGCTGATCGGATGACGACAGTCGGATTCGTAATCCTGGTTCTGGCATGGATCGAGCAATCATTGCATGTTGACACATCTGCCCCGCCCCAGTTTACAAAAGTCACTGTGTGCGGATTGGGCTACCAAACTTATCTTGACCCTTCACAGAAACCGCAACAACGGACTCAACATAAAATTGGACCAACCCGCTCGAATATACCGTACTCGAATCACACAGCAGGACGTCAGTGTTTTCTGAGCCCCTGCCGCTCAATCTCTTTCGCAGTCCGGTAAGGCGGCGCAATGGGCGGTTGCACTGGTTCCAAAGACCGGTACCCTTCCGTTTTTCTACCCCCTTTTGATGATGTGTCTACTGGTCCGAGAGGATAGTACTGGTCGGAGTCGAAGCCGGCGAGGTCCCCGCAAGCAAGGAACGGCACGACCACTTTGTTCGACCCTTCGAAGCGCCAGCTGCTACAATCTGAAAGGAACAAAGATAGAGGGGTTGGAGACCCACAAAGAATAACCGAGTGCCAACGGATGAAGCAAGCCGCGAACGCTTGCGGGATGCTGTCATCAATATGGCCCTGACAAGAGCACCCTTTTCAGTCCAAAGTGCACCCGATGCGCTTAATCAGGTTAAAGATACCATCATGCCGTTTTCCCAATCTCTTGTGCGCTCTCAGTTTCAAAACATCTGAGGCCTGTGATTTTGAACCTGCACGGCGGTGGCGATCAGACTCACTGGGAGCACAAACAATTATATTTGGTGCGGAAGAGTACTTTCAGTTGGGACGACTTCAGAACTTTGGTGGGCGGTCTGCTTGAAGGCTGATCTATGTCTCGTATCCAGATGAGCAGCCATTCGCAGGTGTCAGAACAGAAATACATCGCACGCAGGTCACGCAGGGAGCCATTGACGTTGATAAACTGCCCACCTGCCCCGTCGTCATTCGCTGCTTCCGCCTGCTCTAGCAGGCCCCGTAACAGGGCCGGTTCGAAGTCGGGGGGCGGGGCGTAGCCTTGGCAGACCACAAACGCCTCTGCAGCGGCAACGGGGGGTTTTCGGAAACAATGGCCTTCGAGGGATCACGGTGAGAAGCGAGAAACCAACATTTGCTCTCGTGGCGCTGATTGTTCCGGTGAATTCTCTGGAAGCGCTCGGCTTCCAAGTATTGAAACGTCGGCTGATAGCCTTCACTTTCGGCAACGAGAATCGACAACAAGTCAAGGGCACGCCCTCACTCTTCGGTATAGCCCATGCAGGGCCCGTGACACAAAAGGGAAACAAGGAGCTCCCTTTCCTGTCTGTGGAATGGAGAGCTCGGCTCAAAACAAACTTTTCGGTGTACGACGGGTGGCGACAAACTCTTTCAAAAGGATATACGCCGCCGGATAAACAAGAAGGAATGGTATGGCGAATTTCATGCGCTTCAAATCATCCTTACCAATGCTGGAGTTCCGGCTGCTCTTCGGCTTTGCACACGTGACCGTGGGGAAGAAGATCTTGAGCTGCAACGAGATACGTCAGCGATTTAGAGCGAGTAAGGCATGCCAAAGGGTACAACCATTCGTATGAGAACTTCCAATCCACGTCAATCCACGTCACCGAATTGACAGGAACTAATCTGCGGTTCACGATCACACGAACACAGTCGTTCCCCGGAGAAAAGCTCCGTCCCTCGAATAAGTTTTGCAGAACCTTCTTCCACGCATCTGTGGCTGGAAATGTCTAAGAAGAGGAGAACGCAGGGAATGTTTACCTGGGAGTAGAGAAGGCTGATGTCCTTCCCCCGGAAAATCTTGGCGACGAAGTTGCCCCCCGGACGGAGCACGTGGGTCACGATCGTTAGCGCCTGTAAGCAGCCGGGGGGTTCGTATTGACGCAAAAGATAACCCGTCGTGAGAGGAGGATGCAAATTTGTGGAAAAAAGCTGCTTACGGCTTAACCAAGCTATGAAGAAGGTAATACAAACCGGTTCAATATGCCTAGCGTCCTCCCGAGAGTACAACGATGAAGCAATCAGGGGCGGCGAAAAGTGTCTGTAACGATGATGTTGGACAAATGAGGGAGTAAAGCAAGATCGATGGCCATGATAGAAACGTGTATAATGCTTAGAGCGACATGCCTGCACTTCGACCTTAACGTTACTGTGCCATTTGGAATCCCTGACGCAAAAAGAAGAGCGGTTTCACAGGCCGTTCGATCAGTTAAGGCGCAACGAACCTGGCAACGAACAAGCTTCGGAGAAGGTCGGAAACCGTCCGTCAAGTCAGTTCACCGTTCTCAAGGATACGAGCAACGAAGTAAAGGAGCCAACAAAGAAGGAAATCAACTGGGATACACCTGGAGTAAAGCAAAGGACCGAAGGCGGAAAAAACAGAGCTGAGGCTCACTGCAAGGATGAGCTGCGCTTGAACGAACTCGTCCATGTCATGGAGCCCCGTCACTGCGCATAGCAATCATCTCTGGTCACGCACGCTTGTGAAGCATAGAGACTGAAGATTTGCCTAAACACTTAATAATCTGCCTCAAAACTTCACAATCTGCCTTTGGGAACTGTTATTCTGGTCAGCAAAATGGCACCAGGCAAGCCTAGTCGGCCGTCAACGGTTCAAACAACGATGATGGAGCAACTTCAAATCTCAGACACGCCATCCTCAAATCGTCTCAGCACGATCGTCGTCCTCCAGGAATGACGTCATCGGGAGTGACGTCAGCAGCAAGCCTCACCGTCGGGCGCCCCGTCGCACACTACAAGGTCCGCCTTTTCGCCTCGGAAGTACTTGATGACCTGCCACGTGGTCACGAAACTGCTGAGAGCATCTCTAGGTCCCTCAAATAAACAGAACAGTCTGAGAAGCGACTTTGACGAGCCCATTTCGACTGGTTGCAGTCAATCTCAGGGCCCCAGCAAGGTTCACGATGATGTCAAACCAAAAGAAGTCAAGTTTCTCTACTCTTCAACAGATTATGCATACAGCTGTCAACAGTATTCAATTGCATAGTATGCAATCCAAAAGCACCCTTGTTTCCCATCGCAAGGCAAAAGATCAAATGTTTGTGATTATCGATCGGAATAATATCAAATTTACAAAGCCATGCCGTTTGATTTCATATCGAGCTAAGTGGCAGACTGGTTCGAACGTACGTGGCGAGGGCATTTCTTGGACGCCACAACAAACTGTGGCCCCAAAAATACTCAGCGACAGTAAACGACAATCGTACAAGTATCTACAGAGCGGATTGGTCAATCCTGGATCCGACTTGAATTTGACGGGCGACAGCACCTATCAAGCGGGTCGAACGGCTTCGCAGCCGTAAGATCTCAGCAATAAGACAGCCCGGATGCTCATATGTCTATTCGCTCCACGCGGTACCACGTGATCGACTATTTTGCAACCCAACAGCGAAGCCTGCTGCCAAGAGACCGCCCAGAACCGCGTGAGAAAGCCCTCTTTACGCAAACGAGTCGCACCTCTTCAGCCGTCCGCGCGCTGGTAATATCCCCCTGGATCTGCTTCACGCCCTCGATGGGCGCCATCGGTTGGAGATCAATGGACACGATGAGTGGAGGTGCGGCGGCGTCTCTGCGCAAGGAGCCACCAGAATATGCATCTTCAGCGGGAAAAGTTAGCATGGTATAAATGTTCACCCTTTGGCGCCTGGAAAGCACTTGGTATCTGCGCTTTTCCATTGAACGTGATGACGATCTCGGAGCGACCGTGACACCGCCCCTTCTTCTCCTCCAATTGACAAGTCAGGTCTCGGGCAGTTTTGACTAAAAGCATGAGCATCCGTGCCAGCGCAGTGTGAAGACACTCAGTGAACGCAATGTCTGATCTATCTGTTGAGTACCCAGGTTTGATACCTCGGCGTCAGATCTAGAATGCCAAGCAGAAGCCTAAGAAAGCAATGCATATCGTCACACGAATGGTGAGGTTTGTCGCCTCACCCATTATGGGCTGCGGCCTTTGCTGGGAGGTAGAGCCGCCTGCTGAGTACCTAAAAAGTGACAGCTCACTCACTATCGGATCGCAGAGGACCAGACTGAAGTGGTTCACAAATGGTTAGCAAGACTGATTGAGGACGGGCTTTAAGTATGAGGATTCGAGGTGTCTGATTCCCATAAAGAGTTTTTGAGGATGCAAACCTCGCGGCTTCAGCTTGTCCTCCTAATTATCCAACTATATCTCGACCAATTGTTGGTGTTGACGAACAGGCCTCAAACCTTTTCCAAATTCCCCTTACTTCAGACTTGGAACACAAACGGGTCCCCCACATGCGAGTGCTTAATGACAGAAAGCCCGAAGTCCCTAGCACCTTGGGGCTGCAAACTCAAATATCTGATGTCCCAGTCACTGCATTAGTGGGGAGGCGTGCTAACCTGACTCCAACTCCCAGGAGCAGCACATAAGTCGACCACTCTGCGCACGCCTGCATAGACGGACGTTCGATGAGACCGTCAAGCAACGATTATATTTTGCGCTTTTGATGTGACTGAGGTTGGCTTCTATCAATTCAAGCTTCGACATTCTTCAAACCTCCTTTGCCTGAAAGCTCGACCGAACAGCCTCGATTGTATTCGGGATATATAGGAACAACTGATAGGAATCTTCTGCGGAACGGCCTTAAATGTAATCAACTTACACGGTCGGGCAGAACGCCTTGTGCCTGTTTGAGAGGGCTTTCTTTTGGAAGCAGGCGTTATAAATCTTGCTGTAGTAGCGTTCAACCTTTATCCGTGCTAGACAAGAGTCCGACTGGCAGTAGCTGAATCCATCGGCCTTGAAAGTCATGCCGACGACATAAGCGGCAGACTCCCAAAGTGGATACCAACAAAGACAAGACACCTCAGCAAGCTGAGTTGTGGCATAGCACGTACCGGTCAAGATGTCAAAGTCCTCATCTATCTGAAGCAGCTTGAATGCGCTCCTGGCCCTCCATCCCTCCTCTTTCGCTTTTCTGTAATAGATATCCTGGACACGGGGGCACAAAAGACGATCTCAATGATAGCGAAGCCGCTCTTTTCAAAGTAAGAAGAATAGCATCTGCAACAAGGTGTGTAAGTCGTTGAAAAATCTAGTGGTTACCTGGAAACTTCAGTGTGGTCATCTCAAGTAGGAAAGCTGCGTTAGCTTTGACGCAAGGTTACGTGTTGCAGAAGCGAGAGCTTTACGTTCTCTGGGTCAATTGACGATGATCAACTGTCGCACATTCACATGTGCCAATCTGAAGAGGACCATGGCCAACCAGCGAGCGGACACACTGTAAGACCAAGCTCTATGATAAGGGGAACTTGGGGGGACAGCTTTCTATGAACAGCCACCCTCAACATACAGATTCTCGAGAAACAGACACAAGAAACCGATTGATGGTGGGGCCTTCCACACTATCCAACTCAGAACTAGCCACAACTTTTGATGGAAGGCGGGATTAATGGCAGAAAGTAACCCTGTCGCGTCACAGCCCCAACTCTTCTGGTACAATTTATGGTTCTTACCACAAGTATTGGTATCTCATCAGGTGGTTACACCACCACTATGGGTATGAGGTTGACGAGCAGAGCTGCGCCCCTCAAGACTTCATTTGAATCGATCTAAATGAAATGGAACCTTGCAGATGTTTCACTGGAAATTATTTTAGTAAACCTTCGCTAAGAACAGCAGGCACCGCTCACCCTTTTGTCCTTAGAGGCCTTCCCCATGTTGAACTGATGCTCGAAGAGTTGCTTTCAGACCCCAAGTTCAGCAAACCTTCTGCAAGGAGCAGGACAAAAAGTAGCACTATGGGAAACAAGTAACACTGGAACGCAGAAATGGGGTACAAAGTGACGGTGCCTTCCCCCCCCCAAAATGGTGCGTATTTTCAACAAAGTGGTGGTGCGTAATTTCTGCAAAGTGGTGGTGCCTAATTTCTGCAAAGTGGTGGTGTCTTTATCCCCCCCTCTCTCCGTACTTTCTGGAGTTTAGCCAGTCGAAACCATAAGCAGAGCACACCGAGCTTATCTGCTGGAGCTTCGGGACTGCTATACACATTATCGCGGTGGTGTTTATAAGAAGAGACCACTTTATGTCAAGGTGCATTGAGCAACTAAGGATTAACTTTCAGGGTCAAAGGAATGAACGTTCTTGTGACAAAAACCAGACACAATGCTGTTATCGTTCCCAAATTGCAACTTCAAAAAGTGAACCCCCCAAGAAAGCAACGTGGCACACTCACTTTACCGTCATGCAGATTCTTACCTATCGCTGCAACCTGCCAAATGAAGGGGCTCACAGGTGCCAAACCAAAATCTCTACAAAAAGAGAGGAGGGAACTAAGCGCCAAACGTACGTGCAGCTGTTTCTACTGTCCTGCCATGATTCTGATGCAGACTGCAGTGGGCAGGAAATTGGCTCAGAGTCTCCCCCCTTATCCATTTGCAAAGCGCAATTTGACATCACAAGTTGAGATTTGAGCTGCACGAACACCCCGGGCGACCTGGCGTATTCAAACCTCAGCTGGTTAAAATGATCGGACACACTATCAAACCCAAACCTCATATTAACCCAAGCCGTCCCCCGGGCAGCGACCTGATCCAAAATGTAGCCGTATCCCAACATAACTTGACACGTCTCTCCTTCGCTGATTTAGGAATATGGATCGATTATCCCTGTTTTTGTGACTTTCATCCCTGGTTTGAAACGTAGCGAGATCTTCGTGCGATCTACATTTCCTAGCAGTTTTGAGAACGGCTTGGGGTTCGAAGCGTCGCACGAGGAGACCAATCGGAAACTGGAGTCATGACCAACCACAAGCTTGGGGGAGTTCGGCGATTCACATGCCCGACAGGGCCAGGTGGCACGGCTTGCTTGGCCATCGTTACCGCGCGTAACTTCTGTGATTGGCTCCGGAAGGGAGGCGAAATACAAACGTCATATGTAACGCGTCCATTTATGGCCCATATTCAGCAAACTTTCAAATTTCACCAACTTCTTGCTGCTGCGCCGACTGGCATTGGCAACCTCCGACTCCGAGTCCTCCACACGTCTTTCTCGATGCATCCGGTTCTGCCTACAATGGCTGCCCAGCCAGACAGATATGAGGGGACCAGATCAAGAGGAATGGCGCCTTGAGGTTGCGAGCAGTGCGTGCTAAGAGTAAGAGAATCTTAGTGTAGGCCCTTAGGTGTTTTCTTTACCTAGCGGTAGTTTCCATCTGTCCTGGATTCTGCATTTGCGGTGGAGCCATCTTGCAGCTAGATAACCAGGCGGTACCTCGTGCGGGGGTGGTCCCTTTGCCCAGCATGGACAATCAGGGGCATATGCAGAGTGAGCACGATGCGTACATGGCTGAGGGGGGCGTCGTCTATTATGATGACGAGCATATGCATCATGCCCATGGGAACGAGATGGCCCTCGTACCAGTGGACGTGGGCAATGACGAGGATGACATGTCACTCTCCCAGCCATCCGCATCGGAGGGGCTCCCTCCTTTTGAAGGGTAAGTCATGATGCAGACGTGAAGATATGCATCATATGAGCAGCAAATGTGAACTTTGGCCCTGCATGACAGGAATGGGGGTAAAGAACGGTCTTGCTTCTGCTATCCCTTGATTGTGGGCCGCTTTGGCTGATCGTGCGCTAACAAAGCTGCTGTATTTGAACAGTAGGCAAGAAGAAATTAGGAAGCGACAGGACAGCTGTCAAATGGTCGTGCGACAGCTGTCATTGCGTGGATTGTGGCATTGGGCTCAACAGTGCAGTTGCTTTCGCGCAGGCCGGCAGGCAAGCCAAAGAGGAGGTCGTCCAAGGGAGGCTGGACTCCTGAAGAGGTGGGTTATGCTCTTCACCGGGTTATTCCCACGGGCACAGACAGCGGGGGAAGCGCATGAATGACTTCGGCAGCCTTGTGCAGGGACAGCTGGCAGCACCTTTGTGACAGCTGGCATGTGCAGCGGCATAATGTTGGATCCTTTGTTCTTTTGAAGGCAGGCTTGACGAGCGTCGGGCAAGCTGTGGACTCGGATTCAGCTTCCGATGCTTGATACCTTCTGATTGTTGCTTGACACTGATTGGCTGCTGCTATGTTGATGATTGCCAGGATGACATCCTGCGGCGGGCAGTGCAAGTCCACAAGGGCAAGAACTGGAAGAAGATTGGTGAGCAGCATTCTGGTTCAAAAGCACCGTACATGGTTTTACTTGGTCAACGCACCCACTTACAAAAGCCCGAAGCTTAATTAGTGATGCAGCACTTGTCTTGCTTTGCATCAGGGTATTCTTATGGGGATGCATTGCCAGCTCGAATACTTCAGAGGTTGCCTAAGTGGGCTGTTCGCTGCATCGCTCTAGTTCACTGGATGCCTGAGCATACAAAGCTGCGGCTCAAGCGCAGACTCCCCCCTACAACACGAGTTTGGTTGTTTGTTGTGTCTGAGGAAGACTGGGCAGGAAAATGGGGGCGGCTCTGATCCATCCAAGGAGTCATGCATACCAATCATGCCCCATCTCTTGTTGCAGCTACATACTTCCCAGATCGCACAGACGTGCAGTGCCTGCACAGGTGGCAGAAAGTCCTCAATCCAGACTTGGTCAAGGGCCCCTGGACAAAGGAGGTTAGCAAGCCTGACCTTTTCTTTGCAGCTCTTTTGTCTGGTATGCCCATATGCAAATTTTTGATGACCATGTTTACATTCGAATTTGAGCATAAAGTCCCGTGAGACTCGAGCAGCAAGACAGGTGAAAGTAGAAGGCTTCTGGGGCCTTCAGTTGCTGTCAATCTTCCAAAGCCGCAACCTTTCATAGGCGCGTTCGGAGTGCGTTTGAAGATAGGAGGGGCACTCAACGTTGTAGTAGCGGACAGCTATGTGGGTCACAATATTACGCTCTGCGGGAAGAGGTGCATCCATTTGGCACGGCAGCCTCTGTGGGCTTTCATTCATTGCGGGCATTCAAAGGTGCGTCCTTTGCTGTTTGCAGGAGGACGAGCGGATCGCGCAGCTGGTCGCGCAATATGGGGCTAAAAAGTGGTCGATCATCGCGCAGAACCTGCCGGGGAGGATCGGAAAGCAGTGCCGTGAGCGGTGAGGCTCGGGTGCCGCTCACTCGGGGCGCCTCAGCTGAACTGGATTTCTGGAAATGTGCAAGTATGCAATCGTGCGGGTTTTCGAATGCTGCGACTTTGGACGCGTCAGTTTTGTGCTCAAGCTCTCCTTGAAAAGGTCCAGCTGGCTTTTGTGACTGAGAGCATGGCTGGCTTTCAGAGTGTCGTTCACATCATTGAATGTGCCGAGGGCCTCTTTGCAGCGTAGGTCATTGCGGACCCGGGAAATGAATTGTTCTCGTTGGCAATCATGCACAAGGCAAGAATGAGTGACACAAAGCTGTGTACAGTTTTTTGTTAATAGTCACTGGCACTTTGTTACGGATTGACCTTCCGATTGCTGTTGATCTCAGATGGTAATGTCGCATTCGTTCCTCCCATCAATACACTCAGATCTGAAGACATCTGGATGACTCCTGTATCTTTGCAACAATCGCCTTTAATCTCAATGCCCCCTGACGGCGTCCTGACAAGGGTGACCAATGTCACGCTGCCAGGTGGCACAATCACCTGAACCCAGTGATCAAGCACACGCACTGGACTGAGGAGGAGGACGCGGCGCTCATCCGCGCACACTCGGCGTTCGGCAACAAGTGGGCTGAGATCGCACGTTACTTGCCGGGCCGGACAGACAACAACATCAAGAACCACTGGAACAGGTGGGTTAAGATTTAAAGTTTTGTCCGGGGGTAAAGGCTGAGGTTTGATTGAGACTCTGGCTTGCAGATACGAGTGAATCAGAGTGCACACGTGATGACTATGATTGGAGCGCTTCAGATTTCCAGACATGTGCGGACGAACAAAGTGTTGCTAACCAGGGGCCCCAACTTGAGAAGGTCTTTGAAGTGCAAGAGAATTACTGCTACAGATGGGCATGCGTGCTGATTGAGACTGGAGGTGCCGGCAAGGCTGTCCACTTTCATTGTTCATTGCGATGGCAGAGGTTGTAGATCTTGAAACCACCCCCCCCCCTTTTTGTAAACAGCACTGTGAAGAAGAAGGTGGAGCAGTACGGTGAGGCCAAACTGCTGGAGATGCTGGGCGCGGATCTGTCGGTCCCTCTAGTCCCAGTCGAATGGAACCCCCCCGTCGAGGCGGGGCACTACGGCGACGATGACGATTACGAAACAGGGGGATACGGCGACGAGCCACAGTATGGGTGTGCTGAGTACCCCCCCCCGCCGGCATACCCCCCTCAACAGGCACTCCCTCCCCCTCAGCAGCAGCGGGGCAGGAAGCGCCCTTTCCAGACCCCCCCGCAACAGAACGGGGGGACGGTTCCAATGAAGCTGCCGCTTCCATGGGGGGGTACCGGGCCCTGCCTGAACTTCCCCCCTGGACCGGTGAGCACGCTAGGGCTGCTGGCGATGCAATCGGGGGCGCGGGTGCAGACGGGGGTTCAGTTGCAGCCGTCTTTGGAACACGGGTACATTGTGCGGCAGATCGCGCCGCCACCCCAGGAGCTCCCCCCAACGGTGATCCAGCCGCAGGCGACGCGCGCGCAGCCCCCCCAGAAAGTTGTGGGCGCATCGGAGGATCTGCTGGCAGCGGCGAACAAGGCGGTGAATGAGTACCGACTGCCAGAGTACCTCACAGGTAAGGGGGTGGTTTTGTTGCAAGTAGAGGTTTTCTTTGCAGGATAGATGGAAGAGTGCGTGAGTTCACGCTTCCCAAGATTTAGGTTTGTCATAATCCCTCAATCTGCAATCGAAAGTGGGTGAACCTACTCCGTCCGTCCTGTGAGCTTCTGGTTTTGCGGTATCAGGTAAAGGCGTTCAGCAAAGCGTACTGCATTAAGACTTCGTTCTGGGCAGGTCGCTGTCCTTATAGATCTGAGGGGAGTGCTTTTGCGACGTCTAGGGCATTTTTGATTTATATGTGGGCTGCTCCTTCAAGGGATACTTAGTCAATAGGTGGGGGGTCTTTCAGGCAGGGCGCGCCCTTCTTCGAATGATCAGCTCAGAGCTGGCTTCCCCCCCAAGCCCAATTTTGAGTTGGTAGCTCGGTGGTGAGAGGCACACCCAAAGATTGACTGACAGCGAAAGCCAGTGGATAAGCTGCAATGCAATTCTACACACGTGGAGAACCCAGTTCCTGCGATATCCGAAGGGACCATGAAGATCTAAAGCTGACCTTCGTCTAACAGTTAACAGAACCTTAACTCTTCCTCACCCTCACGTCCAGGCACCCCCGACGGCAAGCTCGAGGTCATTGACGAGCAGCGCGGCGCTGAGAACGAAAGCCCCCCCCACGCGCCAAACTCGGGCCGCCTCTTCTACGAGCCGCCCAAAATAGTCTCGCCGTTTGCGGGGGCCTCCTTTGACTCGTTCCGGAGCCCCCCGGAAGGAAAAGCGAGCGCCTTTTCGCCCCTGGGGATCACGCAGGTCATCGGGGGTGCGCAGTCCGCGTTTACGACGCCCAACCAAGTCACACCATCGCAGCTCTTCGATGGCATAAGCCCGCAGGTAAGAGTTTACTGGGCAAACTTCTTACTCTATTTTCTTTCTTGTCTTTTGCACATCGGAACCCTCATACGCAACTTGTATCCTTCTTGGGTTCTCGTCTGTTCTCAGACGCGTTTCCGCGTTCTGGCCGATCAGAAGACGGGCAGCGTCGAGGAGAGGATGGGTGTTCCGAGATACTCCGAAAGTGAGGGGCGCATATCTTGATGTATCTGTCGTTGAAAGAAACCGTTCAGAAGAAACCTGTACAAGCAGCATTGCCACACAAAAGAAGGAGCAAAAGACAGGAGTCGAGTCCTCCGCTGTGCAATCAACTGAAGGTCGGTTTATAGAAAAAAAGATGGAATCACGTGCATAAGCACCATCACCCAGTATTCAAAAGCGGTAGAGTTGGGGGTCAGAAGAGAAATAGTGAGCTCCCCTCCCATTTTTTTGCAGTCCAAGCTGCGCAGCGCTGCCAAAACCTTTGGTGGGACGCCCTCCATTTTCCGGAAGCGCCCCCGGCGGTTAGACCCAAACCCGTCTCCGGTTGACCCTAACCCCGAGCCCGCCCGAGCCAACGGCGAGGGGGGTCCAAGAGAAGGGGGGGCGGTGCGTGCGAGCATTCTGGAGGGAGCGGCAGAAAGCGAAAGAAGAGCAGCGGGCCAGGGCAATGCACAGGACGGCGGGGGGGAAAGCGTGAGTGGGCCCTTAAAGCGGGGGGCGGAGGAGGACGAGACTGCGTCAGTGGGGGGGAAGGAACGGGCTTCTGAGAGGGGGGGGGACCGGGAAGATGAGGCGAACGAAGCCGGGTCAAAGAGGCGGGATGGCGACGGCGATGCGAGGGAGGGATTAGTAAACGGGGCAACAGAAAATGGGGGAGGTACGATCAGGGGGGGGTCAAGCACCAGATACGGAAACGGGGGTGCGGGGGCGGATGCGAACGGGCATGTGAACGGGAGTGCGGGGTCGAGCGGTCTACATGGAAAGGAGCGGAGCAGTGAGGTAAATAAGGGGGCGAATGGATCGGGCATAGAGGTGGGGGGGAGCAGGGGGGGCACGCAAAAGAACGGAGTAGGGAACGGGGTGGGCCAGCAGAGCCTGAGTGGCAGCCCCGTGAGGGGGATGATGAGGGGAGGGGGGGGGAGGACACCCCCCCGAAAAACCTCCAGCATCAAGGGTCCTTCACTGAATGTGAGTGGAATTCAGCATTACTTTGGTTTGAACGTGTCAGACTTTTGAGTCTTCAGCATTTTCCTTTTTCAAGAGGTGAGAGGCGAATTTCCAGATCATCCGGATCAAGGTCCTGCTGACTAAGCGTGTGGGATAAGCAGGCCAGGCAACCAAGGAACAATTGATTCGTCTCATTGTGTTTGCCTGAAAAGTGGTGGCGTGGCATCTTGAGCCACCTTCTCAATGCACCAAATGCTTTGGCGCTCTCTACGCTGTCATTCTACAAACGGGCGACCGTCTCAACTCTCTTTCTGCAATCCAGTTTTTTGACTTTGGGGCCAGCCTTCCATCTGAAGCTTTGGCGGACAGATTCTCGGAAGAAGTCAAGACGAAGCAAACGTACGAACACGCAGAGCCTCTCTAGTTGAAACAGCTTGGCGCTCTCGTTGGGGATCGTGTTCCGTGCTGGAATTGGCTAGCCTCAAGTCCGAGCTCTGTTATCCTCGGAAAGTCCTTCGGGGCAGATCTTGGCAGCTGTCAGGTCTGCTGACAGGTGTCATGTCTTCTGACAGCTGGACACTTGCCGTCGTGTACAGGTGGCGGTACCGGTGCATGGGTCCGTCCTTGTGGAGCAACCTTTCAATAGGTGACTACTGACCTGGATCCCTTCTTTTCTGCTTTTTTTGGGGACTGTTTACTTTTGGTATAGTCGTTTCTTCCCTGCTTCAATCGTGGTTACGGAGATTCTGTCTCTGTGAGAAGTTACGAATCTTATGACTGCTTGTTTTCGTGTTTTTTTCGCTTCGCTTGCGTAGACTTGCATGTTTCATTTTCCGAGTGAATTTGCTCAAGTTGTACTTCGTTCTTCTTCTTACCGTTGCTGTCGTTACCTGACGCCACTTGCCAGCACCACCCTTCATGCAGCCTCTTAACACCCGGTCACTCCGTCTTTTATGTCTCTGACCTATTATTTTCCTGCCCGTTTTGTTTGTAAGAACATCGAGTCCGCTTCACGTAGATTTCACGTAGATTGATATTTCCTCATTCGACCACTACAGCTTGTCACTAACTTCTATCTCCAATGTTTCCACAGCCTCTCGATTGCCGCCCCTTCCTTCCGAGTGCCGGCCTCTCGACCCCCCCTGGCCGGGGGCCATTCACACCTGTCCAAGAACATCAAGGCCAGGCCCATAGCAAGGGCCTCGGGAAATTCACCCGGGCTGCAAAAGGCGCAACCACTAATTCCTTTTGTGGCTTCCTCGTGGACCGGGGACGGCGGGCTCGTGACAGCTGTCGAGGTCCGGCCCGTGCCGGCGGCGCTCCCAGTGATGGATGCGGGGGATCCCTTCGTATCCATGTAAGTTGGAAATGATTGCAGAACTTCATTATTTCAGATTGTGTTATAGTTCAATGAGTGGTAGAATCAGCGGTCGGAGGGGTGTACATGTAGGTGCCAGTGGCTCTTTCACGTGTTGAGGGCTGTTTCCAACATGGTGCCGGTTTCCATCTGGAATTGGGGCACTTCACACACATCGGAAGTCAACCCGATGCATCTGACGCACCAGAGCAAACCTGGGAGCCTTAGCAGTCGCTGCGCAGAGCCCAGAGTCAACCGAAATTTTACACGTTCGCTGGTAGTTCACTCCATTGTAGCCAATTCCTCCTCTACTGGCAACCTGTCCCTTTCCCGCATTGGAAAATCCAACTCGAGCATTAGAGATGGCCTGAAACCTGCGATACTCAGTCGAGAAGTGGGTCCTTCTGTTTGCAGGACCATGCCTGCAATAGACTCTCCCGGTTGGCGACCTTGGCCGTCCCCCCATGCCCGCCAGGCAGCGCCGTCGCCCCTTCAGCGGCGCCGAGATGAGCAGGTAAGCCTAGGGCGTTCTTTCCAGGGGGGACGAAAGTCAGATTGAATCAGGGAGATTGGGTTAGGTTTCTGAAGTCGGAGTAATTGAAGAAAGTCGGACTGAGTGAAGGGAGTCCGGCTGGATTGGGGGCAAAAGACCGGATTCGGTTAATGGCTTTTGAATCCAATGAGCCAGGTTGGATTGGTTGAAAGGGGTTGGGTTGAATCAAGGAAGTCCGATTGAATCAACGAATGTCAGACCAAATTCAGGAGGTTCGAGTGTATTAAGGGAATGGGATGAATTCAGGAAGTTGGTAGATTGGAGCCTTAGCCTCGGGACGTACGTTTTCTGCTTTGAAAGTCCCCGGAGTTGCTACTGATCGCGATCGAGAATAGCCATCTCGGAGGTGAAGGTTTCGTGTTAGAAGCCCTTCTGCACTGTAGCAGAGCTGGATTTCGATTCTGCGCATCGTCGTAGCCAAGCTAGTCCGGTAAAAGAGATGCAGATTTGAAACGTTCTTGGAATTGAGTCCTTTGACATGTCAATCTGCTCAACGTGTTAACCCTGTAAGCGAGTTTCAGTTTAGGACGCTTTCCAAGACAAGCCCGTTTGATGCCGTCTCTCAACCGGAATCGAGATTTTGGGGTACTTCTACAGTCAAGAACGGACTAACTTAAAGAGGGTCGAAGGGCAAAGACGAAGAGGGCAAGCAATGCCTTGGTTTTTCGGCTTGGTTTCATTGTAGGATCCGGCTTATTTGCGAGTCGACGGACCGGATCGATCTGGTTTCGTGCTGATTCTGTGTTACTACGCATTAGCCGAGAGTTGGTTCCGAGTAGTTTCTGAATCGAAAGAGAGCTGCTTCGAGAATGTTCAATTTGAAGTCACCATTCGGTCATCTAATCAAACCTAACAACAAATGATTCCTGATTGTGATTCAGTGGATTCGCAAGTACTTTTCGAAGTAATCTGTTCACAAAATATCAGATCTTCTGCACCGTACTCATGCCTTCTCCACCCTCTCTTCCAAGGAGTTGGAGCTGTTCATGGGAACGGGCTCCGCTGTGGACGACCCGCTCGGCATGCTGCGCCACATCACAGACCAGAGTGCCGCTGCTGTAGAAGAGGTGCGCGCCCTTATCGTTCTTTTCCGAATTTTCATTTCGGCATCAAAAGCACCCGCACGGCATTTCTTTCCTCTCATTGTTTTCATCGTTCAGGTTGAAGGGTCTTGCTTCGGTTGTGATTGTTCAGATGGAGGGGTTTGTACGGAATTTCTGTTCAGGTTGACGGGGTTTTTGCTTCGATTTTGACCATCATATTGAAGCGGTTAGTACGACATTCTTTCACAATCATCCAATCGTCCCTGGCGAAACCATCAATAGTGGACACTACGTCGTCGTTTCTGGGCAAATCTGGAAGATCATACGACGGTCCTGGTGCTTTCGAAGTGGCGCCTCATCGGTTCTGACAGATGTCAAGGCCAATTGTTACGGCCAATCTGCATGGGTTGTCACAACATCTTCGGTTCAGTCCACCTTTCAGCAAGCACTACTTGTTGCAGTCACCGCATTGATAGTCTCCCGTTCTACTTTGCTTCCCGTGTCCAATCCTCGGACGTCGAAGACAACCCCGCCATTCTTGGAAACGCGATGACCTTATACAGACAACAGATTCTTGAGTTTGGTCGTTGAACCAAGTCGGCCTGACAGACTTCGGTACTTGGTCAACCAAACTCGTCTCACATTTCAATGGCGAGGAGCTTGCAACCGGGGGAGTCAAGGCCCCCCAAGTGGTGCAGCATGAGCATTGCGGGTCTTGGTCAAAAGTCGATGCGAAAGGATATTCAGGCTGCGGTGTGATCAAACTGACTTTGAAAGGAACATTAGCCTCAATGGTTTTCTGCCAATCATAGCTGAAATTCAGAGCAGTGATTCAAAAACCGTTCTTGTCTGTCTGTCAGGTGGAAAACATCCCGGTAGAAGCCGCCTTAACGAGCCCCTCTCCAAGGCGCCCGGGGGATAGGGGCACGGGCCTGACTTGGCTCCCGTCGGTAAGCTCAGCCATCGCTTAGACTTCCTGTCGAGCCGTTGACCACGGTTCGCGTTCGGGGTGTGGTATAGAGTCTGGGGACAGAGTCCTTATTGAGGGTGCCCACTGTTGCTCAACACTTGCGCAACCTTAGTTATCGTGTAAGCTTACAATGGTCACAACGGACATGCTTGTGTGGTCAAAGGCATTTGCACAAGACTTGACTGTGCGACCAACCTTGGGAGATCTGAGGAGACTGAAGTTTACTCGTGCTTCGATTGCAGCCATCTTTCCGAGAGCCCTTCTCGCCGTCTTTGTTCGACGTGAGCCTCCCCTCGCCCTTGCCGCTCCGTGAGCCCAGCCATCTGATGGTACCTATGGGTCAACCGAGCCCCCAAGCATCGGGGGCGTCGACACCGATGGCTGCGGAACAAGCCTCACGGGAAAGAGGCAATTTAGAAACGTATGGGCCCCCTATTCGACTGCTCAAGGATTGTAGATGACTGAATGTCCTGGAATAAGTTTTGCAACCGTCTTTTCCATACTGTATACCACTGCCGTGCTACATTCAAACATTGACGCACAGAGGGGAGAGGGACAAGAGGGACGAATGTAACATATGCCGTGTGATTTACTGTGCGATGAACAGCCAATTTCATAGGTCTTTACCGCCCTTGACATTCACAAAAGAGTAGTGCAAAGTTCTTTAAAGAATGCATGCTTTGTTTGGCCTAGGTCATAGGTTCTGCATGTCAACCCCATGCCATTATTGGATCCGACACATACCGGTAGCCTAGGATTGTGCCAAGTCAAACGCGCAAGAACTTGGATCCGAGATTGCACCTTTCAATCGCCTCAGGTCCAAGCTATGTTTGAAGGCGCAGCCAAAACAAGATGCCCACATGTAGCGTACGGTTGCAGTCGAACCTCTTCATTGTAATTTGCAAGATGTGATCAAGCGCTTGCGATGCATACAGATTGTTGTTAACCGGTCTTCTAATTCAAGTAATTCGTATTATCTTCTGTTAACAATCCATATATATCATTGATACAAAAGCGGAATGATATATGACCATCATGTGCATGTGGCATCATGGAAAACTATAGCGCGTGCGAGCTTCATGCGGCATCATGTTCTTAACGTTGATACAAGTTGCCAGAACTAGCATGTGCTACATGCAGCTCATGCAAATCGATCACTGATACTTCAAGAAAGTAATCACAGACGTACGGAATCATCGCGTCGCATGCCGCGCGTGGCCGGTCCCATTAGCTTGTGGAACTATACTAGGCTGATCTACCTTAGCTTAGGGCTACCTTCCGATCCGCAAACCAGTACCGTATACCGTACCTAGATTGAAGAATCAAGAAATGACTAGCGCTTGAATGTGGATTGACGAAGCCAAAGAATGGAAGAAACACATACCGGTATGGCCAGAATCCATGCACGCCAAGGTACCGTCATACCGTATATCAGCAAAGTAATACGGTAGTTCAAGGGCCCATATCAGCAAAGTTATAGTTCAAGGGGCCCGCTGGCACTGCGCAGACTCAGGCGCCGCCGACATTGTTGTCAATATTAAGCCAATTTCACTAGACGTTCCCACAGTAGTCCTAGGTAATCTCAGTGCCAGCCGCCGCGGTTTGTGTCGCGAGAAGGAAGCGACTCTCAGCTAGTGCTCCAAACGGACGGTCAGCCGGCACATTCAGTAGTGATGGACGGCAGAGATGACTTCTTCCGGCTGTCATGCATTAGCTAAGTGCATTTTCCGTGACGTCAGCTGCGATTGCATGTCGAAAAGATGGGGGGCCAAAATCTGATCGACGATCAGAGATCGAGGGACCCCTTGGGTTCCAACGGTTGGGATGTGCCTCAAGCGAGCACATTACTCTTCAGTGTGACGCTGTGCTATCGATCAGCCCGTGCCGTCTGTGGCGCCCTGGCCCCTGGGCCTGGGCCTGAGTAACCAACGCACAAAACCTGTACCGTAGGATACATGGGCACCCACCTGGGGTTATCAAGGTGATCTGTTTTCTGTCACGGCAGCCCCAGCCTGAATGACCCGTGAGTCTGGGCCGTAGGCTGTCACTCGTGAATGCTGCAGCCTCAGGTTCAAGGAGGAAGGCAACCTGCGGCTGTTGGATCCTGCCTTGCATCCTTCGGATCCCTTCCATCATTACCTCTCGCTCATGCAGGATCTCCTGTCTTTTGAAGTTGGAACATCAGGATTGAGTCGCGTTGGCCTCCACTCGTTTGGTGACAGCTCTACTTGAGTGCTGAAAGCATTGGCTTTGGGTGGCGAGAGAGGGTGATCCAGCAAGCGTATCAGCTTGTTGCGTATTCACAGACTGTAGTTGGCCAGCTTTTGTGGAAAGCTAGACCCAAAGGCACTGCTTGAGTGAGGAAGTAGGGCCGGCAGAAAACTGTTACTGTTACATCATGGAGGACGGGGCCACATGCACCCCCAGTATGGATGAGGGGTCCTGCCATAACCCGGACCAGGCAAAGAAGCTCGCGATTGCAGCGATCTTCGTCATCTGGGTTTGCAGCTCGGCGGGCGTGGCACTCCCCATCTACGGTCGGCGGTTCGTTAAGTCGCTGCAGCCAGGAAGCAACCTCTTCATTTTAGGTGAGTTGAGCTAATCGCCTTGGGTACCTCAAGGCTCGCGGACAGGGTGAAGTTGGTTAAAAGCAGGTTGGGTTACCAGGACTCGCTGGAAGGCACCAGTTTGTGACGGGTAAGTTGAGTGGTTTTGGTTAGTGCAGGTTAGCTGGGAGCAATCTTTTCCTGGTAGTGCTTGAGCAGGTCTAATGTGGGGTTTGATGGAAGAAACCCTCTGTGTTGACGTCAACCGGACTGCACCCTAACTGGAAGTCATACCCGCTTCTGGCGGGACAGCATCCGCTTCCTTGAGAGACGGTCAACTCGTGGCGTCTTATCTTGGGGCGCCTTATCTTGGGTAGGCTTTGGATAGCTGAGGGTCATATGAGGGCTGTAGGGGATTGGCCGGGGCCACATTCTGTTACCAAACCGCATATAAAAGTTTGAAGTACTGCCTAGGCTGAACATCAGAGTCATGCAATGTGCAGAAACCTTGTGAGGCGGCCCGCTGTTTGGACATCCTGTGAATGTGGGGTCATGAAAGGGTGCTGTCCTATACTTTCTGCCTGAAGGATCTGCTCTGTTATCTACTGTCATGTTTTTCTGAGATTTTTTCTCCTTAGCTTTCTTGAGCTGCCCTTCACAGACCCAGATTGCCCCTAGCAATGTTGTGGTCTGAGGTTTCCTTTTTCCCTTGATCTCACTAAAAGCCTTCAAGTGCCCCCATCCTCTCTAACCTTGCGAAATGGCTGTTGAATTTCTGCCGCCTTAGGAAGCCCCTCCCACCGGCTCCCCCCATCTCGTCCGAGCGTTGTTTGCATCTCTGTTACACTTCTAAGTACTCCAATCGTGGGCCCCAAGCCCCCTGTCAGCCGCCAACCTCCAGATTCACACTCGCGTCCTTCTTGCTACATATTTAGCTCACCTGGGCCTTTGATCAGATTTTTCATCCCCCCCTAACCCCCCCTCCTCTGCCCCCCCAGTTGGTTCAAAAGTCATGTACCCCTCTCATGTCCCCTCGAAAAACCCTCTCAGACTAATCTCGTTTTACCCCCCACCTCATGTTTATGTTAATGCAGCTCACCCCCCCCACCTTTTCTCCTCTCTGCAGGAAAAGCCTTGGGCGCCGGAATCATCCTTGGGCTCGCGTTCACGCACGTCCTCAACGACGCCACCGAAGACCTGACCAATGAATGCCTCACCGGCAAGTGGACCGTCTACCCGTGGAGCTTCTGGATCGCGTCGATGGGCGTCGCGCTCAGCCTCGCGCTCGAGCTCGTGGCCGTGCAAGTTCATGCTTGGATCTCGGGCCAGAACTCGCTACTCGCGCTGGCCAATGGACACCATCACCCAGACCATGTGCATGTGCACGGGCTTGCGCACCAGGGGGTAGCTCCTTCTGTCGATAGCGGGGATGCGCACCCCCCCGCCGGGAGTGTCAAGTCACTGGATGTGGAGGCGGGCAGCGTGGCCAAGGAGAGCACTTTTGGGACCCCCCGGCATAAGATCATTGCTGAGGTGAGGAAATCTGACTTGCATTTGAAGTCCTTTCGAACAAGTGTTCTATCCTTTTGCCCTTATGGTAGCCAAGTGCGGTGTTTTCTCCTGTAACCCTGCTTGAACTCTTGAGCAGAACAGTAATGCTGTACATGTGGTCTCAACCAGCTTTGAAGATGAATCCTGGAAAAGCGGGCAATCGTGCTTGGCTAGTATCTATGATTCTGCTTCCCTTCTTTTTAAATCTTGTGTCCCAACTGTGTGCCCCAAAATGCTTGTCTGACGCATATGATTCTTCTGTCTTCTCTCTTCCCCCTGTAATCCAACTCTACTTCTAAGGTCCCACAAATGTAATCATACCATCATCCGTTGCCGCTCTGTCATTCCGGTTATCCCAAAAGCTAACGCTTCCCTTGCCCCTCCTGATCTCATCAGGTTCTTGAGATTGGCATCATTGTGCACTCGGTCTTGGTGGGCATTGGCCTCGGCACGAACACCAGCAAGTGCACCGTTACCAGCCTCTTCATCGCGCTCTGCTTCCACCAATTCTTTGAGGGCGTGGCTCTTGGCAGCTGCATTGTGGAGGCCGCCTACAAAAGCTTGACAACCTTCCTCATGGCGTTCTTCTTTGCGATCACGACGCCACTTGGGATTGCTATCGGGCTCGGAGTCAGGTAAGGGAGCTGCAGTTTCTGAATTATTTCTGATGATTATTTCATCTCAACAATGTTTTTGGGGTGACGGCGTAACTGGCCAGTCGTGGGCTTGGTAACTTTCGTCCTGGAGATTTGACGTGATGTCGTTGGTTTGTTTTCGATCCTTTGGGTACGAAATCAAGTGGTTGGGGTTTTTATGGGACATTTGTTTTTAAAGTATATTTTGAAGCTGGACTTGCTCTGTGTGAAGTGTGCCGTTGTGACCTCTGTCTGGCTCGAAGGGACAAGCGATTCTGATGGGCTCTGACTCGTGAAGGGTTTTTCCTGGACCGGCAGATTTTGTCGACTGCAACTGCAACTCTTTGCTGCCAGAGAGGATGGTGGTTCCATTCTGTCCATCATACGACCATGTATGAGCAGATTGGCGACCACTCGAGTCTGCATTTAACGAGCTGCTGAAGCCGTCACCAAGTCTAAACGCACTAGTCGGGATGTACGTCCTTTTTAAGATTGACAGGTGGACGCCATCTTTTCACACCCGCCAAATACGCATGTCTGATCACGTTGGTGGGCTTGCTCTGACTGCAAGGGAAGATTTGTCTTACAAGATTGGAGGCTGATGAGGGCATCGTCGCTCGACTTTCACCTGGTTGCATTGTCCAGTTTTCTACGCGCTCAAACAGCATGCGACGACATTTCTACGCGCTCAAACAGCATGCGACGACACCTTCGTCGAGCCCATCTGATCTGGGATTGAACGGCTTCGTCGCACCTCAAAGATTGCCAACGTGAAAGTCCCAAAGATAATCTGCAGCTAAACTTCAATCTGAGTCCATCTTGTCTCCGTGCAGGTCGTCTTACAACGACAACTCCCCAGAAGCGCTTGGGATCGAGGGCACCTTCAATGCATTCACGGCTGGGATTCTTATCTACATGGCGACTGTGGACCTGATTGCGCACGATTTCTTCAGCGCAAAGGTTTTGGGGAACCCGAAGCTGCTCTGGGGTTGTTTCTTAGCCGTTCTTTTGGGGATGGGTACGATGGACTTGCTAGCATACTGGGCTTGAATACGGAAGTAGTTGAGGGGTAAACGGATACAAGTGGATATAGTTGTCACCGTTTGGACAAGGTGGGGCTCGCGAGTCCCACAACTGTACGTCAAGTCGCACATTTGTCTCGGAATGCACAAGATGCTTGAAATCTGCCAGCACAAGTCTGTCGTCCTCGAAAGAAGCTGCATGCTTTGCTCAACCACGATCAAGCTGGTCAGGATATCCCGTGTTGCTGTCCCGATGCCATCAAGAGAAGGTGATAGGAGAAGATCTGAACAAAACGTAAATGATATAAGAAGATAACTCGAAAGCAGCTGATTCTAGTTCTGAGCCTTTATTAGTGCATGCTAGGGTCCTCAATCGAACTTTTGATAGTGTAGCAATTATATTGGATCGATGTTTTGTGCATTTAAAAGTCCAAACCTGGTCATTCATTGTGACCATTCCCTTAACTTGTTGTCTTGCTTCATTCAATCGTTTACTAACGGGCATGTTACATTCATTTTCGTGTCCACGAAACACGTTTGGTCATGCCAGCGTCAAATTCCACAACATATGATATGGGCCCCATCGCAAATATAGCACTGGATCCGATCTCAGCTTCCACTTTGAAGCGGTTCCTGCTCAGCTTTTGAGCAACTTACAGTGTAGACTGATTTTGCGGAACTAGTTCTGAAGAGAAAAGAACAGCTGCTAGTAGACCATGGGTAACTTAGGCTGGACTAAGTCAGGCGGGTCTATCGTATGGAGATATTGGCATTGTGTTTAAATGCATCATTCATTCCAAATCATGCCTCAGTACGTGTGTGCAGCACGTACCGTCTATCACTAGTAGCTCGCCAGCCGCCATGTTGGCCGCCCCACCAGTCCACGGACGAGAAATAGTCCATGCTTCACAGTCCAAATCATTCGAATGCAATTTTAATAGCTTGAGATTCCTACTTGAATTCAAACAAGGCAAAATCAATATGGAAATGTGCGGCTCGGATTGACTCGGTCAGGCAGAACAACATATGACCGAGTATTTAATTGCCATCCTGCAGGCGTGTGGCAGGCGTTCAGGCGTCGACACCACACATAACCATATGATGTGTGCCCTGAGAATTGCCTGTGGCCCAGGTGGCTAGTAGATCACGCGCGGCGTTTAAAAGCGAATATCATTGACATGTCCCATAATTCGAGTCCTGCATTTATGCACTGCATGAGATAGGTGCACACGAATGTGACGATCAATACCGTATCACGGACGGCCCATTTGTGATGGGCATCGTGTCAAAACATGTGTGCAGTGGCGTCCGGAACTCCGGTTTTCGCAATTTTTCTGAAGGGGTTGGTGGCCGGTTCTCGGAGCACCGTCAAGATGACTCGAGGGGGCTGGTGGCCGGTGCCCGGCTGAATTTTCTGATAAATGTTTCATTATTCCGAGAATCATCAAAATCTTGCGTATGAGCCACTATTATCAGCCGCGTATATGTACACTTGAGCATGTCAGCCCCCTGCAAAAGGGCTGGAGGTTACGAGGCCACATATCAATCGACCAATCTCGAAACACACGGTCTAGCACAAATATCACCACATAACACAAATCCAGATGCGTATAGATATATAGTGCTCTATTTTGCCTTTTATATAAGTTGATTGCGGCGCCGAATCGAAGTGGAGCACCTGAAAACCACCTCTGGTCATGTTTCGACAATTATCAAGCGGATATTGCGCTCGCTCCATCCCCTTATATCCCTCTAAACCGGGTTTACTACATCGAGTCGGAACTTGGGTACCCTGGTGGCCGGTGTTTTTTGGGTCAATTTTCGGTTGTACCCCCCTGGTGGCCGGTTTATTTTTCGGAGTTCCGGACGCCCTTGCAGAGATGTTTTGACACGATGCCATGCTCGTGCAGTGCAGAGGCTGGCAGTGACCGCATCAGAGTGACCGCATCAGATTGCCAGAGAAGATTGTCCATCATTTGCTCCGGAGCAAATGGGCCCATGCACCTCCCTCACCTCCCATGCGTTCCGGACCCCATTGAACTCCTGGGGTGGCAACTCCGAATCCGCAGATGATCAAAGAAAAAATTATCTTGACGAATCCGCATAAGCACTCAATTAGAATCTCGAAAAACCGAATGTGTCTTTGTCTTCGTCACATCAAGACGGTTCCATAGCACTATAGATTGATGATTTTTGACCCCCCCATCTTATAAATCTCGCGGATCTTACGGCCGATAAGATGCAAAAGATGCACTTATATGGCATCGACCAAATCTACTCCCTTCATAGGCCTCAATCATCCGACAGATACTACACTATAAAATGCTCGTCACAAATTTGAACGTAAGATCTTTCACTATAACCTGCTTGATTTCGAAGCTGTCAATAAGATCCTGCACTATAATCTACCAATAAATTGCAAAAACTCCAATAAGATACTTCACTATAACCTACTAAGTTCGCCAACCCCTTGGTCGCAGGTGTATGCAGTAATCTTCTCGAGTTGCCACCCCAGGATTGAACTTCGGTCCGCTCAGGCCGAGTCCGTCTGAGTCAACGATTCTCAATTCATTCATTCATTTATACTTCTATTATAAGGACCGTAGCCAATGCGCTGCATGGGCCCAAAGCTGAGTGGAGGCTGAGTGTCAACACACGATTCGACCGAGTTCGAACAATGCTACTGTAGTACTGAGATGCTTCTATCTAGCTATCCTACTAACCTAAGGCAACCTTTGACACTCTATCTCGGCTAGCCCAACACATAGAGATGTGCTTCTACGCGGATCCGACGATTATGGCAAACTGAAAAGGAGAAAAGTGCACTGGTATGAAGCGTGCTCTACGCTTGAACAGCTTGAACCGAAGGCTAGGCCACTGGTGTCCGTGCCAGCTTGGGCGCCGAGGAGGTGTCAGTGTTGTCTTGGAGATGAGCTAGCAGACTATGAGACTAGTATCTCACGCACTGTTTCGACACTCACTGAATCGTAGGTTGGTATCAAAGTGATCCGCTGCCTGCTATAGCGCTTAATATCTCAGGATTGAGTGACCAGTCCACGACCAGTCACTTCAACCTCAACCAGAGTCGGATGCGTGACTGGCCCTGACATCAGGAGCCTACAGGAGTCAGGACAGCCCGGCGGGACTGGTCAGGACTCAGGACCCTGTCAGGACATTCAGGAGCCAGGACTCGGCTGTCACAATCAACCTTCACACTGAAGTGTTTCAGCAGTCGCCGAACTTTCAAGTCGTCGTTACAACACTGCACAAATCTTGACCGTCGGGCCGCATGACCTTTTTATTGGACGGCTTGCAGGAGCTTGCTGTCAGATACGAGAGTACTTTTGGATGAACACTTTTCCTGTCAGGAAACAGAAATCTCCCGTGCCAAGGTACAAATCATATCCGCGTGTCAGCTTTTGCACGTGCATTACTGCCATGTGCGCTATTCTGGAAGCGGCATTGGCTGCTGATCTGACACCACCAGCGATATTTGGGATTCTTCAGGGTCCAGGATACGGTAGGTACCAATCGGGTACTCAGGCTGTGCTGGAAGCCTGGAACTTGGAAGGTACGGTTTTCCAGATTCAGTCTACCGCCGCCGGTATACCGTAGAAGAAGAAACTTGATGTAGGTACATTGCGGAATGCGCAAGATGGGTATGGTCCATGGATTGAATATTTATACGGTTGAGTCCTGACTCGCAATAATGTTACATCAGAGACTTTGCAAGCGCCTTCTTCCGTGGCGATCAATGTGCTTGAAGCAGCAAAACTCGTGATCGTGGCGGCCTGCAGGTGTGTGCTGCTGTCAGTTGTGCTGCTGCATTGTAGATGCGATAAGCAGCCCTGAGCGCCTCCTTTGGGAGCGTCAATTGCATCCAGCATAACGCATTTTAAAGCGTTAACAGGCGGCACGGGGTAGGAAAGAGAAGCGCAAGCCCTTAAGAGGATGAAGCGGGCAAGAGGCTCCGCCCGTGGTCTACATTAACACAGGGTGTCCAGGACGCGCAGGGCTGCCTAGATGGCGCACTGATTGATGCAGGGACATTGAAAGTGGATGTCACTGTCAATGTGAGCAATAGTTGCTTCCTGACAGCCTGAATCAGTGCTTCTGCAAGGGTTTGCAAACACAGAAGGTCAACAGGCACTGAAAAGCAGTGTTGCAGTCGGAGTTCAGCCCTTATACAATGCTGAGATGGTTGGAAAACAGGATGGTCGGTGGGGCAGCACCTTGATCACGAGAACCAGGCGCAATAAGAAGGCAAGCGAGTGGCACCAAGTTGGGGACCACCACACCAACCAAGTCAGAGGATTAGCAATCTGTTGAATGAATGTCACTTGAAGATCCCTGCATAGTTGAAGGAGTGGGAAACAGCCAACAAGCTTAAGTCCCCAGCCGGGTCCGCTTTTCTAAGCTTGGCACGGTGGCACCTCTCCCCAGCAACGCCTACTACTGGTCGCTACTGCTGCTGACGGACGGGGATGCAAAATAAAGCATGTCAGGCAGCGACTTAAGAGCAGAGGCAGTACTGGCGCCAGCAATGGGGTGTGCAGCTTCCATCCCAGTTGTGCCATACAATATGCAGGATGGACTTTTCGGCCAAAGTGCAAAGCTGAGGGCGGGGCAAGATTTGACCAATGATCTGCTTGACCAGCCTCGGTCGGCAGGAGTGGAAGGGAAAGCCAAGAGGCCAAACACGATGGACCCTTCATTGCTTCAAGCTGATGTAAGCACTTACATCCCAGCTGCTGCATGCAGAAAGGGTACTCGTGGTGCCTGGTTTGCATTTCCTTCTGCTTGAAGAAATGAGCAGAGTTGATTATTCAAGCTGGCAATCTACTTGGAGGTTGAAACCAGAACGGGCGTCAGGGTGCTTGCACCTGGGTTACAGTAGTGACTGGAAAGAGAGCTACCTTGCAAATAAGTGCACAGAAAGAGATTTGTGCACTGGTGCTGTCACTATCCATAGCAATTGAAGGATGCTCTTGCTGCTCAATAAGAATCTGGATATGCAGCGACGAGAAGGACACCCTTTGACTTAGCCCTCACTCTCGCAGGGGGCCGCTGACAAAGTGTCCAGACAGGGAAGCTGCAGCTCTCTGATGCCCCTCCTACAGAGTCCAAAGAAGCCGCTCGTGCACCAAGCAGAGCTTGCAAATCCACTCCCCCGAGGCCCCACACTGGAAAACAATTCTCAGAACCACTTCAGCTTGCAACAACCACGGGAGCAGGACTCCTCAGGGTGTGTTCCGATGCAAGAAGCGGAGTCAACTGCGGAGTTGCTTCCAGGGTTACAAACGCGGGATCCCAGAGATGGGATCAACGACGCAGTCTATCCGGACAATCTATACCCGCTGCGGCCAGGGCCTGACGCACCCTTCAGCCCTAAGGTCAGCGTTGCTAGCTTCTTCTGTGAATGTTACATGGTTATAGCTGGCTCTGGTCATTCTCTCTTAGATTTGCAACTGCAGGGTTTTATAAGCGATCTGCAGATGACTCCATGCAGGAGATGCTTTGGTACAAGATAGCCCGGGCAGCTGTGACTATTGTATGGTCGAAATCATTGCCTCTTCTGACTCACGCAGCAGTGAACGGAGATTAACGAACGAAGTATAGCAGTTGGCCTTGAAGTCTTGACATGCCGCAGCACCTGCTACAGGGTGCTTGCTAGGGTGCTAGGGTCATTCCTAGGTGCTTGCTATAGCTCGAATGTTGCAGACTGTTGGCAAGGACTTGCAAGCCAGGGACTTCGAGTTTCTAAAGCCCTCTGCACATAAGCATGCCTTCAAACTTACCAAAACCAGCCTTTGTCCCAAGACTGTTTTCTATGTAGTGACAAGCAGGCTCGGTCATTTTACTGTCTTAGGAAGTCATGAACGTTTTCAACAAAGGACTGTCACGTATGAGGACGAACAAACAGATCGTCCGGATGGTTCCAATGATTGATTCTAACAATCCTGACAAGCTGATGTTTGTTCTGCACCAGGGAGCTCCCATCCCCAATGATGAAGCCTTCCGGCTGAGCGTTCTACACAGCTACAACATCCTTGATACAGTGAGCGCTTCTTTCAAAACCTCAAGACCTTGAGACATTGTTTCCCTGAATCTCAAAGTTGCAATTCAAGTACGCTCTTTCCGGGTCGGCAGCATTTCAATCGACCTATATTCATCTCCACAAGCTGCTACAGCTGGTTGTCACGTTTGTGCGTAGGCTTCTCAGCTCAGGTTCAGGCTTGTATAGCTGGATCATATGCAGCTATTTGTCTGCTCCAAGCTTTACGAGCATTGGAAGTTGCAGAGGCTCACATGTACCAGCCAGCAGGATCATTGGGGGAAGCGAAAGATTTGGGATTCGACGATGAGGCTGTGTCTGTAATCGAGTCTTCCCATTGACATCACCCTATTCGTACAGGCTCCAGAGGCCAGGTTCGACCGCCTCACTGCCTTGGCATCCATGATTTTCAAGGTGCGGCTCTCGTTTCCCTCACTCTCGAAGAGAGGATATTGTCACAGAGACGCAAGCTTAAACACAGAATTCGCCAGGGCAATTGCAACTCTCCTTTGCAGAGTTTTTTTCTTGGTGGAATGCTTGTGAGCACTGGCTGCGTTTGGAAATCCCAAGGGGTAAAGCATCTACCACTGATCCTGCCACCTGCAATCCCTTGGCACTCAGCCTCTCTCTGCTCTCGTCAGCATCAGAGGCTGCTCCGCCGCTTGTCGCTTGACGCTGACGTCACCTATCCACCTGGCTACTTAATGCTGACGTCATACAGTTTCTCTCCAGACGCCTGTGGCGCTGGTGTCGCTGGTGGACTCGGAGCGGCAGTGGTTCAAGTCGGACCACGGGCTCGGCTGCTGTGCGACGTCGCGGGAGGACTCCTTCTGCGCCTTCACGCTCCTCCCCTCGTGAGCCACGCCCGTGACACTCTTCCCTTCGCATCGCCATGTGTGAATGGCGGCCTTCTGCTTCCTTCGTCCCTGTCCTTCTTTCGCGAAACGACAGCCGTTCGATGGTCTCTTCTTCTTTGAAGCTCTTATCGTCTGGTCCGTACGAACTGGCACGTGATATATAGCAGTTATCTCAGCCCGCCTGCGCATGTGCCGTCGCATTGCCATGTGCGAATGGCGGCCTTGTGCTTTCTTCGTCTTCTTTACCTTGTCCGCGGATCACAGCCGTTCGGAAATCTCTTCTTCCCGACTCTTACCCGCTTGTCCCAGCTATCGGCACGTGATACATCGGTGATCTGAACCGCCGTCGCATGTCGCTATCTGCCAGAAGGTGCCGAAAGCTCTTCTATGTGAATGCTTGTTTCGTATCAGCTTCATACCTCGCTTTTGAGGCGCCACTTTGAATTGAGGCCGTGGAGAAGCCGCATCCTGTCGAGCGGGTCTGGAGGTTTGGAAATGGTATCGCCCTTCGTGAAGAACCAACACAAGCCAGCTTACGCCAGGGGTTGGAAAGGTGCCAAAACGCCCACTGACGGTTTCTTTTTGCGCACCGTCGCAGGCGAGACCCTTGCCTCATTGTCAGAGATGCAACCAAGGACAACCGGTTCAGCAAGAACAACCTGGTAAGTATTCAGAGGGACTGTTATCAGCAGCAAGCGTCGGTTCAAAGCCGTTTCTATGTCGGTCCGGCCTGAGGAGAGCGTTGAATAGCGATCTGGACTTCGCATCAGTCTCCGCAAGTGACGCCCACAGTGGCCGGCTGTCAACGCTCCACATATTCGAACGGAAATGTTTCATTTTCAAGTTCCAGGAAAGGTACTTGGAAGAGAAGGGGCGCAGAAAAGACGCTCGAGAGGAAGTAAACTCACGAACGGGGCTACAATTGCTCCGATCTTGGACAGGTGCTGACCTAGATTTTGTGATTCTGCAGGTGATCGGACCACCGCACATTCGCTTCTATGCGGGCGCTCCCCTCGTCACGCAAGGCAGTTACATTCTTGGATCACTGTGAGTGGTCACACCCCTGCTCGAAGTATTATACAACCTAATTTGTCCGCACCCGTCGCGAACAGCAGAGGTCTTGACTGGTTTGAATGTTCGAGGGGCCTTCTTCTGAGAGCACTTGTTTCCGTGTCTCTACATAGAGGGGTCCATCTTCGGTGGGTGCTCACATCGAAAACTGAGAACAGCTCGACTGAGTGAGCTAGATTGTTGTTACCAGTCAGACTGCACCTCGCTCAGCAGCCGCCCCTAGCCGAGGCGCCTGAAAGCGCTGATAAAATCTGGCAGTTTGTTCTTTGGCAACTCGAAAACTTTTGTTTGCCAGGCAGGACTCCGCTGTCCCTTATGGTGCTGCCTCTCAGGTTGGTTTGCTTTCTCGTTTTCAGGTGCGTTATCGACTTCAAACCGCGGGAGTTCACAGATCAAGACAGGGATCTGCTCATCTCACTGGCTCAGCTGGTCGTTATGGTGAAGTCATCGCCGATGCTAAGCTTTTCCGCTCATTTGTGCCATGTGTTGAAATTTTGACGCCTATTCAGCATCGTGAACTTTCTTGAAACTAGATGTTCGCCCTGAGTATAAATCAAGCTTCATCTAAGATTGCTTCCGATAATTTTCTCCATCTAGTCGGGTCATCTGCTTACATTTCGCTATTTTCGGTGAGCTTGTTTCTCCTATTTCGTCCACAATGTCGTCGTTTTCCTGCTCGTTCTCTGTTTGTTTCCGATTGTACTTTCCACTCTTCGCACCGGTCTCGGCACCTTTACAGGTTTTCGACACAAAAGTACGGAAACGTCAGCTGCCGCTGTATCGTTCTTCAACCCTTTACATTCGATACAAGGACTTCGTTTGTCGACGTCTTGCGGGCAGATGATCGACGCTCCTTTACCGTTCTCGAATTTTCTTCGAGCTTCTGTCTGAGTTTTCTACAACCTTTTCATTGTTCAGGAGATCGAGAAGCACACAAAAGCGCTCGAGCTGCAGCGCCTCCAAGCGGAGCGCTTCGAGGAGGACAAAAAGGGACTTCTGCAAGCCATCGGTGAGCTTCGAAAGTTTTCTTTTTCTCAGATTCGAGAGTTGGTGCTTCGGCGGTTTGCTTTGAAATTTGGAGTCCTTTACACGATAGGCAAGCAAGCGTGCCAAATACCTGCAGGAACATCCATCTTATTCGGCGACCTTGAAGCTGTCAAGCCTATACTAGGTCGCCTCAGATGTTGCTGGATGCATCGGGTCCCCAGCCTAGCTGAGCAAACCTGTTACTTGGAAGCTTTCACATCCTGAATGAAAACGCGCGTTGTGATCACTGACCTGCAGTCAATAGCACCATAAATTCTTCCAAAATCACGGACATAAGATCTTGGGATTCCCAACAAGGAAAACCTTTACCACCTAAAAACGGTCGAAAGTTTCCAAGTCCTGCTGTGTCGGCTACCAGTAAACCAAAAGAAGAGCAAAGCTCTGAGATTCGGGGAGGTTGAAGCACCTTGATGGTGTGAGAACAAGTTTAAAAGGAGAACCGCGAGTACAGCGATCAATGAGCCACATGGAAACCCACTAACAATCTCCAAAATCCGTATCCCTTGACACCTGAGCTCATCCTGTCCGCATCCTGTCCGCAGACGCGTTCAGCGAGGGCCTGGTCCTGTGGGACGCATCAGAGGCGGCGCAGCCGATCGTGTTTGTGAACGAGGGGTGGGAAGCGATCACCGGGTATAAGATTGACGAAGTCATTGGGCTGTCCAACAGCAGTCTGCTCATGGTGAGGCGCATCAAAATGCACGATTTGGACGGCCGAAGGCGTTGAAAGCGTCCGAGTTTTTGGAAAGAGATTTTCGTATTGGCGCCAGAAAGCGTCCGAGACAGGCCTTCGATGTCCTCCAGCCCGGTGTTTTGCAAGGCTCGCAGTGAACGCCAAATCCTATTCAAATAGCATCTACTCGTAGATTTGCGGGTGGGGAGTGAACCTTTGAAAGTGTCAAAAGTGAATCTCTCTTACCGGTCGACCAAGCCGCCACTCAAGCCTTGGTCAATGGCGGAGGTTTAAGCTTGAAGGTCGTTGAGAAGTCGGGCCCTTCTGCTAGGATCCTTCGTTGGTGCTATTCGCCCACTTCAAATTTCTCCTCAGGTTCGCTTCCCATTTGCATCCATGGAGAAGTTCACAGGGTGCTTGACTTAATCTGCGAGAATGGGTACACCGTCGAAGCATAGCTGCTCGCTCTTGTGGGCTCATCAGGGGCCGCCACGTGTGCAGGGACCGTTGACGGAGCAGTGCATGTCGGATCAACTAGACCGAGCGTGCAACGAGGCGACGGAGTGTTCCGTGGAGGTGCTGCATTACCGGAAGGACGGGACGCCCTTCTGGAACTGGATGCGGATACGGCCCGTGGAGTCCAAGAGCGAGATGTTTGGCGGTGGAAACGGCGCAAATCACCGGTGAGCTTTGAAAGTTGTACCACAATACGGCAAGCCAAGCCACGAGACGATGCAGAACCAAACACCGAATATCGCGCACAGTCAACATTGGTGCTTACTGGCCGCCCTGACTAAAAGTACCGTTCGTTCAAGGTGTTATGGAGAGCGTAGCTACTAGCAATCCTCTTCCGACAGAGCTTGCTGCTTTGATCCCTGGCGCAATGACTCATCCCCTCGTCATTGAATGTTCCCCGCAGTTTGCAAGTAAGTGCTCTTGCCTTGTCCCATTTACAGATACTTTTTCGGCGTACTGTCCGACTGTACGGTCCGCAAAGAGAAGGAGCTGGAACTAGAGCGGCGGCGGCTCAAGGAAGTGGAGGCGGAGGCGACCATCCGAGCGAAGCGGTCCTTCGTCACCAACGTCAGCCACGAGATCAGAACGTGAGCCGCTGACGTCACAGCTCTGACTCCAGATTTTGGCGTTCAGGAATGTTCGCCTCGCAATCAGTCCAGACCTAAAGTTATCTGGAAATGGTCACCGCGACAGCCTCCTTGGCCGTGTACCGGCCGAGGGGATTCGAGGGTGCGTTAGGTTCCGTGTACCGAATGATCAACCCGCGCCCTTGCAAGGGACGGACTCGCTTAGCGAAAACGTCTTCCCTCACCATGACGCGTTGGGTCCATATACACCATTCCGGGGCTGGATGCCCTATTATGCGTAACGCTCATTGCTCCTAAACGCATTCTCGATCCCGCTTGCAGGCCCATGAACGCTATCATTGCCTGCAGTCAACTGTTACAGGTGAGAATGTTTCGCCAGCTTTGAAGGACGTTCAGAACAGTCAAGATTGTTTTTCTGGATTCGGTCGATAGCCTGGTGCTTCCCTATAGACAGAACGTGCATGAGGGTTTACATGGCCGGAGAAGCAAGGCTGGATTGCCAGCTCAAGAAAACGTTTTCAGCAGATTGCTCTTGGCACCTCAGAGACAGAATGCTTCCACTTTGTAGAACCGTGCAGAATGCCCAAGAGTGTTTTACCTTTTTGGCATTAAAAATCTTTGAAGGCGTTGACTCGGTCGTTTTGATTCCGGTATACGACTTAATTTGCAGGACTCAAGCGATCTGAACGAGTCGCAACGGGAGCTCGCCCAAATGATCAACGGGTCGGGCCGGCAGCTCTTGTCGCTCATCAACGATATCCTGGACTACAGCAAAGTAAGATCGCGCAGCAACTTTGTAGTAGCCAGCCCCGATCGGGTCCGAGTGTCATGCAAAAAATCGACCGATTCTCGAGTTGTCAAGCACAGCTTTGCTAAAAGTTGCTCATCTCCTAGCCAAATGAGCGGCGTTCATCATCCGGCGGGATGCCGGTCCAGATCGTTTGAAGAACGGCCTATTTCTCGAATTCGCGGAGCGGGTCCCGTTCTTCAAAGAAAATTGAGCGAAGAACTCAAGCCGAGGGAGTCGCAGACGGCCGCCCCAGAATTTCGATGAAGGTGAATTGCTTCAGATAAAGCGCGAGCTTCTCAGAAAACTTCCAAAAGCAAAGCTCGCGCACTCAGTTTCAAACGCCTGGATTCGTGCGCAGCTGGACGCGCGCAAGATGGACCTGTCCCCGCGCGAGTTTAACCTGTGGGGATGCATCGACTTCTGCATGGAGATGCTGGTGCTCAAGTGCGAAAACAAGGGGCTGGACCTTTCCTACTCCCTGGACGAGAGCGTGCCAGAGTAAGCGGGAAATGAAACTAGAGCGACGAAGGCGTGTTCAAAATCCTCCTTTCTTTCGAAGAATATGACTCCATGAACGAGAGCGTGCCGTAGACTTCGGGAGCGGTCTTTTACTTTTCGGAAAGATTCCCTCGCGGCCTTTGATTTAGGGTGCCCTCGCGACGTATCTTTCTGGTGTCTCGGAGAGCAGCGGGTGCCGATGAGTGGCGTCGAGGTAACTTGGAGAGGCTCCGGAGGTTGATTGATTATTCGTGTGCTCTTCGTTCTTGCGGACAGCCCGAGTGCTTTTGAGGCTGAAGGTAACGTGCAAACGACGCGCTTTGTGAAAGCTCGGTAGTCAATACGACGCCATGATACATCGTCGGTGGTGAAAGTGCCCGAGTCAGACTCGAACAACGTTGAGGAGCAACCGTGCCTGACAATGACTTCTTCGCGATTCCTTAGCGTTGTAGATAGTTTAGAGAGTTCTCAAGTATAGGACGCAATCGTGTAGATAACTCTCCTGAGCCGGCTCTTCGACCCCTTTGAAATCCGCCCATCTCTTCATAAGTACTATGCTGCTTGGATTCGTGACTACGACCTCCTAAGCCGAACAGGAAAGCCCTAATCCTTCTAAAACCCCTATCTTCCGCAGCTGGATTTGGGCCGACGAGGTCCGAGTGCGCCAAGTCATCACCAATCTCCTCAGTAATGCCGCGAAGTTCACCGAGGAGGGGGGACAGATCGAGGTCACCGTGAGCGCGCGTGCCGGGCGGCGGCGAGCAGTTTCAAATGGGGGTTTCACTGGAGCAGGGGAGCCACCCCCCCACGCGGGGCACGCGCTTCCGGTGCACGAGATCACGGTGTCGGTGCGGGATACAGGGGTGGGGATCCCGAAGGCGTTCCAGAATGTGCTCTTCGAGGCGTTTACGCAGTGTGACAATACGCGGACGAGGAAGTATGAAGGTGGGTGAGTTTCGGTGTGAGGAGAGCGGATGATCGAAGAATGGAAAGCAAGAAGGTCTTTTGTATAGGAAAGCGGTATCTCGTGTCTCTTACCTCTGCCTGTTCTGGGACGACATTACAAGGGAGAGTGGCGGAACCTTTCTCCGCGTTAACGTCAAAGCATGAGACCATTTTACCGCCCGTGGCACTCGGACCAACTCAGTAGAGGGACGCTCACAAAATTCATCCAATTTGTTCGACTCCTTCCTGGCGAAAAGGTGATTGAGCTCGGCAAGCGGCCGCATGTCGGTCTTCCCCACAAACAACAACAGAAAATCTTAATGGCTCTCTTAGCCCCTTTGAATACTCTGATACTGGGATCTTGCAACGTGACTTCATAATCTGCATTTCCAACTTCCAGGCAACGGCTTGGGCCTGGCCATCAACAAGGACTAGTTCGAGTTTGGGAGGCCGTTGTTGGTTGATTCTCCGGATGTCGTTAACAGGACCTCTTCTTTCATGACTCTTTCTGTTATCATTAAACGTGAGACTGTTTTTCACAGGCACCGGTCTGGGCCTGGCCATCAGCAAGGAGTTGGTCGAACGAATGGGCGGCCGCATGTGGGTCGACTCCACGGAAGGCGTCGGCAGCACGTTCTTCTTCAGCATCCACGTGCACGGCTCGCTCATCGAGACCAACGGCGAGCCGCATCTAGTTGCCGGGAGCGCGGCCGGCCGCGCCGCGACGCCGCTCACGGGCAAGCGCGCGCTGCTCGTGGGCGCGAGCAAGGCGTTCAAGGTGAAGCCCGGAAACCGTAACTCGCTGAGCCCCGATTTGTGAAAGAGCATTACTGTTTCCTGGGTCTGCTCTTTTGCTGTCGGGAAAGACACTAGAGGAGTCCAATCGCTGTCCATCCTTTGACGGAGAAATCCTCATATAGAGGTTGTAGTTTCTGGATGTGATTGATTTTGGGAGGAACAAAGAAAGTCGTTTTGAGAAACGGTAGTTCCTGTTCGGAGCTTTTGCAGTGACTTTGCCCTTTAATGAACGTCCGCTTGCGCCTCACTATTGCGCCAAAACGTTGCGTCGCAACGAGCGCTTGCTACGAGTACCAAAAATGCTGCTTGACCTCACTACTCTCAGAAGTCTTACATTAAGAACTGGAGGATGCTAGACCTAGGTGTAGATTTCCAATTTACTGTTGCCAGTTTGGTAAGCTAGGTGCGCCGCGCAGAACGGAACAAAATTATCTTGTGAAGAAAATATGACTGGTTCTTTTGCTGACACTTGTCCCCATCCTTCCTTTTCGCAGCGCATGGCTGGCTCAATGCTCCACTCCTGGGGTGTTGAAGTCGAGGTAGTAGAGACCCCCTCACAACTGCGCAAGAAGGTGGGCTGGTTTTCCGGGGGCGCGCTCCGGCAGAGCAGCGAGGCCTGGGCTGAGAACAGCGAGCTGACAGCGAGTGACGTCACCTACTTGGTCGAAGTGACGGAAGCGGCAGCGACCGAGGGCCTCTCGGCGCCGGTGGCGCCGCACCGGACGTCCGTCGACGGGATCGCCCGCCTTTCCGGCGACGGAATGAGTTCCGCCCTCGGAACCCGGCTGGAACCGCTCTCGCGGGCGTTTTCGCTGCCGAGCCCTGTGCCGGCGCGGCGCGCGTACGACGTCGTCATCGTGGACACGCCAATGACGTCGTCCCACGGGGAGGATGACGTCATGGCGCACGAGCGAGCCATCGAGCTGATGCAGCTGGGGTGCGCGTGCGGGGAGCGCGTCCCGACGGTGCTGCTCATGGCCAAGCACAGCACCGGCCAGATCACGTTTGACTCCAAAATGCTGGTGAGTGGGTTTTTCTCGCCGCGTCTAGTTCCTTCTTTTTCGGCCTCGGTCAAGAAGCTTGCAGCACGTGAGGGCGCGCTTCTTCGAACCACGTCGTGGGGGTTTTTTTGGTAATTTGCTGCGCGTCTCTGCCCTAGAGGCTGGTAAACAGTCCTCCGTGAACCCCAAAGGGAGGTAGCCGTTCTCCCTTCGATTCTGGGAGGAGAGGAAAAGGAGAAACATGATCTTAGAGGATACCGTTACTCGACGGGCGAACCAAGAGAGAGTCTCACTTGTCGGCCCCCAGGAGCGCGTGACCCTGCTGTTCTGCCCCTTAAGACCCAACTCCGCAATCGTCGTCTCAGTCAGGACGAGCACATATATCATGAACTCAAAGTTTGAATTTCTATCTTGGTCACATGCGAACCAGTTCCTCGTGTGTTGTCCCGTCAAAAGCGTGTGACCTTGCTCTTCCGCCCTATGCGCATGAACCCCACTGACGCGGTTGCGGAACACGCCCAACAACCTTCGCATCAGAATCTTCCACTAGGCGAATCGATCACCGATATTGAATCTACGCAATTTCAACTCTAAGTCTCACCCTTCCCATCATCTCCCCCCAGGAGCGCGTAACCCTGCTCTCCCGCCCCGTGCGCATCAACCCCTTCTACGCGGCGCTCCTCAAGCTGCTTGTGCGCGAGTCGCCCATCTCCCCAATTACCGCCAACAACGTCCACCGCACACGAGTCACCGCCGAGGATCTTCCGCGCGACACGTCGCTGCGCATCTGCATCGCGGAGGACAACATCATCAACCAGCGCGTGCTGCTGAAACTGCTCAAGTCGATGGGTTACGCGGGCGTCCGAACCGCGGTTAACGGCGTCCGGTTACTGAAGCTGCTGGAAGAGTCGCCGGCGGATCTGGTGCTGATGGATCTGCAGATGCCGGAGATGGACGGGCTCGAGGCGACGCGCCAGATCAGGGTACGCTAAACCCAGGCCTTAACCCGCACTTTAATCTTTCGAATTGGAAGCCGCTGTTCTGGTGCTGATGGATCTGCAGATGCTGGAGATGGACGGGCTCGAGGCGACGCGCCGGATCAGGGGCAAGTTAACCGGAAACTTAACCCGCGATCTTAGGCATGGCCGTTTTGCTAATCTTGGTTCTGGGGATGCCGGAGATGGACATTCTGAATGCGACGCCCCAATTCAGGATTCGTCTAGCCGAATCCCGGGACTGTATCCGAGTCTTAACCTTAACCCGAAGTGGGCAGTAGAAAACTTCATCTTCCGATGCCGGGATGGTTGGTCTCGAGGCGACAGGCCGGCTCAGGGTGAAATACTCGAGACTTTTACCCGCAGTTTAAGCTTTTGTTTCAAAATAAACGTTTTGCATTCTATGGATCTGCAGCTGCTCACATCGAGGTGACGCGCCGCAATAGGGGGAGCCAAACCCAAGTACAGAGGGGATTGCTCTGTCTGTATTTGTAATTCTGTTTTCCGTGTCTTTCGCGCCGCTACGTGGGTGGAGCACGTGTGAATAAGATGGATGCGAGATGCCATTCAGAATGTAAGACTTGACCCTAACCCCTATGCAGGAAATGGTGGGAAGACCGTCCGCCCTGGCAATGAATACTGGTGGACTTTGGCAGCATGCGATTTAGAAGTACGATTTCATCCTCTGACGATCCCTCTCCTGTAATCATTACAGTCCGTGTACGGCGAGGCCGAGCGACCCATCGTCGTGGCGCTGACTGCTGACGTGGGCCCGGGCATCGAGCAGGAGTGCCGGGACGCGGGAATGGTTTCGTACCTGTCGAAACCCATCCAAAAGGAGGAACTGGAGCGCCTGTTCGCGAAGTGCCTCCACCTGAAAGGCCACCCACAGGAGCGGATGGCGCTCAAATGGCTGTCGTAGAGCGGGAGTGGCCTCAGAATTGACTTGGAAGAGGGACTGATTCAAATTGAGTCGGAAGCTCTGGGGTTCGCAACGAAGGACGACGCCTTCTGTGTTTGCGACTGAGAACCTTCAGTGCGTACAAAGATCCTTCCGCCACTGCAAAGCTTGGACTTCAAAAGCCTAACCCGGCCTTCGAAGGTCTCCTAACCGTCCTTCAAGGGGTTCCTGATCAGCGGCCTTCAAGAGTTCCTAACCCAGCCTCTTAAGATCCTTAACCATTCTTCGTAGACAGTCATACGCGCAGCGGGTACCGAGAAGGTCGCAAAATCAGCGGGCACCCGGGATCAGTAGTATTTGGGAGAGGCAGAGACGTGAGGAGTGCAGGATTACGAGGCTCACAGTCTCGCCGTAGTTCTTGTAGAGAAAAAACTAGAAGGGATGAAAAGTTGGGAGTGCGCCGAAGGGGCCCGGCCCCGACCTGGGCCGCAAATAGCTCGCGCCGATGCAATTGAGCATAGCTTGGGAGTAACATTTACTCTCAGATTCGTTACGGTGGGAAATCTTGTGAAGTATCTATCGTGGGTCAGTTCATAGTTAGATGCAGGGGTCGTATATGGGATCCAAAGTAAAGAGGTTACAGTCAGGTAGTTCTAGCTACGTGTTGGACATAACGCAATGATGTATACGAGAGTGAGATTGCACGATTTTCAGGTCATTGTGTGGCCGTGCTTTACCTGAGCCTCGGCCCAGTGCTCCGATTGCAAACGTCGAGCAGTATAAGATGTCACTCCTTGCCGACACCGGCTTGAGTGCAAGGGCCACTAGAAGGTAACGAGTAACCTCCATCAGGAGCCTGCAAACGTTGGCAAGCTAGCTGAACGATCGTGAGAGGGCGCTAGATTCTACTGTCAAGCTGACATACTAATCAACTGCTTAAGCATTCATGACTGAGGAGCTGTGGGAGATTGTTGATTAGGTACTACCATGCCAGCTACGTAGCGCGTACGTCGATCCTGATTGAACCCTTGCCAGGAGTAATTTGCAGGCCATGCACGATTGATGTGAGTTGGTCTGTTCAAAATCAATTATACTATAACATGTGAGACAGGCTTACAATCGCAGTAGAGCTTCTCAGTCAACGGCCGTAAGAGTCCCAGTGCATACCTTTTAGTTCCTTACTTCATTGATTGGCTCATTTTTGCGCGGCTTCCTCGCGTCTCTCGTCGTTTTTACCATGCGGGTTCAGTATGCTCTAGCGCGACATTCTCTAGCGCCACCGCTTATGCTTTCAAAGAGCACTGCGGTGCAATCGACCGGCCGACAATGTTGGTCAATTGGCCCTTCGAAGGATTTGGCCGCCGACTCTCATCAGCTAACTCGATCTTAATTTGCAACAAAGACATTGGGGAGCAAAAAGACATAGGGTTCGCAAGGCCTTAGTACAACGCTATGACGCTCATTGCAGCCGAAGACGTGCCGCGCACGGGACTCCTAACATGGCGCTCATCCAATTCTCGATCGATCTGACCGCGCAGCGCCCGACCAGCCAGTACGTCACGGTGACCTAAGCGGAGGATGAGAGTAGGGGCCGCAGGCCCGTGAGGAAGCTAGATGATGGCCCTAGGGGCCTTGCATATATTGCCGCTATACGCGGTTCAGAGGCGAGTTGCTACAAAGTTATTGGGTCGGAGTGCATGTTGCTGCACCGCACGGCGGCGCCCGCGCACGTGGCCCGCGGGGGTTTATAGAAATGTACGTGCGGCATTAAACCAGTTGCAGCTAGCTCTTTAGTATACGAGGAATTATCACGCGTAGCCTTTCAACCCCGTGCATGCCATGCATGACCATGCACAAAAGAATTACATAACTTATTATGTATATATAGTGAGTTTGCAAGAGAGTGAACCTAAAGGTTCAGTGACCCTCGCCGGCATGCAACGTCATAATATCATCACCCAATGAATTAAGCGGGATCCCTATGCCTCATGCGCCGGTATAATTGAATCAATGGCGCAAGATTCACCTCAACTGGCATGCCCCGCCTAAGTGCAAGCTAGTGCACTACATTGCATGAAATCTCATTGCATGGGCGGCGGTCACGCGTACCTCTGTGCTTGAGTTGATACAAGCTACCATGACCCTAATATATATGGCATGTACATTTAAATTGGACAAACCAGACTCGTAAGGCCCTGCACATTCATTGACTTTCTCAGCGGTCCTGAGCTCAGTTGCTAGTGGTCACATCTAAACGCCGACTTGGTACAAGCTAAAATGTTTCACACGGAGCCCGTTATTACACTTAAGCACCATGCAATCACATTCTTTATTGCCCCGGCAAGACACTGGCAGTCGACTTCATTTGAGTACCACAAAAGCGTACCTATGGGATCAATGTTACTCGCAGACAACTTCATCCTATCAGGTATGCTTATCCTTGTCGACAATATTGCTCAATTAGCCAAGATCACTCATAGTCCCAGAATATTGGTTCTCTTGGGAGTGAGTCCACTGGTCACAGTGGCCGAATATGGCACCTGCAGAGCACAACTTGTTCGGAATTACAGCTCTCCATAGCTGAAGTCTGAATGGAAACGAACGACTGACTACCTGGTGCCAAACAATGGCCAACGCTTGGTCAAAGAAGCAGATTGACGAACAGATAGAAGACTTCCAACCAAAATATTCCTACGTAAGTGGCCCAGCCTGAAGTAGATACGTCGGAACAGCAAAGCAAAGGAGAAGAGAAACATGGCGTTACAGCCGATTTGCAAACAGGGGACGACAGTCACCGCGCACCGTTTCACTTTCAATCTCACATGGCGAAACAAGCCTGACAGAAGGGGCAGATGGAGAGCACGGAAGTCCGCCGCTTGGGGAGTTGCAAGGAAACCCCTTGACTCTACGGCTTCGCCAAATGCTGCTCCAGATCCATTCGATCAGAAGCAACCTCAAACGTCAAGAGTGAAACATGAAGACCGAAGGAGACCGTCGATTGGCCGAACTCCATGTTCTTCGTACACCGGTACTTGAAAACATCCGAGCAACTTCCTCCTTCCGTGACAAAATGCTTAGGACGCAGTGTCCAGGTCGTGACAACAGGCTGCCCGATCAAGGACGAAGCAAACGGACAACGGCCAAACGTCTATGTACATTTGGCCAGACGCTCGAAACGTCCATTCGGGAAGAAAGTCGTCACCGATCTGTGTCCTTGTATGCCGAAATAGCCCGGGCTGAGATCTTCAGTGGAAGCGCAAGGCAGACTTTATGGGTGGGCTTGATCAGCGGTTTGGAAAGTGCGGAAATTTCCAGCGGGGCTGCCACACTTGCGTTACCCCATTTTCTGGCAGGCTTTTTGGCCACGTCAACAAAATGCGCCGATAAAAAAAGGCAAAGGCCGTGACCAAGTCCAAATAAGGATGTTGACGGCATGATGATTCCGGACCAATAAAGCTTCCCACCCAGTCGACCAGAATTCGGCAGCGCACAACCATACGACTCGAAAACACCGCTTGCATCACCACTCTGCTTCCGGCCACTCACCCCAGCAGCCCCCGTCCGCTCCAACTCCGGGGGGTCACTGCCAGCGCCACTTTCTCCCCCCTTCTGAGCACCTCCACCGGGATCGCTTGCCCCGCCCCCCCCTGCAGTGCGGCCGCGACCCCCTGAAGAACGTTCGGCGTCTCTGCTTGGACCCCCCCGAAACGAAGCAGCTGGTCTCCAAGTTTTAAACCATCCACATCTCCCGGGGAACCCGGAGTAACCTCATCCACTATAGCGAACGGACGGAGAGGGGGGGAGCTTGCCGGAGGGTTTACGGGCGGGTTTGCGGAAGGGTTTGCGTCGGTCATTGGCGTGTCGGTGCTTGATTGCACCGGAATGGAAGGGGACTCAGAGGCCGGAGATGCGGAAGGAGTGCTGGTTCGTGCTTGGCGGTCTTCGGCGCCTTCAGCTGAAACAGAATGGGGACGGAAAAAAGCAACAGAGGGTTCAGGAGTAAGGTTGCGAATGTACAGCAGAACTATGCAACGCATTCGATTGGTGAATCCCTGCCGTCCAATAGTTTTGCCAGCAGTTCGGTGCGATCTTGACCCTTGACATCGAGACTCGGGTTGAACTCACAGGCATATAGTCTACCCAATGAAACCACTTTGAATTTTATTCATCCAACAAAGATGAAGCAGGTTTCCAAACCTCTATGGCTCCATGATTGAACGCAAAACTTGTTCATCGAAGCTTGCAATCAACAGTTTCCGAGCGATTCAAGTCATGGTCACTTTCTCAACCTAGCCTTGTCCAAAGGCAACAAGACTTCATTTAAATGCAAAGCAGGCTCACCGGGGCGCTTCTGTGGGAGCGTTCTGCTCTCGGCCCTCGCCCCGATTGCAAACGCAGCGTACATCTTTTCTTCGACTTGCTTTGTCAGGCTAGTATGGTCATACTTCAGGACTGCACCCAACAACCTCCATTCAAAATGGAAACCCCGAACTTTTGGACATTCTTCGAATGAATCGATCGGGATTGCAGTCGAATAGGCTGTGCCAACGATATAACGAATTGAGTTGCTGAACAGTCTGAGCAACTCACTGCGCAGGCAGTGCAATTGTGGGAGTAGACATATATCACGGCAACAAGAAGATGCTTAAACCTAGCAGATCTCCGAAAGCTGCGAGCAGATCCCCCAAACTGAGAACTTCTCATGATCAAACGTTGAAGAGTCCAATTTCACCACCATGTCTAATAGCAGCACAGCGCATCCTTCCAGTTTTTCTTGCCAGATGCTCGGTGTGAAGCAACCAGGGAACCACTGCAGGCAGGTTTGATTGACGCCACAATACGCATGACTAAGGCCCCTTAACGATGCCCACTTCAGAACCAAGTCAATGACTGCAGTTCAATGAGCAACTATCCCTTTCCTTTCTGTGCGTATAAACCATACAGCTCCAAATATCAACCTTCGGAGCTGCTCTCTAAGAAGCACAAAACACTCAAAGTGAAGTGATTACAGAGTGGGAACTCAATCACAAACTGAAGACGCCAAATACGAACACCTGGTTTACCAAATCGCTAGGTCGTTGGGAAAAACACTTCTTATTCTGTGGCACCAACCTGCGAGTCGATGTCGATCGGCCCTGATCTTTGGGATGTCGAGGTCGGCGCGTGGGAAGCCCTAAAGAACACCGGTTGAACGCATTAGTTTCGGAACATGTGAGAGATACATGAAATATATGAGCAGAACCATCTGACGCCAAAACTTCGCACGCGTGAATCTTGTTGTTGTTGCAGAAAATTCAAAACGTCATCATTGGACATGCGATCAGAAAAGCGATGGCATTCTAGCTCCAATTGTGAAAAGTCAACCACAATCTACGATCGCCGAAAGAAATCTCTTGCACCTTACAAGCATATCAGCGCTTCAACAACGTGCTAGCTGGCCCAGACGGCTATGGAGTCTATTCTAGAACAGTGGAGTCTCAGGTACACATATCTGCAATCAAGATCTTCCAAGGAAAGACACAAAGCACACCGCCACCGCAAAAACTTGTATACACACACCTCCTTGTCCAGTAGACTGCCAGCCGGGCCGGGCATTCCAGGAGCAGTAAGGCGCCCCATCAGAGCGTCCATTTCGGCCTCAACGAGCTTCCGCTTGTCCATCAGGCGCAGCGCCTCCTCCCTCGGATTGCTTTGCGTCATTCTGATTGTAGATAGTGGCAGCAAAGACAAAGAAAGACGAATTGCAGATGGAGAATAGCAAGGGGCGCCGGCTTCAGCTTTCTGCTAGGTAATCTGGATTCTGAATAAAGCAATTGGCAAATTCCAGCGGAGCACTTTTGTTTTGGGAACATCATTGGAGACTGACCACAGTCCTACGTGGCAGGAGATATTCGCCTAACCTGGAGGTTATCTAATAAACCGGTTCTGCTTGCTGCTTCAACCAGCACCATCGACCGTCCATTTTGGATTGCCTAAACTGTTGACCGTCCAATGCGTTGCGGCTCCCGTCATACAGTCTGACGCACTTGATCACGACCAACCTGAACCAACCACGACTTGACCACCCCCCGGGTGCAATGCAGACATGTGAATACTGCAGGGCTCCAGCAGTACTACCTAGTAGCCTCCAGCAACCCAGACTCACGGCCGTATCGAGAAAACCTCTCGTAAAGCCATCGGAAGCATATTGAACAAATTGCTCGATAGGGCCGGCCGAGTATCGATCAAATCGCTCGTTTTCTGGTAGCACCTATTGGGGAAAAGGTTCGATTTTTGGAAGGCCCCGGGCACACACTAAAACTAAAAGTACTTGCCCGGTTGTCACTCGCAGTAGTGTAACCCTAAGGCGGGAAGGCCCGGTTGTCCCAGGGAGTTGCCCGGTTGTTCGCCGGTTGCCCGCGAGACCCTAATGTCACAGGGAGGGCCCGGTTGCTTCTCGGGTGCCACGGTCCCTAAACTACTAGTCTAGAGGGGAAGTTTCCGGTGTCCCCGGGGAGATGCAGCCACCTGCCGCCCCGACCATCCACCCATAGGGGTACCGTCCTTTATGTACCGCGATCCTGGCGGTCGTGTGGACCGATGTTGTGGGTCGCGGCGGTCACGCTGGATCGACGGCGGAGATCGTCCGGACCGACCCCTGAAACTACCGGAGATCTAACCACCGGGGTCCAAAAATCGAGCAATTTGCTCGATAGGGCATTCTCCGTATCGAGCAAATCCTCCAATACGGCCCCAGCGAATACGATGAATTTGTCCAATTCGGATCTACGGACATCGAACGATTTGCTCGTAAAACCAAAATGGCTTTACGAGGGGTTTTCTCGATACGGACCGTGAGTCTGGGTTGCCTCCAGAGCTCTGTTTTTGACCAGGAAAGTGATTCTCTCATTTTGCCCTCCAGCTTGGCAATTGCTTGAAGAAATGTTGCTCAAATGTCCCTCATCTTCTTATATATAGAACGCAGAGATGAGCTAAGCAAACCAATTGAGCGTTGCTGAGCTGGAGCTCAAAGTCTGCGGTGTCAGTTTGTTTTACGACCTAGAAGTTTTGTGAAGCCCCTGGCACAGGTTGTAAAGGGCCAGCGGCCATGGTGACCGCTGCCTTTGGCCCTCCGGTGGCTGTGCAATCTAGCGGAGTTGCACAGGGTTTTGAACAGGTATGGGAAAATTTGTATTCTCCTCAAGCTTCTACTCGGATACAAATGTGGCATTTCCTGCATTCTTGAAAGTTGTCCTCTTGGTGCTTGCATGTTCAATGCAGCTGCATGTATTCAGGTTGCTGTCACCAAGTGAAGCTGAATCTTAATAATAAGCTGAATTGATGGTCTGTTTGACCAGGGATTATATTCTGAAGTAGACATGCTCTTGACATGCTCTAGACATGCTCTAGACATGCTCTCAGGGACCGCTTTTTGACAATCTTTAGAGCTTGGTGTAGAGCATCCACAGTTGGCACCATCTGGCCAGCATAGGAGCACATTCAGTGCCAGAGGGGCCCCGAAGAAGAATCTAAAAGTCCACTACTCTCAGAGTGCCAATAGTCAGCTGTGCCTGCTTTCTTAGTCAGTAGCTTTCACAATTTTCTCACTCTGCCTTGTGTTCTGCAGCCTCGCCTCTGTTCCACCATCTCTGAAGTCTATCAGCTGACACCACGGGCGTCCTTCCCTCACCTTGGCATCCACTCTACCCCCCTCCGCCAGTCAGCTGCCGCCATGTGTCCCCCAGCTCGCCTTGCAAAGCGCCTGCTTGACAAGCGCCCCTCAATTCACTTACCCCCAGCACATATCGCTCGCCTCCGGGTCCGGTGCCGCTCTGCACCTACACAGGAGCGTGCTGTGATTTCAAGCCCAGACAATGGCCAAGCATTGGCGCCCGTGGAAGACAGTACAGCAGTGATTGAGAATGGGGCACAAAACACAAAAGAAGACGGCGGCCCTGCATCAGATTCAGAGGGGGAGGAGGTGGCCGTGCCAATGCCGTGGCCGGTGTCACCTGAGAAGGCCCCCCAGCTGCAGCCGCTCGCACGGCCATCCCCAGAGATTGTTGCTGCAGCCGCAAAGGTGGAGTCCACAAGACTATTGCTTTCTTGGGGTTTCTCTGACTCTATTCAGCCTCTTAGTCTGTAGTGGTTCATTTGGTGAGAGAAACCAGATTCGAGAGTTGGGCTTCTCGCCAGTGTAGTCAAGAACTAGCAGGCCCTTGCAATCCAACCAACACTCTACTTGAGGGCTACATGTCACATACAGCATTTCCCCCCACCTGTGCTCCCATGGCATTACATTTGACCCTTGGACACGGACCCTCTGTTCGGCATCCCCCAAAAGTAGTACTTTACAGCTTGCGGGCGTCGTGGCCCCCTTGCAGTTCCCTCTTGTTGCCTGGATTAGTCCATGATGTCACGAGCCTAGTTTTAGCGAGCTGTTGGACGTCTCTTGCCTTCTGCTTCTCTGATTGAGCTGGAGCGCCAATGTTTCTCCTTCATTGTGCTCAACGGCGTACTTTCAGTCCTAAACCCACTTTCCAAAGCCCATAAAGCTGAAAAGTCCAAGGACTCAGAACCGCAATCACCTCCTTTGTACCGCTTATTTGTGTCAATCAAACAACAAAAGTTTGGACCAGTGTGGACACTCTGATCAGAGTCGAGTACTCTGATCAGTGTTGAGTATTCTGAACAGAGGTGAGTGTTCAGACCAGTCTAAGTATTTTGACCAGTGTTTGAGTATTCTGTTGAGTGCCGAGTGTTCTGACCAGTGTCGAGTATTCTGATCAGTGTCGAGTATTCTGATCAGTGTTCAGTATCCTGACCAGTGTTCGAGTGTCACTGTTCCAACCCCCAGGCTGCGGAGGAAGCCCTTGAGGACTTAAGGGCGTGCCGGGGCGGCATCGACGGCGAGTGCGATGCGCAGGAGGCAGTGCTGGAGGAGAGCGAGAGCCGCCTGGTGGTGGAGCTCATCCGGCAGCTCGAGATGATCCGCCTGCACGCGCTCGAGCTGGAGGCCAACAACCAGCACTTCCTGCGCAACGCAGACAGGTGCGGACTTCAAAACGGGTTCCCTGCTTGCATTCACCATGGCGCGCTCCAGAAACTCTGCTGTGCCAGAGTGCTCCTGACGCTATCTTCCCCCCGCTCAAAACTTTCGCTTTTCCTGTACGCTACAAGGAGTACCGCAAACCTGGTGCACTACATAGCGCTCGTCACTCGCTTCCTTGTGGGTGCCTCCGGTTACAAAGTCTAGTCTCCAATCTAAGTACCTCCCGCAATCTCACGGATAAGCCCCCTTCCCTCTTGCCAGCCGCTACCAGCAGAGCGCGGCCAACCTGGTTCACTACATGGCCCTGCGCAACAGCGACCTGCGCGAGATCCAAGGCGGCCTCGCCAGCCTCGGCCTCTCGAGCCTCGGCCGAACGGAAGCACACACGATGGCTAGCATCTGCGCCGTGCTACGCGTTTTGCGGGGGATGGCAAAAGGCGAGTCGCCCGCGCTGAACCAGAAGGGGGGGGCCGACACGCGCGCGTACGATTTCCGGGAGGGCACGCAGCAGCTACAGAGCAACACGGAGGCGCTGCTGGGGCGCAAGCCGCGGAGCCGGAACGCGCGCATCATGGTGACCATGCCGGCGGAGGTGAGCACCGAGTGCGGTTGCGTCTGCATTATTGTTTGTCTTGTTCCTACGGATATCACCTCGAAGTAAGGTCTTCTGCAATTCCTGTTTGTCGTCATGTAGGCAGCGACTATCGTTTCATGACAAGTGGTCAGGCTTGGGCCCTCAGAGGAACGCGGCCCTTCCCCCATCTTTTTATTGCTTCGTGGATGCACGAACAGTTGAACCACTTCGTTCAGAAGTGGTTTTAGTATTCTGCTTATCCACATCGCATGTAGAGGAATCGCTCAGTTCATACAGTTCAAAACCGAGACCAGAATCAGATTCGTTTCCCAATCTCTTTCCGCAGGCTGCGGGCGACGAGAAGCTGGTGTCGAAGCTGCTGGCCGCGGGCATGAACTGCGCGCGCGTGAACACGGCGCACGACAGCGCGGACGTGTGGGCGCGCATCATTGCGACGGTGCAGCGATGCGCAGAGGACGCGGGCAAGAAGTGCCGCATCTTCATGGACCTAGCGGGGCCGAAGCTCAGGCAAGCCAATCACGCTTGCCCATATTCCCTGCCTCCGAAGAGTCCAAGTTAAAGTTGAAGAGTGCCTCCAAATATTCCAAGTTGAAGTCTATGAATGGGGTTTCGCCAATTCGAACCAAATGAAGGCAAGGCGAATGGTGGATTCGGTCAAGGTGGACGGGAGGGATACGCACGAATGGGCTGGGCCCAGCAAAGCTTGTAGCGCATCATTCTTTACCCCGACGTCACCGAATGCTGGCTTGGGGTCCTCCGCGTTAAAACAGTGCGTTCGGGCTTCGGGTCTTTCAAGTGACATTCTCTGGTCTCGTGGAGACTTCTAGCAAGAACGTTGCGAACTGGCACTTTCGAAGTTTCGAGGCAGCCGTTAGTTCGCAAGCTTTGGGTCCTCGGCTTTGAAACACTGCGTTCGGGTCATCAAAGTTCTGTGATGTGAAATCGGCCGTTGGCCGGTGAGGTCGCAGATTGTAGGTCGCAGATTGATGTTCAGGCGTCCTGATTCCAGCTTTCCGCCTGCAGGACCGGAGCGCTCCGGCCAGGGCCACGCGTGGCCAGCTTCGGACCTGAGAGGGATGTGCGAGGTCGAGACGTTGCGCCCGCCAAGGTAAGGAGCACTCGCACCACGCAGGATACTGAGACTGATTCCCAATCATAGTGTTTTTGGTAAGTGCGCGCTTCTGCTCGGTCGGGAGGGTGTAGTTGACAGAGGACCCACTTGGACCACCTCAAACGGCCATTGGGGCTGAGTGTATGTTGTTTGACACTTGGATTGAATTCTCGGTGGAACCTTTGCGGCTCTTTAGTCAAGCTCAAAATGCCGCCGGTACTTTCGAGAAAAGCCGAGTAGTCTTCTTCTGCACATGCACATCTGGGCCGTAGCTCTCTTCAGTTGCGAGAAAGGTCTTAGTTACTTAGAGGTCCAGTATGTTCAGTCGCTCACGTTGTCTTGTTTTTGAAGCGGAGCAACGTTTCTCCCGTGTCTCGAAGCGTAATGACGTCGCTCTCCTTTCTCGAAGCAAATGCAACGTTGCTCTCGCCTCTGAATATCGAATCCAACTTCGTTTCGGATCGGCGACTCACCATCGCTCTCCTTCCTATCTCAGCTATGGCTGGCACCTCCGGACGTTCCCCCGCCTCACGGAAGCGGCCCCGCCGCGATCCTCCCCGTCGAACCGACCGGTTGGACTCACCACCTATCCCCCGGTGACCGCATCCGACTGACGGACCTGCGTGGCAAAGTTCGAGAATGGACCATTGTGCCGGGGGGGCACGAAGGGGACGACACCGACCGTGGGGGCCGTGTGGCGGAGTGCTGGAAGACGACGTACGTCGAAAGCGGAACGGGGCTGGCGCATGTCAAAGAGGGGGCGCTGCCGGTGAGGAGCCACGCTTTCTTTTTCTGTCCTTTGTTAGCCAATGAAATTCGCGCCGTCGATTGCTTCGCAACAACAGGGAATGGAGCACGCGAGAAAGGCAACCAGACTAATCTGGTTGTTGTGCCGGCCCTCCAACTCAGCGTGCATAGTGTCAAACGGTCAAAACTCTTGCGCCCTGGTCGAGAGTTCTTCATGTCAGGGGTGCGCACCTCCTGAGATGCACGAACACTTGTCCGCAGAAACGTTGCCGTTCTCAAATCTCCAATGCAGTCCATTATGGCTTGTACGACTAGTTGCGGGAGCTGACTCTGAGGCGCCTTCAATTCCAGGTCGACCTGCAGATTGCAAGCACCGTTGCAACCTCCGGATCTGCCAATCGGTCACGTGGTAGTAAAAGCACGAACTTGCTACACAGTTTGCTGACTACATCGCCGCTTCTACAGGACGCTCCCCCCCGCGCGACTGCCAAGATCGTGGGGCTGGCCGCTCGCGAGGAGCCCATCGTGCTCTCTCGCGGCGACACCTTAATCCTGTCCCGCGATCCCGCGCCAGGCGTGCCCGCGGCACGGGACCCGTCGGGCGCCGTGCTGTCCCCTGCGCGGATTGGCTGCACGCTTCCGCAGGTGCGTGCTTAGAATCCACAAAGTGAGGAATGGCAGCCTCTAGAAGAATCCGCCTTTCCCGCTTTATTATCATCCCCCACCGGAGGTTATTTTGCTCGTTACCCCCCCATGAAAGGAGAGTGGAATGAGCAAAGAGCCCATAACCTACCTGTGCTGGCATCTACCTACGTCATTTGCCTTCTGGAAAGCAAACAAGACCGTACGAGTGAGCGTCGTCGTTGTACAGATTCTGTTTAACCTGCTCTCAAACAGGAACAACGTGCGGGTCGGCTGACGCTTTCGCAAGTGCGTAATTGATGCCGCGGTCCAGATCATTCCAATACTATAAAGCAAAGCCCCTTTCGTACGAGGTTTTTGATGGGTGCAGACTTTTCCGTGTTCACCACCCCGCACCAATCGGCTGCATGCTCGCACAGGTGCATCTTTTAACTGGGGTCCACGTCTTCCACTTTGAAGAAGTTAAAGCCTCGGCATCAAGAATCTGTATGCGTACTGGTGCACGTTCACCGCTCTGCCAAGAGGTTTAGACGCTTCTGATGAAAGCATCTAAGATTAAGGTCAACCTCTGAGGTTATCCTCTAAGGTTATCCTCTGGGGTAATCCCTAAACCCAATTTTTTCCAAGGTGAACCGTGGTCCTTTTTGCAGGTGTTTGACGCGGTCAAGCCCGGCGAGCCCATCAAGTTGGACGACGGCAAAATCGAGGGCTTCATCCGGACCGTGCGCAGCGACGAGATGGAGGTGGAGGTGACGCGCTCCAAGGAGCGCGGCAGGTAAAGCGTTTCTCATGTCATCACTTTTCTGGTTCTATTTCTCTACGAAGATATCGGGGAACCGTCCACACCCTAAGGGCAGGAGCATTGCGTCGTCACGACGTACTGGGCATTGCGAACCGCAATCAAGAGCAATCAGAAAAGGTAAGATTAAGAGCAATTAAAACAATCAGAGGGTATGCATTGGCCACCGCTTTACCGTTGCCTGGGGTCCAGACTGAGAGCATGGCAGGCGAAGCGCCGAGTTTCTTGGCATGTCCCCACCCGAGGCGTAGCGTGATGATGCCAGATTGGCAAATCGACGCTGGACTAAAGTGCAGAAAAGCTGGAGTACATAGCTAGCTTAATGTCATGATGTCGCACTTGAGCAACATTCCCCAAGAAGAAAAGCCCAGTGGTCTCAGCCCCCAACCGGAATAGGATCGATCGCAGTGCTTGACTGGTCGCCGTAATGAAGTACGATTCCACTGGTACTTGATTGCAACACTCAAAGCGACAAAAGCCGGCCAATCTTCCTGTTGCAGCAAGCTCAAAGCGGACAAGGCGATCAACCTGCCGGAAAGCGCGCTCGGCGTGGGTGGGCTGACGGCAAAGGACATCGCGGATCTGGACTTCATCGCGGAACACGCGCACATGGTCGGCTTCTCCTTCGTCAACGATCCCGCCGACGTGCGCAGCCTCCAGGCCGAGCTGGCGGCCAGGAACGCAAGCCACGTGGGCATCGTGCTCAAGGTGAGGGGGAGCTGACGTGAGCATGACGACAAGGTAGTCTTTCAGTAAGGAAAAAGTGACTTGAAGGAAGAGTAGATGATGGTTGGTGTTAGTCAGAGCAGAGAAGGTGGGACGAATGGGGGTGATCGAATGGACTTTGGGATCGCTGAGTTGGGTTCGATTGCACGGGTTTGGCAATAGACGACTTCCACCGCAACGGATCAGGGACGGGAGCAATAAAGAAGGAGAGCAGTACTTCCAAAGTATACTCATAAACCACCAACTTTCGGTCGCATACACTCACTCACCGCTCAAGACCACTCCATCAAACGTCAAGCCTTGGGAGATGGCGTCTAAATCTTGAGACACTGTGATTGACTGTTGCTTGAGCGACCTGTCGTGCTTATTGGAAAGCCAGTGACTGACACAACGACCCGAGAAGTGGCTGCGGCTAGTACCCTGTTGACTTTTCCTTCTTGCGTGGCAGATCGAGACGAAGCGCGCGTTTCAGCAGCTGCCGTGGCTGCTCCTGACGTGCATGCAGACGAGCAACCCGGTGGGGGTCATGATCGCTCGGGGCGATCTGGCAGTGGAGATTGGCTGGGAGCGCCTCGGTGAGTAACGGGCGAGCGTCACGTTCAAGATTTTCTCGCAAAGACAGTCGCGGTTGTAACTCCGGGGGCTTGCTTAAAGAAGGCTCCAGTGCGGCGTTCTTCTTTCAGGCTTGTCAATTGTGGCCGGTAAGTTTTGGAAATTGGTCCAAAATTAGATTGCATAAGTCTGCGGAGTGTTTTGGTTGAGCTTTGAGAGGTGTGATTTGGGCCAGTAGGTCGCGATCAAGACGGTCAGCCGAAAGGCTTTGGAAATCTTCTAAAAATGTTTCGCACTTGTGAGGCGTCGTCGCTACACAGTCTCGTCAACGAGATGAGTCCGGAATTTTGATTGTCCTCCATGTGCTTGCTCTTCGTGTTCTCTATCTAGGTCCCCAACACCCTGCCTGTCTACTTGCCGCATCCAATTTTGTGCTGGAATCTAACTCCCGCACTCCTACGCTCTAGCTTCCCCGTTGCTCCGAAAGGTCTCCCGTTATGAAACTCGGGATGTTTTGTTTCCTTAACCCACGTGCTTGCATCCAAGGCCCAATCTGCTTTCCGTTTTTGCAGCGGAAATTCAGGAGGAGGTCCTGTGGCTGTGCGAAGCCGCACACGTGCCCGTCGTGTGGGCCACCCAGGTCAGCGCCTTAGCTCTCGAGGATAGCAAACAAGCTCAGGTTTTATTAAGAACGTAGCTAACACTGAAATCCTCGACCCAATTTTGAACCTGCTCCGTACCCCTTTGCTAACCTCACCCTTCCCAGTATTAGCGCTTAAGCTTATCGAAGGAACTCGGATATTTAGCTGGATGCTGACCTCTCCTTTGCCGCGCAAGGTGTTAGGAAGCAAGCAGAGAAACTCGCTCAGTTTTGGGCGTCCAGCGTTGTCTCTGCTCATCACAAGGTGGACTCAGGCAGCACGATTGTGGTCATTGTTCCGAGTTGCACCTCAGAAAAGACAAGAACCCAGTGATTATTGAATAGTAAGATCGAGGATTAGGCAGCTCGCAGGCTAAGCTCTAAACCGCAACCGTCATCCCCTCCGCTTCGCATCACTACCACACAGAACCCCACTATGACCCCACCTGTTTCAGGCTGGCGGTCTTACTTTTTGTACCGCTGATGCTTTAAAAACTGAAGTCTCATAAAGAAAACAACGAGTCTCCGAGACTCTGAGGCAGGCCGTGGCCACGCGTGCCCGAAATCCATTGGTTGCTGACGTATGCACTCAGGCGTGCCCGAAAGCCATATCCGATTGGTTGCTGATGTCATATGCACTGGGCATGTGTGCCTCGATGCTCCAACTAACTTGACCCCTGTGTTCGCAGGTACTGGAGGGGCTCGCCAAATCCGGCCTACCCAGCCGTGCGGAAATTACGGATGCCGCCATGGGGGAGCGCGCCGAGTGCGTTATGCTGGTAAGGGGACGCAAGCGCGGGCTCTAGCGCTTTGCTCGTCTATCTCGCCGGAGTGTTTCAAGCAATCGCGATTTGCTTTGGATCACGCTTGGTTGCATATGTAAGGAACCCAGGCTGTTACAACTGCAATCGCTCTCAAAAACCGGACGGGGTCTGGTTAACGGCATAGCTTCGTGCGGCGGAACGAAACTGAGATTACCTGTGCCGATGCATGTAAAGCCGCCCTGACCTTGGAAGTACGTTCTCATGTTCTGGATCCTCTGGTGATCATGTGGTGAAACGAGTGTCGAGCTGTCAGTCTGCCTGGCCGTTCTGATGCTCATCCCGCTGTGACGTGGCAGAACAAGGGCCCGCACATCGTAGCCGCCACGGCGACGCTGCACGACATCCTGAAGCGGATGCACTCGCACCAGAAGAAGAAGCGCGCGCTCCTGCGCAGCCTCAAGGTCAGCCACCCGTTCGACCACCCGCACCTCCTGGCAGATAGCGCCTGACCGGGGCGGGAGGAAACGGGCCGCAGGCCACGGACTAGCCAATTGTAAGGGGAAGCAAACGGGAGACTAGCGAGTCGTTATGGGGAAAGCAGTTTGGGGGTCAACGGGTTATTGTAGGGGGAACACAATTGGCATTAGCCGGTCACGGGGATGAATAGTCGCGAAGAAATTCACCTAGTCATGGGGGAGGGACTAGCGAGTCATTTATGGGGGAAGTAGACCGGAACTTAGCCAGTACTAAGGAAGCAGTCCGAGAACTAGCTCATTACGCAGGAACCAGCCTAGAGACAAGCTAGTCACTCGGGAAGCCGACGGGGGATTAGCCAATTCTAGGGGGAAGCAGACCTAGGCAGGGGAAGTGGGTTCTGGACGGGCTTTCGTTGGGGAAACGTTACATGTGCAGTAGCGAGAATTAGGTAGTCGTAGGTGAAGGCTGGAGGTATCGGAGACAAAACATGCCGTTTTGTAGATTCAGATTTGTAACGTAGACATGAGCCAGGAAGAGCTTACATCGTGAAACAAGCCGGTCCAAACATTTATTGCTTGGGGTAGAGAACTTTATGCTTATGTCGAGTTTTAGCCTTTGATTGTAAACGATAGTGCGCAGAGAGTTCCACGAGCGTAGTGAGAGTTGTGTATCTCTGATAGGGTTGACATCAACAGATTCGCTTTCAATTAGTTGAGCCGCGTAGACTTTTCGTGGGCCAATTGTGTGCTAAAAGTAGTACCCTAGAAGGCCCGAATGTACAGCAGTGAGTGCTTAATCTGCCAACGGAAATCTGTGCACCATGATTGATGTGCAGATCTTTCCTGGGAATCTGAGCTCGGTGCAGTTCGTTCAATTGTTTTGGGCCGCGCGGTCACAACATGCACACCTCAGCATGCAAGAATGAATAGGGCCCAACTTGTGAGAAGAAAAGCTCTAGATCATGCACTGTGAACAATGTTCAGTGAACAGCTCTCATAGCGTTCTAGAAGTAGCTTGCGACCATGCCCCTAACTCAGCCCGGTTGCTTGATGGAGAAGTGGTCGGGGACTTGGGATAAGATTCGTTCGCAGGATAAGGTTCGGCGGCAGTGTTAGGGGCAGCTGAGCTCCAAACACAAGGACCGGGAAATCAAATTGCTCCCGACCACTATGTCCGCCCGTAACTTCATATACCTGTGACACTCAGAGTCTACCCCCGGTGAATGTTCCACCGTGCGAGTCGCGACCGGCCGAGTCGAGTCACTGGCAACAATTTGTAATCGGCGCGGCCTCTACGAGTTTTCGCGCGGCGGCAGAGATCGTGGCGAAATGCAAACCCACTATGCACTAACCCTAATTCAAAATGCACTAATTGGCGCAATTCGGCGAAATTGGCGAAATACGAGGGCCTTCAGCTTGCCGCTTATGCTGCAACCTACCCCTTCCTTATACAAATCTATGAACGCAATATGCAGAACCTCCGAAGTCGATTCCCCGAGCCAAAACCGCGATATCGACTGTTCTCGGTCTGATTTTGACCAACTTTGGTCACCAAACTGCTATCTTATGTACATATAAGCGGAATCTTGTGAGAATTGCGCCGGGTTGGCGAAATAGGGGCTCTGGGCGGAATATTGGCGAAATGGGGTGCAAACCTGATTGGCGCAATCAATTAGGTTGCGCCACGATCTCTGCGCGGCGGTCTATGGATACCGCCCAACGTCAAATCAGTTGTACATTGACCGTAGAGGCTGGAGTCGGAGTCCGCTGGACTCCGTAACCGTACGGTACCTCTGCGCAATCTGACAGGTTTGGACCGCGTGGTATATTTGGTAGTCGATGGATGCGACGCGTGGCCTCCGGTAACATTTTGCTAGTGCGGCGGTACGGTAAAATGCACACTGTGCACGCGCAGCCACACTGTGCACGCGCAGAGCATTTTTGCCCCGCAATTGACACTACTTTCTGCCTGCTGTATGGCTGAGGCACGTTTGCACCGTCGATGGACTTTTTGACGGCTGAAACTACCTTATCCTGCGCGGCAATCTTTTTTGAGATCTGGAGTGGTGGCTTCTACGGCCTCCGAGTTAGGGGCATGGTCGCGCGCTACTTCTAGAACGCTATGGAGTCTGAACTTCGAAACCAGGCCCAATGCACCGTAACGGGCCCAACTTGCGACCGTCGCCGGTCGAACATGATCATCATGTACGGCTGCCCACTTCAAAGTCAAACTCGATGTCTCAGGCGCGCATGGGCTCGTCGCACTAAGGCTTCTTACGCATGTGCATGTGCTAGCTAGTCGCCATGTGACGGCCCACGCAAAATATTGCGTGTCCCCGCAGCGTGACCGTCACTATCGATATATCATCCACATGCATGCGCAAGGCCGCCGCCGGGCCACATGCAGTACCATGATAGGATGCAAAAGCTCTATGTGCAGAGTTTCTTCTACAACATATACACTGGCGAAGCGCCCAGTTCAGCCGCGGGTGTGCTCAACTATTGTGGGCGCCTTGCTGCACCGGGTATATCGTTAGTATAGCTCAGGCTCGTTGGCCGGGCAAGCAAATGATATGCATTCAACCATATAAACACGGTAGGCACAAAACTAGCACACAGTTTGATCGGATTATACACGTCTGTTTCAAAGCGTCCAAGCAGTACAATCAACAGACGCTGTGACTGCAGACTATGGCCGGCCGCCGATCAAGTTGAGAGTCCGAACAACACATCCAAGACATCTGGCCATGAGCTATCAATTTTCAAGATCACTATATCATTTTTCAAGCTCACTATAAATCCATGTTTTTGAAATAACAGTGCAAGTTGCCGATCTACCGTGTGTTTAGCGAGGGCGACCATTCTTTGTTGCCCTCCCTGTGTGGAATCCTCTCAGTCTTTACGGGCTTATCTGGCAGATGCTAGTGATATTCTATCGAGTTGCGTGAAAGACTCGTAGAGGACCATGGGGTGCTCAAGTGGCTTCATCATAAGTGCCTAACGTCCCTGTCTCTGCGCTTTACGGCCAATCAGAAGTCACCCCAAGCACAACCTCCAAGAACTAACGTACTATGTGGGTGTCCATCAAACGAAAACTTTGGAAAAACTAAAATAGAGCACAAAATGACGTTTGTCCAGTGAAATGGCGCTCAGAAGTTGAAAAAGGCGTCTTTGAAGGTCGCACGGCAGGTTTCGCGTTGGGGCGTTCCGGTGGAGCCACACTTCGCCTTGCCTCGCAGGGTCACCCAGGAGGAGGTCCTGCCGCCGTACCGGAATTGGGCGGAAACCTTTGCGGCGCCCCCGTCAAAGCTGCGGAGCCTGACGCACCAAATGCCGTCGTTTGAGCACTTTTCGCCGCCTGGGCTGTAGAAGAAGTCGAAGTCGAGGCTGCTCTTGTAGCCAGTCGCCTCGGAAAAGAAGTTTACTTTTACCTGGACAAGGGGAGAACACGCAAATTTTTGTAGACCTTCCGGCTAAAGCGTATCCCCCTAGAACAAAGAAACGGAAGGATTGGAAGTCGGAGGGGCAGGACGATTCCCCCACAAGCGTATAAGAGAGCTGACGTCCTATGATAGAGCAGCAGTAGCAGCCTGGAATAAATTTCCGTTGTATGCAAGTAGGCTTTGCTTAGGGCCATAAGACCACCTGGTTTGGTCATCAATAAGGTCTTTAGATCTCCTGAAGTTTAGAACTCAAGAACCAGAATGAGCAGCCAAGGATGTCAGCAACAATGGGTGCAGAAAGCACAGAGACATAAAGACATGGCGCCTTTGTCCAGCACAAAGTTGAATGCTGCAGAAGCGTTCAGCCCACCTCGTTCTTGCAGATGGTCTGGCACACGCTCTGGCTGCCTCCATTTGCGACAAAGTTCGAGTTGGAAGCTGAGACCGCGATGTCTTCTTCCGGAACCTCGTTTTCGGAGGTGATGGAAAAGAGGGGCTGGAATGCGTCCTCCTTGAGCTCAGCAGAACCGTCTGCAGTACAAGACTACAAGCTGAGATTCCCTTCGATGCAGCACAGGAGGGTTTGGTCCTTAACCAAGGATGGTTCCGGGCTGGTTCTACAGAAAGTGGTCAGACAGTCAGAAAGTGGTGATATGTCCAGTAACAAAAACTTGGGCGGTAACTAGCTAGCTTAGAAGTATGTCGAAGCCCGATTACAGGCTGTCCAGTAAGCTAAGAGTCAGGTCTGGGGCCCACCCAAAACTCTCTGTACAGCAGCACACCAGAACTTGTTGCTGAGCATCCAACTCCGGCGTATGCTTAGGTCATGGAACTAGTTTCAGCTCATTGGATGCTCGCATTGCCCCTTTCCCCGTCAAGTTCTTTGGGTCAGTGGCGTGAGATCCAACAAGCCAAGCGGATGAGAGGCCAAAGGCAACGTGCGCTACAAGCTGGCGCCAATGAATCAATTGAACAAAGAACGAAGGTAGCTAGGTTTGATTTCGCCTGACCTCATTTTGCTAGGGTCTGACACATCAGGTCCGAATTAGTGCAGAGCAGCCGGGCCAGATGCCTTGGCACTTTTCTGCTTCAAAAAACTTTGCGGCCGGGCTCACCGTCCTCCAAGGCGCGAGCTGCGGCGGCAGGGCCAGTGAAGAATAGAAGTGCTCCAAGCACAAGGGCTTGCACAAATGCTCTTTGAGAAGCCATGGTCGGACGGTGCTCTGATGACCAGCTGATCCTGAAGTGTTGCTATCTGCAAAGTTGTCGAGGCTAACAGATGATTAGGCCGTTGGAAGTCTACTGTAGAAAGCAGCAATAGTTACTAAATATTGAGCGAAATAGAAAACAATTGTGGAAAGTGGAAGGCTGCTAAGAGGCACGTTAGAGCAAAACTTGCCTTCAGGACTGAAGCTCCACATGAAGGGTATATAGAGCTTGAGCAATAAAGCGTAAACAGGACCAGCAATCTCATGCAAGCTTTGCTACAAGAACAGCGGTCAAGCAGGACAAGACCTTTAGGTGACTGAGTTCAAGACGAGCCTCAGTAACGCTTACAAGAGCCACATTCAGCGGCGGTTTACTCACCTTCGACTATAGCGCGTTCTTGTAGAAACAGCCAGCACAACACCCGCAAAACAGGGAGGTCAGAGCTCGAATGCTGGGAGCTTACAGCCCTGTGATACTTCAGCGCCGGTGTTTGCAGTGATGCAAGGGGGGACTCTCTCTTGAAAGAAGAGCTGGAAGAGTGTATGAGAAGAAGGTTCGCAAAATGAAAGATGGTGAACGGAGCAAAACATTAAGGTGCACTATATACGGCACAATATTATCATGCACTAGTATCAATCCTGAGAAGACGACGTTGGCGGGCGGCCTTCTTCATGGACTTCCTGAACCTACAGGAACAATGCAGGTTACCGTAGTACCTACTAGGTATAGACTATCTTTGACCTACTGCAGGACTATAGAAACCATAAGACTACCTAAGCCTGCGGAATCTAAGTCTGCATGCGGAATCTAGCTAGTAATTTATGCGGCTAGTCCCGAGCAGGTAGTACTAGTAGTACTACTGTGATAGGATGTCGATATTGACGTGATGAATCATGAATACTGACTCAGGAAACAGGATACGACAAGCCGCATACAAAAGGGGAGTTGTAGGACATTGTGTGAGGCTGAGCAGTGAGCCTGAGATACATTATCATTATTACGTTGTAACTTGTGGTAGAGACTCTACTAGAGTCCGGACTCCGTAGTCCGCCGACGTCGAAGTCTCAGTCCGAACAGTAGAAACCTGTACGGGACATAGTTATGTTGGTCGCTGTGCCTATGACGACATACTAGAAGTAGCGACACGGTACTCGGCGTCCATGTCTTGAGGTCGCCGCGTACTCCCCCGCGGCTCTCGCCGTGGCCCGCGTGGCCATGCAGACTCGGTCTGAGTCCGGTCTTATCCGGACTCCGGAGCGGTCGTACCGAGCCGGAACAATCATTGCCTGTGCTGCAGCCTGCGCCCTCAGCATCCCTGCAGGCTGCATGAAGTTGGATGGTACCCAGATCCTACCGGTTTGCGTCAGAAATCAGGAATCAGGAAAACACTTGATACTGTTGTGATACGGCAAGGTGCAATTACCTACCGTACGTTCAACTTGTGGACAGGTCCACACTGCACAGTGTACACAGCTGTGTCTTCGGCCAGCTGAAAGTCAACAGCTCGCGACGGTGCGAGGTCAGTGCAAGGACAGTGCTCCGGTAAAACTTCAGCTGTCCAGTAAAACTGATCATGATGCATCTCATCATCTGATCAGCTGAAACTTTTGCATCGACTTCTCTATGATCTGCACTGCATGACTTGCATGGACTACATGAGCGGAATCTCTACAGGACGATACCCCTTAATGGATGCGAATCCTATGAGGTTTGTACCGTAGTACCTACCTCAGATGTGTAGTGCCGTCGTACCAGTATTATGATCATAGTACGTTGCAAACTGGTGTGCGAGCCGAGGTAAGCGCCGCGTCCAACGCAGCGCCTCAGCGCCTGCCAGGTGGCGGGACCAGGTACGACGTGCCTAGTCGAGGCGGGGCAGCGGCCTTTCTTCGACATGCTCAGATGACGTATTCACAAGCGACCCGGGTTAGATCTGTTGCCAAGAAGTAGGTAAGTCACCCATGTCTGCAGGAAACATAACTAGGTTTCAAGGCACTGCGCCTAACCATGATGGGCGAAGTCCGATGAATGCTAATACCGGTATGGTCGCGTGATAAAGCAGAGGAATCGGAAGCCAAAAAAACGATTGTGACTACAATCAAATCCAGCGCGAGCTGGCTAGAAGTAGGTAGAAGTCACTGCTTGCAAAAGTACTTAGGTCATTGCCGCTTCAACACAAGATTACTTAGTACTGTGATGTAGAAACTTCCCTTTCAATTGCTCGAGATAGTAGGTTGCCAGATTGCGGTGAGAGACATTTTCTGGTCACGGTACTTTTGCTGATCGCAATGGGTAATCAACTGTTCTTTTTGCGCTGACCATACAAGCTCTCACTCGGACTCTGTCTTGCTTGATACCCTCTGGTTCACTTGATTCAGATTTCCTTTTAAGTGAGTACCCTGCCCGCTCGGCCTGAAGGATTACTAAGCTTGCCCGGGGTGCGGTCCGCCAAGTCGGGTCAGGGTCTCCCAAAGCGGGAAAACGTCGCCCGGTTGGCCCAAACCGATTCCGAGCCAGTTGTACACCTGGTCTCGGGGCGCCGCCCCCAGAACCAGCTCAGCGCACCCCCGCTGCTTTGCCAACTTGCCGCGAAAAATTGACTGGAATCCGACATCAGTGCATCTTCGGGGATCTGATGACCGCAGTGGTTCTGATCAAGCCACTGGCAACGCAATGGTGCAGCTGATCAGCAATTAAAGTGTTTCAAAATGCAAACCATGTCACTGTTCAGCTGTTCGCCCATATATTGGCCCGCGCCTGCAAGCGGCCCGTGATGCAGGGCCGGTCTGATCGACGTCAATTCATGTGGCCCGCCTAAACGCCTAGTATCAGGGAAGGCAAATGGGACTGGAACACAAATAGATTTCCACGGCCCCTAGCCTGAAACCCGTCAATGATTATCAAATGCACTCTGCCGCCAATTACGTTCCCGTTGAGAGCACTGAAGGTTTACGGAGCCACACTTATCCTCAATAAGTGGTGTCAACGGCGCCCGTCTGGTTTGCAAGTGCCGATAGGACGTGGTATAATAGGGCTAAGGTGACTCTCGTCGTCAACGAATATGTTTCTACCGAGCAGATCAAAATTCTGAATTTTGCGGTCCGCTTCAGACAGTGTGTGCCATTTAGTCAGATTCCAGGAGTCGAACTGCTATTTCCAAAGTGCCACCCATCGTTCATCCCAAGGTGTTGCGTGAGCTGTGCATCTGGTCATGAAGTGGACCTTCGGTTTCTAGCGAAGTGCAATAATTCCATAATTTGTTTATTTCAATTCCACTTTTCGGTGAGCCGGTATTGAGGTTAGTGGATCGGGAGATCTATGAAAATTTCGTGCACCGAGGCCACATGAATGAGAACGGAGATAGGATTTTGAAGAGTGTCGAGAAATGATCGAAGTCTCAGGTGTATGGATCTAATTCAGTTCGGATGTTACAGAAATCTGTGAGTAGAAGCGTCCCGCTTCGGTTCCTCTAGTGAGCAAGGAGGTCTTCAGTCCGACGACGTCAGTTCTTCTCTGAATAATTAGCGAAGTGCTGATTTTAGCATCCGTGTGAGTGCAGCCAGGTCGGGAAACTGAGAGAGCCCATAGCGAGGGAGAGTGACGGACACGGGTTCATAGATCCAGGGCTGGCCCATTTGTTCGTAGTACGAAATGGAGCGTGCTACAAACTCCCCTGCAACCTCGAGTTCGTTTCACTTTGATTGAACACCTTCGAAATAAGTCTATATATCTGCGGTGCAATGATTTGTATGGTAAACGGAGCCAATGCGGAAAGAGGGAAGGCAATATACGATTCTGCCTCTGAACCGACTTCTGAAAGATAAGTGAACGGTTAGATTCCAGCGGCTGCCTACTTTTCATACTTTAGCCACAAATCATCCTCTAAAATTACGCCCCCAATGCAGGTCGTGTTCAACGTCTCACCAAAGCTCTTCATCCTTTCGTGTGCCACTGATGAGGGCAACATCCCTTTAAACGGTTGGGAAACCAGACCATTTCTTGGCGCCTCCGCTACTGGTAGCGATCTTTATTCCTTTGTTACTGCGTTACTGCGCAACTTCTTTACGAGGTTCTTGGACTGCTACTATTGCTCCTGGTAGCTAAAGTGCGTTTTGCTTGCTCTGAGCAGACACCAACGAGGGGAATGAAATACGGGCAATGTGGAAGTGTGCCTATACGTGTACACAGCAGCGGTGCTCAGTATTGCAGCGAAGTCGGACCCCGGCACTTAAGCCTGACATATGGTGTCATACAATCGTCAGACACGAAGAAGTGACTAACCCCTTTTTGCAGACATGCAATGCATGATATGCGAGAAGTGAGCTGATAATCTGTTAGCAGGTAGCTCAGCTGCGGTATCCGATGCATCAATCGGGACCATTTATTGCAGTGACCGTGGCTTTGGGCCTGATGGGTACCCAGATTTGCCTACCCATCGATCTGCTAAAAGCGGGCCGGTCACCTGTCACAATATCGCAATAATACCCCGGCCCCAGGCAGCTAGGGCCCGTAGCCGGCTGGGGGCCATCATGCATATACCCACCATGCACAATTGCTATGTTGCTCAATCAGTCGACTTCAGCGGCACTTGAGCACTTGCACTTGCATGAGCGATCGCGTCAATTGATGCATATAAAGAGCCTGCCAGAGTTGGAATCAATGATCGCCATCCACAAGGATGGCCTTTCATGACTATTCGACATGACTGCGCCAGATGCCAATGATGGGACACTAATCTATGTAACGTCCTTGGCCGCCCGGACGTTATAAATCTATAGCAAACCTAATTCAAGCGCGTGCATGACTCACGCAATTAAGCTGATCCAGCCTGTTATAGTTGGTGAGTCTGCATTGGCAACTCCGCAGTGGACACTGACTAACATGGAATAGCCTGCTTACTGCATAGTTTGAGCTTCAATGTGGCACACATAGGCGGCAGCTTTTGGATCAAAACGCCTCTATAAGAAACTGAACGTACAGCCTTGTGGCCATATTATGTCCTGTCAGTCCTCCCCTGAGGTTGCAATCCAATGTGGATAGCACTTCAAAGACTACAATGAAACTACTTTCGCTGATTGTCTTTGTGACATTAGCGCCACACGCTCAGGCTCTAACACCACACTCGAACTCAAGTAAGGCCACATCTTCAAAAAATGCTGAAAAATACGAGCGATCAAGATGAGAATGTACCTCGACGATATGGGACTAGTTTTTGACTCCTGCTTATTGCGTGCTTCAAACGATATCAGAAAGAACCATTCAACTTGTATCCTCCCGGTCAGAAGCTCTGGCCAGAAACCCCGACTATGATGGCAGGCACAAAGTCACGTCATTATGTACGCAGCAAGGTTAAAGACTCAGTTAAATTTGCAGGTTCTGTTTCCTACTGGACTTATGTTGTTGTTAGCTAGATCAAAATTCTGACAAAACTGGCTCCATCACTATACCTGCAAGGTGGATACAAACGGATTTTCAGTTTGCTTTCTCCACTTCTTCAACAGATTGGAGTGCTTGAACCGCAAGAGCTATTGACCGAGAGGAGAGGCCAGGTGGTAAACGGGCACAGCATTATTTCGAACTCGAGGAAGGCAACGAACAGGAGGACTCAGTTGGGCAGGTGGTGCAAAAAGGGAATAGCGGAATCAGTTCCATGGAAAAACGGAGCCAAATATGCTCCCGACGAAGTGGAAGATGGGTTCTTCTTTCAAAGAACTTACCTTGAAACCTTCCGATCTTAAGCAGACTTTGTGGGCTTCTATCAGCACAAGGCACTCCGCAGAGTCTGGCCCGTTGAGCGCTATGCACTCATCTCGTAGCCTCTTCGTGTTAGGGCAAGCGCAGCAGATTTTCTTCTTGGGAGCCTCTGCAATGACAATAACCAGGTTTACAAGGAAGGGACCGACAGCAATTGGATGACACGAAAAAGCTTGGATGCCTGCTTCTTGAAGTCAATACCATATGGCAGCTCGCCAAGCGCTTGCAAACGCGTGTTCGAGTCAACGTAGCAGATGTATGTGTTGATTTTTTTAGCAGATCGTGAATTAATAAGTTCCTGGAGATGAAGTTTTGATCGAGGCAAGAACGATGTTGGCGAAACCCTCCTTGTTCTTCCGGTAGCTGCAACAGCAATAACCAGGTTCGCATGAACTTTTGCAATTTTGAAGCCTCGCTCACTCATGGTCCACTGATGCCAGATGTATTGGAGCCTTGCGTGGCAATGAAAGAAACGAAGAACGAACAAGAAGCACCGATCAACAATTGACTCAAAACAGGCTCGTTTCTTTTACCCTCATCAGGACACTTAACAGCAGATCTTCTTGTGAGCAACACGGGACAGGGTGCAGATATAGAAGCATCGAACATAAATTGGAGACTTTTGCAAACTCGCCCAAAATGAGATGTTGTGACCACTGCGAATTGACCGCTGCTGGAGAAGCTCTGATTTGATCAGGCAGATACAGGGTCTGCAAATGTTGAGGGCTTATGATATCCAATCAGATATTCTGGTTCAAAAATGGTTTGCTTTGGGTCAGTTCATGTCTATACAAACATACAAGGCATCTTACGGAAAGAATTTGCACCACCACCATCAATCGCAATCAAACTCACAATCTTTTAGACATATGAGAACCAGAGCGGAGTAGCGCAAGCCTCTCCTCGGATTTTTTGTACTCTTCCTTTCTCTCTCTGAAAGGCCAGATCCTGTTTGCATAACACAAACATACAGAGCATCTTGCGACACACAATTGCACCACCACCATCAATTGCGACCCAACTCATAATGCTTTGTACGGTTAAGAACCAGAGCGGAACCAGAGCAGAGTAGCGCAAGAGTCTCCTCAGATCTTCTGGTTCTGTACCTTCTCGTTCACCAAAGATTACAACGCAGAAGCAGGTATGAGTGCATCGCAGTTGCTTACCAGCTTGTACTGTGCCACTCTTGCTGCGGTCTTGAGCCAAGCCTTCCCCGGACGCTTGAGGGGCCGCCAGCGCACCCTCCGACCCTGCCATACTGCTTTCTACCCCTTTCCTGCTGCGTCCCAGGATCTTCTGCTCGGACCACAAACTTATGAACTGTAGATTGTAATAGAGCAGCAACCAACAGGCTTTCCGATGGCAATCGGTGCCTTCTGCCACTGGAACTTCTGGAACTTCGTTTCCAATGCTGGCGAGTTGTTTGACTAAGATTGAAGTTGAGGGGACGGCAGAATGAGGGAGGGTTTGCTTTAACCATGACTCAGGTTTTGACCATCGGAAGCGCTGCCGTTAGCGAACGGTCTTCAAGCTTGGGTGCGGACACGGAGTTCAACTAGGCAGGGTATCTTTTTGACAATAACCGGCGGTGAAGAAGCTGCCCGACGGCGACGTTCCAAAGGCCGGCTCGGTTGGACTCGAGCACAGCAACCCTAACCCGTCTCGTAACCACGTTCTTGCAAGTCGACGAGGACTTCCCTGCATGCCTTTTAAATTCTAGAGCAGCCTCCAGCAGCGAAGTCCTGCACGGAAGATCACATACATACATACTACAGGCAAGAGCAGCTAGCTGCTAGAGCCTTCTCAACACAAAAGCCAGCTCCTCAATCCGAGCGCCTGAGGCGTCCTGTCAATTTGACTGTTTCACGGCGCTGGCTGCAGGCCAGCTGCAATGTGATTCAGCCGCGGTTTGTGGCTCCAGCACAGGGAGAATGTTGAGCTGACTTTCTGCGAGCTCCAAGCATGCAGTGACCAGAGTAATTCACACAACGCAAGTGCAGGAACCTGCATGGTGGTGCTGTGCAGCTTATATGTTCGGCCTGCTTGCTCCTGCTTCTGTTGGCGCACACGGGATGGCGTACTAGAAACTCCTGATCCACAGGCATGAGACCATCCACCGAGGGAAGTGTTGACTGTGGGAGACTCCATGGCTTTGCTTGAACACACGTTACAGAAAAAGCTGGACAGAACCGACTCCGTGCACACACCATGCTATTGGTAAGTGGTGGAACTGGTTCCTACTGGCTGAAAAGCACCCAGTGATGAATGACTACAAACAGCCCCTCATTTGCAGACTCTCTGAATCAACCCAGCTGTGCATCTCCCTATGCTGTCAAACTCAATCAGCCTCCTCATGTCTTTCCTCCGCTTTGTTGATTGCCTGAATGGCCCCTTGGCATACATGAGGATTCAAGTGCTGTACGTAGTTCTCTGAACGTATCTCAGATTTCTGCAGTGAGGAGAACGTGTACCTGCTCGTCAAGAAGTTGGCAGAAACAGGACGTGCAGCGGCAGATTACTCGGACCTTTTCATAGTCTTTGTCTCAAATGAAAGGAAGCAGGTGCGCCATGCAAACTTGCAAGCTGAGCTTCACAATCACTGCTCTCTACTCTTTTCAGCAGCTCACTCAAGGGCTCCGGCAAGATGGTGAAAGTATTATCTTCCAATCTGTATTGCTGTGGGCGACTGAACTGTACCTACGTTCATCGTTAAAACCTCAAAACAAGTTTGTGTTCATGGCCTGGCACCACTAGGTAAATCATACCATTTACGGGTCTCTAGGAGGATCAGTTCCAATATAAGGCTGGAACCCGTAGCTAAGATGATTTTTTCTTGAGGATCCCAACCTTGTGAAAAAGTCTGGTGGATTATCCTTTACAGGAAAGCATACCTGCAACCAGCATAGACGAGAACATTTGAACTAGAAGAGCGCATCGTTAATGCTTCATTGCCCAGCATGACACTTTCCTCGTCTTTAGATGTGCAGTCCCCTTAACATGTTCCCAAAAAAGAAGAAAGCAAATCAAAGCTTTTCCTTAAACAGGTCTTGATGTGGCGCCAGCAAGCTGGCTCCGAAGGAGACGGCGCCTGCGTATGGGACTACCACGTCTTCCTCGTCCAAGTGAGCAGGCCTCTCACCGTCCTCCTTACTCTGGATCTCAATACATTACCTTTTCTTTTCAAAAAAAGCGCCTTTTCCTCTACGATGTTGCATTCACCATCGCCATGTTGGAGAAGCTCTTGGACGAAGGCAAGTCTCAGTTCAGCTTCTGGATTGTAAGATAACGTGGCCTCTTGGGTCTGGTACTCCCATTTGTCACTTACAACAGAAAGAACTTGTCAGAATCGGACGTCGGTTCGACTGCAGAGACAGCGTCGTAAAACTCTCAAACAATCAGCCATATTGACAAAAGTATCGTTATTTTTGGATCATAGCTGATGCTTACAACCGGGAAACAAAAAGCTCTGCCTGTTTTCGCACACGTTGGCGGCTCGTGCGTTATTACTTGCTAAAGGAAGGAGGCAAAGCTTTCTTTTGGGTCCAACGCTTCTTTGTGGTTCGATCAAGGGTCTACAAAGAGCGAATCAAAAGTATGTCCATTTTTCATCCCTCCTTTGCTCTGTTTGGCATCTCGATTTCAATTCCGTGAGTTTCACAGCGAAGTGTCCCGATTTATCTGCAGAAACGGGTCGAGTCTGAGGGTGGGTCGCTCATTTGGGATCTGGACACGACCCTGCCCTTCCCCGTCCGTTTCAGCACCTACTACGACGAGGCCTTCCGACCCAGCATACGTCTATACAAGGAGTTCGAAAGGTCAGACTCCGTAATCAAGTCCGAAGTCAGCCGTCGCCATGCTTATTACTTTTTCTCTTGCGCAGTAAGCCGTGAGTCAGCTTCCAGTGGTACGAAAACGAGCACCTAGGCTCCTTGTCGGCCCACTGGATCGAAAGAAGATTCCGCGAGTCTGTCGATCCCTTCCTGTTCATTCATTCATGCTGGAACTTGTACGACGGATATCTGCAATTCCAGAAATAACGTTTTGCTTTGCCCTCCCCGATTCGCGGAATTCCCAAGTCAGGGCGACTGCTCTCGCCGTTTGAACACGAAGGTTTTCAAGAACTAGATATACTCCGACAGCGTACTTCGTTGACATTTTGATGCAGGTTGTTCCGTGTGGTCCCAGCTCAAACTTATCTACAGCATTTCTCGTCGGATCGCTCCCACATGCGGCGGCCGGACGGGAGCTGGATGGCACCTCCCCCTCCTTATCCACCCATTCTGAAAGTGGAAGGTAGGTAGCGAGGTCATTGCTTTGGTCTGGACGCAGGCTCGGGCACCTTAAACTTGCAAGATGTTGCACGGCCAGTCTGCAATCCGTTAAGATGCACGCAATTCGACGCTATACCACACTCTCCGCCTTTGCGGGAAGTATCGAACTCTTCGTCGTAAACGGGATCTTGGGTGCGAGGTTAAGGTCCCGAGATGCGGCACCTGCCTGCAAGACAGAGACGGCGGGTTAAGGTGGGGTAAAACGCGGGCAAACGGGGGCGAGATAAACGAAAGGCCGCTAAGGCCGGTGGATAGCGCTTTACCGTAGCTTTTGACGGTCCATTCGTCTATCGATAGCGCAATCCAAAGCTGTATCCACCCCTTTGACCGTGTTCGACCCCCTCTCTTTCCCCGTCGTACCATACATGCATCCATTTCCCTGCTCGTTTTGGGAGGAGTAAAGAGGTACAAGCATGGACAAACTTGTCTTTGGTCTGATGATGAGATGTGTTAACGAGAAGTGACTCGTGAGGCTTACTAGATTGCTTGTCTGGGCCTTGCAGGTGTCGGCCATGCGCTTATTGACTACGTGAACGTGAAATTAGCCGATTGTGACGGACCGAAGGAAGAGGAGACAGAGCAAAAACGAGTAGATGTAGGACCGGCAAAGTTACAAGGACAAAAGATTCGAACGTTTGGAATTGTTCACACCGAGAGTACATTCGTATGCTGCTTTCTATAGCTAGTCGTTCTATCTTCCATTATTGTGCTTCACCGTCCATTGCACGTCAAACCAATTGGTAATTCTAGGCCATGTGAAGCTCCTTTATGCATAACATGTCACAGGCTTGTGCATATTGTATTATTGTGAGGTTAGCAATCTATTGATGTGTGCCCAACTCATCTAACCCTCGAAGATCGGGATCTGACACGCCCGACTTTGAACTGAGTGAGCACATGCCTTTACGCATTCAATCAGATGAAATCAACCGTCACTCTACGATATAGGTATGTCACTGAGACGTCAGCTTTCATAACGTAACGCGATTAGATCCCTAAGCTTACGTGCCAAGACAGCCTAAAGAACTGCTCATGCATGTGCTAGCCACACGTAGCCAGTGATCTGAGTTGTTCAAACGACGGGAAGCTTGGAAGCTGGTGGCAAAATCCCGGCAAGATAATTTCCTTGAATCCAAGTGGGGAGCTAGAGTTCGCGGAAGCAAGGCCCAGGGCCTCAGTCAACTTGGCCCCGGTCAAGGCGGTCTGGCCGGGCGGTAAGCTCGCACGGCGCCTGCATGGGGACTCCGAGTCGGGGCCACGTGGATACTGTGTGCGCGCGTGGTGCGCGTTTTGGCAGGCATCTCAAGTGTCGCACAGCCTCAGTCAAACGGTGGCCAGGGAGGAAGGAGAGGCGCTCTGGGTCTCCAGGAGTTGGAAAAGGGATCGCTGCAGGGCTCTTGCAGGGTTGCTGATCAGACCTCCGTCATGTGGAATCAGCAAGGCAACGAGCATGGGAGTGGACATCTGGGATATGGTCAAATGAATGGAGGAGCTGCCAATTGTGGCCCCTCTGGAGAGAGTTATGGTGGCCCTTACACAAACCACAACGTGTATGGGGTAAATGGCGTCCCTGGTCAAGTAAGCAGTAATGTTGACAAGGATCATGCATATGGCGGGGAGCACCAAAGCAGCGCACAGCTTGGTCTGAGGATAGGCGATGAGGTTGGACCTTACTCGGGGCCAGCCTATGCTTATGGCTCGGAGAACGTAAGCTTTGATGCATATGGGGAGCTTGCTCAGCCTGCTTATGGGTACAGTCAGCCGGGGCTCGTTGAGCAGGGACATTATGGTCATAACATGCAGACGTATAGAAGTGATGAAAGAAATGCTCAAAACGAGAGCTACCAACACTATGAGCAACCATCTGTACCACCTGTAAGCTACGTAAGCCATGAGTACGCGAGTTCTGCACGACCTATAAGCTATGACCACCCTGGTTCCGCACATTCCGAGCCGCCAAGCTCCACAGCGTTTGCGGGGAGCACTGCCAAGGACTCAAATGGGGTGGAAGTAGAAAGGGATTCTGGGAGGACGGAGTCAAAAGGCAGCGAGAAATTGACAGAAAGGCCCACGGCGGACCTTCTGAACCAAAAGGCGGATTCAAATGCGGGGGCGGAAGATCATCCAAAGAGCGCACCCGTCCCAAAACAAGCGCTCATGACGATCAAGAAGAATCCAAGCAACGGCAAAGCCACGGGGCCGCGGCTTGCCTTTGGTTTTAAATCGGCGTCCAAAGTGAAGGCGACCATCAACCCGCTGAAGGCGGCGCTCGAGACCGACGAGTTGGAAAGGGAAGAGGCGGAGAAGAAAGAGGAAGCAGAGAGGGCCGCCAAGCGGCAAAAGCTTGGGATTGCGCCGCCACCTTCGGAAGCGCCCGCACGCGCGCCGGCTGCGCCCCCACCAGGTCAGTTAACTCATACGTTGATGAAGTTTGAGTGTACAAAGGGTTTGATGAACCCCTGGGATGTGAAAGTGCGTTGTGAAAGGTTAATGCTGTAAGAGATGTCTCGGGTTGATGTGGGTGTGGGAGTCAGCCATTGAAGAGACCACCCTGTTCCTTGTTCTTCCAGGACACTGCTTTTCTGATCTGTCCTCCCGAATCTTCTGCTTCCTTAACTTGCTTTTCGTTGTTTTTGTGAGTCCTCAACTGTGCAACAAAAGCGTCTCACACCACTTCGTCCTTTAATTTGATTTTGAGAGCTCAGTGCGCATGTACCACTGCTTGCAAATTTCGTCCCTCAGCAACTTACGTTGTTACGTCAGGTCTTGCCAGATCTTTTTTAGGCTTGGTTTTCATTCTTTTCTTCCAGCAAAACTGTCAACATTGTTGCCTGCCTGGTGCCTAAGGCAAGCTGTTGCTGACATCCGTCAACCTTTGGCAGTCTTGTCTATGTTTCACCTCGCTTCTCACCTGACCAAAGCTGGTGGCATAACCCAGCAACTTTTGAGGTATCTCCCCCGGCAGTTCTTAGCAGTCCCAGCAAAGTTCACCCGGTGCTTATTGGAATCTTTTCGGCAGACCTCCCCCCGTGCTTCTACTCCAGTACTTCGTAGCAGACCTCGACAGACTTCATGAAGTTCTAATGGAGGGCGTCGGGGGATTGGTCCCCCCTCCCGGCGGACAGATACTGCGCCAGGACGCAAGTTTGGTCGCCGAAGGCACGTTTTCAGATGTTATGTGGGCCGTCGGATGACTTTCTGCCTCAGGACTCAGATGCACTAATGCACCTTGGAATTTGACGCCCTATTTAACCCCTCACACCCGATCGGTTTATGCGTGCAGCTCCTGAGGATGCGGAGGTGTGCCGGATTGCCGAGAAGCTCGCCAAGTTTGTGGCCAAGAACGGGAGAGGCTTGGAAAACACGACCCGGCAGCGAAACCCAGGGGACACTCCGTTCAGGCAAGCGTACCAATCACAGCCGCAGCATTATGAGCACTGTGTGAAAAGCTCCACACTCTGTGATGTGATCAGCCTCGGAAGGCACATCGAGCTTTTCAAAAACAAGCATATGTCACCCTTAAAATATTCTCCGTAAGCGTCACTGCATTTGGACACAGTCAGAAGCCAGGACAAAGCAGGGGAGAGTAAGAGCTGGAATCTGCAAAAGTTTCCACATTCTTCAATCTTTTGCTTTGTCAACTCGACCTTTGCCGCTGCGCTATTACTCCCAGACGGCCTCTTTCTTACACCATGAGTGCCTTCCCCCGTTTTGCAGGTTCCTCTTCGACCCCTCGTCGTCTGACTACAAGTACTACGAATACTGCATCGGTTTGGAAGAGAAAGCTCTTCAAGAAGCCGCATCCAGTGCGCAGGCACCACAGGAAGCGGGCCGGCCAGTTCAGACACCGCCCGCGCAGCCTCGTGAGAATACGGACTCTTCCGTTTTCTTATTTGGGCTATATTTGAATTCATTTCTGCGTTTGCAAAGGTGTCTCGGCTCTGCTCAGGGACTGACTCAGATCGAACTTAGAGAATGAACCATTACGGCTAGCATGGATCCATCAGCGTACGATTGAGGGCATTTTTGTCTCGCCCTGCGTTCTTCCTTTTTCCGGCCATCTGCTTGAGAAGGGTAGTCAATTCCTTAACCCCGTTCCCAGCCGAACCATCGACCTGGATAGAAGAGTCTGTATGTGGAAGTTGCTTGAGTCGTGGAAGTTGCTTGAGTCCTTCCTTCATGGTCAATGGAGTGGACAAAAAGTGGTCAGATGAAGTGGCACAATGTGACGCAGAGCTCGAGTCGTGCGCAAACGTCCATGTCAATCATGGCTGTGTGCAGCGATGCAGATAATATTTACTGTACAGCGACCTGCGTGCAACCTGTTACAGTCTTGGGCACAAACCCAGTATTTAGGCATCCCGGACGATATTCAATTTTCCTACTTTTTCCTGATCCTTCTGATATTCAGGAGTTTTCAAGTGGACAAGTCGGGGGAAATCTTCCAACTCAAGGACAGTTGTCTCAGTAGATACCTTTCCTTTCATATTGGCAATGCTTTAACACCCTTGATGCTGTGAGCCCGTCCCACTACCATTGCTTCCACATGTCAGGAGTACCACTTAACATTGGTTAAGCTTGACCCTGCTGTGACACATCGCCTATGTTTCGCTGCAGAAGCCCAGCCTGTTGAGCGCAGGCGGGGGTTCTCAGACGCGCCTCCCCCAGGTCGCCCGGAGCCATCAGGCGTTTCTTCCAGCCAGGACGATAAGCTTTCGCAGGAGGGTAAGTAACTTGCTCGTTTTCGTCGCAAAGAACTGTCGCTGGTTGGATATTTCCGAAGCAGACAGCATTGTTGTGGGTCCTCTCTGTCACGCATTCAATGCGGAGGTTTGCCGTATTTAGCTGCCAAAAATACAAATGGAAGATATTTGATTGGAATATGGTTCTACCCGCAGAAAAAGTGATGGTCGCACGTTTAGTTTGCAGGTCACGGAAAAAGGGGTCCTCCACAGATCGAGCCAAGGTCACCTCGTGAAACTGAACCTCGGGGGAGCAAACCGAGAATTGCGCAACGAGCTGCGGCAGAATAAACTCCCATTGAATGACTCCCACGGAAGGAACGCCGTTTCCATCTACACAATCCATGGAATGATTTTGTCCTGCTAAGCACTGACTTCAATCACGCTTCTTCTTTTCAGACTCGCTGGCGAAGATGGAGTTCTACGCGCGGCAAGCGGCGCGCGCAAACGCCAGTAGGGAGCCTCGGGAGAACACGCGGGAGATGCCGCCGCCCGAAGCGAACCAAGGTGGGTCTGCGCATCCTGGTGCCGTTATCTTTCTATCAATCTTTTCTGCTTCTGTGTGCTGAAGCCCGGAGTCTGCCGTGATGAATATTTCTTTTTTCAATTCCGGCACAGACGGTGTGGGTTTCTTGATGTGTCCTGTAAGGGTTGAGAGTCCGCACCTGGGCCTCTGGACCTGCTTACGCGTTCCAGGTCTCTGGGTTTCTCAATGGGCTGAAGCTCAGTCGTGCTTTTGGTTTTGGCAGGCGGTCGAGGCGGCTTCATTTCTCTCCCCTAAGTTCGGCTTCTAGAGAACTTAGCAGATGTTGCGCTGGCAGTAACACGGTTCTTATGTTTGTGTCGCAGGAACTTTGAGTTCGTGCTGATGCTTTCTTGGACTGCAAAATATGCAGCCCGGTCGAATTGGATGAAGATTGCCGAACCCTTGACACTTGGTGACGGCCCTTCCTACATTCTGATTCGTGAGTTTGTCGAACCATACGGGTTACCGACCAAGTCCGCCAGTATGCAACTTTATTTCCCGAAAAGCGCTTGAGGGCAATCTCGCGAGACAGTGAATTCATTTCTGTTATCTTCAGATCCGGGCGGCCCCCCGCGGCGAGGCCACCACATGGGCGACTTCATTCCCGAGGAGGAGCTGCAAACGTTCCTGTCTATGACAACCCCAGGGGCCCGGATTCCGCCCCCCGAAGACCGGAATAAGATTGGGTCGTCCAACGTGGGGCACAAGCTGCTGTCTAAGATGGGCTGGACGGAAGGTGAGGAACCGGTTCATGAGATTGGACATTTCTCTGAGAGCAGGTGTTTCCGCATGCGGGAACGGCAGCTTTTACGATCAAAGCACTCTCCGAAACGTGTTCTTTGTCTTCTTTTGATTGTTTGGGCTGGAGTTCGGACTACGGGGACTTTCGCATGGCTTACCTGTCAGTGGAGTACAATCTATGAAAATAGCAAATTTTCAATGCCGCTGATGTTGGAGCGGCCAGGGGGCTATACTTTTGGGTATCGAATGCCCTCAGCAAAGCCTATGCGAAATGTGGCGGGCGTTCCTTTCCGGCTTCTGATCATGCTTACCATACCAGAGCGCAAAGCGCAAAGCGGCATGACGATCAAAGAGCAACGAAGTTAGCGCCAATTTTTCGGCACCCAATGGTCGCTCAAAGGGACCCCTCACTATTCGTGGGCAGCGGCCTCGGGAAAACATTTTTGGAGGAAGTCTGTCCAAAATCATCGTACGTCACTGCTAAAATCATACAGTTGACGGATTCGCGTGCGTGTTATTTTTCCGCAGGCAGCGGCCTTGGGGCAGGCGGCGCAGGAATGATAGACCCGCTCGCGGCGGGGGGCGCAAAGCTGGACGGGCTGGGGGTCGGCGCCGCGCAGACGCACGAGCCAACGTCGAGCGACGATATCTACGAGCAGTACAAGAAGCGCATGATGCTGGGCTACAAGCACCGGCCAAACCCGCTGGTGAGTACCTGATTGGTTTGAGACCGGGTTAGGGACGGGTTCAAGAGTGGGTTAAGGACGGGGCGAGTAAGACTTGGTTCAGACTGGATGCAGACTGGTTCAGACATTGACTTGACGGCATTGAAAGATGAGGTGAAAACCGGTTCAAAGTGAATTGAGCTCTCACCAAAGGGCATATTTTACGGCCAAAACAAACAAGTTCTGGGCGAGTGTATGGTCAAAAGGTTTCTTTGAGGATTTGGAGGGATCAGCTGCTTTTATGCTTTCTTTTTGAGCTCTGTTTGGTTCCTTCAATCCTTCAAAACGATGATTGCTACCGAGCTCTGGTAGAATTGCTATCGAGCGAACGTCTTAGTCGGACTCGCTGCTTTGACCGGCGCTTGGCTAATCGCTTTGAGGTGCTATGTTACAACAGGCTAGTCGTTGATCTTGAGCTTCGGATTAGCGAGTGGCTCGCAATTTTGGCCGGGCTCGTATACCTGATTATCAGTGGGTTGTAGTTTCAGCACATTATGCAATCTGAGGCCGGGGCAACGATTGGTCTGTTACGTCCTTGTCTGACTGCATAGTTGACTCTAATAAAGACGAATGCTTGCTTGATATCAAACCCTGATGTGCTTCCCCTCGGCCAAACAAAAAGAAGTGGTATGCTCCTCATTAATAACCTCGTAGAAGGATTAAGGGTAGCCGCGGCTTGAACGGATTGCAGAAAGCGGCCGTCGCATGGCCCGTTGAATTGATTTGTCAATCCTCGTCTGTATGTTTTTCAGGGGAATCCAAGAAAAGCCTATTACTAGACGCCACACTGATCTACAGTCTGGCTTCCGACCACCCTTGAAGATCTTGTCAACATCCAACGAGAATTGGAGTTGAAGTCTAGGTCTTTTGAAACACGAGATTTGAAACGTATTCCAACAGCCATTGAAAAGCAAGGCCGTGCAGGATCCTATGCGTAGTAATTCACTGAGACCAGTGCACCGATCGCTTAAATCCGGATCTACGCAATCTTCATCGAAGCCAGTGTTTTGAAACCTCCTCTCAATGTGAAGTAATATGCACTGACTGCATGGTTGGGTAGCTGGGCGCTGCAGCTTGGGGCTTGTGCTTGCGACGTTTTCGGCCAGACGTAATGGGCGGCCGGCAGCTCTTGGAACTGTCCGCACGTGGCATTCTCTTCTGAAAGTATCTTATTACTACTCCCGGTGCGCAGGGCTGATTCAGCATACCTGAGTGGCAGCATGCCAGTGATGTGTCAGAGTGGCTGCCGCCATGCACTGAATCCTGTAGATTTGACGCAATATACCATTGGCATGGGTGCTAGAGTTTGGCAGCGGCCTAGACAATGGTCCTAGTGCACCAAGCCGACATATGCAGCTGTACGGCATACATACATATTCTATGAGAGTCGACAACGACGGGGCCCCGCTTGCACGTACAGAAGTTGCACATGATTTGGTAGCCTAGGTCATGGCCGGATTTGCCATGTGCAGTGCGTAAATTCCGGATGCATGATGCCATACTTAATTGAGCTTAGTATAGCTAGGTGCATGCATGTGAGCCTGAGTCTGCAAATTATAACATCTGAGGCCGCCGCGGCCGGCCCGTAAGACTTCTTTCGGATTATCGAACTACGGCTGCAATGCAATGGGATGTATTGCCATGGCATGCGCTGTCTACAAGACGCACTAGTAAGGATCAAAGTGAACATGTGTCTTACGCACCTGCCCAATTGGCTTGAGAGTCCGTTTATAATCAATTGATTGTAGCTTCATGGCTACAAATTAGAGCAGTATATAAGTTTGCTATGCACATGGCCGGCACACAAACTTTAGCCCATGCGACATGATCTTCTCTCAATTACATCTTATGCCGACATCAGTCATCTACATGTCGACTGAGACATACGTGAATGCGTTTTCCGAGCATCTATCGTATTGCAGGTATAACGCCGGAGAATGCATTTTCCGAGTACCTATCCTAACGCTAGTATAACGAAACCCATAGAGTTCATGAGCAGATATTGGTGTATCTAGATACCGATGCTGTGTTTTCTTAGAATATGTGGGTTTCAATACCAACTTTTGCATTGCTTTTGCCATAGGATTGGACTTTCAATTGGCAAATGCATTTGGCTATGTGCAGACCTTCTTGTGCTCTTTCCAATGCAACCTTTGATGCTCCTTGCTGCATGAAGGAGACAAGCCCACTCTAAGTGGAAGCAAACAAACGAAGACCGTACTTTGTTCAACAACCAAAACATTGATCATCATTTCGAGATAGAGCAGAAGTGATGTGCAAAAGCGACGTGCTTGCATTGCAGCATGTATAAGAACACCAAAGGATCTTTGAGGCTCTTGCTATCTCTGCAACAGAACATGACATTGGTTTGAGCTAGAGAGCTTACCCGCAATAGTATGCCATATGGCACCGCCCGCATACCATCAGAGTGATCTTCAAGAAGGGGTCTTCTTTGGCACCGCACCCGGGGTATGCACACACTTTTGGGGTGCTAAGATCATGGTTTGCGACCTTCCTAGTTTCTTTCCTTTCCTCAGGTGTATATTGCCTTGCGCCAAATCCTCTGATTTGGGCCTGCATGGTCTCCCAGATTCCCGGGCCTATACCTCTGATTGTGCCAGACACGGGGGTCAAGATCTCTATTCCCCTTCGTTCTCTTACAAGCCTGCAAACCTCCTGATTCTCCAGCATCTGTGTGAACCCCATGAAGCACCTCATGGTTGCTTGATCCCCCACAATTTGTGTTGCCAAGTCGAATGGTCGCCCTTGCGATGTTGCGAAGATGCGTGCGATAGCCTCTACATACCCCTGCCCTATCAACCATGTTTCGAGGTCCTTGCACGTGGCAACGTTATTAAGAAACTCTGATAAGCGGCCCCTTAGGGCGTTCTGGTTATCTGGACGTTGCGTTTTAAGAATCCGCTCTGACAAAACCTCATGCAGCGCCTTGAAGATCTCGTCGTGCTTCCGCATCTCAGCACGGAGCTCTCTAGATGCTCGGACCATGTGCGCAAGTGCTGGGAAGGCAATCAACACAAGAGGTAAGTACGTCCCGGGACCTTCTATCCCGGGCTTACAGCTTTGCTCTAAGCAGACAACAAACCTGTCGACGAGCTTTTCCACATTGCAATGCTGCAGAATGAGCCTGGCGACAGGCTTGTGGCTGCTCAAGGGACCAAGCGCCATCCCTGATTGGAATGCAAGAGAGTCTCCATTCACCGCCCCCCTCACAATCTCCCGCTCGTCCACCTCCAGAAACTGCTTCAAAAGTTGCTTGATTACTGCGCCCCCGTTCAGAGCCGCTATCTCTGAGAGCAGATATGAGGCAGCGGTTCTAGAATCATCCCTCTCTTCTTCAGGTTGCACCCTCCTTGCTTGAGATGGGATTACGTCTTCTGGTGCCTGGCCCTTGCGCAGATTGCCGGCGGCAAGAAATGTAAGCTGCTGAACGACCTGGGCTAATGTGGGGTAGTCCTTTGACTGCAAGAGGGAGGCCACTTCTCTTGCAGACATGTCGCGTATGTTTGCTCTTCGCGTCGCCATTGCGAGAGACAGCAGATTGCAGAGAGAAAGACAGGCGCCCTCAGGGGGAAAGGAAGTCGCTCTTTGTTTGATTAAATGATATCAATCCATATCCCCACTTCAACTTCAACTTCAAGCGTATGTTGCCAGAACTGCTGCCATTGCAATCTGTACCAGTGTATGGTCAACATGCTCAACGAACCGGTTTGATCCGAGTCTGAGTTTTGTTGGAGATCTGTCGACTTTGGGCGAAAGAATTCTGTGTGAATGCTCGGGAGTGGAGACAGAACCGGCGGTATTAGCTGCCTGAAGCCGCGGCAGCAAACGTGTGTTGAAAGCGACTCCACCTCAGGTTCGAGAAGTTTCGAGAAACGGCATTGAAGCACAATACCGTCCTACTATGTATTGAGTATTATATTCCGGTAATAAATCTGCACATCCAAATCGCGTCTCAATAAAAGAGCGAATATAGTATATACCGGTACAGACGATCAAACAGTGATCTGCACGCTCAAAGGGCATGACATTGAAGGAAGCATGTATGCAACTTGAGTCTTCAGTTCTCCACAGGCACTGGACAATCTGGCTTTCAGCAGAACCTTTGGCGCCTCGTCTATTGGGACCTTAGTGGGAGAGAGGATTCCATCAGCAAGAAGTGGTTGCAAGATTCCAAGAGCTTGCCCGCTAACAATTGAGAAGTCAAGCTACCCTGAGACAATGCAGGCATGCACCTCTTCCCTCCGCGAGAATGGGCGCCTATCTTCCAACTGGTCAACTTGCAGAACTGAAACTTTGCAAGCTGAGCCTTCTGCTGCAGCAGACAATGTACAATTCAGGTGTCGGAGGTCTGCTTTGCAACCTAATAGGCGCCTGAGAAAAGCAGCTTCACCATGCGCATCTCAGGCAATTGCAGCCAATCACAGCATTGTCAGAAGACGGCAGCAAGCTGCACAAGAATTCGGACTCAACACTGGGAACCTTTTTGTCCAGCAAAATCAACTAGGCGCGAGCCATATTAGAGCACCGGGAAAAAGACAGGCAAGCGTGTGCAGGAGTTCGCTGCACCAAGTGGCGCCGTTGTATGAAATTGCCGCTGGAGGGGAGACAATCAACCCCTGGAGCCTGATAGCGCTTGGTGAGGCATCCATTGCAGGAGTGCGTTGCTGAATTGACATGTTGTTTGGCTTTCAGCCCCATGTACGTGCCATGAAGCTTTTCCATGGCGAGTGTTTGACGGAACTTAAATCCGGATCAATGGGAGGGCTCATTCCTAGCACTATACACACAGCTTCTGGCTAAGCTTGCGTATACTATTGTGTGGCGGTTATCTGAGAAGCACACTTTAGCAGATTGTGCAGGCTAAAGAGCCCCCTGCTCTTTTATGCAAAAGGAGGAAACAACTGAAGCGAGTCATCCGACATGTTGAATCGCTTCCGTTTTTGAACAGCTGCCTTGACCTTGGTCCAACTGATCGCCTGTACTTGAACTGGGCTGTCAAACTCTACCTAATCAATCAAAAACAGCCAAAGAAGAGCGAGGCTGCTCAGATCAAGAGCAGAGGGTATCCAAGCGCAAGTTTTCTGAAAGGGCAGCGTTCTACTGACGACCTTGATAATCTGATGAAATATCAGTCGATTGGTGCAAGATATCTACAGTCAGTGGGAGGGGCCATGATGGATTTGAGCCTGTCTTATTTGCAGCGGTGGGCACGGCTGCGCTGGCATATCTGAGCGGCCTTGTCATGGGAAAGCAGCTCGAAGACGAGGTAGGCTGGCTGCGAACCTTTGTAGTGGCTGCAAAGCCCGAATACTGGTTGCTCTGGAGCTTTTTGCGTAACCCGCCGCACCAGTCTGTCGATGAAGTGGACTGCAACATGGAGGTCTTTGGTGGCCAGTCAAAAGAAGCTATTCCAACCACTTGCGGTTGTTGCAATCCAAACCTCAACCTTCTTTCCATTGTGGAGTGTTCCCACCACCCCTATACAGTGTGCGGGGTCCCAATACCCGGGGATGATCTCCTCTCCTCCGATTTTCACGCAACTAGGTTTGAGTATATCTTGAAGTCAGTTCCCATGAGTGCTTCGCTTATGGACCCACAATCAAGCGGCAGACTGGCAGCTTCGGAACTCAACCTTAACATCAATTCTGTTCTCCCAATCTCCAGGCCGAAGAGATGGAGACTAAGTTGTCCGAACAAGGGGAAAATGGCGAACCGGAGCCATCACCGGAACCAGTCCGAAAACGCAACCGACCAATACGGAGAGAACCATAACACGCTGTCGAGAAACTTCCAAGCTCTGGGTTTTGTTTTTTGCCAGTTGAAAGACGTTAATTCTTTTGGTTGCATCAGCATGTTCTGCCAGTCACAACATGTAGAGTCAGTTGTCTGGTTGCCATATATGATCTCTTCGAGGACGGCAGCTCTTGCATCTACTGCAACAAAGCTGGTTTTGAAAACGGGCATCACGAAGTCCCCCTAGCTCACCATAAAAGTTCTGCGACTGAAAGCGAATCAACTAGCGGACGAACCGTCCAGTCCAATACTTACACATGCACATGGTATTGACATGTTCGACATTAAGGCAGCCGGCGCATACATGCACGTGAGAGGCTACAGTAGACATGCTATTTTTTCAATCAGCCTGCATGCTATAGTCCGATCAGAAGCTGCATATTCTGCTGCCCCTAGTATATGATCATGTCACGGTACGTGAGGTGCACTGTCGTCACCATCGAGCACGTTGCTGCAATACATATGCATGCACGTGTAATTTTGATGTAGTACATTGTATCTAGCTAGAAACGCTGAATACATAAAGCTCTCAACCAGTGCGCCATGTCAAATTGCTCAAGCTAGCTTACGCCTGGCAAGTGATATGCTCTTTAACCCACTGTACGGGCCTGCTCTGAAGTCGGGTCGGGGGAAATGATTACGGCGCCCACGTGCAGATCTATGCTCAAAGCAAGGGCCATCGAAAGCCTAAATCCCTCACAAGTTTCCGGCTTTCCCTCGCTACACTTTTTGCCGTCGCTATGTGCGGCTCGTCTTCTTCAACCCCTAGAATCGGCACGGCCTCATTTTGCCCCTGGCCGAGCAAAACGGCCGCTTGGCGCCCTGCTTCGAGCCCCGTGACGTAGGCTTTTTCCTGCACGAGGAAAGTTGGTGTGAACCGTCGAATGTCTGGTTAAATGCTTATTCGAGTTACGACCCCTTTGATGACAACCATCTCCTATGCAGAGCCGAGGTGGGGTAAGAAGTCGACCTAGCGGAAGGAATGAAATTCATCCCGCAAAAGTCGACGGAACATAAACATGCGGCATCTTTCCCGGACACCCGGGGATGACGGGGCGCATTCTCACCTGCGAAAGGCCACGTGCCCCATGGGAGCCCGGGCCCTGTGCGAGCCAGTCACCTGCCATGAACAGGTTGGGTATGCTGGTGCTTGTACTGGGCATGTGCTGCAGAAGAGTCACGAAGCACACGTTTTGAATGAATCGGAGGAGCGGTTTGGAAATGAGGAGAGCGAGCAGAAGGAGAGGGGATGATGACAGAATTCTGCCGGCAAGCGCGGCTGAGTAAGGTGGACGACCTCAGCAAATCTTGGGAGGCGCCCGGACGTGCAGAACAATGAAGGTACTTGGACGAAGCATGGGCGTCTCACATAGAAGAGGAAAGAAGATTTTGGCAAACAGTCTTGAGGAAGGTTCGAGGAGTCTTTTTGAAAGCGCATGCCGAGAACTGGCCGACTCGACAAATATCTGACGCATCCGCTCCGAAGAAACGCGGTGCTGAACATCAAGCAGAAGCAAAATATAAAATCGGAAGAAAGGATGTCCAGTTTAAAGCGCGGCTGGTCATTGGGCTAGTGATTTACAAGGAGCCGTTCTCAAGCCCCTGGCCTGGTTAAGATTCGATTTACCTGGTGCGACCCTGGCCCAAAGAGCGTGACAGCGCCCTTGAATCGGAGCACGCTGCTGTCCAGAACCTTCGCGCCGCCAAAGCCCGGTTCGCAGCCCGCGAGGTACCGGTTCAGTACCCGGTCCACGATGACGTCATCCGGCAGCGGAAGCAGCTGGTTCGCGTGGTAGAAGTCGACTTCGATGACGCTGCCGGCTTCGTTCCGGTACTCGTCCTGGAAACCGTTTCGTTTTATTATACGACTTTTCTGTGAGAGACGTCTCGACAAGAGCGCCAGCAAAACGAATTTCGATGGACGGGTTGGTACGTAACACAGGAACCGTGGCCGCTTTCATGGTCACGTTGTGAAGGACTCTGTTTACCAGCACTCGAGACGATCTAGCGACGAACTCAATCAGCAAACGTTCATCAGTCCAGAGTGAAGGAGACGAAGGGGTGTCACAAAGAAGAATCGAAGCAGAAGTCAAGAAAAAGTAAAAAGGCAATAAGGCGTCGAAGTTGCAGGGCAGCTCGAGGAAATTGCAGCGAAGCGGCTGCCGGTTCAGCAAAGGGGAAACTTCAGTCTTTCAATCATGCAACAAATCCACCTCGGTAACGAAGCGGCAGTCCTCAGATACGGTCACAACTTCCAAGTCACATTCGGAAACCCGCAAACAGGCAAATCGGGCGGTCGTCTTACCTGCAACGCGTTCAGGTCAAAGAACGTCCCCCCAGTCGTCGCGTCGAACCCGGAAAACACATTCGATGGGTTTGGCGGAGTAACCCGCCGGTCAAGCCACAGCCTTGCCGCAAGAACGTCAATCCCCCCCAGGTTGGAAAAGCCCGCGAAATCCGGGCGGTCCGCCAGAGGGGGTGACGTGGCGACGATCCGTTGCATCGCGTTCACGCCCACCGCAAAAACGACGGCGTCGGCTGAGAACGTCGTCGCCTGACCGTTGGAGTCGACTGCAGATTTCAAGGCTTTTCAGACTATCAAGTTAAGATGGTTTTCTCACGGGCCAATGATCCATCAGCACAATGATTTTGACGAATACAACCTCTGAATAGCAACCTTAGTTTAAACTGACAGCCACTCGTAGTACAGGGAAGTTGGGATCATCCGACCAAATTAACCGACCAGATAATAAGAACGGTATAACTATCCACCCAACTCCTCAAATTGACCCGACCCGTTCTCCTCGAGTCCTTGAATCCTATCACGCTGTACTCTTATGCTGACTACATCCTTCCAGCGAGAGCATGCTGGTGATGCTCTGTCGAATCTGCTTTGTATCCGTTTGCTGATTGGACGATTCAAGCCAGAGCTTGCGAACGCTCAACCAGGGAATCTGTCTGCATTGGCTTTGCTCTCCATACAAGCAACAAAAGGAAACAGAGACCTTTGGATCCAAGGTTCATCACCCTAGATATAGGAATTCAGCATCCGGAATTTACGGCCCGGCATGTTTGATCTACCGGTTCCCGAGGATCTGAGCGGTGCTTACTCGCGGTGATGGCCGTCGCTCGCCCGCTGACGTCATCCACCGTCACCCTCTGCACTCTCTGGCCTCCCAAAATCCTAGCGCCCATAATCTCCAGCTTTCTCCGCCATGGGGCGAAGAGCGACTCGACGACGGGACCCTTGCACCACCGCACGTCGAAGTCCGCTTGATGTGCGAGCACATAATAATAAAGGGCACCTAGAGCGGCGGCAGCTGCAGAGAAGATCGGTTACTTTCGGATTTAAACTCATCGAGACATATTTTCTATTTTCCGAATCTCTGCACCACCGAACGTCGAAGTTGGCTTGGTGCGCAAGCACGTAGTAGTAAATCGCGCCCAAAGCAGCGGCAGCTGCAAAGAGAAACCAAGCGTTCATGCAGTAAACTGCCAATATCTAGAAATGGCGGAAGATCCTCTAAGGATCCCGTATCGCCTGCAGCACGAGTCAAAGTTCACTTGATGCTTAAGCACGAGTAGTAGAGCGCGCCTAAAACGGCGACAGCTGCAGAGAAAAAGAGAACACCGCATTCGCGTTTCCGATTCCGTGCACCCTCACCGGACAGCTGTTCGCCTGGCGCGAAAAGGGTGACAAGCAAGATCGGCTCCAGGAACTCGCGGTACAGCCGCGCCGAGACGCCCGCGCTTCGGAACAGCTCCCTTGCGGTCATCGCGTCGTAGCGAGCATATGCCTCCTCGTCCTGTCGAACAATGCTACGAACCTTTCTTGTTCCGTCCGTCCAGGTTCACTTTGTGTGTTTCACAGTTCTCAAGCTCGGGCACCTGAAACTCGCACCCAAGATTTTGCACGGCCAGTCTGCAAGTCATTAGGTGCGAATTGCGGGATCCGACGACATACCATACTCTCCGACTCTATGAGAATATCGAACTCTTCGTCGAGAGCAATATCTTGGGTGCGAGGTAATAAGGGGCCCGAGAAGGCAGGTAATAGCAGACTTGTCGTCGAAGTCGATTCGTGGGCCTGTAGAAAATCTAGGACAATCTCTTGTGCGAGCGCATGGTGTAATAGCCAAATGTCAACAGCCGGACCCATGTAGCCGAGCCTCCGAGAAGCAGGAGACTCACCACGTCGAACTCTACCAGGGCCTGTACTAACGGGATGGCGGTCAGACGGTCGGCGATTGGAAGTGATCTGCAGAGGACCAAAAGCGAACGGCATCTTCACTTATGAAAGTGCTTTCGTGGAAGAATAAAGTTAACTTTATAAACTGCAGGCACCACGAATGAGAGACTCCACGGAGAAGTCAAGCTCGTGACTAAGTACAAGCGGATGACCGATGCGCAGATTGACGTCTTCAAACCTTATCTCAAGGCACTCGTTCCCTTAGCGAAAGCAACAAACGCTTCGACCCAGCAGAAAGAGGTGACGACTTGCCGAAAGTAGGGCGACGTGTAGAGGAAGCTCCCAAGGGGCGTCGGCAGGCGGGGCAGGTCTTGGAACACGGGCGCTTCGACCTGGATTCCCGCTGGAGAGTAGAACGAGCTGCGGGTCCACTCCGTGAAGGGGGGGAGCTGGACCAGGCAGAGAAACCAGCTTTTACGACCCCCCCTTTGGATACGAAATCAGAGCAGACAGAAAGCGGATCCAAAGCAGACGGGAGATGAGACAAAAGTTAGGCCATCTTCCATCGTCTCTTCCTGCCGAAGTTATTGATTGAGAGGCACGGGAGCATGGAGGAAGCGGGTCTGATATAAGAGGCAACGTGAATGCAGTTGCCCGTTTCGAATGTTTGGTGTCTGCGAATCCGATTGGCACCAGAGTCGTCAATGAAATCAAAGTGTGGTCCAAACAGCGCACGTGGCAGAAACGGGTCATCGTATGAAGAAAAATGCTGTTTGATGAGGATCGACTTTTGGTCTTATTGCCAATAGCATTGTTGCTTAGAGCGTGTGTTGTCAAGAACCTCATCTTCTATTGAAATGGAGTAAAAGTTACCCGGTTCCACGGTTTCGGCGAAGGCAGTAAACTTCGAAGTCAAGGACATTCAGCAAGTAAGACAGAGGGCCGGCGCCAGACTCACGATGCTCAGCTCCTCGACGAGGCGATAGATGTTGTGATACTGATACCTGCACCATGAATCCAGATCAAAGTCGTTTCTTTCTGGCAAGTTGGTGCGGCGTGTGCACTTTACCAGTTTAAGGTATGTCACGCCACCCTCAAAGTTTCTCAGCTCGTTTGTAAGAACCACCACTGTGCTTTTCACGTGACAAAGTAGACGTTTTGGAGAGCCAAAGACCCTGACTCGTCCATTCCAATATAGAAATCATGGCTCAATGTGAACAAGCTACCCCCAGGTGACTCTCAACTTCCATACTGCAGCTGATACCTACAACCAACAAAGACGCATCACACCCAATAACTACAGCTGATAACCACAGCAGGGGTCAACAGTGACCCACGGCAATCAAGTACAGACCAGAACAGCTCCTCATCGAGACAGAGCAGGGCTTCCTGACCTCAAAAATCTGGGGCCGCTTCCGTGCTGCTGGCCACTGTATGGCCCAAGAAGATGGGACCTAGGTGTATTGAGCGGTTTGAAGCAACAGTGGTGTTCCTCAATCACCAGTCCATACATGTAAGAGTTTGCTACCCAAAAGGTGGGAGTATGAAGCCCGCACCTACCAAAATCCTTTCATACCAGCCTCGACCGCTCTCCCTTGGCTGGTACGGAAGCCTCCGCTAAGGCCCCCTGGGTCGGGGGACGCGTCCAAAAGGGTCACAGCAAAGCCGCAGCGTGCTAGCTGGTACGCTGCTCCAAAGCCTGCCTGCCAGGCTGACACAGCATCAGTTGCAGGGACAATTTGATAGCCTTCCTCGTTGTGCTGGAATGATGTTAAGGTCCGAACAGCCACAACCACTCCAAACCAGTGGAGAATTTTGAAAAACGAAACTTGGAATGTATTATCCAGATTGATGGTCCAACAGCTTCAACTTGTCTCGAGAAATATGTCGAACAATCCTTTTGAAAGCTGAAAGTAATGCTACTCCCAGGTCTGGCTTCGCTTGACTCACCCAGCCGCCTCCTACCACCACTGCCTTCTTCTTCTCAGTCCACGCCACATGCTCCATCCCCGCTCTAGTTAATGTACCACTTGTGGTTTTCTTCAATCTGGTCTGTTTCGGAGCCTTACATCTAAGGTTGTATCTCTTTCGCCGCAATGTCAATGGAGGTGTGAGCAGGGGATTTGGAAGCATGCTTCCACAGGAATGACACTTCTGCATTACAGCAATCTGCGCTGCAAATGCTCTGGAGGATGGGTGAGAAGAGCGGAACTTCAGCTTGACATGCCTTGATGCGCTGGTGGATGACATGCTGTCAACAAATGCATTGCGACTGGGTGGCGGCGCCAGCGAGATCGGCCCGCGGCTGTGGCCCAATGAACTGGGTGCACCACTCATGTTTGCTGCTAAAAAGCAAAAGACTTCTGTAGGAAACCGCCTGGGAATGGCCAACTTAAAATGCAGCCGCTTCTACATACAAATTACAAATCAGAATGCTCTCTCTCTCTCTCAAAACATCTGCAAACAAGGAGAGATGGAGCTCCAGCTTGCTGGACGACAGCGCCCACAGGTAACTGGAGCTCGTTTTGAGGTTTAGCCGAAACTGTTGAATATTCTGAGGTTCACTGTTTTCTCAGCTCCTCAGCCTCAGGGTTCTCAGCTATTAACGAGAACGTTAATAGATGATCGCAGTGCGAAGCACTGCGAATGTGTGATGGGAAGGGACAGAATAGGGTAGGCAAGATCGGCTCGTGCAAGGCTCACACAGACGTTCCCCGAGAGGGATAGCGCCGCGCTGCCTAGGCCGGTTTATTATGAATAGGACCGGCCACGAATGGCAGAATGTATGTTGTGCAAATGTCTGGCTAACTGCCTAATGCACTTTGCGCTATCCAACAGACTCGTTAACGCGAAGAGTGCAAATGGAAACTGCCAAATTGTTCTACGTCTGTACGACGACGAAGTCTAGTTGGTAATGACTAAACTAAACTGAACTACGGTAACGCCCGAGGCCGCCGGCGATGAAGCACCGCCCGGTCGCCGTCTTCGAGACGCCGCCGAGTCGCCACTGGTTCGCCGGAACGCCGGGACGCCGGAACGGGGAGCTCGCCTGGAGGGAGAGCCCGGTACTGGGACGCCAGACGCCTGAGCACCGCACGTGCGCTGTGCGCGCGCGAAGGTAGATCACTGCGGAAGAGAGAAGATCGCAACGTGCGACAAGAACTCAACAACGGGTGGGAAACAGCGGTAGCTGTGGGCGGGTTGTTGAGGGGAAGCAAGGAGGCGCCGTCCTCCTTGCGCTGTGA